ATTGAAACTGAAATGCTGGAAATCCACAGCTGGTCATTTGGGTGAGAATATCCTTTGTCATAGAATTTTACAACACAGAAGGAGGCCATTCGGCCCATCGTGCCTGTGCCAGCTCTTAGAAAGAGTTATTCAATTAGTCCCATTCCCCCGCTCTTTTCCCATGGCCTTGCAAATCTTTCCTTTCCAAATATATATCCTTTTGAAAGTTATTATTGAATCTGCTTCCACCACCCTTTCAGGCAGTTCATTCCAGAACATAACAATTCGCTGCTTAAAAAAATTCTCATCTCCCATTGTCATGTCTGATGGGCACCAAAAATGTTAACCATTTTCAGAGGTGCATTTCCAGTTTTACTTCAGATTTCCAGCATTCAGTTTGGTTTTAATTTTTTAAGTAAAATACAAGTTACAAAAACTTTGTAAATAAAATCTCAAACAAAAATAGTGTAATGTAAATGTAAACACTAGATTTTATTTCTGTTGACTTGTATTTAATGATGTTTCCAGCTGAGTTTTAAGTTTCCCTATCAAAACCGCCTTCTCTAAATGCAAGCATTTTAGAAAGCTGTATTATAGCATAGGAATTTTGCCAAACATTGAAGCTTAAAGTAGCCCAAATCCACATTAATCGTATGTTTGGGCAGTGTCACTGTCACACAGCTGCTAACAGCAATGACTTACATCTATACAGAACCTTCTACACACAAAATAAGGTCTCAAAGTGCTGGACAACTGAGTTTGAAAATAGAGATTTAAAGATGATGGTTTAAAGAGTTAAAGCGATGGCTGAAGAAATATTTTTAGAGAGAAAGGTTAAAATGCAAAGTGGTTTGTAATATAAGTTAATGACTGAGTATTTCAATCAGTGAAAATACTATTCAGTATCAACCCATAGTTGAGGGATACTGTAACTGGATGACTTGTTAACATGCATAACTGGCAATTTTATGATTTAGTTCAAAGGTTTTTTTGGTCAGCCGGGTGTCGGACATATGCTGAAAGCCATCACCATACTTAAGAGTATCCAAACTAAAACTGAGATTTCAATGCATCCCACTTACAAGTGGAAATTCCAGAGGTAGATTATTGGAATGGAATGCACACTCTTTCCTTGGAGGGAAGCATCCTGCTTATCTAATTCCAGAAATATTAGGTGCAGGTTGGCAAGAGATAAGGCTTGGGGACCGCAGAGTGTGCATTGGGATACTGCTGGAGACCAACCAGCCCAAACCACGTAGCTTGCCATTAATATCACTGTCTGTCAAGCTTTCCCGTTGCTTGTCCAACTAGGACCACCTTACCCGTTAGGACTTTGGCTTGCAGGGTTAACAGGAGCTGAGCGGGATGATTCCCTGCCCCCAGTGACTGGTCTGCCCTTCCAAGTCCTGCCGATGAGCCAGGCTGGTTGTGCTGTCATCGGCAGTGCCCTGGAGAGACGCATCCTGCTTGTGGAATACTGCAGACCCGTCTGGCTCAAGAACCAGACTACCAAGACTGTCATACAGAGTTAGAAGGGTAAAGTGAAAGAACAAAGAATTGAGATTAGAGCAGTAAACTGCAGTGGATGATGAGTTCGCATTATTTTAGAATCGATAAGGCGAATAGCCTCCTCCAAGGGTTTCCTGTGATCCAGGGAGAGAGTGTGCATACCATTCCAACAATCTATCTCTGGTATTTCTAGGAGAAGGTTGGCTGCATGGAAATCCCTTCTTGGTTTGGATACTCTTAAGCACGGTGATGGGTTTTTGTATGTGTCAGTCACCTGGCCGAGCAAAAAAAATTAACAGGAACAAAAAAAAGTTGACTTATAATCCTTGCATTTGATATAGCGCTTTTCACGTCGGAAGGACGTCCCAAAGCGCTTCACAGAACACACTGTAAAGTGAATTGACTGTAAATTTGTGGGCGAACGCGGCAGCCAATTGCGCACAGCAATGTCCCACAAACAGTGGTAGATTGAAAATGACCAATTTATTATTGTTTTTGGTTTTGGAGGGATTATTATTAGGCTCTGTGTGGAGTAAGGAAACTTGCCCAAGGTTTCGCCCTCTGCCTGGAATTGAACTCAGGTCTCTCGCTTGCAAAGCGAGTGCTCTAACCACTGAGCTACAGGACTCCACTTCTGAGAGAACCTAGTAATTTTCTCCTTTACAAGCCCACCCATTTGACTCATTACCTACGTTAGAAAATGATGCTTAATTTAGGATTTTAAAGATATTTATTCCTGAAGCTTCCACAAATTCCCTTGCGCCATTAGAAAGATTCAGGGTTTGTTTGCATGTGGTCTGTAAAGCTTCAGTCAGTTTACAGCACACTCATTACTGCAGCTGCCTGTAATGAATAGGATAGCAGCTGTGAGCAAAGTTGAATGGGATGCGTACTGCTCCTCACACCTGTTGCTTAAATTCTCCATGAACAATACAGTGCAACAGAATATCTGTCTGTAATGCTCAAAGTGAAAATCTGAAGGTCAGCCTGTGAGAATTCCTCTGGTATGTTTGCAGTTCACGATGGAACTGAAAGATGCAGCCATTGGCAAGAGTTCTGCAGTTTCATAAAAATTTCTGTGTCCATGTCAGTGCTCTATAACCGATTTATGTTGTGGGCTGTTAAAACTTATAATACTTTATGATTATATGACATGTTAAAGGGATTTTTTTCCAAATAGAAACAGCTCATCTACATTGTTCAAGGTCAGGAAGGGGAGCATTGGCTCAGACTTGTATTATCTCAGGTGGTTAATGAACTGTTCATTCTAAATTTCCGTATACTTGTTCACGACTCCACAAAATGAGAGAGATGTGGTGTGCAACTTGAAATAATTTTTGAAACTATCTCTAAGGGATTGTAAAGGTGTATTTCTGTGGGTTGTTTTCCTTACCCCTGATTTAAGCTATGTGGCCACCTTTCTCTAATGCCCTGGCTAAGATTCCTCTCACTGAGCACAGATTAGAGATCTAACTTGCGACCTTTCAGATCTGTATGGCTCAGGTTCAAAGTATATAGTGAGTTGCAATTCATTGGTGAGTTTACAAGATTATACAACAATAACAACAACAACTTGCACTAATATAGTGCCCCCCCCCCCCCATGGAGAATAGCGTCGCAGAGCACTTAGAAACATTGGCCTTGACCAGCATGTTGGGCTATGACATTGCAACTATAACAACAACAATTTGCATTTATATAACACCCTTTACGCAGGGTAGTGTCCCGAAGAGCTTGACAGTGGTGGAGTCTGACAACGAGCTAGAGGGAGGGCGGAGGTGACTAAGCATGATCAAAAAGGAAGGTCTTTAGGCGGGATTTGGAAATGGTTCTGATCAGGTAATGGATGTGGGGTAGAAAGGAAAGCTGGGAATCAAACCTGATGCCTAAGTTATGCACGGGTTCGGTGAGTCTGAGGTAGAGCCTAGGGAGGCTGAGGAGTTCAGACCCGCTGGAGAGAAGCCGTTGATGGATGCCAAAAAGTATGGCTTCAGTCTTGCCAAAATTCAGCTGCAGGAAATTTGCGTTGATCCAGGCGTTGATGTCCATCAAACAAGCTGACAGGACATCAGTGGACTGGGAGTCGCAACTGGAGGAGGAGAAGTAGATTTTGATGTCATCTGTATACATGTTGACCCCATGTCTGCAGATGACATTGCCGAGAGGGAGCATGTAGATGAGGAAAAGAAGGGGGCCAAGGATCACCGGGCAGGGGCAGAAGGGAAAACCATTCGCGAGATGTATAGTTGGCAGTTTGTTAAGTAGTACTTTGCATTTGATATTGGTGGCTTAGCATGCTGTCAAGGCATCTCAAAGTGCTTTACAGGACGCATTGTAAAGTGGAATGACTGTATTTTGTCATAACCCCAGAGCTCACTCACGTGAGGATTCCTTATTAAAGTATAGAATCACAGAAATAAACAGCACAGAAGGAGACCATTCAGCCCATTGTGTCTGTGCCAACTCTTTGAAAAAAGCTATCTAATTGAATCCCACTCCCCTGCGCTCTCCCCATAGCCCTGCAAACTTGTCCTCCCCAAATAATTATCTACTTCTTTCTTAAAGGTTGTTATCGAATTGGCTCCCGCCATCTTTTCAGGCAATGCATTCCAGATCCGATCTGTGTGAAAAAATTTCTCCTCATCTCCCCTCTGTTTATTTTAACAACTATTTTAAATTGGTGTCCTCGGGTTACCGACCCACCCACAAGTGGAAATAGGTTCTCCTTGTTCACCCTATCATATCCCCTCATAATTTTGAAAACTTCTATTAAGTCTCCTCTTAACCTCCTCTGCTCCAAGGAGAATAATCCTAGCTTCTCTAACCTCTCCTGATAACTGAAGTCCCTCATTCCTGGTACCATCCTGGTAAATCTCCTTTGCACCCTCTCCAATGCCTTGACATCCTTCCTAAAGTGTGGTGTCAGAACTGAACACAGTACTCCAGCTGAGTCCTAACCAGCGTTTTATAAGAGTATAAAGTCATTTTAAAAGATCTCCTTTTTCTTACTTCTCAGTAGGATGTATGCCTATCTTTTCTTAAAGCTAGTATGTGACTTGATATGGATTCTGCAACAATTACATTTATATATTGTTGTTGCAGGTTTTATTGTCAAATGAATGTTTTGGTGTTTTGGTATGCCTCCAGGCCTTGAAACAAACTCTTGTTAGAAGGTTGTGCCTGAATGAGTGTCTTTACTCTATGGTAATTCACAACATATCCCATGGTATCCAGTGTTTTTCTTATTTCTTGTTAGTATTCTTGTTTCTGCATGTGCCGATTAAACCACTAAACAGTTGATATGAAGAGGGGTTATAAAGTTGTTTCAGTAACCTGGGTGTGAGGAAATTTTAACTCCTGAGGGGTGGGTGTCTGTAATTTAGGGAATTTAGAGAAATTGGCATTGTGGATGAAAAGGTGATTTGATTAAGAAATTTTAAGTAATGAAAGGTGCATATTTTGGAATCCTTTTCTTGCCATTGATACCATTATTTTGCATCAATTTCTTTCAGAATAAAGGCTCCCTCCAGTTTGAAGACAAATGGGATCTGATGCGCCCTATTGTTCTAAAGCTGTTACGACAGGAATCTGTAACAAAGCAGCAGTGGTTTGACTTATTTTCGTAAGTATATCAATTATTTATATCCAATTAAATGTAAAAACATGATTCTGTGAATCTATTTTGTGTAAATCATTAAAAAAAACTTGCATCAGATCTTGCAATGCTAACCTCTTGTAAAATCAAAAGAATCAATAGCTGGGTGTGCAATTGCACATGTTCAGATGTTAACTTTAATTGATCTCCCCTTTTTACTTCCCACAACCCTTTACTTAGACTCAATTCTCACTCCCCGCCCTACCCATGCCACTTAAGTGGCCGAGTTTTCAGATTCTATGGCCTAACCTCTGGTGATCCTTCCCTCTGCCTCTCCGTCTCGACACCTTTCTATTGGATTTCACGTCCCACCGTAATACCTCTTTGATCACGCCTATGGTCACTTCCCCCACCTTAGCATCCATCCCCACTACTCTAAAGCACTCTGAGAGATTATTCTATGTAAAGGGAACTATATAGATGCTCGTTGTTGTTGGTTGATGAAGATTTTGTTGATGGTTTGATGTTTGATGTTTTCCTTCAGTAATTGGCTCAACTGGCCATTTTTCATGGGAGTCCTATCATTAGGAGAGGACATCATATTTAAAATCCATCTTGTGCTTACCTGATGTCCACATATGTGCACTTTGCAGCTACACCTTAGAACCCTGCCTGGCCTTTTCTCCTTTTTTCCATTCCTCCTTTGCCCAATGGCCTTGAGGCCATTTGAGTGCCCCAGTTAACTCAGCAAATACAGATTTTTCAACTTGCGAGCTTTTGATTTGTATGCTTAGTGCTAAATAAAACCAAAGAGGTAATACTTAACCTGTATAAATCATTAGATAAACTGAAGTTACAGATTATTGGGTCTAGTTTTAGTCACCCTATTTCAGGAAAACTTTTGGGCCATGGAGAGGATATTTATTAAGATGATACTAGTGACGAATGGTTTGTTCTATGAGCAGCGATGAGAGGAACTGGTCCTTTTTTCAGTGGAACAAAAAGGTTGAGGAAAGATCTGATAGAGGTCTTTAAAGGTAGCAGGTATTTTCATAGAGCAGTTGGGGACAAATTATTTCCGCTGGTCATTGGGTCTATGATTAAACAGGGTCTGTTTAAAAATAATCCTAGCATTTGATACACATCATTTGTCTCAAAGAGCTTTTCATGATGTACCGTAAAATGTGAAACTAAAAGTTGTCGGTGAATTTAAGAGCGTTAGCAAGGGAGCAAGGGGTTTAGAGAATTTTTTTCACATAAATTGTTGGAATGTTTTTATTCCTTGCCAGTGCAGTGATTAAAGTAGGATCCATATTAGCTTTCAAGAAGGAACTGGATAAATATCTTAAAAAGGAATAATTTGCAAGAAAATGAGGAAAAGGAAGGTAAATGGGATTGAATGGATTGCTCTTTCAAAGGGCTACCAATAATGATTTACATTTGTATAGCGCCTTTCACATCGGAAGGATGTTTCAAAGCATTTCACACAGCTGACTGGAAGCCTGAATGGAGAGGTAATCAAAAGTGCAATTGAAACAATAGGTATTTAAGGTGGGAAGGAGGAGGTAAGGCAGGATAGTGTTTGCTGAGTTGAAGGAGTGGCCAGGGTTACAAAGGTAAAGTGTGGAGAGGCTCAGAGGGATTTGAAAATGAGGTTGCAACAGACTGAAGTCTATACACAATGGGCCGAATGGCCCTCTGTGCTGTAAATTTCAACGGTTCTAACTTGAGAGGTGTCTTTACCTTACGTGAGAATTCAGAGAGCAATCTATATAAATATATTCTGTCAGAATTGTGTATACTGAACAGTTACAAATTCAAATATGAGTTAAACTTGAAATACCTGATTTTTTTGTATTTAAAAGCCTGATGACTTTTTTTAAAAGTCATTATGATGTAGATGTGTTTTAATCGATTGGCACTGGTGTTAACACCTTTCGTGTGTACAGAGCATTCTGTTGTTTAGGCAGTCTTTAAAAGCTTGTTTTTTTCTGTTTCAAAGGGATGTTCATGCTGTTTGTTTGTGGGATGATAAGGGCCCAGCAAAAATCCATCAGGCTCTGAAAGAAGATATTCTTGATTTTATCAAACAAGCTCAAGCTGTAAGTCCATCTATTTTTAAAGCATGTTTCATGCATATTAAATACACTCATGCTAACGGCTGTAATGTTCATCAGTCTTCGTTTTGCTGAGTGTCTTGCTATAATGATGCCTAGTTAAAGATGCAAGAGTAATAATTGGACTAGCAACAAGGACAGCAAAATTCCAGTGTTATTGGGGTGACAGGTTTCTTGTGTTTTTATTTTCTATATTAACATTTAAAAAAAGTTAGAAATCTGTGGTATGTCAGGCTTCAAGAATAAACCACAATTTTAACAAATGTAAAACACTTGAATTCTGTGTGTTATTTTTGCTTTTACCAACTAATCTAAGATATCCTATATTTTCTAACTACAGTACAATAAGGTTAAAACATTCTGCTTATCGTCAACCTCCAGGCTGGATTTTCAACCATTCACAATCTTGGGTTTTGATGATTGAGATCACATCCAGTTGCGACAAGGTCAATCCTGTTTTTCCATGATAGGTCAGGAAGATAGCTCCTAAGGAAGTCTCCTCGTCAGTATCAGCAGACAAGCAAACTTGTCCATGTCACATGGAAAGTTAACTTAATTGGCTGTGTTTGTCCACCTCTTCCAAATTACAAACTGGGTTCACACATGAAATGAATACATCCAAACCAGATGCATCTCAATGTTCCTAACAGGAAAAAATCTTTTAGTGATCCCATCACAATAACTAACCTTCCACCACATATGGCAAGTCAGACAACCTTAAGTTGTGAGAGACATATTAAAATTTGATTGAATGCAAGAGCAGATTGATATAGTGAGTTAGGAAAGGTGGTTGTTTCTTTTGAACCTGGTATTCAATTGATCAATCCTGAAAAGGTGTAGGGCTAGGGGACTCACTGATTTTTAACCTTGTGTACCCAAGTGCTTTCCTGACTGAACTACCCAGGATGGTTCATCATGGTGGAAAATGTTAGCACTTGTAAATTGAACATTTTCCTGAAATTGAACATTTTTGGATTTCAGATGCCCAGAGGTACTGAGAGGTCAGGTACAGCACAAATATAGGCAGCGTACAACTGCTGCTGCTCTCCCCACAATGAGCCTGAAATCCAACACAGCAAAATGATTCCCAACACCCTATAATGACATTTTTTGGTGTCATGTATGAGTGATATTCAATTTGTACTGAATTAAATGTGCTTTGGTTCTGAGGGACTGAGCCAACAGATAGACTGCTCAAAGAAGTTGTGGAACATTTATGCTTGCAGTTGTCTGCTCAGTAATAATAATAATAATAATCCTTGCATTTGATATAGCGCTTTTCACGTCGGGAGGACGTCCCAAAGCGCTTCACAGAACACACTGTAAAGTGAATTGACTGTATATTTGTGGGCGAACGCGGCAGCCAATTGCTTGTAAAGTAAACTTGTAAGAGGACGCAATTTTAAATATGTACTGTAAAAACTATTCAAAAATGTCTCTGAAGAATTTAGGTCAACTTGTTTTATTTTGGATCAAGGTGAAATGGACCATTTATTTCCCTGTGAAGCTCGTCATTCATACTATGATTTTCAGTGCCTTAAAATATTTCAAGTTGGTTTGCTCTACATGTTTTGTTTTGCAGAGGGTGTTGAGTCACCAAGATGATACTGCGTTACTGAAGGCTTACATTGCAGAGTGGCGGAAATTCTTCACACAATGTGATATCTTGCCCAAACCCTTCTGCCAGTTAGAGATTACATTAATGGGCAAACAGGGCAGTAATAAGAAATCCAATGTAGAAGACAGTATTGTGAGAAAGGTAGGCTGCAATATATCAACATTTCCTTGTTATTCAAAAAGTGTTCCAAAAGGGGAAATAAATCTCTTTTTTTCTGTTTCTTCAAATGATAATTGGAAAACATAAGTATAATCTATTAGTTTTTTATGTAGCAAAATATTTAAAGGAATTTTAGGTATCTTTTTGGAAATCAGATTTTTTGTGAATTGTTTTGTTTTAAATAAAATGCTTAATAGTTATTATCAATCCAGGTTTGTTTGCATTGTCATTTTTTTTAAAAGGAATTTTCCAAACACAACATAAAACTATTAAAAAGATCTAGTGGTACTAGAATCTTATAAAATCAACAGCTAATAGCTGCCAATTCTTTATAAAACACTGAATGAATTAATACAGTAAAAATGAGCAATAATGTATATATAATTTTGAATGAAGCAGAACGATGTCCAGTTCTGGGAACATGCTGCAGAAGGGAGGTAATTAGCGTCTCCTTGGGCCTGAACCGGCTCCAAGGTGACGTGCTTGGCAATGGAATGTTAGAATTAATTCTATGGTCTGGTTCATGCCAGGCGGGTCCACAAGGCACTATCGTTGGTAGATGCGTCAGCAAATCTTGGCAGGACTCGGAGGGGCATGGGGATAGGGATTCTTCCCACCCAGTTAACCCTGCAAGTCAAAGTCCTAATGAGCATGGTGGTACTGGTTGGACAAGCAACATGAAGAATGCCAAACAATCCTCCCATTGGCAAATTATGTGATTTTAGTTGGTTAAATTCCAGAAGTACCTTATGTACACTTTTGTATCCCTTAGCCTTAGCTCAGGATACATACTCGGGAGAGTATGCACTTCCAAATGCAGGGAAATTTCCATGCCGATAATGCCTATAGTGATAATTATATGTACTTTTGTTTGATATGTGGAACTCTGTCTGGTATGGATATTCCTGACGATGGATTTCTGCAGGTGTCAGACACACCTGACCAAATAAAATGGTGCAGTCTGTGAAGTTCAAATTAGAGTTTCCAAGTTGGCAGTAATCTGTTGCCAATGACATTGTCTGAAGGTTTGAAATAATATTATTCTTTCAATATTTTCAGCTTATGCTCGACACCTGGAATGAGTCCATCTTCTCAAATATTAAGAATCGTCTGCAAGATAGTGCAATGAAGCTAGTTCACGCCGAAAGACTAGGAGAAGCCTTTGACTCACAGCTAGTAATTGGAGTCCGAGAATCGTACGGTAAGACTATTATTGTACATAAGGTACTCTACCTTTGTTGAAGTTATCGTTGCAAAAACAATTTATGACCTGATTGAACTAATCTTAACTATCATCATAATAAAATTATTATTATCATATAGAAGCCGTGAAAAGCGCTATATCAAATGCAAGGATTATTATTATTACATATAGAATCATGAACGTGGTTACCGAGAGCTAAGTAATAATTTACATATGCTTTTGTTTCATACCACTTGTAATGTCATGAGATAATCTTTTGCTGAGACTAAGCATAAAAATGATGCACTTATGATCATTTTCTAATTATAGAACCATTTCTGTTCGAAAACTTGTTTGAAGAAAATACTCTAAACTTATATCACATAATGATAGAGATACGAAAAACTGGACATTCAGAACAAGTTGCTCAGCATCTGAAGGCAAGGTAGGTCAGTGGCTGAAAGGTTTTCAGCTGCTGATCAACGTGCTGCTGCCTCAAACTAATAATCATAATATTTGCATTTGATATAGAGCCATTCAATTAGGAGATGTTTCAAACTGCTTATCAGGATTAACTGTAAGTGACTAGATTTTGCAGACAAATGCAAGAGCCAATTTGCGCAATACCTCACAAACAAACATGTTACAAACTACACTGGAACGATAACTATTTGTTGTATGTTATTGGTTATCTTTTTGTTTATTATGATGAAGGATGGTATTACTGTTAAATGCAGGATTTTCCATTTTTAAATTGCCAGAGTCAGTATAGTGGATTTTAGCTCAGTTACAGTACATCCAATCTGCAACAGCAACTTGCATTTATATAGGGCCCCCTCCTGTACGGTAGCGTCTTGGAGCACTGAATGATGCATCTCCAAACCCCCCTCTCTTCTAAATTGCTGAGAAAAAGAAATGCACAAAAGTTCATTAAATAGGTTTTTGTGCAGCTTTCTTTAAGTGGCTGTAAATTTGTGTGGCATTATGACTCGTTTTTAACTATGGACCAGTGTACATTATGACCTATCTAATCAATTTGCAAGGGTGTTTATTCCATTATTCCAGACTTGTTCGAGTAAGCAATCAACTTAAGCTTTTTAGAAAAAATTAAACTGCAATATTTTATCTTTTTGAAAAACAAATGTGTTTTCACAGATGATGCAACCACATTTGTCTCATCTAGTTTGTAGATACTATATTCTGCTTAACGGGGATAAATAATAGTAATAGATTGCTCACAATCCAGGCAAGAAAGGTGTATTCTCTACGTTATCCAGTCTCTTGTAAGGTAGGTATTAAAACATGGAGGAGCACTTTGTTTTCTAAGTTTGTATACATGAAATAAATATTTTATACACAATTACAGCAGGCTGTTTATAAAGCCTGACATAATAGACACAATTTAACTGCATAAATTAACTTTACGCAAGACTTATTATTTTCTTAAAGTCAGAATTTCTGTAGTATTTATCTTAACCTTTGTAGAGTTCTCTTATCACGTTTACGAAAACACAAACGGAATCTCTCAGCTACAGTTGATGGGAAATCCAAGCGTGTTTGAACCATAGCAAAACTACAAACATTGAGATTACCACTAGTTTAAAAGGCTGAAGGTAGATTATTGATGCATTCCGTGAAGTGTTTTAACGTGAACTCAAAATAAGTTTATAGTAAAGCTAGCATAAGAACAAGGCTTTGTAAATTACTGGGATTTTAGTCACTGAATACAATTTCACAATAAATTAGACTGAATATCTCAATCCTAAATACAAAGCAATCTCATCAGTCTATGTATTTTTGTTCCTTTTAATTACAGTTAATCTGTGTTCCAATCCAGAGGACAAGCTTCAGATTTATCGTGATAATTTTGAAAAGGCTTATTTGGATTCAACTGAGAGGTTCTATAGGACACAAGCACCATCTTACTTGCAGCAAAATGGTGTACAAAATTACATGAAATATGTAAGTTGTATATTTCACAAAGTAATAATAGTCTTTGAGAAAATGCTTGAAAACAATGTTGCAATGCTTTAGTTTTAATATAATGTGATTATTATATAAAATCTTGTACTCTCCTGAAAATTGAATTGCAATTATATGGGTAGAAATTCCACCTGGGTCCAGATTTAGTCTATTAATAGAGCATTTCAGAGCATCCAGAATTGGTCAAATTCTTAAATGCAGTCTTCAATTTTGAAAGTGGTTTTCTGTAATTTAGAACAGTAGAAATTTACAGCACAGAAGAAAGCCTTTCAGCCTATTATATCTGTGCTGGCTCTTTTGAGCAATCCTTTCAGTCCCATTTACATGCCCTTTATGCATGCCCCTGTTTACCTTATACTTGATTTAAATACAGAAAATGGGTTTCAAAGTTAAAATTGATATGCTACATAAATGAGTAAGTCTGGTCCCAGGTGGAACAGTATGATGATTTTCATCCCCAAATGCCTTATTTTTGCACAAGAATTAATGTGTTAAAGTAGTTTATGGTCCATCATTTGTATCAACTGTAAAGGATATTTGTGAATTGTATTAAATGCAAGTGGATCCCTCCCAACAGGCAGATGCTAAATTAAAAGAGGAAGAGAAGAGGGCGCTTCGATATTTAGAAACCAGGCGAGAATGTAACTCTGTTCAGGCTGTAAGTATATCTTTGAAAAAGTTTGACTTTTGTTCATTGATTTGCTTGCCCTTCCAATATCTTCTCTTAGACTTCTTGGGATTTTTCTGGGTGAGAGAGAATGCAATCTCCTCACAGACTTCTGCCATTGTTCAATATCCAGCAACTATAAGGAGGGTGTAAAGTAATGCACTCAAAGTACTAGGTTTGGTGTAGCATTTTCAATTGATATAACCAAAAATGGGATTGTTGTGTGCACATTAGAAGTGTGAATCCATGCTCAAGCAAATATTGGTAAAGGGAATAAGGGATATGGGAATAGGGCGGATAAATGGAATTAGGTTAGAAGATCAGCCATGATCTTATTAAATGGCGGGGGCAGGCTCGAGGGGCCGAATGGCCTACTCCTGCTCCTATTTCTTATATGTTCTTATATATTCAAGTTTAGGAAGTTTATTTTATCATAGAATATAGTTACTTGTAACTGCTTCATTTAAACTTAGGTTTTAAAAACAAAATTTCTGAACATATAGGATTGCAAAGGACCATGGTAGATTGCAAAGTTCAAACGATACCGTGCGATAACCACATCATTGACCTACCAATCCTGTCTTAAGTTAAACACTTTACTGCACCACTCCAGTTACTGGGTTTCTCATTGGGAATTGTAGTCTTTGCATTAGCACAGAGAGAGATTAGACAATATCCTTTCCCAGGACTCTTACTTTCATACACCCAACATGAGACCAATGAATATCAGTTCTTTATTTTGTCATTTTTTTCATCCACAAGTAGGCAGTTTTGCACTGTTTCCGAGATGGATAATTTTGGTTAAACTCCCCCCCGGACTGCAGTGAATAATTTATTATAAAGGAAGTTTAATTTGGTAATTCTTACTTTGATCGCTTGTAGATTTTTAACGTTTTAAGCAATAACATTTCACTGGCAAGAGAATCCTTTATGACTACTTGATGAATAGATGACTACTTTATGGCAATTGTTAATAGTCCCTGTGTTTAATATAGTACCTTATCGTTGCTAAAATGTCTGAAAGTGCTTTGCAGTATTTACTGCAAAATGGCTGTGTATTTTGCCCCAGTTACTCCCCTGTCTCAAAAAAACACACCAGCCCACTTCGCTCGATCCAACCCATCATCCTGGAGTCTCTCCAGCTTAGGATCTGTTTGACTGTGCTGTCAGTCACCTTTACACACGCACCCCCACCCCCCGCAGCTCAGCTCTATTATCTGTGTGAACCGCTTTGAGGCGTCCTCCCAATGTAAATTTGAATTGCAATGGAGTTATGTTAAAGGAGGAATGCAGTATCACAATACAAAATTACATTGTATAGCACCTTTCAGGTCGGGAGGATGTCCCAAGGCACTGAGATTTGGACCCAAACTGAGGATCGGGAAGGGTGGCCAAAGGTTTGGTCGAAGGGGAGGATTTTGAGACATGCCTTGAGCAACAACAAAATTACATTTATAGAGCGCCTTTCACTTCGGGAGGACATCTCAAAGCGCTGAACAGTCAGGTGTCGGGGCCCGAGCATGGGGGAGGGGTGGTGCAGGGGTGAGGGAAGGCAAAGAGGTGGGAGGGCGACCAAAGGCACAATCGAAGAGAAGGGTCTTGAGACTGGCCTTGAAGGAGGCAAGGGAGGAAGCGAGGTGAAGGGACCGTGGGATGGAGTTCCAAAAGGTGGAGGCAGAAAGGTGAAGGTGGGACGGGCGAGTGGGGGATGTGGAGCAGACCATAGCCTGCTAAGTGGAGGGAGCGGACAGGTTGATATGGGGTCAGCAGGTTGCAGAGGTAGAGAGGAGCAAAGCCGTGTGCAGGGCCTTGAGGATAAGGATTTTGAATCCTATCCTCCGGGGGAACGAGAGCCAATGGAGCCGGGTAAGGGTGGTAGTGATGGGGTCACGGAGCCTGTTGCAGGAGAGAACATGAGCTGCAGAGTTCTGGATGATCAGCAGTTTGTGAAGGGAAGAGTTCGGAAGGCCGACAAGCAGGAAATTGGCGTAGTTGAGCCTAGATGTGATGAATACATGGATGATGGTTTTGGCGACATGAGGGATGAGGTAGTAGTGGAGCTGGGCAATCCTGCGGAGGTGGGGGAAGGCAGAGTAGGTCATGGCATGGATGTGGGGTAGAAAGGACAGTTGAAGGTCAAACAAGACCCCAAGTTTCTGGACTGGCTCGGTGAGATGGAATGTGCATCCCTGGAAGGTGATGCTGTCGATGCCTAAGGTATGGAGGCGGGAGACAAGGTGGGGGAGGGTCGGGCGGGGGGCGCGGTAAATAATGAGAATTTTGAGAGAAAGGTTGGAGGGATGATAAAAGGTAAGGTACTCAAAGGAGGGAAAGTTCCGGAGGAGTAAGGGGATAGGCCGAGTGGGGATCGGGAGATGAGAGCCACACCACCACCGTGGCGGTTAGGTTGTGGGGTATGATGGAAGTTATAGCCGGGTGGTGTGGCCTCGGTCAGGGGAAGGTGTTACTTGGAGTGATCCAGGTTTTGGTGATGGCGAGGATGTCGATGTTCTACTTGACAATGAGGTCTTGGATGATGAGCGTTTTGCTGGAGAGGGAGCAGACATATTGTAGGCCGATACGGAGAGAACAGCTGGTGGTGGAGGAATGGGAGAGACCGGGGTGGGGGGGAGTGGGAGGATTGACAGGGAGGGTGGGGATGTGGATAAGGTAGAAGAGGTTGGCCCCGGGGTCAGAGATCAATGGGTTTGCAGCGGAGGTGGAGGATGAGGCCGTGAGGGTGGCTGCTGTTGGACCGCCAGCGGCGTCTACTCTGGTGGGTGCGTCTGAGGATTCGCAGGCTGGAGCAGAGGGAGGCTGTGGGACGGTCAAGCAGTAATAGGAGGCGGGGAGGGCGGTGGGAGAGTAGGATTGAGCAGGAGTAATGGAGGGTAGAGAACGGGTGGGAGCAGCTCGGGTCGATGGCAGCAACAAAAATGTGCATGCCGAGACTAAGATGGGGGTGGGGGAGCAGTGTGGCATGGTGAGCCCGCTGGAGCAGTAGTCCTAGTGACTCCAGGCTCAAATGTTGCAGGTGGAAGTCACGTCACGCGGCAGGTGACTGGTGATTGGTTGGTTCGGCCGGAGAGTCTAAAATGGCCGTATTGGTACCTGGACCAGCCAAGGCCACGGATCCCACGCTGGCTCCGCCCACCACCAGTAGCCTCGGTCCCCTCAGTAGATCTGGTTGCCGCTGGGGGCATCGGACCCCACACCGGTGTTGTCCTTGAGCCCTGTTCCAGGCACCAGTCACCGGTGTAGACTTTGGGCCCCATTCCAGGGAGCGCTTCGTCTGTAGACTTTGAGCCTTATTCCAGACTCGCCATTCGCAGGAGGCCATGAGCCCAAAAGCTCCAGGCTCCCCGCACCGCTCCAGTCACACTCCGTTGTTCCCACTTGTCTGGATTCCAAAAACAGTTGTTTTCCCCCTGTTTTGGCAATCCTGATTGGCCGGATCCTCATGGTGCCAGCCGTGGTTTTTGAGGTTTTTTTTGCGTGGTAATGTTCAAAATTCCTAAGTGTTGTATAAGTAGTATCATTTAGTCTTGACTAATAAAGTACACAAACGCTGGTAAGATCTCTGCTCACTACAGGTCTTTCCATTTCAGCTAATGGAATGCTGTGTGAATGCTCTGGTGACGTCGTTTAAGGAAACCATTCTTGCTGAATGCCCAGGCATGATCAAACGAAATGAGACAGATAGTGAGTAAAATTATATCCCTCTGTATTCCTACAAATTTAAGTCTCTTTCAACTTAAAACTTGAACACTTGCTCTGTTGGATTTATTTTACAGATTCACTTTTTCACTTGGCTTTGTATATTTCCTGATTATACTTACTGTATTACCCCACTTAAACAAATGGACAAATTGGCTAGACTGTGGTCTGGTAAAGTTATTGTTGTCAGACGTTGTGATGGGAGGTACATGATGCGTAATACTAGTTCCATGCAGGTTTGTTTTAACCGGTTGAATTTTCTCTCCTGAAGAAACTGACATACACTGGAGTATCATCCACAGGGGTCAATTGTATACTGATATCTTACCCGAGTGGGGATTGTTATGTGAGTGTAGATAGTCAGAGTGAGCATGATCAGGAGGCTTTACATGTGAGTCCAATCTTGTCTATATTTCCATACTTACATTTGTACATCCACATATGTGAATATACACCCCCTTGTACGCATACAAATGCGTGTACACATAGACTCGGACGTGCACTCTTTTATACACATACAAGTCCATTCTTCACTCAGAGGGTAGTGAATTTATGGAATTCTCTACCCCAGAAGGCTGTAGATGCTCAGTCCTTGGACATATTCAAGACTGAGATTGATAGGTTCCTAAAGGATAGAGGGATTAAGGGATATGGGGATAAGGCGGGCAGATGGAGTTAGGTTAGATCAGCCATGATCTTATTGAATGTCGGGGCAGGCTCGAGGGACCAAATGGCCTACTCCTGCTCCTAATTCCTATGTTCCTTTGTTCCTATTAAGGAATCTTTGAGGAAGGTCAGATGATAGCTCAGCACATGGCTCTTATCTGTAGTGGTAATGTAAGTTAAAGAATTAAAGAATCAATTCATAAATATTTGAATTATGCTGCGTAGTTGGTTGGTTGATTTATTAGGAATTTGGAATTTGTCAAATTTCAAAAAAAATTGAAATACGTTTGGACCAAAAATAACTGGTTGTGTTTATGTAAAATAAATTATGCCAAATGTTTTATGAGCTTCAGTCGCTAAATTAATTAAAAGATTGAGCCAGTGTCAGACATAGACATTACTCATTAGGTTTTCTTGATGTAAAACCATTTTATTTGCTGTTTTAATTGATGTTTTGAGATTTGTTAATATTCAGAGCAGACATAAATGGTTTAGAATTTGCTTTCGTATTTACTGATCAAGATTTAATACAAAGCATTGGTCCTTAGATTTTCGGTCTTTGTGTAAGGGTTGCAATTGCTGAATTGATCGATATTCTATGATTTGCTGACCCTTTGGGACGATATATGAGCTGGAATACTTTTGTCTTACTTATCAATCTAGATTTAACAGTTGACAAAAAATATCAATCATAAAGTGCTTGTGATTTCCTACCTGTGTGAATTTTTAAACTGTCTGTCACCTTGTAATAGCTTTAATGTTTTTTATTAACTTGTGCAGAATTACACTTGATGTTTACACTGATGGATAAAGTTCCTAATGGGATTGAACCAATGTTAAAAGATTTGGAAGAGCACATCATCAGTGCTGGTTTAGCAGATATGGTAGCAGCTGCAGAAACTATAACTACTGTAAGTAAATAAATGTAGAACTTTAAATTTTGGTTGAAAATTAGTTGTGCAAAGAGAAAGCACATTCTTATTCATTCAGCAAGAATGTTGAAGGTGTTACGAAAAGTTGCTCACTCATTTTGACTTGCCAATTTTTTAAAAAAATTATTGTTTAGCTTGATTTTATTTCCGGATATTTTTCTGATTTTCATTGAGGTTTTTGACTCCCTAAACAACCAACTTCAGGGGCATAAGGTCACCACAGATGTCACTTTCTGTGCAGTGTGCATATGCTCAACGCACAGCAGTGCCTATAACGTTACTTCCTGCCCTTCCTGATGATAGCAACACTGCCGGTGTGTAATGTGCATGCACAGCATGCAGGAAGTGACCTCAATGCGATCTGTGACCCAGAAGTTAGACATTTTGCTTGTTCAAAACATGAAACGTAGAAATCTACAGCGCAGAAGGAGGCTATTCGGGTCATCAAGTCTGCACTGGCTCACAGAGTAAGGAGATCAATTCAGTCCTAATGCCCCGCCTTATCCCGATATCCTTTCAAGCACATCTCTTTCACAGGCCTGTTTACTTCCTTCTGGAAAGTAACAGTAGACTCCGCCTCCCTCATCCGAGATAGCGTTCCATCCCAAAAACTCTGGGTGAAAAAAATCCTTCTAGGGTTCTCCTTTTGCAGTTCTCGTAGCTATCTTAATATGTCCCCTAGTGATTAACTCCCCTATCAATGGAAATAAGTTCTCCCTATTTATCCTAATAAAACACCTCATAATTTTGGCCAGTGCTAACAGGTCACCCCTGAACACAACAACTAGCATTGATATAGCACCTTCCAGTTGTGGCCTAACCAATGATTTGCATAAATTTAGCTTTAATGTCTTTTTACTTTTGTACTCTGTCTCCCTAAGTATCAACAATGCTTCAACAATCTGTTGAAAAATTAATTTTCGTTGTTTTGGAGAAATTAGAAAAACTGTCAAATTTTGATTTTGACTGATTAATGCTGGAAACTGACAAGCCTAATTGTATTAGTGCAGAGTTTTGAGTTTTTTGGTAGGGGAAGTGCAGAGGCAAGATGAGATGCAGTTAATGCAGCTTATGTGAGTGTTCCAAATAAGTTATCCAGTCTTTCTCCTTCCCTGTTATATTAAGATTTATCAGCCAGGAATGATTTGGCACAGAGAGAGCTTTTCAGTGGAGAGAATAAAAAAAAGACCCACTTCACTTCTAAATGATCTCACCAGTGAAGCTGGTGTAAAAAGTATCCATAACTCATATGTAGGCTTGTTGCTCTTTAAGTGAGCATAAATTTAGATCTTGGCAGCCTTTGCAAACCATTCATGTACGCATACTATCTTTGATTTTCAAACCTTGTGAAATATTAGTTGTGTCAGCCATGAAATTAGTTCCCACGCCAGCATTTTAGCAACTTTCATAGTTATTTTTCTCTTCCTTCAAAGTCTTTCAAGTGATATACCTGAATTCTAGTTGAAACATCGAGTGGGTGCCTACGTATAGCTCCATGGTCTCTGCCAGTTCTGCCTTGTAATGAATGGGTAGGCTCTCTAGAGGGTAGTGAAATATAACTTAAGGTGGAACCTGCAAAAAAATGGTGTCTACTTGCTGCAATTGGCAATCCTACTGATCCTGTCAAGTTCAGCAATGTAAGTTGGGGAGGGGAGAACATTTGATTCTGATTAGATGTCAGCTAATGCTTGACTCGTCGAGTCACAGCACTAATATATTATTATGGGCTATTTTGGATGATAAACTGCATGTTTTTTTGTTATAGGATTCTGAAAAATATGTAGAGCAATTGCTTACATTATTTAATCGATTTAGTAAGCTGGTCAAAGAAGCATTTCAGGATGACCCTCGCTTTCTTACTGCTAGAGACAAAGTAAGTTAAAAGTAACTGTATTTACTTTTGATTTTCTGAATGTTATAATGCAGTTACTGGCTTGCAAACAAATCTCTGATCTTATATAACAGGTAATTTATCCTTCTTTAGATGTGCCTAATATAGAAACAGATCTGTATGTCTTTTAAAAGCTGTCTATTAGCTTATCAAATAATAATAATAATCATTGCATTTTATATTGCGGCTCATCAAGTTGTTGAGATGTCTCAAAGCGCTTCACAGAATATATTGTAAAGTGGATTAACTGTACTTTGTTGGCAAATTATTTACCTAGATTACATTTATTCCAACTTGCATTATCAAAAAGAAAAGTTAACTTGCCAACATTACTTAGTGTGTGTTTTGATGGGAAAAATTGTCTTCCAAAACAGGCATATAAGGCAGTTGTGAATGATGCTACCATATTTAAACTTGAACTGCCATTGAAGCAAAAAGGGTAAGATCTTTATTTCTGGGGTGATAACATAATTATTTGTATGCATAATTAATGATGGTTAATGGTATTTCTTCATGTTGTGATAATGTGGAATAAACTGCCCCCGATGGTATTGAGGCAGAATTAATTAAAAGACCGAGAAATACTTGGAAAGTAAGGGCATAAAGGGAATTGGAGAAACGGTGTGGAAATAAGATTAAAAGATCTGCAGTGATCGAATAAACTAGTGGAACATGCTCAGTTGCCTGAAAGGCCTACTACTCCTGTTTCTATATTCCCTTCAGTGTCTGGTAGAAATGATTATCTTCTCAGAGTAAAAATTATTATATGAATCATCCTGAGCCATTGTATAATAATAATCTTTGCATTTGATAATCCTTTTGTCTAACACCTAATGATTGTCTTAATCAGGGTATTATCAAAGTACTGGGGAATGGTATTTAATTGGGGAGGAGGGGAGAGAGAAGGAATCACTTATTAGTAATTCTATTAAGGATGTTAAGATACTATCAAAGCATGCCCAATGCGGTTTGTGACATTGCTTTATCAAATCATACTACATTCGTTTGATGCGAGTAAAGTGGTATTTTTCAAACGACCATTGTATTTTGGATTCCACGTTTTCCGTTCTAGAGTGGGGTTGAAAACTCAGCCTGAATCAAAGTGCCCAGAACTACTAGCAAATTACTGTGACATGTTGCTAAGAAAAACACCACTTAGTAAGAAACTTGCTTCGGAAGAAATTGAAGCAAAGTTAAAGGAAGTGGTATGTATATACTTGTGAATACTATATATGATGGAATGTAAACTTATCCCTGAGTTGTATGGCGGTGCCTCTGGGTTACTTTTGTCTGACTGCCTCAGCTTTTCACACAATTAAAATTTTCTAAAATGTTGAGGATTTTTTATAGTATAGTGCATGACTTCAGTATGGAAATCATATTGCACTATTTCAGCTATTAAATCTCTAATTTGACTGCACTTCTCTACACATAAGGAGCAATAAGGGAACAATAAACTACAGTAAAGGAACAATAAACATGGTCTTTTTCAATGTTTTTATTCATCAGTGGATTAATTATTAATCAACCCAATACCATCTGATATCAGAATCTGATATGCATTGTGATGTGCACTGGAACTTCTCTGTGACTACAACAACTTGCATTTATATAGTGCCCTTCAGGTAGTATAAAGTCTTGGAGTGATTCATTAAGTGAGTCTATCCACTAATCACATCTGACCTCATCTATTGGTAGTCTCATGCAGAAAGTAGGAGTTGGTCTGTGCAGCCACATTAAGTGGACTTATCATACAGGGTATCTGGTTTATTTCTATACTCTGAAGTCACACTGCATGATGCAGAAAATCCAAGCTTTAGAGAAAACTGCATGCAGAGTATCTAAGAACCTTTATCATGCACATAAATCATCAAAATCAAGATTCCCTTCTTACCACAAATTGAACATTTTGTTTAGCTGGTGGTTGACAGCCTGGTGGCTCAAAAGTATCAAAACACCAATTCTCAAAAGCACCGAGTGGGTATTAACTCAGGTTAAATTGCCATTTGGTTCTGATCTGAGACATGCCAAGTGTGGAATACCCTGACGAGAAGGTGAGGCAAAGTGAAGAGGAGCTGCCAGGTAGTTGGCAGTGATCAGGGACCTCCTCTCAAGCACGTAGAGGCCTGGGCAGGATAAAGGAGGCAGTAAGATAAAAATAAGTTTACACAATTGTTTTGGACATGTTGGCCTTTGTTTATAGCTGACTTGAGATTTGATATTCATCAAACAAAATAGCTGCTTAATTTTTTATTGATCTTTGCTTTTTAACAGCTACTTGTACTTAAGTATGTGCAGAACAAAGATGTCTTTATGAGATACCATAAAGCTCACTTAACAAGACGTTTGATCCTGGATATATCAGCAGACAGTGAGATTGAAGAAAATATGGTGGAGTGGCTCAGAGTGAGTAAATATGAACATTTATTTATCTTCTCTCTCAAGCCCAAGGCCCAGAAATATGTCCCCGAAGAATCCTTTTTATCCAGTTACTATTTTAGACAGGAAGGTGATCTGAACATCTTGTGTAGGAACATGGCAGATCATAGGTAGCCATTATGTTTGGGTTAAGTTTGTTTCCCAACTTATTCCAAATTTATGAACCAATTTTCAATGACCTTTTTGTAAGAATATTCTTTGCAGTGTGAAGTTTAGTAGCGAGTTGAGCTCAAGCAGCTTATTTTATTTTGGACTTGATTTAAATCACCAGTGTTTCAAGAGTTGGTACAGTTATTTCCTTTGGTGTCAACGTGATGTTTAGAAATCGTGCACATCTAGTCTGTTGCTCATATTTACCAGTATTTAGTTTCTACAAGACTCGATTTTTCTAATATTTAGTTTGCATATGTGTACAGGAAGTAGGCATGCCTGCTGACTACGTAAACAAACTGGCCAGAATGTTTCAGGATATTAAAGTTTCTGAAGACCTGAACCAGGCTTTCAAAGAAATGCACAAAAACAATAAGTTGGCCTTGCCAGGTATGTATTTGCTTTGAGTTTTGGAAGAGCAAGCTCTGAATATGTTCAATGTATAAAAATAAGCATGAAATTGTGCTGCTTTGTTCAAACATTACTTCACTCCTGTGTCTTAAAGACATTAATATAATAACTTCAAAAAAAGGGTCATGGTTTCAAAATAAGGACAACAAAAGTGAATAGCGTACCATGCAGCAAAATGTTTTCAGTAACAGGGTGAAGCGCTGTGCTGTGGAAGGCTCATTGTACTATAATAGTTGGATCAATAATGGGGAGCAAACGCCAGTCAGCTCTTCTGCATTTACTGCTCATGTGCAGAGAGTTAACAGACTGGCCAAGTTGGGGAAGCCAAAATAGCTTATTTCGAGGTCATCATGGTCTAGGATTGTTGGGAGTGAGATGTTAAACTGAAGCCGTGTATGACCTGCTCAGGTAGACTTTAAAAGATCCCGCAGATGGGACCTCGGTTTATTGTCTCATTCGTAGGATGGCGCCTCTGACAATACGATACACCCCCAGCACTGCATTGGAGTGTCATCTTAGACTATGTGATTCCAAGTTCTGATGAATGGCTTGAATACACAACCTTCTTACTCAGAAAAGAGAGTGATATAACTGAGTCAGGCTACATCTTGCAACACAAAGGCCCTATCCTGTGACTGGTGCTGATGTTCAGTGGAGGTTGGGTGTGCATGCTCGGTTAATAATAATAATAATAATCCTTGGATTTGATATAGTGTTTTTCATGTCTTCTAGAGGTCTCAAAGTGCTTCACAGAATATGCTGTAAAGTGAATTGACCGTATATTTGTGGGCGAAACGCGGCAGCCAATTGCGCACAGCAGTGTCCCACAAACAGTCGTGGATTGAAAATGACCAATTTTTTTTTGTTGTTTTAGAGGGATTATTAGACATGTGGAGTAAGAAAACTTGCCCAAGGTTTCGCACTGCCTGGAATTGAACCCGGGTGTCTCCCTTGCAAGGCGAGTGCTCTAACCATTGAGCTACAGGACTCCACATTGATCGGTTGCATCATAGCGGCCTCTGGTCTGTTGGAGGGCTGTATCCTAGCTCCCATCCCTTCTCGCCGCCCTATAAATACACAGGTGCTACTATTCACGCGCAGGAAGTAACATCCTGTCATGTATAAGCTCTCCAATAGATGAGCGGTCTCTGACATGCATCACAGCATGCTCACCCAACCTCCAATGAGTCCCCTCACCAGTCTGAGCCCCCGCACCAGTCTGAGCCCCCACAACTAGTCAGAGTGTTTCTTTGTGGCCCAGGAGGACCTCTACCTAACTTGCCACTCCAGATAACTCTCATTGAACACTTTTCCTTTGCAGTGACAAGTTATCAGGTATTGACCATATTTGGAAAGAGAAGGGTATTTGTCCTGGTGTCTTGTTCAACAATCCCCTCGATAAACTAGATCAATCACTCCATGGCTGTTTGTCGGTCATTTCTGTGCACCAATTGGCTTCCACATTCACATATAAGTACACAGTTAACACAGCTCATGCGCAGGAAGCAACATCGGTGGTGACCTGACAGCCCGTGCCTGCCGGTGTTTTGTCTTTCTGTGAGCAGGCAATGAAGCTGCAATGGATTGGGCCTCTCAGCCCCGAGGCTCTGGAACTCCATCCCCCAGTGCCTTCGCCTTGCTTCCTCCCTTTTCTCCTTCAAGGCCGGTCTCAAGACCTTTCTCTTTGACCGTGCCTTCAGCTCCACTTCTGACTCTCTACCCCCTCCTCGCTCCCTCCCTTCCCCTGACCATTTCCCCCTGCTCGGGTCCTGACCCAACTGTCCAGCGCATTGGGACGTCCTCCCGACGTGAAAGGCGCTCTATAAATGAAATCTTGTTGTTCTTGTTGTATCCATTTTAGATAATTTGGGTATGTTAATGACAGGGTTCAAACCCCAACTGCATTCTAATGAAGCACTTTATAAAACACTTTATATCCACTGTTAAGGTACAGAGAACAATCTATAGGGCAAACCATTAGAACACACACAGGTCGCTACAGCCCATTGTCGTGTGATGTGTTGACCCGATCTATACTGGAATTGCAGTGTACCCGGATTCTGGTACTAAATTGGTTTGCCTTCTGGTTCGATTGGTTGCAGCTGTCACTTCCTGCACATTGTGTACTATGAGCAAGAGTGGGGCTGATGTTGCTTCTTGCTTGCTGTGGAGCAGGAAGTATCACTAACCGCATCTCATGAAGAAAGCAACATCAGCAGTGCTTGCACACAGCAAGCGACGTCAGCTGAAGTCTGCATTTTTCTCACTTAATTTTAATCTAGGAGTTTATGGACCCAGACCACTGTGTTATAACTGGAATTTCGCCCACAAAATATACAGTCAATTCACTTTACAGTATATGCTGTGAAGCGCTTTGAGATTCTCAAAAACATAATAAGGTGCTATATCAAATATAAGAATTATTGTATATTATTCTCTATATAAAGTTGTTTTAAAAAAAACTGTATTTCTTCCTGGAAATTAAAATAATTCAGTGTTATTAGATCTTAGATGCGTTGAAGAATCTTTTGGCAATTGAAAGGGTTAATTTTGATGCACCAGGGATTTACTCTTTCCTGAAATTATTACTACAGTACCAGAAAATATAAGCCTTACTGCAATTTGTTTCCCCTCAAATGTTGTCTTATCTATTTGGTTAACTGTTTGAATACTTAATTGTTTAGCGGACTCTGTGAATATCAAGATTTTAAATGCTGGTGCCTGGTCACGGAGCTCAGAAAAGGTATTTGTTTCTCTGCCAACTGAGCTGGAAGATCTTATCCCTGAGGTGGAGGAATTCTACAAAAAGAATCACAGTGGTAGAAAGCTGCATTGGCATCACCTCATGTCTAATGGAATTGTGAGTTATTATTATCATCGGTCTTCATGTTTAATTGTGATGTGATAGTGCTGATTTCAAAGTCCCAACGCAAGTTAAAATTATGGCATATATGATGTGCATCAAAATTGGTCTCTTTAATGATTCCGAGCTCCTTGGCATGGAACAGTAGAGTTTCCCTTAGTCCCTTTACAAGATCCAGAACTAAGCTGTGAGGTGGATTTGTGGCCTACGCTGACCTGTTGCCCATTACTGTACAGTCAGCTTCACATGCCTCTTGGCCACGACCCTTCACATAAGAACCTGGGCCTGAGCAAACTAGATATTGCACTTGGACCTCTAAAACCTGCATAGATCCTTCTACCATGTTGATCAACAACAACAAAATTACATTTGTAAATCAAGTAGCTGATGAGAAACCTCTGAGGTTTAGTACGACACCTGCTGGAAGGCATCACCTGGGTTCGTGAACAAATTTTCATACATGCAGGGCTTGATCTCTATTTTGATAGATATGAGAAGATAAGCAGCTCCTGTTACATCTCCAACTGTAACCAGAACCATCGGTCAATGGTGAGACATATGTGTCCAGGTTGCAGTTAGGATGTTGGCAGTGTTCTCATACTATTTAACCTGAGTTGTGCTGCTCACTATGTGATTCGCAAGGAATTCCTCCAGTATACACCTTGAGGGTTTAAACTTGTATTTGTCAGATGTCTAAAGATGGGATGGAAAGCTCTGCCAGAAAGGTGGTCAACGCAGATAAATATCTCAAATAAGAGTAATTTATTTGATATGAGGAAAAAGTACTGAATATATTACTGTTTCAAAGAGTCAGCACAGACATAATGGGCCACATGGCTGCCTTCTGTGCTGCAGATTTATGTGGTAAATCGTGGAAATGGAAGATTAGAATCTGCATGTACTCCATACCAGACAAACTGACACCACACACCCTTACAGCTCTCAGTAGTTCATCTTAGAGACTCTTATGCATGGTGATGGGTTTTTATTTACTGTTCTTATTTACCTGTCTTCCCCTCAAAAAAGCACAAACAGAATGTTCTATTGAATTATCAGAATGTACTGTAACTTTATTGTTCCTAAGAAAATCAGAGTTGCAGTGTTCATTGTGTAGCAGTGCTCTGTGGGCTGATTGTAAATGGGAAAAGAGCTGGCACACACAGTTATCCTCTTGTCAAGAAAGCTAGTAAGGTTGATTTTGTTTCTAAACAGATAACTTTTAAAAATGAGGTTGGCCAGTATGACTTGGAGGTGACCACCTTTCAGTTGGCTGTGCTGTTTGCCTGGAACCAAAGACCACGGGAGAAGATTAGTTTTGAAAATCTAAAGTTAGCAACTGAGCTTCCAGATGCAGAACTTAGGCGGACATTATGGGTGAGTTACTTTTCTGAGTCTAATTTTTATGTTGTCTATAGTTGTCTCCAAGTCGAACCACTACTTCATTTCTCTTAACTCCTCCATCCCTCTCCCTGCCACCCGACCTACCTCCATCTCCTACTGCCGCTGGAAAAAAATCTCCTCTCACTCCCTCTCCGGTGCCCTGGAGTCATCTGAACTCCTTCCCCTCTGGGCTTCCTCTCACAATGATTTATCCTCTCCTGTCACTCTCCTCCACAACTCCCTCTCCGCCACTCTCAATGCCCTTGCGCCCCTCACATCTCAAACTGCTTCCTGTTCACACAAGTGAACAGGAGGCAGCCATCATCACCCTTATCTTCAAAAAACCTTCCCTGGATCCATCCCTGCTCTCAAATTACCGCCCCATCTCCAAACTCCCTTTCTAAGGCCCTTGAATGAGTCATTGCTTCCCAGTTTCACTCCTTCCTCTCCCACCACTCCCTATACGAACCCCTCCAACCCATGTTTCCGGGTTGCCCAAAATCTTCATTTAATGAAGGTGAAAGGTTAGGAGATGAATGTCAAAAGATTTGTTAAGTTGAATACAATTCCAGAGTTAATATAATCTTTAAGTACGCTTTGCAATAAAATTCTGTGAAGCACTTTCAGACAACATGATAAGGCATTATATCAAATATATTTTTTCAAATACTTCAGTATGAGTGTTACGAATTTGAATTGCAGTTACTCAAACTCATTTGTGTCTCAGTGAAGTACTGACCAAAACCTTTAGGCCAGAAATAATTTCTGTCAAATGAAACACTACAATGGGACAGTGAATCACACTGATTTTATTTTATCTCAACAGTCTCTTGTAGCTTTTCCAAAACTGAAACGTCAGGTTTTACTCTATGAACCTCAGGTCAACTCACCCAAAGACTTCACTGAAGGCACTCTTTTCTCAGTGAACCAGGATTTTTCTTTAATGTAAGTATCGAGGATATTTTCCAAATATTTTTTACGTTAGAGGTATGAATTAACCCTTGACAGGATTAATCTATTTATGCTTGATAGTCCACAAAACGATTCTCCTGAGTGTATTGATACTGATTTTCTTTTGTTCTGGCATTTGTTTTCGAACAGGGAAGCGAAGTCTGTCAGGAGTGCATTTTGTTCAAATCATTATCACTTAAAAATAGACTCCCCAAACCAACTATAGAAACATTCTCTCCCTTTACTGAGAAATGGTTGGTTTATCGTAACTGGGACATGCAGTAGGTCACTTTGATGACAAGAGCAGGAACTGCAGCAGCACCAATTGAGTTTAATTGGGGCTTTTGGGGGAGTCCTGACAACAAGAATATTCAGTGCCTGTGGAAGTAATATTAAAGCAACGGAAATGCAGAAAATCACTATTTGGCACATTATACATTACTTGAGTATGACAAGGCGAACTACCCTTACTAAGGCCCACTTTAAAATATTTCATAGCTATTTTAAATAATCCCTTCAAAAATTTATTTTGTCTCTCAATCCACAACTGTTTGAGGGACACTGCTGTGCGCAATTGGCTGTCGCAGTTCGCCCACAAAATATACAGTTAATTCACTTTACAGTATATCATGTGAAACTCTTTTGAGACTTCTCAGTGTGATAAGGCGCTATATCAAATGCAAGGATTATTATTACATATTTTAATCACAGAATCACAATAGAGGTTTGGGTGAAGAAGGTCCTTTGGCTTATTTTATCTCATCCTTCAGGAATGCTGCAGGGTAATGCTTTTTACTGTAAGCAAAAGGTTACCGAGTCTCAGGACTACAGACCAATGGTGCTCAAATATTAAAAGAATAAGGTCACTTGCACAAAGAATTGTCCACCTGTCACAATATCAAGCTGTGTTTTTTTAAAATGAGTCCTGCTTTCTAGCCTCAACTACCTTTCCTGGTAACCTGTTTAAGTCATTAATCACCCTCTGGATAACAAATTACATGCCGGTCCTGAAATTGCCCTTTGCAATGCTAAATCTGTCATCTGTTCTGCTATCTCAGTGCATCCAAATGTTTGCTTGAGTTTATTTTACTGGCCTAAGGAGGAGAGCCAATAGTGGAGAGGCAACATGCTGAGCAAAATGGATAGCTTAGACTATTTCAATAGTTACTGCATGATAAGCAACTACCACATTGTTGGGAGAAGAATGGTGTCACTAGGAATCTAATAATTACTGAATATTAAAGGTGACCCATCATTGTGGAGTCCTATAGCTCAGTGGTTAGATCACTCGCCTCTCAAGTGAGAGACCTGGGTTCTATTCCCGGCAGGGTGAAATGTTGGGCAGGTTTCCTTGCTCCACGTGCCTCTGTTTACCTCGCAGTGGGTGGGAGCCTGATTGTTGGTCGATTGGCTGATTACTTTTCTGGGGATAATAATCCCTCAAGAAAAAATACAATAATAATTTGGTCACTCATCCACGACTGTTTGTGGGACACTTCTGTGCGCAATTGGCTGCCATGTTTCGCCCACAAATATACAGTCAATTCACTTTACGGTATATTCTGTGAAGCGCTTTGAGACGTCTAGAAGATGTGAAAAGCGCTATATCAAATGCAAGGATTATTATTATTATTTTCTCAATCCCATTTAAAATTGTATATACTGCTAACGAATGTGAGCAGCCCCTCTGAGGGAAAAATCTAGCAGTGATTTTATTTCTGAGACCTGCACAATTCTGTTACAGAAAGAACAGCAAAGTTCAGAAGAGGGGGAAAATTAATTTAATTGGAAGACTACAGCTAACTACAGAAAGAATGAGGGAAGAAGAAAATGAAGGAATAGTCCAACTGAGAATATTACGCACCCAGGTACGTTTGACCTTTTTTTAAAAGTTACAAATCTGAGCGGTATGAATGTAGTCTCTACAAGTTGCATTATAAATGAAATGTAACATTTACATAACTATTATGTTAAATCGACAAGAATTTGAGGACTTCACAATTTTAAGATTGTGTGCTCTTTCCCCTGTTAATATTTTATCCCTTTTCCACGACACATGCAGTTGTGAACTTTATTTTTAGGTGAATAGAAAACCCTATAAAACCTCTGGAGTAGAATTTGTTTTGCATATACAATCTGCAAATCAAGCATAAAATTCTTCCAAACAGACTCATAACTGTACTCATGTTGGACTAGTTAGAAGCAATTAATCTCATGGCCAGAATCATGATTCCCCATGCTACTAATTTTGTGATCTGAGAAATCTAATGCAATTGAGCAGAGTAACATAGAACTTTATTAATCTACCATGTGTATTAACCCTATCATAAGAGTTATCGACATAAAGTCAAAAATCATTCAGGCAATTGAGGAGTTCTGACATTTACAAAGGAATAACTAGACATCTGTTTATCCAAGTGATTGTTTCGGGAACAATTTATCATTCAGGTAATAGATGTGACCTCTTACTCCCCCATCACCACCTACACCCAATCGATCCATTTGTCCTGTTAATTAGAACTAATCTAATTAACAACAATTATTTTCACTTGTCTAAACAAACATGTGTTAGCTTATTGTTAAATTGTTGAAACATACTGCAGTGTAATGCTTTTTACTGTAAGCAAAAGGTTACCGAGTCTCGGGTCTATAGACCAATGGTGCTCAAATATTAAAAGAATAAGGTCACTTGCACAAAGAAGAATGTTCTCAATGTTTCTCATGCCATGGAATGAATGTACATGGATAAATCTCCCTCCATTTTTCTGTACATAGAGTGGGAGAATCCCAGCCATGGCATTGTTGTGACATCAATTTTAAGTTTTATGCCTTCCTAGTTAGAGAATGGAGTTCTTGGAGAGAAGATTAATTCTTAAAACATTACAAATAATGCTTTCACTCTTATCACCTTGATCCCAGCTTGTTGTTTGTAGTTTAATAATAGTAATCCTTGCATTTAGTGTAGCACCTTTCACATTGGGAAGATGTATGAAAGCACTTCACAGGATATACTGTAAAGTGGAGTGACTGTGTTTATTTGTGATCTTCAAAATGCTATTAACTTTATGATTAGATTTTGCACGTTTGCGTTTAGCAAAAGAATGGAGTAGAATAATGTAAGATCTCCCAAATTTTAAACTACAACAACCTAGCTTGATAACTAACCTAGTCTTTTTAAATTAAAACCTAAACCCTCCTTGCTTACTTAAAAAAAATTGAATTTACAGCATATAAAATTGAAATAATCCTGTATTATGGACAGATTGATGTTTCATTTCTCTTTATTTTCTTGTTTTCAGGAGGCCATCATACAAATCATGAAGATGCGAAAGAAAATCACAAATGCTCAACTTCAGACAGAACTTGTAGAAATACTAAAAAACATGTTTTTGCCACAGAAAAAAATGATCAAAGAACAAATTGAATGGCTGATAGAGCACAAGTATATTAGAAGGGATGAGTCGGACATAAACACTTTCATTTACATGGCATAATTGATGGCATACAAGGACAGTGCCAAACTTTGGGTTGAATCCAGTTTTGTCCCTGCAGACTTTGCAAGTAGTGGCTGAAGAGTGACTACACTTCAAAAATGTATTCAGTTGCATAAATATTACATCCCTGCCTTACCTTACTACAGCCGGACAATATTTGCCAGTTTCATCCACTTTAGCATGTTGTTACCTGCATTTGTGTAGCTCACTTTTGACAGCATGCTGTTTTGTGGGAGTTCTGCATTCATCAGAGCCTGCTGTGCTTTCTTCGTAGCTTTAGTCCTGTTTTTCACTCATTCTGTTCTTGTCCCACGATTGCATATACACTTTTTCTTCCCACCGATACCTGTATCAGTGAATATAGACACTTACATTTTCATGCACTGGGAAAATATTCAAAACTTGGTTTTGTATTAAAAAGAAAAAAAAAGTATTAGGACTAGCACTTTCACTTTTTCCTGGATGAACCGGGTTCTATCGTTTAGTGCTCATTGACCTGGTCTGATTTCTTTTTGAAAAAACATATTACAAACTTGAAAATGTTGCCATAACTGTAGTTTTGGTGAATGGTGTTAAGTGGTGCATTGTTGAGCTGATGGTGCAGAAATGTGGAGATATTAAAATGAGTCCACATTGGCTTTCTGACAAGTTGTTTGGAAGGAAAATCCAAGGGATGGTTACCTGCCCCTCAAATAACCATATTGCCTCTGGAATAATTTACTTCAGTTCTCTACCAGGTTACAGGTGGAGTGCCTTGAATTTGCAGAAATTTTCCAACCAGTCTGGAGGAAAGGAGAAAAAGTATAAAAGCTATTGTACGTTTCACCTTATTGCATGCAATCCTGTTGATTGATCACAGCGATGTTGACGATGGCTGTGGAGAAATGCGTACCCTGCTTTTGTTCCGACTTCCTTGCTTTCCAGGCAAAAGTTCACATGGGGAGAAATATAAGAAAATGTGTATGGTGTGGGGGAGGGAAGGGCAGGTCAGTGGAGAGAGAGAGCATAATTATTAAGGTGTCAAAATGTTTGCTTCATAGTGCTTCTCACATCAAAAAAGGCAACATTGTGGTCATATTGTTAATGACATTTAATGCTGTTATGAATTAACTGAGAGCTTAGTCCCAATTTTCATCACTTACAGTAAATACACATTTTCTACTGTAAATGGTCTGTTTTTAAGAAAACAATGTTTGCATTATAAGTCTTGCAGCTACACAGTTCCTATACAGAATTAGTTGATAATTACGTGCAGGATTTTGACTGTTTTTTAAAGTTAGGTCATCTTTCCCAAAATTTTGGCCCTTTCTAAATAAAAAAACTATAGTTGGCATCAACCCTTATATGTGCATATGGCACTGTTGACTTTTTTTATTTTAAATCTTGTGTCTGCAGACATTGTCTTCAATACTCTCTGCCACAAGAAACCCTTGAAAATGTCAAGCACCCAATTTTCCTAAAGCAGCTGTGTGTGGCTTCAGTCACATTAATAATAATTTGGTCACTCAATCCATGACTGTTTGTGGGACACTGCTGTGTGCAACTGTCTGCCGTTTTTTGCCACAAAATATACAGTCAATTCATTTTACAGTATATTGTATGAAGTGCTTTGAGACGTTTCGACGACGTGATAAGGCACTATATCAAATGGAAGGATTATTATTATTTTGTCAGTTTCTTTAATTAAAAAGCAATTTCAACTATACATCATAGTGAGGGAGTCTCTTAATCTGATCCATATAATGAACATAGTCCCGAGTCCCCAGAACTGGCTGTATTTCCACCGTGTTTATCCCTGTGTTTATCCATCTTAGTTTTGCAAGAGGGAGGGAAAGCTGTCTCTGAAATCGCACCTTCCCTTCCTGATGACTTGTCTGTAGAGATGCAATGCCAATAACTTTGGCAAAATCTGGATGGTGCTGCTCTCTGAAATGTGGAGGATAGCAGTGACAACAGAGATTCATTCAAGAGGGGGAGAGCCAAATTCATTCAAATCAGACGTTGGTACTGTACAATTTTGTAGTTTCAGATATTCCTATTAGAAGTTTTCTATTATAATTAAAGTCATGGTCAGTTTGGAACTCACCAAACTATATATTCTGCGTAGCAGGTGTCCATCCCATCAATGGGAGGAGAAACAAGATGAGAGGAAGTTATTAATGCTAAAATGTAATTTTAAAATTCAATTTGTTCAGATTTTGAATTCCATTCATTTTAGGTCTCTCGTACATTGCAGATTCAAACAAAAGCAACGGCAATTAACTGGCATCAAATGCATCATTGACACTGAGCTGCCAAACAGCTTTTGGGTGTAAATTTACACAATGCTGCATCTTAATTGCAAAGAGTAATTGATAAATCTCTTGATCACTAAAATTGCATTTAAAATGGTGGTTAAGAATCTGACTAACTACTAGTTTCTAAAATTACTGCAATATGTGTAAGGAAGCTTTATACAAGTGATATTTACATACCCTATGCACAGTTCTCCCTCTTCTGCAAAATTTGCAGCCCCACTATTTATGGGTGGTAAAATAAAGAAACTGCTTTACAGCCTTGTGTTTTCATTAATATGTATGCACAGACTTATTTTTAAAAAGGGAATGTTTTAATGTAAAATGTGTTGGTATAAACAGTGGTTGAATAAGAGAATGATCAATTCTTAGTCATCAATAAGCCAATCTTGTGTGCTAAGGTAAGCAATTGTGTGACTAAGAAATGTATTAGTCTAGGAAAAGGAACAAGGATAGAAAGGGGGATGGATATTTTTGCTGATCCATTTTTGTTTAGTACTGTTGTCAGCGAGTGTACAAATTGAAAAGTTTACCCCTGGTAACACTGATTCAATTCTTCCTGATTGCACACCAAATGCAGAATGGGGGCGAAGCTAGTGCTTGTTCTTATAACTAATCACAATGATCTGGGGCAGTTGAATAAATATTTTAATAAAAGGGAAAACTTAAATTATGTGACCAGATTATTGTGATTTACTACAGAGTAATAACTTGGTATATAAAAATGAATTACATGCACTATGAACGCCCCAGAAAGCATGCTCCATATATATGCACATACAGAATTTCACTTCATTAAATAAAGTGTGTGTGTAGATCTTACTTCAACACTGCCTGGTAGAGAACACATGTGGAAATGATTACTACTTTTATTCGAATGGAAGAAAAATAATCTTTTTATACGGAATTGGTCAACAATTTAGAATTGTATGGCTTAATAGAAATTGTTTTATCCAAATCCTGCAATTTAATGACAATGGACATTAAAATTACATTATGAAGTCTTCCATTTCTCCTTGTGTCCACAGAATCTTTTAATTTCTTATATTTGTATGAACTGTCAAATGTGTTCTTTTACTCTGCAGCATTAGTGATTGAGCGTGGTTTGAGACTACTTTTTTTCCCCCATTTTAAAAAAAAAGACAAAAGATGAAACTATTATTGTAACTTGTGTAAATTAAAATGGTTGAATTTGTTGAATAACTAGTTAGACTATTTCACAAATTCTTCAGCGTATTATTGAAGTCTGCTCCACGTCCCCCGCCCCAACCGCCCTACTATCGGTGGTCGGGCCTTCAGCCTCTCAGCCCCGAGGCTCTGGAACTCCATCCCCCAGTGCCTTCGCCTTGCTTCCCCCCCTCCCCCCTTCAAGGCCGGTCTCAAAACCTTTCTCTTTGACCGTGCCTTCAGCTCCCCTCTCGACTCTCCCCCCCCTCCTCGCTCCCTCCCTCCCTTCCCTCCCCTCACCCTGACCATTTCCCCCCTCCTCTCTCCCTCCCTTCCCTCCCCTCACCCTGACCATTTCCCCCCTGCTCGGGTCATGACCCAACTGTGCAGCGCCTTGGGACGTACTCCTGACGTGAAAGGCGCTCTATAAATGGAATCTTGTTGTTGTTGTTGTTGTTGTTGTTGTTGTTTGGATTTAATTGTTTGTATTACTCAAGAAATGACCTTTTTTAAAAAAAAGTATAGCAACTGCAGAGACTAAAAGTTTGTTTCATTATGTTAGGTATACGTTTTTACTCATTTGTGCAGATTTATTGTACACAAGATGTTGAAACAACTTGGACTTACACAGATGAAATTACATATAGATCTGTGCGTGTTAGGTCACCAATAAATTGTAACAGTTGTTACCCTAGTTATACATATGAACTGTTTCATATTTACATATCATTGTAAGATCTTGAGGACTTAAGAAGCTTTCTTGTAATATACACTATAAGTCAAGCCTGGAGTGTTGCGCTAAGTTGAATTGATAGGTTTTACCTTATCAACAATTAATATAAAGTTGAATGTGTGCCACTACATACCAAGGTTATGATGCTGTACAATTTTTGAATGGTAGCAGTTTCTACATAGCAGCCTGATCAAACTATTTTGATGTACTACATTATTTTTTGAATTTTTATTTTTTAAGTTGCATAATTTATTTTCCAGCAAAATAAAAGTGCAATATAAAATCTCAATGTGCGTTTTATATAACCAGCAATGTTAACCTTAGGACTCTACGGTGCAGTTGCAGATTAAAAGAAAAATGTTACGGACACCAGTATTAAGCAAGCTAATCAAAATCAATGGGGGGTAGGAACGGAGAACAAAAGATTGAATTTACCTCATCTAGTTCAATTTCCACTAATTGTTATGATGCAGTAATATGATGGTGAGTTCAATGTCAATTTTGCAACTACATGGATTAATGTGTTGCTTGTCTGGACTTGGTAACTAGGACTTTCAGAGAAGTGTACTACAGTGAGTTGGCAGCCAATTTTCCTTGTATCAACAACAACAAATTACATTTGTATAGCGGTTCATTCCAAGGCGCTGTATCAGTATCTACTTGACACCTTATTGTCTGGTGTGGATCAGAAACTTCTGTGGTGATTGTCTGCAGCACTAAACATTAGACTGCCTTTTTATTGCTCTTGGAATGCTGTTGAGAGCAACATAAATTCATTTGTAATATTAAAGTCTGAAAATACTTAACTTGTATTAATAATAATCCTTGAATCTCTTATAACGCCTTATCACGTCGTTGAGACGTCTCAAAGCGCTTCACAGAATATACTGTAAAGTAAATTGACTATATTTTGTGGGCAAAATGTATGAGCTTATTAAAGTGGTTTGCCATTCCTAATGGAAGTTGTGATTTAATAACGATAATGTCCATTAAAATATTATGGGCTGCAGTATTACAGCATATAAAGTATTATAGAATACAGCAGGTTTTATTAATAATAATTGCATTTGGTATAGCACTTTCATGTAGGGATGTGCCCAAGTGCTTCAAAGAATTTACTGTAAAGGGGAGTAACTGTTTTGTGGGCGCACTGGGCAGCTAATTTGTAATGTGCCACAAACAACCAATGAAGTTTTGTAGTATTGTATGCAGTTTTATTTTATTGCAAGGTGGTGGATTAATTTTAGATCTACTGCCTGGCACTGGAAAGTAAATAATATTGTAATAGTAATCCTTGCATTTGATATAGCACCTTATCACATCTCAAAGCTCTTCACAACAACAACAAATTACACTTGTATAGCACCCTTCACATCGGAAAGACCTCCCAGGGTGCTGGACAGTTTTTGGATCCGAGCTGGGAGTTGGGGTCAGGAGGGTTGGAAGGCAGGGGTGGTGGAGGTGGGAGGGTGGCCGATGGCACGGTCAAAGAGGTCTTTAGATGTGACTTACAACAACAACAAAATTACATTTGTATTGCGCCTTTGATGGCGGGAGTACGTCGCAAGATGCTGGACTATCAGTGTTTCGGACCCGAACTGGGTGTTGGATTTGGGGAGGGTGAAGAGCAAGGGGGGAAGGAAGATGAGCGAAGGCACGGTTGAAGATGAGGGTCTTGACACAGGTCTTAAAGGAGGCAAGGGAGGGGGTGAAGCCGTCCGGCATGGAGGGCGCTATATAAATCCAAGTTGTTGTTGTTGACTGTGGGCTCGAGTTCCAGAGGGAGGGGGCAGAGTGGCAGAAAGCCTGCCTGCCAATGGTGGGGCGGGAAAGGCACGGGACACATGATTCAGCCAGAGCTTGAAGAGCAGAGAGAATGGGCAGGTTGGTAGGCAGTTAGAAGGTTGCAGATGTAGGGGGGAGCAAGGCCATGGAGGGCTTTGAAGGTGAGGACCAGGATTTTGAACTGTATCCTCTGTGTAATGGGAACCCAGTGGAATCGAGTGAGGATAATAATAATGATAATAATAATCCTTGCATTTAATATAGCGCTTTTCATGTCTTCTCGACGTCTCAAAGAGCTTCACAGAATAGACTGTAAAGTGAATTGACCGTATATTTGTGGGCAAAATGCGGCAGCCAATTGCGCACAGCAGTGTCCCACAAACAGTTGTGGATTGAAAATGACCAATTTATTATTATTTTGTTTTGGAGGGATTATTGGATGGAGGTAAGAGCCTGGTGTGGGAGAGGACACAGGCTGCAGAGTTCTGGATGATCTGCAGCCTACGGAGCGAGGAGTTGGGGAGACCGACAAGCAGTGAGTTTGCATAGTCGAGCCTTGAAGTAATGAAGGCGTGTATAAAGGTTTCGGCGGCCTGCGGTGTATGACAGTGGGGGAGTCGGGCGATGTTGCGGAGGTGGGTGAAGGCAGAGCGGGACATGGCACAGATATGGGGTAGGAAGAATAATTGAGGATCAAACAAGACGCCAAGGTTCCGGACTGCCTGGTAAGGTGGAGTGTGCAACCATGGATAGTGATGTTGTCAGCACCCGAGGTGCGGGGGCGCTGACGGGAGCCAATCCGGAGAGCCTCGGTCTTGTTGACGTTCAACTGAAGAAAGTTAGTTGTCATCCAGGAATTGATGTCTGACAGACATTCTGTCAGGACAGCCGTGGTCTTGGAATCGCGGGTGGACGCAGAGAGGTAGAGTTGGGTGCCATCCGTACACATGTGGAAGTTGACCCCTCATGTCTGTAGATGCTGAATGCCCAACCACCAATGGTGGGGTGGGAAGGGCGGGAGACCTGAAGGCTGATATGGGGTTAGGAGGACGGAGAGGTCGCGGGGAGCAAGACCGTGGAGGGAGGGCTTTGTCCTGTGAATTGATTCTCTTTGACCGAGCCTTCAGCTCCCCTCTCGACTCTCTTCCCCCTCCTTGCTCCCTCCCTTCCCTCCCCTCACCATTTCCCCCCTCCTCGCTCCCTCCCTTCCCTCCCCTCACCCTGACCATTTCCCCCTCCTCGCTCCCTCCCTTCCCTCCCCTCACCCTGACCATTTCCCCCCTGCTCGGGTCATGACCCAACTGTGCAGCGCCTTGGGACGTCCTCCTGACGTGAAAGGTGCTTTATAAATGGAATCTTGTTGTTGTTGTTGATTGTATTTTTTGCGGACGAACAAAATAAAATAAACTAAGCGGCCGCTGGCACTGGGGAAGAATCTCGATGTACCGGGAGAGGGAGAGCCAGAGGAGAGACCCAATGACTTTGCTGAGTGAGGGCTGGAGCAGGTGTCACAGTGTCAGCAACACACCACGTGGCGCTGCTCTGGGCTGACGCTCTGCCTGATTGACACCCAGTGCCCAGGCGGGCCACGTGCTCGGGCGCGGCCCCGCCTCCCGTCTGCTCTGATTGGACGGCGAAATACCTTCTCTCCCATTGGTGCTCTGGCTGCTCTCCGGCTGACCAGGCCGCGCCCTGACCTGCTATTGGTCGTTGGGAGCAGCTTTTGATTGGGCGGCGTCATCGCCTGGCCCGCCATTGATCCTTTGACCCAAGCACCTGATTGGACAGTGAGTATGCCGGTCTCCTATTGGCGCTGCGGCGGCGCGGCTGTCAGCTGAAGGTGAAGCGGGGACGATGGCGGCCGCTCGGTACTCGCTGCTGAGGGGATGGCGTTCCCACTCTCAGGCCAGGCCCGGGGGGGTCCTGGGGCCGCTGGTGAGTTAGCGCTTCGGGAGGCCGGACCTCTTCCACCGCACCTTCGGTCATCTCTGCCCTCCCCGGAGCCATACCACCCGCAGCCCGGGGTGTGGGGCAGCGGCGTCCCCGGGCTGTGTCCCCGACCCCGGGCTGTGTCCCCGACCCCGGGCTGTGTCCCCGACCCCGGGCTGTGTCCCCGACCCCGGGCCGTGTCCCCGACCCCGGGCCGTGTCCCCGACCCTGGGCTGTGACCCCGACCCCGGGCTGTGACCCCGACCCCGGGCCGTGTCCGCGACCCCGGGCCGTGTCCGCGACCCCGGGCTGTGACCCCGACCCCGGGCTGTGTCCCCGGCCCCGGGCCGTGACCCCGACCCCGGGCCGTGACCCCGACCCCGGGCTGTGACCCCGACCCCGGGCCGTGTCCCCGACCCCGGGCCGTGTCCCCGACCCCGGGCCGTGACCCCGACCCCGGGCTGTGACCCCGACCCCGGGCTGTGTCCCCGACCCCGGGCTGTGTCCCCGACCCCGGGCTGTGTCCCCGACCCCGGGCTGTGTCCCCGACCCCGGGCTGTGTCCCCGACCCCGGGCTGTGTCCCCGACCCCGGGCTGTGTCCCCGACCCCGGGCTGTGACCCCGGGCTGTGACCCCGGGCTGTGTCCCCGACCCCGGGCTGTGTCCCCGACCCCGGGCTGTGTCCCCGACCCCGGGCTGTGACCCCGACCCCGGGCTGTGTCCCCGACCCCGGGCTGTGTCCCCGACCCCGGGCTGTGTCCCCGGGCTGTGACCCCGACCCCGGGCTGTGTCCCCGGGTTATGGACTGGAGGTTGTATTCGCTCCAAAATCCTTCACCCCCCCCAAAACCCAGGTTACAGCTGCAGCAGATTGCGACCTCCCAATGTGAAAGGTGCGATATAAATGCAAGTAGTTGTTGTTGTTCTCTCCGCTGACACTGTGGAGAAGTTATAATAATAATAATTATTAATAATAATAATGATCTTTGCATTTGATATAGCGCCTTATCACGTCCTCGAGACGTCTCAAAAGCGCTTCACAGAATACACTGTCAAGTGAGTTGACCCGTGTATTTTGTGGGCGAAACGCAGCAGCAGCCAATTGCGCACAGCGGTGTCCCACAAACGGCCGTGGATTGAAGCGACCAAATTTATTATTAATTCACTTGTTTTACTTATTTGAAGTACGGCGAGATTCACGGCTGCAGAGTATTAAGCGATTCGGAAACGTACCAAATGCTTTCGTGTATGTTTTTAAAAGGGCGATTGCTTCAAAAACAAACTGCAGTTTTAAAGTAAAATGAGTTATTCCAGGTCGAATGAGTTATGTTTAACAGATCCGTACTAATGCTTAAAGTGTTTTGACTGCGCACACACAAAGGCATTCAGATTGATTGGTAGCATCCCAGAGGCAGGAGTTTGGCACAGACTGTGAAGAGGGTGAGAGGTTGGAAGGTGCAAGTTGAACTGGGTCTCTTGCTCATATTTTCTGGAGAGAATTTACATTTTTAAAGTGCCTGATGTCAAATGTCTCAAAGCACTTAATCCTAACGTACATTTGTTTTTACATTTTCATAGCTTGTGACCAGTATAAAGATGCATTGTAATGTAGTCCTCACCCATAACCTAAATTTACTGATTTTGTTTTGCTAATTCCACACAAACCTTAAAAAAACACTGTTGCATTTTCATTAAGTTTGTTTCAACAAACTATGCGGTCATCTCCATTCTTCTTACACAGCATCTTTCGCACACTGTTCTTGAACCAACTGATCTCATTGAACTTGTGGGTAATCTGATTAGTGGTTCATTTGGTTTAGTGTACTTTGAGCAAAGTGAAACTGTGGCTCCATGTTTATTTTTGGTCTATTTAGAGTGTTGCAACAGATGATTACAGTGTGTTGACCGGCATTGGCATTCAGAAATGTTACTGGGAACAATGTAGTGTATGTTGCTTACATCCTAATTGATCTTTAGTGAGAAAATGTTGTAATCAAAAATTAAATCCTCTTAGAAATTTGTTTCTAAGGGAGCTTTAACAATTTTTAAAAAATAAACTAAACAAATGGTGATTTTTATTTATCTACTTCTGAAATCAGTACTCAGGGATTAAAATGAGACTCCAGAAACAATATCCAACTGTTAAAAATGTCAATCCACTGTTCAATTATTTGGATTTTATATAGAATAATTTATATAATGCCTTTCATATAAGGACATGCCTTGATGTCTGCCATACAAATTTAAACTGCTTTAGTGACTCTGTGTCACTGGGTGCATCGCAAAATGAAGCCAACTCACTGTATACTTAACTTTTTATTTTGATTTATAACTTTAGTTTATAGTTTCCTTTAATGAATTGTACGCTCTTTTATTCACAGGCTGCAAATTGTAGGTACCGAGGATATTCATCTGGCCCTTCGTTAAATGTAAGTTAATACGACAATTAGTGTTAAAGGTCTTTGGAAGATATCTTTGACAATATAGACTGTATGTTGGTAGGAAAAAAAAAGTCAAGGACAGACAATATTCTCTTTATAGTTTAAAAAAAAATCTATTTTAAAATCCATACTATCTTCATCTTCCTGCCAACAACTCAAGCACCAATCCCTTCCCATTGAGCGACAGTTCCTCCAATTGGAAGTGAAGAGTTTGAGCAGCAGCTGTCACCCCAAGCCTCAGAGTTTCCTCATCAGCCATCTGATGAACATCTCCCTTCAGCGTGGTAGGAGGACCTTCAAAGGACAGTTTGATGTTCTCAAGGTCCACGTGCAATGCCACATACTAGGCTTACTCAGCACCAGGTGTTGAGTGCTGTGTTATAGTTGTATTATACTGTGGTATTTAACTATTATATTGTAATAGCATATGGAACTGATCTGGAATTCCCTGCACATATGCAATATTCTAACTTATTCCACGTTGCCATTTTCTTGCCTGCTAAAGAGTTCTAAACTAACTTAATTTACCAGACAGACATTTTACTTAATACAAAATGATTTTATGCATACTCTTACATATATATACTGGTGGATTTTGCCTAATGGAAATTATTTCATGGAAACAAATAAAACTTATGTTTGGTCTAGTGCGTATAATATTGTAACACCTCCAAGCACTTCACAGGAAATTGTTATCAATAAGTAGGTGACTGTACTTGTAGGCAACTACTCTGGTTTCTGCTAATAGGTTTTGATTTTTAATGCAGATATCAAACCCAAAGTACAGATTTGTGGTGCATCTGCAATGTTTAAACATATACTGTACAATTTAATCTTCATTTGGATGTTTGTTATTAATGTCTGATTTCAATATTTAGGAAGTGGTCATTGTTAGTGCGGCCAGGACTCCGATTGGATCATTCAGGGGATGCCTTTCTGCGTTACCGGCCACAAAGCTTGGCTCAATTGCAATAAAAGCTGCCATTGAAAGAGCAGGTATGAGTATATAATTTGTTCATCATATAATGGTTTGGCTCTTACCCCAGCTCAGGTCCACAGCCAGCAGTGTCAAATTCTTTGGGATGTCCTCCCCACATGTAAGGAGCTGGGTAAATTGAAATCCGATTGATATAGCGCCTTTTGAAAAGAAGAATGGCTCAAAGCTCTTCACAAGAATTTACTGAAAAGTGGAGTATCTATTATGGAGGCGAACCTAGCAACCAGATTACACAAATCTTCTACGAACAGCCATGAAATGAATGACCAATTTTATCTGGGGAATTGTTGGCCAGGATGCCAGGAAAAACTCCCTTTTCTTTTTGAACAGTTGTGTGGGATCTTTAAATTGACTGGAAGAGACAAATGGTATCTTTATCTCATCCAAAGGATGGCATGTGTAGAAAACAGGAAATGCGCTGACTGGATGACACTTAATGACTGGTTGCACACATGAGCAATCTTACCTGCTCACTAGAACCCGGGTTGTGATTTTATGGATCCCAAACATGAGATTGCACGTTAGTCTTTTGGTTTAACGAAAACAAAATGTGGAATTTATTGCATAATCTTTTGTTTTAACTTAACAGGGATTTCTCCAGAAGAAGTGAAGGAAGTGTACATGGGCAATGTCCTGCAGGCTGGGGAAGGACAAGCCCCAACTCGACAAGCTGTCCTTGGTGCAGGTAATGTTCTAGTTAACCTGGAACAAACAAGGGCAAGAATGTGGAGAGCTTGTTTGGTTAATAAGTAAATCTGTAGCCCATAGTTATCTTGTGGCAGTGAATTATCTAAGAATTGAGTTACCAGAGTATTTCCTTATTTGTTAAGATGGGGGTGAAAAATTTATATTTTGCTTGGTTCAGGTTTGCCAATGTCCACGCCTGCAACAACAGTCAACAAGGTCTGTGCCTCTGGAATGAAATCCATCATGTTGGCAGCACAAAGTCTGATGTGTGGACATCAGGTACAGAGTCCCTGTTGATTTTAAGATGCTCGTGACTTTGGGTTTTAGCTGTAAAGTTCAATAACTTGGCTAGCCGGATTAATGGGGGGGAGTGGGGGTAAGGCTACTCTTACCTGGCTCATAAAAATGAACAATTTATTTAAGACGAGGAGAATTTTAAACAAAAGATTGCTTCACTCGATGTCTCTTGTTGATTGATCTGGAATTTGGTGCATAATGTAAAATTTCTTTCAGCCCTTTTTAAGTAGCCGTGTGTCAAGTCTAATGCTCAGGAATACGTAGTGAATGCAAGGGGTAAAACACTAAAATTGCCTAGCATCAAAATTAAGTTGTGAAATCTGTTGTATGACCTTTGATATAATTAGGTATTAAACGACAGTACTTTTTACAATCCATTTTCTCCACAGGATGTAATGGTTGCTGGTGGGATGGAGAGTATGTCTAATGTACCGTTTGTAATGAGCAGAGAAACACCAGGCTATGGAGGTGTAAAATTGGAAGACCTGATAGTGAAGGATGGATTAACAGATGTCTACAACAAAATTCATATGGTATGTATCAGGTGTTCTCTAAACATGTGTCCATTGATAGCCAGTAAATTTGGAAGTGGTCAATACAGGATGTATAGGAAAAAAATTATTTGAAGACAAGTTAATTTCTAAGCCATGGTAGTGTTTCCATAGAGTATGCTAAGACATTCTTCATTGGGAAGCCAAAATACACATGTATATTTAAATAAAAAAACAATATTTTAAACCTTAATTTATGATTTCTGTTGGCATGGGTAGATTTGTAAAACATTCCTCAGGTCACAGTCTTGTTCCTGGACAGTTATTCAGCTCTTGAACCAGGCATCCTTTGGCATGGGCTCATCTAAGTTGCAAGTTGTAAAACTATTAAAATGAGCAAACTAGCTAGCCTTTTGATTTGTATACTAGGCATACTTTAAGGGCAGTGTCATTTGGCTGAAAACTACTTAAGACAAAATGCTTGTTTTGCCCATTGTCCATTTTCTTAGCTGGCACAAGCAATTTTTTTGTCTTATGCAGAATTGTTGTGTTTTGTAACAGGGCAACTGTGCAGAGAATACTGCAAAGAAGCTTAATATTTCACGGGAAGACCAGGATACTTATGCAATTAGTTCATATACCAGAAGCAAAGCATCTTGGGATTCAAAGCTTATGGCAAAGGAAGTGGTTGCTGTCAGCATTCCACAAAGAGGTACTTCTGTAAGATTTTAGATAAATGTCATCCTTTTAAAGCTTTCAGAACATTTGTATCAACAAAGTTATTGCCTGGCCACAAAGTTCATGTTTGCCCACTAGATACTCTACCATGTTTGTATTGTAATCCTGAGATCTGTAAATAAAAAGTAAATAATGCATCAATCTGCAACAGTAATGAACCATTAAGAGCAATGGGACGTGGATTCATGTCTACAATTTCTCAAAGCAATTTCACACAAGATCACAAGATTGGTTTGGATGAAGAAGGTCCTTCAGCCCATTTGAAATCATCATTCCAGAAAACCCACCCTACCATCTTCTCTCTAAACGCTCTGAGACGCTACCAGTATGAAGGGCACTATATAAATGCATTTTGTTGTTCTTGGGACATCCTCCCAACGTGAAAGAAAGATGTTATATAAATGTAAAATTGTATTCTCATCACAATATCAGGCTGCTTTTTTTTAAATGAGTCCAGTGTCCTGACCTCAACCACCCTTACTTGGCAACCTGTTCAGTCATTGATTACCCTCCTCGTCTGCACCTCGGCCTCAGCCATCAGGAGGTACCAGGTGTGCTTGGGTAATTCACCCAGAGGGAAAGAGGGAAATTTGAAGGGCATGTTGCTGTACATAATAATCCCTCCAAAAACAATAATAAATTGGTCATTTTCAATCTACGACTGTTTGTGGGACATTGCTGTGCGCAATTGGCTGCCGCGTTCGCCCACAAATATACAGTCAATTCACTTTACAGTGTGTTCTGTGAAGTGCTTTGGGACGTCCTCCCGACGTGAAAAGCGCTATATCAAATGCAAGGATTATTATTATTATAGGCACCTGGTTGGCTATTTTTCTGATTTAGCATCTTTTGTTTTAGGCCATTTATGTTAACTAAGACTTCTACAAATTACAAACACATTCTTCATGACTTACAAGGATAGTTTTTTTTAATCTAAGCAAATCTTCGAATTTGGAACCCACATGAAGGTGGTCTTCATAGATCTAAGAGAGGAATATGCGCTAAACTGCTCACACAGGATAGCCTTATTACTATGATCAACTAAACTATAAAATGTAGCAATTTTAACTTGTTGCTATTCTTTCTATTCTATATTTTAATCATAATTTACTTTTAGTCTCTTGTATTCGCTATAACCTTTTTTCTATGTTAAGATTTTTTAATATAAGTTATTTACTTGCCTTACTACTTTGTCTTCCTACTCCAATCTTTCATTTTGGAAGTAAGAATACCATTTTAGAACATTTATTTTTACTGACTGAAAACTGACTTTAAAAATACTGTTTTATCCATCAAAGAAAACTCTGGATTCTTAAGATTGATCTGGTTAATTTTTGCTTTTTGAAAATTACACAAGAAAGTGAAATGCTGGCAGCAAATGTACCTGTCAGCCACCTCCATGCTCAGCAAAGCTGTGTTCATGACCTGTTTTCTTTTAATAATATCAACTTGTGTGTTTGGGAAGGGGGTGTGTATCACACATCAACGTTAGGATAACAATATCCGTGACTTTTGTGGCCTTTGTTGAAAGATATAAACTATTCAGTTGCTTCTCCCAACACAGGCAAACCAGATCTTGTGGTCAGCGAGGATGAAGAGTTCAAACGTGTTGACTTCAGTAAAGTACCAAAGGTTAAGGCAGTTTTCCAGAAGGAAAATGGTAAGTAAAGATATCTGAGCAGTTTTTGTTGTTTGGCTGAATAAGCGAGTAAAGAGTATTGAATTGAATCATGTGTTTAACTCTTAGAAAGCTGGTTCCTGGGAATCAGTTGCTTCAGTTTTTAGCTCACACGTAATGAAGTTGAAGGAAAACCAAGTGAAGCTACGCAACTGCCAGGAGCAGTTTTATCACTGCTCTGATTTCAAATCTTAATACCAAATTGTGACCGCAGATCAGACTGGAGTGGGTTTGGAGCAAATTCTATTTTGGATAAATTTTAGTTAGGCCCCTGTTAGCGCAAAATATTCTGTATTCTAGATCAACTATTTTTACTTGATGTTCAGCAGCTCTCACAGCTTAGTAAACACATTTATCTATGGTCTTGAAAGAGTTAAAATATTTAGTTAAAGATTTTGAAATAGCCGTTTGATTTAAAACATTTATTTGTAGTGTAACTGAACGTTCCATGTTTTTTGTTCTTTTGGATAAAAAACATAGCTCATATATAGTGTATTGTTGACTTTGTGTTTTCAGGTACAGTTACAGCTGCCAATGCCAGTACCTTAAATGATGGAGCAGCTGCTTTGGTGCTAATGACTGCGGAGGCTGCTAAGAGATTAAATGTTACACCAATGGCAAGGATTGTAGGTATGCTCCCAGGGAGATGTTAAATTTGTGCAGACTTTATTTCTGTTCTAACAACAACTTGTAATGAAGTTGAAGGAAATAGCCTGGTTGAAGAGAAACCATAAGAGTAGTCTAACTGACCCCGTAAGACTATTGTAATCTAGCACATGCTTGTTTGTTCCAACTGTCCAGTGCAGTCCACTCAACATGAGTGGTTATCATCCCTTATAAAATCAAATCTCTAAAATAGTCAAATTTTTCTGTCTTCATAATGCAGTTCCATGATGGTACGTTTAAATTGCTGGTGCTTCCTTGTGCTTTATTTGAGTAGAAATCATGTCTGTATGATGACAGTGGATATTAAACGCTTCACTACAGAAGAGGGAGGATATGACTGGTAAAAATATAATGCTACCAGTTGCTTTGCATTTTGCATTGGATAAACTTTTCTTGCATTTTCTTTTTCCACAGGATTTGCAGATGCAGCTGTTGAGCCTATTGACTTTCCTATTGCTCCTGCTTTTTCTGCACCAAAGGTAAGCGCATGGCATGTAAAACCAAATGTATTTAATCATTTCTATTGCTGTGTTCACTTTTTTCTTCAAAATGAACATTAAACAGGACAATTTTCATATTTACCAGTGTCTTCAAAGACTTATTTGATACGTTTCATGTAAAACTTTCAACTTATTTGTCTTGGCTAGATTCCCAATGCTAATATACATTGATTGATAAAGTGTCCAGTTCAATATGGTGACTTCACTTATTGTTGTCTTATGTTCAGGTGTTTGGACAATACTTGTGGTGGTAGTGGTTATTGTAAACACTAAAAGAAAATGATATCAACTAATTTTGTTTTAATGTATTTAAACATTTCAGCTTTTGAAAGCAACTGGTATAAAGAAAGAAGATATTGCAATGTGGGAAATCAATGAAGCTTTCAGTGTAGTGGTTTTGGCCAACATCAAAATGCTAGATATTGATCCCCAAAAAGTTAATATCAATGGTGGAGCAGTCTCTCTGGGACACCCTATAGGGTAAGTGTCATGTTGAAATTTGTAATTTAGTTCACACAGCAACACTTTGACATTGTAAGATTTTAAACATGCATGACTTGGTGAAATGGTTTGCTGGTCCCATAGAGATTTTTAATCCCAAAAGTGTCTTCCTTTCTTGTACCATAGTTTTCCAATTGATTACCAGGTTTCTCTGACTATGTGGTAAGAACGTAAAGCCAAGGACAAGAATTCATGGCATCAAGATGACTCTTTTCACAAACTATGAAGAATCTCCAATTTTTGTATTGTCTGAGCATAAGTTGACAGTAGTAATCTCACATCCATCAACACTATTCAACCCTTTTCAGCTGCTTTCTAGATTTTTTTTCTGGTATCATACAAACCACATTGTCCCAGAGTATTTCATCTGAATTCTTACAGTCTTCAAACCTTTTTCTGGCAGTCTATTCTACAATATTTAATTTCTTTATATTTCAATCCTGTATTACCTAGTCAGAGAGCCATGATCAGTATCTCTGCATTTTTAGAATACTCAATTTTGTTCATGAATTAACAATTTTGATTTATATATAGCACCCTCCGTGTTATACACAATGTCTCAACATTCTTTAATGTTTTTCTACACTCAGCTCAAGATTGTGCCTTCTCAGATTTGTAATTGCTGTTTGGAAAACTATAAATATGCTCCTACAGCTCATAATGGTGTACTCTAAAAGATATATGCCTGCCTTAGTACTTGCTGTAATTCTTTTAATGTAAGCAATTTCACAATTTGTTCAGAACTCTTCATTTTCTGCCATGACTAACTGCAGCCTGATAATACAATCCCACACCACATACCTCAGCTGTTATTTTATTCTTTGTGATGTTCAGTGAAGGAAGATTAAGTACTCTCTCCATCTTTTTAAACAATGCTTAGAAATTCAAGATTGATTTGTTAACTATTGCATTTCTAAAGAGTTTTTTTTTTCCATTTCTTTTATTCTAGAATGTCTGGAGCAAGAATTGTTGGTCACTTGACCTATAATCTGAAGCCTGGGGAGTATGGCATGGCTGGCATCTGCAATGGAGGGGGTGGTGCCTCTTCAATAATAATTCAGCGCTTGTAAAATCTTGGCTGGTTTTTACATATAAATGGTGTTCATATTTCAGTGTGGCATATCTGCACAATGTAAGGGTTAAGATGCCTTTTTATAACTGAACAATTATGGTCAATATCAAACACTTTTTACACAAATTTAGCTATAATTTACAAATTATATCAGTGCTTGCTTCTGTAGGGCAGAAAATTTCAGCTGTTACAAACTGTTTTAAACTCACAAAAATTATGTATGGAGTAAAGGCNTTTTTTTAAATGAACTTTTTGATTGTACTGACAAGTATTCAAAAGCATTAATCCAATTCAAACTGTTTGGACATTATAGTCTCCTTCACTCATCTAAACCAAATAGAAACTATCTGGTGCTGGTTAACTAATGCCTCTAAAATAATGTTAACCTTGACATAATTCCCATTTTTGAGTACCTGTTTACACACGATCTTCTAAAAACAAACAAAATATTTTGTGAAATGGTTCCCTTCACTCTGTTGGTTAGACACATTGGATGAGCTTTAAAATGTTCCTTTCTAAAATAATATATTACAATTGTGAATAGAAATTGTGGATTTGGCTTAGTTGAGCTTAATGCAAATGGTTACTTTAACATTGGTCATGTTATCAACCCATTAGGTAGTGTATTCTCAATTAAGCTCTGAACATTTATATTTTAAATACTGATGAAACTGAAATACATCAGGATTATTAAATGCATTTCTAGGATTTGAAAGAAAAATTTAACTTTTTATGAAATGTGCTGTTTTTTCCTCTACTTTATAAGCTTAAATCTTGGCAGAAGGAATGTTTGATACGATTACAATGGTATTTCTTTTCCAATCGTAACATGGAACTCTGCAGCCTGCGCCCTCTCCCGCACCAGGCTCCATGACCCTATCACCCCCATCCTCGCCTGACTCCACTGGCTTCCCATCACAGAAGATACAGTTCAAGATCTTGTTCCTCACCTTCAAAGCCCTCCATGGTCTTGCTCCCCACTACCTTTGCGACCTCCTAACCCCCTACAATCCTGCCCGCTCCCTCCGCTCAATGAGCTCCAGCCTGCTTCACGTCCCCCGCCTCGCTTGCCTCAGTATTGGCGGGCGGGCCTTCCGCCATTCTGGAACTCCATCCCACAGTCCCTTGCCTTCTTCGACCCACCTCAAGACCTTCTTCGACCGTGCTTTCGATCGCCCTGCTTCCCCCCCGGCCCTCCACACTCCCCGACCCCCAGCTCGGATCCAAAACTCTGTCCAGCTCTTTGGGATGTCCTCCCGAGGTGAAAGGCGCAATACACACGTAATGTAGCTGAACTGGTGTAGGGCTTTTCCCTTTCTGTGGGTTTGACCCTCCCTAGTTATACAGTGCCCTGCATTCAACCCAAATGCAAACCTGCAACACTATATTTTCTCTTATTCTGGTGTATTCTTCATCAACACGAAGCTTGATCTCAGCCTCTCATCACTGAGAAAGTTTGTAACTGGGAGAGATTGTCTCACTTGGTCTTTTTTTCGTCCAGCATTTCTTATGTTACAAAGGTCCATCTAGTTTGCCGTTCCCCTTTCTGTTGGTCGCATGCACATATGTCCCAAACTACCAATGTACTATATCCCATAATGTTATTTCATCAAAGAAAACTCATCTAATCTGTCTTTCAACGAATCAACATTTCCTGCTTCAACCGTCTTGTTCAGAAGCCTCTTCCACACATCTCCTATTCGCTCACTGAAATAGTGTTTCAATACCAACTCTGTAAACCACGCAAGTGATTCTTTGCAAGGCACAACATGAAGTCTTACAATTTTTTTTAAATGTCCTGGAATATGATAAAATATACAGTATAAAGCTTCACATTCAATAGTTCATTTTGGTCTGTATGTTTAGTTGTCTTTATTGAAACAATCTTTTTTAAACGAAACAAAATTCCTAAACCATCTATACAATGAAAACCAATGAGTTCCGGCTTGCTCAGTTTTAAGAGGCTCCATACTTACAGAAAATGTAACAGTGACTCATACAAATGAATGTGTATTGGCGTAATGAGAAAAACTCCCAGTACCCAATGGTCAAAAATCAGATTAAATAGAAGCTGTTGCTTGCTGGTGTTAACAGACAATGCAACTACACTATGCATGCCCCCAATAATAATTGGATTGGAAATATAACTACCATCCCATTTTGTAAAACTTTCCAATGAACCTTAATATTTATACTATATTTTTCTGTATGTTTGTTATCCACCCCCATATTATGACAGAAGCATGTAGATCAATTTCTGAAGAAAACATGTTGGTGCATTTTGCTAAACTCAAATAAGTGCTTTCTTTTCTGGCTCAGGAGCAAAGAGCTGGAACATGTGAGATTGGATTCCTAGTCTGTGCTGTGTTGGACTGAGCAGGGCAGCAAAGTACCAATTGTGTTTTTTGGTGGGGAGGAAGAGGTCAACAATGAATGAAAATCTTGTCTCTTAACAAAATGCATTTTCTTTGTTAACAGTCAAGTGAAGACAGGATCTAGTTTGGCTTTGAGGTATAGCTACGAGACTGCCAGAGGACTGTTAACATCTATCAGAACGAGCCCATTTGTTCTGAAAGGGCTGGGGGGGAATTGAGAAGAGAGCCCAATAGAACAATACAAGATACCTTAGTGGCATGCTGGGGGAGGAAAACTATTGCATTCTTAAAAAGTAGATCTGTTAAACAACCTGGATTTGGTGATGTGGATCGATCAATAAGAAAACTTGGCTACAGTATCTGAACTGTAGTTTGCTGCTCAAACAATTTCTCTTGTACGGATTACAAAGGATGGAATACATGGCAAATTATAACATGGTCACTGATAGCAACTGATAACTGCTCCTAACCAGAAATTAATCAAATTAGCTGTAACAACTTAGGTTGTCTTGCACCTGTGATTCCTGTAAGGCGTTATTCCAAGATAATCTTTGCATCAAACTCCAGTTTAATTACTGTTGTTATACAATTATAAACTCCTGTTAAAGCAGAATGGTTGAACCATAGTGGATTACTTCAATAAAGAATAATGATAGGAACGAGGATTCAATGAGGGCAGAACTTGGGTAAATGAAATCTATAAACAATACCAGATACTCATTGCACAAGGCAGATTTATATCAAGCTTTATAAGCAAGCTTTAAAGTTACAGTATGTACAATTTGACAGTCATTTTTTATGATCAACTATAAATCAAAAATACAAGACCTAAATCCCAAACGAGTGTCTTATTTATTTGAAAAACAATTCATCAGTCCCAATTATTTACAAACCTTGCCATTTAACCTTAGGAAGAAGGTGGCAAGTGCTTACCACAACTTCTCAATGATGGTTCTTGTAATAAAGTACTGTAAAATTTACACTCCAGGTTAATTGGGGAGATTAAATTATTTATAATATTGTATATCAATAATACAACGGCAGGAGTCGGTGATCATGGACAGACGTATTCAACAGCAGGACCTATAAAGAGTTCCATTCGTCACCCTCATTTCCGAGATTAAGGCCATTTAAGAATTCTGTTACTGGACAATCGAGAGCAATCACTCATCATACTTCAGTGAATTCAAAAACTTCTCTACATCCATTTCCACAGGAAAAGAGTCCAGGTGCTTCTTTTTCTTGTATTTCTGTGGAATGAAAAAAATGACTGATTTTAAGGTAGAATAATGAATAATCAATAACAATCCTTGCATTTGTTTTAGCACTTTTCATGTCAGGAGGATGGTTCACAGTAAAGTGTAGTCATTGTGTATTTGTATGCAAGACAGCAGCCAATTTGCACAGAGCAAATACAGCTGATGAATAGCCACAAGCCATTTTGGTTGATATCTTCACATCTCATTTGTTCACTCTGTCCATCACTGTTCACCAAGCACCTTCAGACTTTATGTGAAAGCTGCTATAAAAGTGCAGATTCTTTGCAATAGATCACTGCAGAACCTTTTTATTAGATCTCCATTCTGAATGTTACACATCCTCAAATTGTTTTAATATTAAGTGCTATTCAAACTGTTCTATACCAGATTTATCATAAAATGTTAAGGAAAAAACATTTCAATAGCATAATATTACATAAAATGTTATGTCATTGTCTACAGTATTAAGCTATACCAAACTACAAAAGGTAAGTTTGTTTAGGAAATATTGGTTGTAACATTTAATAAACACTCCCTTGTAAAATATTACTTGGTTCAGTACAAATAGCAAATGGATTTTTATTTTAAAACAATCAAATATAAGGCTGCTGAAAGGATAAGTTCTGCTGGAAATGCACCAAACATACTTTTTAACCTGATGCATTCAAGTGAATGCTGAACAATTATTTAGCAAGCTACTAATTCTAGCCGAATTCCAGTCAACATTTTTTATTATAAAGGTATCCAAATTGAATTTTGTAATTTTTTTCTTGTAAAGCATATATAGTCTAACCCATTAAAATGTATTTTTATCATTTGGACCAGGACATTTATTTTCTCAAAACATCTAAAATGCACAAGCTGTTTATTGCATTCAGAAAAACAAAACAGCTGGCAAGGGAGGCCAATATGACTGATCTAAACGGTCCTGTAGTCACTACAGATGCCGCTGCTCGGTGTGCAGGAAGCTACCCCAATGGTAACGCACTGATCTGAAAGTTGTCATTTTGGTTTCCCCAACACTGGCTGCTACAATAAACGAGGAAGAGCTGTTGTATCAACTGTCGTATCAAGTAACTTGTATTGCTGGCTAGGATTTATGAACCCCAACAACTGCCTTAAAATGGTACTATTCCAGCTAGACCAAGTTAATATACAGACTTCATTTTAAATTTCAACTGACTTATTTGTCTCATGTTGCTGTCATGGATTGGCTGCTGCGTTTATAATATTTGCTACCCTTTAAATCATTTTTCTTAAGCACTTGGGGACATTTCTGCTGTATAAACAGGGATGTTGTTGTACTTACATGTGATTTTGATTTTCTTTTCCTTCCAGGTGAGCTGGAATTCTGAACATCTGTCTTGTTAGATAAGGACTGCTGTCTACAATCTTCCTCCAGTTCATCTAATTTTCTTTTCTTTGCCTGGCTAAGTGAGGACCTGATTTGACAGGTACTGTCCTTCAGGGGTGTTGCACCAGTTCTTGCACTGGCTGCCCTCGAAAGGATCATGAGTGTGTGTGCAGCCATATTAACACTGTTTTCACTCCCTGCTTCACTTGCTGGACTGCATGAGGGCAGGTCTGGGGTTGTAGGTGGAGCCATTACACGAGGAGATGCTCGATCATCTCGAACACACTTACTTTGTGGAGTCCGTTGAAAGTCTGAGCAGTCGTACTGCCCTTCATGTACATTGGAGCCAGGCGTCCTGGGCACAGGCAGCTCACTGTTAATGCCTTGTTTGGGGACAGGACTTTGCCTCTGAATGTCTTGGAGCATCTCGGCCGCTTGCTTAGTCAGTGTACCGGTCAGACTGAAACTTTCATTTGCACTTTTATCCTGATTCCTTTTAGAAGACCTGTCTTGGGAGGCTTTTAAAGCAGTGCTCCCTTTCTTACCTTCTTGCTGAGAATCTGAAATTTTACGGCTTGTGCCCTCCTTGTCAAGACCACTTGCTTGAGAACTCGGCCTTTCATCTTGAGAACCGTTTTTTTGCTGTTGCACACTTGAAAGGTCTGACACTTCTCTACATCTCTGCCTGACTTGAACCCTGCTCTTCTCATTTTCCTTATTTGCTGTTGCTTTGTGGAATGTACCTTGGCTCAGGCTTGAAGATGTGCTTTTGTTCTTCTCCAACTTCCCCTGTATTTCCCTTCCTTTACTAAGACTTGTATCTGTCCTTTCAGACCTCTCTTTGTTCTGTTCTGAAGTGCTTTGAGCACCAGAAAGACAGACACTGTCTGTTTGATCTTTATGATTTCACATTGTTTGTTTGTTTATCATCTTGACCTGTGCTGGATTCCACCGTGGATGGATTGGTATCAGTGGAAACAGTATTGTCAAAGCACAGCACTCTTCTGTGCCTTTCATTTGCTGGTGATTTTAAACTTGGTGTGTCACATTTCAACAGTGGATTGCCTGGTTTTCCAATTTGGTCCAAAGTAATTCTCTGGTCTTCATTTCTACTCCTGTAAAAGAATGGAAATTATATAAGTGGTTTCAGACTCCATCAAATAGCACATTAGTTTTAGAAAGCATTTATGGCTGCTTAACACCGATGAACCCCTTCTTACTAGGTTGGTGTCTCACTTCCACTATTTTTCTTCCCATAGTGTCTTGTCTGAGATCCACTGGTGGTGACAGAGTGGGAGAAATGCAACAGGGAAGAGAGAAAGGTAGAGACAAAATTAAACTTGGGGCTGAGTCAATCTCAGTCTCATATTTCCAATACTGAGAGATTAAATAACACAAGCAAAGACTTGGAAAATCGCAGAGAAAGGGAAGCCTCCCTCAGGCCTCCCGTGGTAGACACAAACAGAGGAACTCCAGGTTAAGCAAAAATGGTCAAACAGAGAAAGGCAGATGTTTGTAATTAATAAGAAAATCAACCTCATGAACTGCAGTGAAAAACTACTGGCACAGTAATGCAAAGTATTCTAATGGTATACTTCCTAATCCGGAAAAGATTATACCAATTGATATTCTGCTCCCACTCCCACAAAATGGAAGTGCATTTTTTTCTCTGATTTACAGCGAAAATCAAATTAGTTTTTAACATTTGTCTGCACCAACATAACCTGATGGGATGTGTAATAATAATCCTTCTATTTAATATAGCGTCTTGTCATGTCATCAAGTGTTTATTACTATGGAAATACATCTGCACCTTATACTAGTAGCTGCATTTGAATTGTACAGTGAAGGAATTATTTATATCAAATGCAATTATTATTATGGGTTCCTCTCTATCTCTCTCCTGCTTTACTCCCTCCACAAAGCCCTGGCAAAACTCGCCCACTGGAGAAGCCAAAACATAAATGTCAATTGACCACAATTTGAACAGGGGTCCTACAAAAAACATTTTACATCATAACTAAAAGGAAAAAGAAAGCTGCACAGGCAAAGAACATCCCCAAAACAACACAGAAGGATTTCTCCCAGCCAGTTTAAGACCTTACCTCTGTGGCTGGCAGCTACTTTTTACAACTGATGAATCCAATGAAATGAAAGTGCCAACAGAAGATTGCCCTAGAAAACAAGAACCACAAATTGTACCATTTGAGTACATTACAGACCAAATCATTAAGCAATTGAGCAAATAGCAGAGCCCAGCATACACAAATGGAGATAGAGAATATAAATATTCTTCTTCACTCCAGTACTAGTATTACTGAGACACTGTACAAGATCACTATTAAGCTTAAAGATTTATCATGATCATTATATACAGGGAATGCTGGATATGGTGCTATTCAACCATCATCTGATCATAGAAAGACATGAAAACAAGGAAGCAGCAAGCAGATTTAATGTAATATTTAAACAGTTGCATTTGTTTTCAAAACAGCTTACAGATTAAATATAAGTAAATATGCCAGGAAACGGCTCGAAACAGGTACTCACCTGCTTTGGCAGTGCCCGGACTAACTGTTATCTGTGGCTGTTTCCGTGAAATGGGAAGTTTACTAAACCTGGGACATTGTTTGCGAAGTGGAGATGAAGCGGGAGGTTGGAAAACCTAAGTGAAATAAATCTACCATTAATTATTGCATGTTTTAACCCACGACAAGTTTTATTTCACTATTTTCAAGCAATCATTGTAAGCTCAATAAATGTAACTTGAAAACCCCAGGCCTGGGTGATATTTTCTGTACCTCGAGCCCATCATTCTGCATGAAAATTCTCACACAGTTTGTGTGAGAAATATTAATTACCCATGGATTTCAGATTTTATAACAACAATTTGTTGGAGTTGAAGTGAGAAATGACAATGGAGCAGGATAAAGGAGAAATGGGGGGAAAAGAGTGCAAGGTATAGCTAGTAGGGAGAGGGGCAAGATGCAACCAGGCAGATATTGGTCATAAGGAAATCCATGATCTCCTTGCAAATGGAGAGAGAGGTGCAGATGGAGGGGGCTTGAGGAAGCAGCAATAAGTGGTGGACCTCATCCTTCAGGATAACCCTGTGTTACAAGGTTTTCACGCTGGAGATGGAAAAGTGACAATTTGGAGGTGTCAAGCTCGATTTAGTGATTGAACACAATGCCAGCTTTGTGCCACCAGTGTTTGAGAATAAGTTTTCAAGTTAAAGATTTTGTGCAGATTTTGGTAAACATTCAGAGTACCGTGTATCAAATAAACTTGAAAGATGCATTTCAATCAATTTGCTTCTAACCTCCCAAAGTCCTTCTTGGTTTGATGAAGACCATTCAATATGACATGCACTTCTTGGGGCTCAGTGGGACTTTAGGAATGCCAAGCACTTTACATTGCCCTTCCCTTTCTGCAGGTAACAGTAAAGCTTCCTCTTGGTTCTCCCTGCAGTGAAACAGCCTAGATTGACAGTATTGCAGACTTGTACCCTGTGTCCTCCCATTCTGTGATACCAAGGCTCAAGGCAAGCTCCAGCCCCATGTCCTTCCATTTTATGATCAGGGCTCACTGTGTGGCGAATGGTAGGATGCAAGTCTCATCTCACCCTTCTGTGACACGAGGCTAAACACACAAAACATAACTAATGCATTGAACAGAAAAAATAACTGGGGTCTAGACCTTCTATGGCGGATCGCTTTTCTGGAGGGCAGTCCTTTCAAAAATAAATAATTTGGTCATTCAATCCACAACTGTTTGTGGAACACTGCTGTGCGCAAAAGGCTGCCGCATTTTGCCCACAAAATATACACTTTACAATATATTCTGTGAAGCAATTTGAGGTGTTTCTAAGATGTGATAAGGCGCTATAACAAATGCAAGGATTATTATACGACAAACACTTCCAAATGTTTTCACTAATATTCAAGCGTACTGGTCCATTCATAATGATCTGAATAATAATCAGGGAAAAGCTTACTTGCTACTGTGCATCAAAGCTCTGTGCCCAAATACAGTGATACCCGATTATAACAAAATTGTTGAGGTTCAAAAAATTCCTTCCACCACTATAACAGTGTTCACTATACCACTATAATTGGTGGTGAACATTTGCACATTCGCTGTGCATGTCTGCAGAACGTCAAATGCCAGCTGGCGCAAGAAGCCAAAATAGTCAACGTCATTGATCATTGGGTTCCCTTGATGTCACTTGCTATGCACCGACATTGAGGCGACTTAATGTCCTGGAAACCAGCCTTTTGCTCGCGCTTCGGAGGCCAAAATGGCCAATATTGAGTAACCACCAATTTCACTTTCTCTGTGCTGTACAGGGGTCTAGAAAGCCATCAGTCCTGCAATACACAACCCAACCTGCTCATACTAATAGTTTAAATTGTATTTTACAATGGTCAATCAAATCTACTAGTGTGAGTAGGTTTGGTTGTGCATCATCACTTTCTGTACATGCACAGCATAGAGCTGGCCATGGGTCCACAAGACACCAGCCTTATAAGCAAACCCATGCTACAACAAAGTATTCTGTAACAAGATTCCACCATAATACACAAACAGCCTCCTCATAAAATCCAAATATTTTATACCCTTCTTTTACAGATGCAGTAAAGCCACAAGCTTAAGGTAAACCAAACCCTTTTTCTCAGTCACTGCTATTATATTCCAATAAAGAGTTCATCTGAACTCACCTGTTGGGTGGACACTGTGAATGGAGTTGGGCTGTTCTGACCCATTACTGAAACTGGAATCACTCCCACCATTCCTTGCAGCACCGGTTGAATGGGGGAAGTGATGTAAAAAGTCGATCCTGAGGATTCAAGGCACATTGGTTAGTAACTACAGTTTAGAAATATCAAATCATGGTCACGTAAAGATTCAAACCTAATGACTCCCAAAGCAGAGCGTGAGACAACAACAATTAAATAGCAAACTTCACCAGACTTTGAGATTTGTATTTTACCATACAAAGGAAGATCTTGTAACTGATCCACTGGAGGGATAGGGAAGTGCAGTTCCAGGCAGTTTTTCCAGGTTGACACATCATTTACTCTGGTGATTTTGCCATGAGCCCTTTTTAAACCTGTGTTAAACTCCACTGTGTAGAAAAGGCCTTATGCCTCCGAATGAAAATCAAATTTCTCTTTGCTTATTTTTGCTTCCACTATTTACTGCAATAGCAAAGACACAAAATCCTATTTAGTTGAGTTAGGTGATTAAAATACAAATTCAGATCAGTTTTTAAGATTTGTGTTCTACAAGGCTGAATGGAGTTAATGAACTATGTGGGGAGCACGTAGCTAAACACCAGACTTGATTTATGGTCTGGGCTGAGTTAGCAGAGAGGTTTATCTGGTCAACATTCAGGGCCAGCCTGACATACGAAGAACACCGACCACTAGATGAGGTACTGGCTGCTATCCCCTTATCCCTCCTCCCCTTTCTTACAGGGGACCAAAGCAAAATCAGGAAAGTCAATTGTACCATCTAAATTTCTAATTAGTTACAATAATCTTATTACAAGCTTTCACACAGATTGTCTGCAACACTCAATCATCAACAACTTATATTTATAATAGTGTGCTTCATGCAGGGTAGCGTCGTGGAGCGCTTAATAGTGGCAGAACCTGACCCCGAGCCTGGGACAGGGAGGAAGTAACGTGAAACATGAGGTCGAAGAGGAAGGTTTTAACAACGTGACAAAAGTGCTCACTTTCCAACGTTGACTCACTTTCCTTTCTCCATAGATGCTGCCTGACCTGCTGAGTATGCCCAGCGACTTCTGTTTTTGTGACAAAAGTGCTATCTGCACAAGTCACTCTACTTCAATGCTACCTGGTTACTAAACACTTTACCAATTGGTAAAATTGGTAAGTACAAGCATTGTACGCTCGGCTCCCTCCCTTGAAATAAAGTATGTTGACAATGTCATATAATAACATTTGGAGACAAAAACCATTGCAATCTATTATTTCTAAATAAATAGATAAGACGTCAAATCATTTGCCTGTTCAGATGGAAGATAAAGATCCCATGGCACTATTCAAAAATAGAAGCAAATTTCTCCCAGTGTCCTGGTCAACAACCCTCCCAAATAAAATTGGCCAATCACTTCACGGCTGTTTGTGGCAAGAAAATGGTTATAAATTGGCTGTCACACTTAACGTACAATTTTACAATGTATCAGGTGAGGCAATTTAGATGTCCCCCGGGGGTGAAAGGCACTATATCAAATGACAGGATTATTATTACTTATAAGTTCAATATTCTATAGGATCATCAGCTGCACTAATACCTTGTGGAAAACTTGAAGATACAGGCTGTCCCATAGTCAAAATAGTGCTTGGCCTCGGAGGGGTCGACAATGCTTGTGGAACAGATGTGGAGAACGTTGCAGCACCACAGCTATTTGGTAACATTAAGACGTTTGCAGAGCTCCCTCGGCCGCCCAAAACAAATGGATTCCTGTTATTTGGCTCAACTCTTTGGTTCAGAGATCGTCCTGGAGAACTACAAAAGGAGGGAGAGTCTGGCACGCAAGTTGCAATCAAAACACTATTGGATTGCCCAAAGGTGGCACCTGCAGGTAACAGCTGTATGTAACCAGTATTGTTTGACAGACCAATTGGCTTCTGGGTGGAAAATACAACCCTGTCTCTCTGTGGTGAACTCACTGTAAGTGTACAGGTAGTTATACTTTGTGTTGGTGCCGATTGAACACTGACTAGGGCAAGATTCTGCACAGTGCTTTCAGGCTCCTCTGCCACTCCCAGAATATTTACAGCATTTTCAATTTCTTTATTACTAACCCTCCGACTGTGGCTAGAGACTGTAACAGCCCCACCCTTTCCACTTGTTGAAGGCTGGGTTACACCTTTGCCTTGTAAAGACGTCCCACCTGGAGAGGATAATACAATTGTGGGCATATTTTCATTATTTTCATTTGTAATACTGGACACTGCACTGGTTAATTCAGTGTCCGATGAAGGCTGTTTGGGATCATCACAAATGACGATCTTGAGATTTACTATATCTTTGGGATCCACTTCTACTGTACTGGAAGGCTCAGGGTTCAAAGCTTCAGATGTGGGAATAACATCAGATGTTGCAGAGGTGGTGGCTGGAGAGAACGTGGAGATTGTGTTCGATGAAAGATTGTTTCCTTCGGGAACAGGTTTCAACCCAGAAACCTCGGAGTCCAGGTGCAGGGATGTAGCCTTGGCCTCAGTGTTTGATCTGGAAGATACAGAGGAAGACACTGGTTCCATTTGGTCAGGTAATTCCACACCCTCTGAAATGTCGTCCTTTACAGGTGTGCTGGAATTAATAGAGTTCACTGAACTGGAATTTACAGTTGAAACAAGGGAACTATCTTCATCTTGTGAAGGCTGTGCATTGATTAAAGAGGAGCTTGGGTCGATTACAGGTGAATGTGAAACTGTTGGCTGCTCTGACACTGTTTCTATTGAGGAACTATTAGGCTCAACCAACAACAGTTTGCTTCCATCGTGATCACCAAGCACCATCTCACAGCTGTTCTGACCTTGGAGAGATGACTGAAACAAGCTTTCACTACTAGTTGAAGGAGTCATTTCACAAACTTCAACCGCACTCTCACCATCTATCCTTTTATCCAAGACGTTTGGGGGCACTGGCTCTTTGAGCTTGCCCGGACTTGTAATCTCGGATGCAGCATCATCACAAACTGAATGTTGCTCATTAAATGTAACAAGACATTCACTTTGCTGGGTTATTTGAGAATTGTCTTGAGCTTTCTCATTGGGATCAGTAAGCTGTTGAATGCCAGCAGGCTCCTCACTCATATCCTGTTGCAGGATCACAGATTCATCTGCACTTTCATGATTAGTGGATGGAGACTGGTCTTCAACTTCCATTTCAGCTACATCTTCAGGATCATGAGGCTCACACACAGCTGACTCAGTTGGATGATCAGCAACAGTAGAAGAAAGGGAAGGTGCAGAATTGGCAACTTCTGCTGTACAGTGGTTACATTCATTTGCCTGGATGGGGAAGGTAAGATTGTCCGTAGAAAGTGCTGCATCAACTGGACTGATCTCTTGGAAGAGATTCTCTTGTTTCTTGGATTCTGAACTGGAACTTGACTCCTGTAAGGTTTTCTGAGTTACAGTTACTGTGCTGTCAGCTTTGCTTTTGGAACCATTTTGCACATTCTCATCAAGGACTGTTGAAGGAAAGTCCTCCAGCTTCTCATCTAGAAAAACAATTAAGAAAGTTGCACAATTTTTACAGGTAGCACCTAAAGCATTAAGTTTAGAAAGTGCTTTGATGTGATCATCCTATGTGAAAGACACTAATCAAGTGCAATTTGTTGTTGTACCTTAATGGGCAATTCTTATATTTTTTGCTCTTGAATATCATATACATTCAAGAATTACCCATTAAGGTACCACAGCAACTTGTACTTAGCCTTTCATGTAGGGCGAATAGCTTGAAGCACATTACTGACATAATTGAGAACCAAGCATGGAAGGGGGAGATTTAAAGATGCTGACCAAAAGCATGGTTAGAGATCTGTTTCGCAAAGGGCTTTAAAGATCGAAGCAAACCATAATGAAATGAAAACTAACCCAATTCTTCTGTTTGAAAAGAGTTAAAGGTCTCCACATCTTCAGTGAAGGCTGAAGTTGTACTACTTTCTATTACTTGTAAATCATCTTGGCGAGAGAGTCCATGATCAGTATCCTCATCTTTTTTGGATTTACCTACACCAATCAGAAAGAAAAAATTTACAGGGATAGGGGAAAGAGCGGGGTAGTGGGACTGAATGGGTAGCTCTTCCAAAGAGCTGGCGCAGGCACAATGAGCTGAATGGCCTTCTGGGCTGTAATATTCTATGATTCTAGAGAGGAAAGAAAAGGTTTTGCCCCGCCATTCAATCATGGCCAATCTTCTAATCTAACTCCAGCTAATAACCTAACCCTGCCTTATCCCCATATCATATGGGGGATGAGGAGGAGGCCAGACCTGGAGGAATGAAGGCAACAGGTACTGTTTTGAGGAGAGAGGTCAGAGAGGTAGGGGAGTGCAGGGATTTGAATACGTGGGTGAGGATCTTGAAATCGAGATTAGAAGAGTATAGAATATTAGCAGGGGATGGAACTGGTAGAGATTAAATAGTTAAAGGGAAGACAAGACCGTGAAGGAAATGAAAGACAAGAACTAGTTATAAAGTTGATCCGATGGTGTGCTGGGAGCCAGTGGAGCTTGGTAAAGATTAGGCGTACGGAGCGGAGCCTAAGTTAAGAATTTGCTAAAAATTTTGAGGGTAGAAAAGTAGCAAACAATAATGAAATGAAAACTAACCCAATTCTTCTGTTTGTAAGGAGTTACGGGTCTCCATATCTTCAGTGAAGGCTGAAGTTGTACTACTTTCTATCATTTGTGAATCATCTTGCCCAGAGAGTCCATAATCAATATCCTCATCTTTTTTGGATTTACCTACATTAGTCAGAATACAAAGCAATGGATAAAATAAATCCATAAACACACAAAATTGCAAATAAAAATCTAGATCAGCAACATTGAACTAACTGAATATCCAAATATTTTCAGATTCCAAATTCAAACCAAAAAAGCACAATTTTCCTAGAAATTAAGTTTAAAAAAAATATCGGTGAAAATCTTAGCTCATAGCATTCACAGATAAAGGTTTTGAAGACATGAAAGTAAAGTAGTGCAGTGCTACATTGCCCAAACCTTGTGTCTTTGGTACAGTTTTAAGAGAACATCCATCTCAATTATCTTCCATCACATTTCTAGAATGAGCAACAGAATATTGATTTTTGTGCCATAACTTCATCGCACAAAGCATTTCTAAATCTAACTTGCACACAAAGTTTGCATACTTTAACGTACTTTAGATTTTAATCATCCCTCCATACCTTTATTTGGGTAATTTTTGTTGGCTGCAATGCCGAATATATATATCCCATTTTCACCCAGGCATTTCTCAATGTTAAAATGCACGAGAACCCATTTAAAAGAGGTGAACCAGACATTGTCTATATGTCAGTAAATCCGCAATAGATAAATAAAAAGCAGCATTCCTTTACGAACCATAATCAAAGAGATCATAAAGTGCCTGAAAGGCTGGGTCTGACTCAGTCTGCTCCAAGATGTCCTGGATAGCTTCATCAGACATGTGAACTTCATCCTACAAAAGGCAAGAGGTTTTTTATGTTATAAACTTTAATTGTATTTCTATCTGCAGATTTCATGTTCACACAAGATCAATCAGTTGGGGTAGGTAAGGGTTCAAGGTGACATGCCTGGCAATGGAATATCAAAAGTCTATCCTCTGGGATGGTCTCGGTGATAAAGTTCCAGAGTCAGCAAAATACAGAGTACTCCAAGGAAATGCTGATGACAGACCAGGCAGCTGGCTCAACAGGAGTACCTGGAGGAGCAAACCACTCACAGAGATTCTTCCTTCCCACTGTGCTCCTGATAACCTCACAAGATAAAGCCCTAACATGCAAGGTTGGTCCTAGTAGCACAAGATGTGAGAAGCTTGCCAGTGTCAGTTATGGTAAGCTGCATGGTTTTAGCTAGTCAAATTCCAGCAGTACCCCAACAAACACATCCCAAGCCTTGGCTCTTGCCAACCCACCCCTAAACTCTCTGGAGTTTATGCAAGAATGCTGCTTCCATCTGGGAAAGTGCGGACTCCATACCATGTGTAAATTTCTATTGGTGTTGGAGGCACATGCATTCTCTGCACTGTCATAAACTGAAACCCCCTGAAACTCACCGTGCTCAGAAATCGTAGTCATTATCCCCTGCACTCTTTATCCTACAAGATAAGGGTGTATCCATTTCTTTCAGGTTGATTAATCCAATTTTATGCACAGAATTATTCCAGAAAATATCCATCCAGTTCAAACTGTACATTAGCTATGAACATGATGGGCCAAAGACCTCTTTCCACATCTTAATTTCTGAATCCATAAAACTATATTTAACATTTAGCATTGGAAGTCACAGGATTCTGAGAAGAATTAAAATTTATGCTAAAGAGATATAACCACTTTACCCCCAGGCCAAGGATTTCATCAATCGACTGATCTGGTAAAGATGTACTGCTGTCTGGTGGCTTTGAGGTGTGTGTATTACTTTCACTGTAAAAGATTTTAATACATTTAGTTTAGGTTCAGAACTTAAATACAGATCATTGTTACTCTAAATGCAAGCACAAATTATTCCAAATGTCTTCTGTTCCATTTAGAAAAGTCTTGCGCACATTATTAAACAGTCATTGTGTACTTTCCTTTTACTTTCAATATTCACCAATTCATGCTTTACTTATTACAAGACAAATTTCAGATTTCAGAATTTAAAAAAATTCTACGTTGTATTACTATAGGCAGTTTTAGTTCAGTTAAATAATTTCAAGTCCAGAACACAGACAATTTAATTCTATAGACATTTTTAATCTCACTCAATAAAGTGGGAAGGATACAAAGCATGAACAGTAGAAACTTCTGTATCAGACACCACATCAGTTTGTTACAGTGTACATTACCTGAACATGACTTTATTGATGTTTTCTGCAAGTTTCTCCAGCAGGGAGCGGTCTTTCAAGATTTTCTCCCTGGCATTTTCAATTACCCTTTGCTGAAAAAAAAAGTCAATTCAACTAAACATCATGCCAAGTCAACTACTACCCTCGATGAAAACACTCAATCTAAACAGTGACATTTAAAAGAACTAGTCGACTTAGCCTGTTTGTAGAACAGAGGTATATCTGATCCAGATGTAGAACTTTTCAATTCACTCCCTCCAGTAAAATTCTTCATTTTGGGGAAGCTGTATGTAAGATGGGGATAGGAGCAACAGAACTTCCTTTAAATTAGTTGATTTGCTCAGATGCGAGATGTTTTAGAAGTCTAGGGTTCGCTACAACTTCCGAGCCCGAGACTCTGAAACTCTTTCTCGAGTCAATCAAGAAACTCTCTGCATATTGTCCCCTCCTTGCCAGTCTTCAGATCACACCTGAAGATTTTCCTTTTCAACCATACCTAGACACTAACGCCCACACCCCCCCACAGCTCGGGATAACGTTCCATCTCTGTTAAGCGCTCCGACAGGCTGCCCTACGTGAAGGGCACTACATAAATGCAAGTTGCTGTTGTTGAACACAGCCCGTTAATATTTTATAATTCCCATCTGCTCTTAAAGGTGCTGACACATGCAGATGTTCCACGAGTTCCAGGAGTCTTCAACTATCTCACCTAAACAGCAAATCTTTATATCTGAAGCCTACACTTTAGACATCAAACAGAATAAACTTTATATATTGTATTGAAAAATGTGTTAACATTTGTTTTGAATAAACTCGGGAGAGGTAGGGAAAGCCTTTGAACAGAAATATACTACCCCAGGCTTTCCTTCCTTCTAAGCTGAAGTTATGTTTCAGTCCAAATATCCACTATCGTCTTTGAAGAGCTAACTGTGAAATCAAGTGGGTGTTAATAAGGCGGGGGGGGGGGGGGGGGGTGGGGGATGCATAGTTAGATCAGATTGTAGTGGCACAGACATGACCGATTTTCTGTTAGTATCTACTGAAGAAGTCTTAGCTAGGGGGAGTGAGTGATAATTCTGAGTTAGTGCCTGTATAAGCAATACTTACTGGAAAGTTTTCTACAGCAATTTCCACTTGACTTTCCTCCCCTTCATTTTCTGCAGCTTTAGCAGCTGAATTCTGCCCTGACACTAGGCCGCTTCGCTTTCGCGGAGAGTCACTAAAATCAAAAAACAGCAAATAAAATATTCTTTAAAACTAACAGAAAATTATTCACGAGGTATTTAGAATATATTTTTTCCAATGTAGTCTGGCATGGAATTAATTCTATATTTAGTCCTTCTCACTTGCCCAAATCCTTTGCTCCAGATTCTGGTCTGTTGCTTACTTCTTACCCCCTCCACTCTACCATTGATGGTGAAGCCAGAATCCGACCCCTGGAACTCTCTTTTAAGGCCTCTTTGGTCTCACTTCCTCTCTCTTTCGCCCACCTTCAAAGGCTGGACATTCTTTTAAGAATTACAAAGTTAAGACTGAATTCCACAATTTCCCAAATTGCGTACATTCTAAAATGTCACATAGTTGAGAGTAAGCCAAGTGGAATTTCTCCCCATATACAAACGTTATATCTTTTTCTGTCCCTTTCTCAAAAACATGTCACCAATAATACTACTTTCCACTTCCTACTTAAAATAATTTTCAAAGCACTTTTTAATAAAATCACCCAATCTCTTTAGTTTTAAAACAAGCTAAAGTCACAATGTTAATTTTCAATCACATCTGTTCCATTTATTTGGAAAAGTTGATTGCAATCAGTCCCATTGAAATAAATATAAGCATAATGCTGTTGTGCTGTAAGGCATAAAAATAATGCAAGTTTTTTGACACACCAAAAGCAATACTCAATGTTAATAAAAGAAACCATGAAGAACAGAAACAAAAACAGAGAGAGCTGGGAAAACTCAGCAGGTTAGGCAGCATCTATGGAGAAAGAAAAGTGAGTCAACGTCTCGGGTCCACGACCCTTCGTCAGAACCATGGACCATTGATGGTGGACCCGAAACGTTGACTCACTTTCTTTTCTCCATAGATGCTGCCTGACCTTCTGATTTTTCCCAGCTCTCTGTTTTTGTTTCAGATTTCCAGCATCTGCAGTATTTTGTGTTTTGACCATGAAGAACAGATTGACTTCAAGTTATTTCTATAATCTGATGCAGTCAATAAGCCTTATACAAAGGAATACTGACTACTTGCCAAGAACACCTGCTGAGAACATCAATGACAAGGATACCAGTGGTGGCCACCCTTTAAAAATTTTCATGATTGAATATTTCTTGATTTATGCCATAAATCAAGAAATATTCAATCAAGAAAAAAATAAAAACACACTACCCATTGAACCTAGACTCATGCAAATGTTTGGGGGGGGGGGGGCTGCTTCTTGACATCAAGTGAGCCACATGTTGGCCACCACTGCTATAAACACTGCAACAAACCGATCCTGGATTTTAAAGCATAATCTAGTTGACGAGGAAATGGAAGCACGACCTCAACACAATTGACCTCATTGACGCTAGATCCTGGCTCTGCGAATATTAGGATTAGCAGCAGAAAGGGAACATCTGAGACTTTGTAACCAAAATAAACAAATGATGGGTTAAAACTACTACAAATGCAAAATAGAAAACTGCATTTGAACAGATTTGAGTTTCAAATATTGAAATGACAACGATACTCAAGTAAAATACAAGATGAAAACATAACCCATCGGGACTGCAGCTTTAAAACAATCTAGTTCCCATTGCGATCAGTTACCATTTTCGTTTTGCTGGGGAAATGTGCTCAGCGTGTATTCTTCGATCATTAGATCCAGGGACAATGATGTGGAGGACATCAGCTAAACAAAGAAAATGAAATGGTTCATTACAACACCGATTTATTTCATTCTTGCCCCTTCTCCCCTTGGAAAATTTGGTTTCATCCACTTGATTCAGGTTGTGTTACATTTTGGAAATAGTAAATCGTGGCTCAATGAATTAAGCAAGGTGGATTTTGCTAATAAAGTAGTCAGAAAACATTCATCAACCCACATCTCTCTTGTTTGTTTTCAAGCCAAAAGGATTTTTATTTTAGTTAAGTCAGTCAGTCTTCTTCCTGTGTGGCAATTACTATCTTTCCTGCACATGTGCAAACTTTGACCTAATTGGAATAAAAAGTGCATACTTGTTTCAAATGATGCAAACATTATTTATAGCACCAAAATGACACATTAATTGTAGTAACAAAGACACTCTTTTAGTGTTTCTTGTTTAGATGCACCAAACATAGTGGCGTTAAAAATGAAAACACGAACACTGGGAAGGACTGCGAATGTTTTATCCAAGCTGTTCTGTGACTTCTACTCCTGATAAATCTTCATTGCTAGAAGTTAGATGACAATAACCCACTTACCACTCAGGTTAGTTGTAGGCTGAATGAGATCTTGTGAGTGGGACTGGCGACTACAAAGATCAGGCTGAGGTTGTGAGATAACTGGGTTGACTCCAGAGCTCGGCATTATCATGACCGGGTTTGCTGCCAGCGGTGTAATAATCATTGGCTCGATTTGTGGCGAAATGGACAATAGGCTGGAATTAGCTGTGGAGATTGTTCTTGAAGAACAGGCCCCTCGACGTCTTAATTCTGTTAAAGAATTCTTTGTGCGAGCTGTGAAAAACAGTTTTTTTTTAAAATCCAAGGACTCCTTCGAGGAAATTAAACATTCAAGGCATAATTCCTGTGGCATAAGCAATCAAAATTAAAATATAGAATTCATCTACATAGAAACTACTGTACCTCAATCAGCCCAAAATTATTGATCCATCCTGGAGTATATCAGCAGACCCAAAACGGAGCATAATATCACAGGCACCAGGAGACCCAGCCTGGAGTATGATTTTGCCACCACCAACAACCTCCAGTACTTCACCTTCAACCTTGTGAAGTACAAGGGGTCAAGTGACCTCATTCTGTGCTGTAAATGTCTATGATTCTTTTTGAACAGATAATATCCACTGAAAATTCAGCTATGGAGAACATTACAGCCAAGGCTGAACTTGTGGAATTTCTGACACGTTTTGCAGCTAACAGAGGGGAAGAACTGAAGCTGGGACATTCCTGATTAGCATTTTACTGGGCAATGCATATACCCACTAAACCATCATGAGAACTATTTAACCTTAAAGTACAATGCACAAAACCGTTCACTTTTCTTGGGGTGGGGGGGTGGGAAGCGGTAGAGAACAAAATTTAAAAGGTTTTTTTAATGAAGATACATGCAAATAAGATATACCTCTTTGATTTGAAGCGATCGTCAGGGAACTTTGCTGCAAGTTCCTGTGAAGAGAAATGACAGGGATTAGAGACAATTGCAGCCCAGAAACAAGACAAAATACTATTCCCAAACAGGGCTCAATTGTTAACTATGGCATCGGCAATTCTGAAGCTGAAGAGGTCAATTCGTTCATGAACAGCCCTAAGTACGGCACTGGTTCCCGCCTGAGTACATGATCTGATACTGTGGATCTCCAGGATAACAAATGTGACAAAGAAAGGCATTTATTTTATTTACATTATAAAACAATATGGGCAGGGGATGTTCGGAGAAAGAGATAGAGGACAACAAAGAACTTTACCCTACCAGATATAGTTTAGTCTGCATAGAACACTGGGAGACTAACTTGAGCTTATCTAAAAGACTTAATTACCTAATTTGAGAAAGTGTGTACTCCAACTTTCTCCATAAGGATGGCAGCACTGCAGGAGCTTCTGGCATCGAATCTACACAGCAAGGAGAGAAAATGGTTGGTTCATGAGTTCTGAATAACAAACACCAGCCCCTCCTAAAAAGCATGTAGTCAGACAAGAACAGAACTGACTAGTTTGTCGCCCTCACCAGCTGAACAACCTATAAATTCTCAACATCGGAGCCCTCACATGAAGAATGACAAGCTGAGCAATGTATTAAAGAGGTTGTCAGTCCTAAGAACCATGCTTCAGCAAAAAATTGAGACATCCAAGAGGAAAGGGTTAACTTGATACTCTCACTTTAGTACCATCACCCATGCCTCCATAATAAGGCAAGAAAGATTGCTATCATTAAAATCTGTTGCAATAATTCCCGGAGGAACGGGTCTAGTTCTCTTCAACCGTGCCTTTACCTCCTCTCTCGACTCTCTACCCCTCCTCGCTCCCTCCCTTCCCTCCCCTCACCCTGACCAGTTCCCCCCTGCTCGGGTCCTGACCCAACTCTCCAGCGCCTTGGGACGTCCTCCCGACGTGAAAGGCGCTCTATAAATGCAATCTTGTTGTTGTTCTACCAGATCTGTTTGTGGAGTGCTGACAGAATGGAATTCACTACCTTCCAGCACAGCGCTCTTACTAGGAGCATTAAACAAACTAAGTTTAAGCACCCCCTATCCTCAAGTAGTTTTACACATTAGCCCAAATCAATCCAGATTGTTCATTAACTCTACAAGGTCAACGTTTGCTCACGATACCTGGATTGTGCCAAATTACCAACACAATTTTCTTTTCTAAGGTACTTGGCAACTCCCCCTCCCTAATCCTTCTCTCACCTACATTTTCCCTGCATTTTTGTGGTGTGTCTTACTTCCCAGTAACGTCCTAGTTACTTTTGCGTTGTTACCCACAGGCAACAAGTTCAATAGCTGGCTCTGCACAGAAAAGTTTTCTATCAAATCACAGAAGGCTAATAACCATACATTACTTACCCTTCGCTTTCATAACAACATATTCATTGAGGATAGTTTTCAAATTTTTCCCAAAAAGCGACTGAAAAAAACCAGATACAGAACATCAGTTGGCAGATTACCTTTTCAATGGTGCAGGATCACAGTAAAATGTCCAAAGGTTTCAAAAGAGAATGATTTGAAATTATATTGTAACAGAAATTTACATTTAAATGTATTTATCCAATTAGGGATCTTTATGTAATATTTATCCAATTAGGGGTCTTTATACAATAGTAAAATAAGAATTCTTGCATTTGATATAGTGTTTTATTACATCATTGAGACGTGTCAAAGCGCTTCACTGAATATATTGTAAGGTTGACTGTATTTTGTGGGCGAAACGGGGCACCTAATTGTGCACAGCAGTGTCCAAAACAGTTGTGGATTGAGCAACTAAATTATTAAAACTGCAAATGGTACATACTAAAATATGCTAAGTACCTACATGGAATAGTTGCTCTCTAGTGGCTACACAACTTTGTATTTGGAACTCCACACAGTGTTTACAAGACCATGCATTTTGACAGACTGAGTTTTGAGAATCCATTATCCCTTTAAGTGGAAATCTTCCTGTCACACCAATGTCAATTTTTGAAGAAAAAAAACTTCACAATGGTGCCTTAACTGTTGCTGGTTCTGCAGATTTAGATTGGTAGTAATAAACGAAACCACTTTCTCAGCATCACCACAATAAGCCCCTCACATAAGATTTGAAATGTTTATATGCATATAAATGCTGGCCCTCAGTAGGAAACACACACAAGATTCCTGAGATCAAAGTTTCCACGTGCACAATTATGCCAATACAAAATAGATTTACACTGTGCAACTAGGTCAGCCTTAGTGATCAGAGCTCAGGCTTATGACCACTGTCACAGTCACACCTTTTGTTCTCTATGCCCGTCTGTTGTTTAAATATATTGAGTAGCGCTTTAAATACATTTTTTATATATATTTAACATTTTTGATACTTATGGTGCCATCAAGTCTGACTCTAGCGTCAATTGCAACAATTTGGAGGAGTAACTTACCATTCAAATATGCAAACTGAAGGATTGGAAGTGTACTCCCCTATTGGGCAACTGAGGGGAGGATCTCATTGGACCATNAAAAAATTACAACAAGTAATTGGTGCAATACAATAACCATTGGGTATCTTAATTTGGGGAGGGGCTCAATGCCCATAAAAGAACCAACACCATGTCCTCGTGGTCACTATTTTTATACCTGATAACAACAAAGGTATGTGCTCTGACTATTGACGAGTAATAGTCAAGAGGTTGTATCTTTGTGCACTTTTACACTAATTTGATTACAAGTGGCTGCTAGCGTGTGTAGTTTAAGTGTGATTTATGTTTGTTATCTCATACTTGTGTTTGTTGATATTTATTTTGTTGCTTAATATTTAATGCCAAGAGGTGAGGATTTCATTGAAGCTACAATAAAATTCTGTTGAGCTAACTTAACTGTGCTTTAACTTGAGCGTTCTGTGTAACTCAAAGAGGGAGGGAATACACAAACGGGTTCAGCTTAGGTCACACGAGGTGTATAATAAACCTCTGATTGGCTGCTTCCCAATTTGCTTTAATTGAAATAGTAATTGGTAGTACCTGTTGTCATGGAAGAACTCATTAGTCAAGTTACACCTAATTATAGGGACTTACATTCATTAGTAAGTATTCATCACAGACCACCCAGCGCACCGAGGTAGAGTGGCCGTATCATGGGTGTACATATAAGGGTGATAGAACCATCTCACCACCCATCTCAAATATATATATTAGTTTACAGCAACGCCTGTCATCTTCACAAAAATTTGCCAATTATTAATGAAGTATTTAATGAAGCCACAAATGGCTTTTCCTCCACCCCCGCACTGTCTCGTGCGGTGTCCCTCAGGGCTGTCCTCGGTCCCCTCCTCTTCACCCTCTATACGCTCCCCCTTGGTGACATCATCCGCAGACATGGGGTTAACTTCCACATATATGCGGATGACACCCAACTCTACCTTTCCTCCTCTACTCTCAACTCCACGACCACCGATGTCCTGACAGCCTGCCTGTCCGACATCGAGTCCTGGACGAGAGACAACTTTCTTCAGCTCAACGTGCGAAAAACTGAGGCCCTCCTGATTGGCTCACGTCAGCGCCTCCGCACCTCAGGCGCTGACACCATCAGCATCCAAGGCTGCACTCTCCACCTCTCAAAGCCAATCAGGAACCTCGGCGTTTTGTTCGACCCTGAGCTGTCCTTTCTCCCTCACATCCGCGCCACAACTGGCACCGCCTTCCATCACCTCCGGAACATCGCCAGACTACGGCACTACCTCACCCCTCACGCTGCTGAAACTCTGGTCCACGCCTTTATCACCTCAAGGCTGGACTATGGGAACTCTCTCCTCGCCGGCCTTCCCGGCACCTCCCTCCACAAGCTGCAGGTCATTCAGAACTCTGCAGCTCGTGTACTGTCCCGCACCAGGCTTCGGGACCACATTACTCCCACCCTCGCTCGCCTCCACTGGCTCCCCATCCCCCAGAGGATCGAATTCAAGATCCTCACCTACAAGGCCATTCACGGCCTCGCTCCCTCCTACCTCTCCGACCTACTATCCCCCTACCTACCTGCCCGTACCCTCCGTTCCTCTGGCTCCGGTCTGCTCCACATCCCCCGCCCCAACCGCCCTACCATCGGTGGCCGGGCCTTCAGCCTCTCAGCCCCGAGGCTCTGGAACTCTATCCTCCAGTGCCTTCGCTGCCTCCTCCCTTTCCTCCTTCAAGGCCGGTCTCAAGACCTTTCTCTTTGACCGAGCCTTCAGCTCCCCTCTCGAATCTCTCTACCCCCTCCTCGCTCCCTCCCTTCCCCTCACCCTGACCATTTCCCCCCTCCTTGCTCCCTCCCTTCCCTCCCCTCACCCTGACCATTTCCCCCCTGCTCGGGTCCTGACCCAACTGTCCAGCGCTTTGGGATGTCCTCCCGACGTGAAAGGCGCTCTATATATGGAATCTTGTTGTTGTATTTAATTGGACTGGCAGAGAGGGGCGATAATATCAACAAATCCAAGAGCGAATTAGATATCTATTTGGGCCATAATTCAATTGAGAGGGATGAAAGAATGTTGGATTTATTTTATACAGTTTTTTTAAATTTAGTTAATTAATAATAATTTAGTCACTCAATCCACTATTGTATAGTGTGCCCAATTTGTGCTGTGCGCAAATGGCTGCCGCGTTTCACCTGCAAAGTATACAGTCAATCCACTTTACAGTATATTCTGTGAAGCGCTTTGAGACGTCTCAAAGACGCGATAAGGTGCTATATCAAATGGAAGCATTATTATTATTTACTTTTTAACTGTGGCCCAAATGATGCAACAATTTTTTTCAGGCCTATACACTTATGTAATTAACTGTTCAGATAAATATAAAATGTATACAGTACCAGCAAACAAGCAGGAACCACTCCATCCTCTGTACTGTGCTCTGCATACTCCTTTAGATCAGCACTCTCCAGTATAAAGGCTCTGTAAGTGTTAGAAAGTTTTTCCTGCTGCAAATAACCTGAAATATAAAAAAATCAAGTTTATTATACGACTTATGTTTCCTATAATTGATGTGCTCCATATTTGTATGTTTTATACTAATAGTATCAACATAATACCAATGTTAACTACAACAACAAGATTACATTTGTATAGCGCCTTTCACTTTCTAACTCCCTGCTTGTTTGCCTTCTGAACTCCTCGTTCTACAGGCTGCAGATAATCCAGAACTCTGCAGCCCATGTCCTCTCCCGCACTAAACTCCGTGACCCCATCTCACCCAACTCCATTGGCTCCCTATCCTTCAGGGGATCCAGTTCAAGATCCTGGTCCTCACATACAAAGCCCTCCGTGGCCTCGCCCCACCCTACTTCTGCGACCTCCTAACCCACTACCAATCCGCCCGCTCCCTCCGCTCAGCCGGCTCCGGCCTGCTCCACGTCCCCCGACCCACCCACCCCACCATTATCAGGAGAGCCTTCAGTCACTCTGCCCCCAAACTCTGGAATTCCATCCCCCAGTTACTCCGTCTCGCCCTTTCCTTATCCTCCTTCAATTCCCGCCTCAAGACCCTTGTCTTCACCCATGCCATTGGCCACCCCCCTATCACCCCCCCTCCCCTCGACTCCAGCGCAGGTCTGAAATGCTGTACACTGGGACGCCTTGGGACGTCCTCCCGACTTGAAAGGCGCTATTCAAATGTAATATTGTTGTTGTTGATCTCCCGGTATCCTGGCCAAGAATGCCCCAAATAAGCTGCACAAACTGACTACCACATTCTCCCGACAAAACAAATCCCGTGAAGCACTTTGGGACACCATTCTAACGTGGAAAATATCGATCCTCTCTGGGACAGCCAGCCAGCGCAGTCTGGCAAGGACTGAGGTAGTCGGGGAGCGGAGTTTGGTGCGGGTGACAGAGTTTTGAATGATCCGGATTTTATGGATGGCAGTGGATGGGAGACCAGCGAGGAGGGCATTTGAATAGTGCAGCCGAGAAGTGACAAAGGCATGGACCAGGGTTTCAGTGGCTTTTGGAGTGAGGGATCTGCGGAGATTGGTGATGTGTCGGAGGTGGAAGAAAGTGGTGCTTTGGGACGTCCTCCTGACGTGAAAGGCGCTTTATAAATGGAATCTTGTTGCTGTTGTTGTTGCTGGTGAGGGACCGGACGTGGGGGGGGGGGGGAGGATAATTGGGGGTCGAACCTGACGCGTAAGTTACGTATGCGTTCGGAGAGTTTTAGGGGGAGATTGGGTGGGTGGAGGAGATGGGAACCGTGTGATTTTAAACGCTGACGAGAGCCAAAGAGTACTTAACAGTATTATAATAATCCTTGCATTTGATATAGCGCCTTCTATATATATAATATATATAATATATATAGCGTTCGCCCACAAATATACAGTCGATTCACTTTACAGTGTGTTCTGTGAAGCGCTTTGGGACGTCCTCCCGACGCTATATCAAATGCGAGGATTATTATTATTATTACTATTATTATCGCGTCGTTGAGACGCCTCAAAAGCTTTCCGCGGAACGTACTGTAAAGTCAATCGACTGTATATTGCGTGGGGCCAAACATAAAAACAAATGCTTGTAAACTCAACGTATGAACAAAAGCGAGGCATCGAGTGCAATGGGAGCGTCAGTTGCACATCCTGACCTGGGACTTCTTATATGGAGAGAACGTAGTCCTGTGCAGGATGGAGCCGGCGCTGCCCAACCCACCCCCGAGGGTTCAAATGTTTTGAACATTTTCTTTGAAAAGGGGAGCAGGGCGGTGGGGGGGGGGGGTGTGGGGGGGGAAGGGAGGGGGAGACTCTGAGCAAGTTCCCCTTCCAGAGGTGCAGCTTTAACACAAGCACGAGCAGCGGCTCCTCAGGGCTGGCGGTTGGTGGCTGTTGCGGCAGGTGACCCCGCGCTCCGGGGGCCGCCCGGTGCCTGGAAACCGTTGCCAGGTCCAGCGTCGGGGCACCGAAGGCCACTTACCCAAGACGAGCCTCGCGATGTCGGACGGCAGCAACATGATCTCCTCATCAAACCGCCGCGCACCGCCCGAGCCGCCGCCTCCACCTCAGGTCCCGAGCGCTGGTCTCTCGGCCCCGCGGTGCCTTATCTCTCGTCACAAACACATCCCCGGAGCCGCCGTCACTGACCCCGAAAAATGGCGCGTGAAAATCGCGTTACGACTCGCCCTGCATTCCACTTCCGAGGGGAGCGCGCGGTGACCTCTGGGACTTGTAGGAGACTCGCCCGAACCGTTGGAACTGCCGGCGGGTCAGACAGAGACTACAGCTCCCGGCGGGCATGGCGTTATTTGGCGCAGGCGCGTCGCTTTAAGGGGGCGGGCGGGCGGTCGGGGTGAAGCCGAGACCAACCGTTCGCAGGTGGGTTGGTTTCTTTACCGTTTATAAACACGCGCGCGCACACTCACACACAACAACAACAGTGTTTATGGACGTTTAACGTTTGTTCGGTGACGAGCCCGGGTGGGGGGTGGGGAGGGGTCTCGTTATGTTTGCGGTTTTGTTTTCGCCGACGATGGAACAAAAAGCGCTCGTGGAGACGGGAGGGGACGGGGGACGAATTGGACAGGAAGTTTGGTGGATTTTCTGAGGGCGCTGCGGGATTACAACGCTAACATATGCGTCTACGGCAGAGAGAGAGAGTGTTCGCGGTGCGAGTTGAGGGAACGACCCGCGACTCCCGCGCGCACGTGCGGCGCGAGGCACCCGCGGGGGAGGGGGTGGTGGGGGGGTGACGGTTAACGGCCGCGCGGCCCGGAGCGCGTGGGCGGCATAGGCCACGCCCCCAGTGCGTGTCTGACTGTGCACCGACAGCAGCAGCAGCAGCAGCAGCGGGTCAGAGCCCGGGTCTGCACAACAACAACAACAACAACAATCATAATTCTTGATTTTAATGCGTTAATGCTAACATCTGTAACTGAGTGAACACTGGACTCTGTACTGGCGGAGTCCTGCAGCTCAGCGGTCGCAAGCGAGACACCCGGGTTCGATTTCCCGCCCACAGGGCCAAACGTTGGGCGCGTTTCCTTACTCCGCACTTCTCCGTTTGCCTTCGCTGTAGGTAGGAACCCGGTTGTTAGCCGGTTGGCGGATCGCTTTTCCGGGGCTGATAATCCCTGAATGAAAACAACACTCACAATTTGGTCACTCAGTCCGCGACGGTTTGTGGGACACTTGCTGTGCGCAATTGGCTGCTGAGTGTTTCGCCCGCAAAATTTGCAGTCAATTCACTTTACAGTATGTTCCGCGAAGCGCTTTGAGACGTCTCAAAGACGTACATAGTGCTGTAGCAAATGCAAGGATTATTATTAATATTACTATAACCATCCTAGTCTGTAATTGAGCAACAACTTGGATTTACGTAGCGCCCTCCACGCCGGGCGGCGTCTCAGAGCGCTTCACAGTAACGGATCCCGGGGCCGAGCCAAGGGGGAGGGGGAGGAAGGTGACCAAAGGCACAGTCGAAAAGAAAGGTCTTCAGCCGAGATCTGAAAATAGGAAGAGAGGGGGCGAGGCGAAGGGAGTGAGGAAGGGAGTTCCAGAGCCTCGGGGCGTAGTGGCTGAAGGCACGGCCGCCGAGGGTGGAGCGGAGGACTCGGGGGAGAAGGAGGAGCAGTAGTAACCACTGGACTGCTAACCAGCCCAGTCTGTAAGAAGAGGTTGATGATGCTGTGCCTTTGGCCACAACGCACCAAAACTCTGGAACTTTCCCTCAGTTCCTCCGCATTGCCCCCTCCTTCCCCATTTTCAAATCCTGCCTGAAGACCTTCCTTTTGGATCAGGCTTACGGTCATCTCCCCCCTCCCTTTCCCGCTGGCTCTGGGTCAGACTCCGCCACTGTCAAGTGCTCCGGGACGCTACCCCGCATGCAGGTGCTACATAGATGCAAGTTGTTGTTTTTATCAATTTCAATCATTCAAATTGAATTTCATTTTGGTGGACACTATTACGTCAGCCAGATTCACATTTGGCTTGGGTCAGACAGTTGTGGGTTCAAGGCCTATGTTGGGCGTTGAGCTCAGTGTAGAATGGCAGCTGTCGCTGACGAAGTGCTGTTGATAAACACTTATGTTGTGTCAACTTGGATCAACTGGTAACAATCTCGCATCTAAATCAGAAGATTTGAGAGTTCAATATTCAATGCGGTGTTGCATTGTCAGAGCTGCTGTCTGTCGAATCAGACGCTACTGTCTCCTGTCTTTCAATGAGGAAGCGCTTGGTTTGAGAAAGAATCATAAGTTCAAACCTGCATGCCACCATCACAAAAGAACTGTGCCAAAGACTGTTAAAAAATCCATGTAATTGTACACAGTCTTTACTGTATCTAATTTTCATTTTGCAGAATTAACAGCAAATTTCTGTAGGAACCATGAGCCTTGTTCTTCATGAGCTCCTCCTATGCTGTCGGCAGTTTGAAAGTGAAAAAGCTGCAGAGAGAAAGGTAATAATAAAACAAATGTTGCAATTCATATGACTTACCAAAACTTACTGACCAGCACAGGAGCCATTCATAAGTTAAGGGAAATAAAAAGCGCAGAAACCTTTAGTTATTTATCAACATCATTGCTAGGTTCTTTCTATTATTCAACTTTTGTTTCTTAATGTTTTAAAAAAGCAGGTCATCCTATTGGGAGGGTCAGCAGTTATATTCCTGGTTTGGCCTAAGCTCCTATTTAAGTTGCCCTGGTGCTTCATGTAACTTACTCTCTTAGGTTTAACAAGTATACCTAATGAGTGTTTAAGCATCTTCAGTTCCAGATTTGATCCCTGATCTGTGCTGAGTTAGCTGATCTCTGCTTGGATAGCAGTAAACTGAGTAGTGGAGTCCTGTAGCTTAGTGGTTAGAGCGCTCGCCTCGCAAGCGAGGACCTGGGTTCGATTCCAGGCAGGGCGAAACTTTGGACAAGTTTCCTTACTCCACACGTCTCCGTTTACCTAGCAGTGAGTAGGAACCCAGTTGTTATTTGATTGGCGGATTGCTTTTCTGGGAGTAATGATTCCTTCAAAATAAATTATAAAAATAATTTGGTTGCTCAATCTACGACTGTATGTGGGACACTGCTGTGCACAATTGGCTGTTGCATTTTGCCCACAGAATATACAGTTAAATCACTTTACAGTGTGTTCTGTGAAGTGCTTTGGGACGTCCTCCTGACGTGAAAAGCGCTATATCAAATGCAAGGATTATTATTATTATTCTGAAGTGCTATGAGACTTCTCGAAGACGTGATAAGTTGCTATATCAAATGCAAGGATTATTATAATTGGCCTCATTATCTCTGGGTTGGAAAATATTGGTCTTCATATCACTGGGTTGGAAAACAATAACCAGGTAATAGATCGCTATTCAGCAACTTACTGCTGGAGACAGGATTTGACATTTTTTTAAAAGTCAACCAACTTTAGAGAGTGGCAAAACAAATATCCTTAAAAAAAACTGCTATTGAAATATAGTTGACACATGCCTGCAAATAGATGGTCACGACACTTCAGTGAATCCTGAGACATAATATTGTGAAAAGGAACTATATCAAATGAAATGATTGTTATATGGTCTGTCGCTCGCACTGCTTGAAACCAAAACGTTTCTCTCACATGTCTTTTGATCTTGTTTCACTGTGTCAATCTTCTAAATATTAAGACGAACATCCCAGTAGTAGTTGTCCTAAAGGTTTAATGCAAGTGTACTTTGTAGATTGGAAATGTCAGATTTCTACCATTCTCATCTATTCAACTTTCTTTGATTTCTAGAAAGAAGTTGATAAATTCAGACGACTTATTCGGACACCGGAAACGATAGAGCAGTTGGATCGAAATTCTGAGTCGAGACATTCAAAGCAGTTAAACTGGGATACTGTTTTTAGGTAAAAGTTCTCAAATACCCTCAGTGCAAAAGTGCCTAATTAAGTACTGCAATTTGTAGTTGTGTGCTCTCCTTATCAATGCCCTTTTAAGATTCTTTGGCTACAAGTGCTGTATTATAGTACGGAGCAACCCCATTGCAATGCGTACCTCATACCTCCATGTTAAAACAAAACATGGCGTTATCATTTCCTTTGCCCCTTTTTGGAAATATCAAATTAATTGGTCCAATGCTCTAACTTTCATATGGCAAAATATTATTTTATTTTCAAGAGTTGTCTGGTTAAGCAGTTTGTCAAATATTTATCTGACAAATATTTTAAATATCTGTTAAATATTTTAATGTTTTTTTTAAATAATTTCACTGTACTAATGTATTTTCTACAGTTCTAGAATTTTTCTTTCTATTCCACAAAATGCTTGTGTTCCAGGTCTTTACAGAGGTATATCCAAAAAGAGACGGAATGTCTTCAGGCAGCCAAAGTCAGCTTGTCAGCTGCTACCCAAGCCAACCGGCAGAAGAAGATGCAGGAGATCAGCAGTCTGTTAAAATACTTTATCAGATGGGCGAATAAAAGTGAGTATTGAGTGAAGTTTTGGAAGTTTTTGTTACTGAGTAATCTTGTATTTTCTATACTTAATAAAACAACAATGTCTGTCTGTGCTTCAAGAAGGATTTCAATAACCGATTGACATAGAGACATGATTTATATCTCATTGGAAAGGTCTTGCAACTGGGAGTGACATGGGCATATTTGTTTTCGGGTATCTCCTATCATTCATGAGTTATTATCAGTTTTGCGTTTTTCACTGCAGTTACACCTGGTGGCCGCCGAGTCAAAGTGGCGCTGCGGTATCGTGTATCACAGACCACCTATGTATGTATGCACACATTGCAGTTATATCTGGTGCCGGCTGACGGTGGCACTGCGACATCCTGCGTCACAGAGAACGCACGTAGCCAAGCGGCGGCGGGAAAAAGTAAAGAACACAGATGAAGCTAAGCCATGGCAACAAAAACAAAATTACATTTTTAAAGCTCTGAGTCCTCCCACTGAGTCCTCCCAAAAGTAGTCCTCTCAGATCAGTATAGGTAAAGATGAAATGTGTGTCTGTCTGTCCATCTACATTCCGCATTGGATCCTTTGGATGCAAGTGTAGCAGCAACGGATACAACTAGACCGTTTATAAATACAGTATTTTTTTACTCAAATTTCTTGCTATCCTTTTTCTATTCAAAATCATTGTGTAAACTAAGGACAACCACAAACTCCTCTTTTCTACCATAAACCAACTCCTCCATCCACTCTCCTATGCCTCTGCTATCCTCTTCTCCAACACCAAATGCGAGGAGATGATGGATTTTCTTGAGTCCAAAGTCGAGGGGCTCGGCTCTGCAATCTCTAGCCCCTCTACCGGCACCCTGTTTCCCCCCCCCCCCCCCCACATTTTTGACCTCTGTTCACTCCATCATTTCCTGTATGAAACCCACCACCTGATCTCTTGACCCCATCCCTACTCGCCTCCCAGCTCCACCTCCTTACCCCCTACTAACTGGTTTTATTCTTACCTGGTTCCAATCCTACCTTCCTCACCATCTGCATTTTGTGGCCACCAATGGCTTTTCCTCTAGCCCCCCGCACTGTGACGTTGACCACTCTATCCTCCTCCAACGCCTCTCCTCACCTCAACCTTCATGGTTCTGTCCTTAAATGGTTCAGATCCTACCTCTCACACAGTCTCCACTTCATCTACACAAACAGCTTCTCTAGCCCCCGCACTATCTCGTGCGGAGTTCCTCAGGGCTCTGTCATTGGTCCCCTCCTTTTCAATATCTAGATTCTCCCACTTGGTGACATCATCTGCGGACATGGGGTCAATCTCCACATGTATGCGGATGACACCCAATTTTATCTCTCAGCTTCTACCCTTGACACCAGGACCACTGCTGTCCTGACAGAATGTCTATCTGGATGAGTCCTGGATGAGAGCTAACTTTCTACAATTGAACTGCAACAAGACTGAGGCTTTTTTTAAAATAATTCCTTTTTAAAAAAAAGCCAAAAAAATCTGCGATCGTCTGGTCTGTGTGCCCTAATTCTGCATCAGAACAGGCTAATGGGGAGCTCAGTGCAGTAATTTCATTATGCTGCGAAAACATTAAATGCCAACTGCTTCAACACAGGCGGGCTTGATTCTATCCAAATCCAATAAGTAATAATCCTTGCATTTAATGTAGCACTGTACACAAACAAATATATTTTGCAGCAGGTTCACTGATGCGGGAACCTTGGCTGATAATATTTCCCTCTCCAAAATTCAGTAGGACAAAGACCAATTCTTAACCACTTGTTGTATCAACTAACAACAAAACCATAATTCTGAATAACTTAATGTCACAACAGCAGTGCCTTTACCCATTGGGCTGACCGGCTAGTCTCCAAAATGCACATATGTGACACTTCATATGTTTCAGCTTTATTTTTGTTGTACTCTCGGCCCTTCTGTGCAAGATAAATTTAGATATGCTGCCTATGGAACAGACTGCCACAATGTGGAGTCCTGTAGCTCAGTGGTTAGAGCGCTCGGTTTGCAAGCGAGAAACCTGGGTTTGATACCCGGCAGGGTGAAACCTTAGGCAAGTTTTCTTACTCCACACGCCTGATAATAATCCCTCAAAAAAAAATTGGTCATTTTCAATCCACGATTGTTTGTGGGACACTGCTGTGCCCAATTGGCTGCCCCATTTCGCCCACAAATGTATCGTCAATTAACTTTACAGTCTATTCCAGGCAGGGCGAAACCATGGGCAAGTTTCCTTACTCCACACACCTAATAATCCCTCCAAAAAAACAAAAAGAATAATAAATTGGTCATTTTCAATCTATGACTGTTTGTGGGACATTGCTGTGCGCAGTTGGCTGCCGCGTTCGCCCACATATATACAGTCAATTCACTTTACAGTGTGTTCTGTGAAGCGCTTTGGGACGTCCTCCCGACGTGAAAAGCGCTATATCAAATGCAAGGATTATTATTCTTATTCTGTGAAGCGCTTTGAGACGTCTAGAAGACGTGAAAAGCGCTATATCAAATGCAAGGATTATTATTATTATATGTTGAAGAATATTCTCTCAGTCAGAAAACAGGTTATTTTATTTTTGTTTACGGTTTGATTAGCTCTACAAAAGAATTTAACAGAAAACTGGCTCTAAAAATTAAGGCTAAATTCAAGAATTTGCTAGATTCTGGATGCATTTGGGGTATCAGAGCTGATGGTACCTGTAGAATTTTACTTAATTTAACTTGTGCCGTCAGGAGAGAATGTTAAGAAATTATTTTTTGGTCTTGGTCTTATTTACTGCTATTCACTCACCAAATTGTCTTACATAGGAGGACCACGGCTGAAATGCCAGGACCTGTTGAAACACATCATGGATATTCTGCAGGATAAATTTAGCTGTGCTGCCTATGGAACAGACTATAGTAGCATTCTGCTGAAGGATATGCTCTCTGTCAGAAAATATTGGTGTGAAATTTCCCAAGAACAGTGGTCAGGTACATGTCTTTTAATTTTACTGAATTTATGGAACTCTTGTGTTATTATTGCGCAAATTAATCGAAAGGTGGAGATCCAAGGCTGATCGAAATAGGAGGGAGGATGTCAAAAATAACTAGTAATGTTAGATCACAAGTGTTGATCAGGCTAAATTGGTGGTCCTTTTGCCTCTGGGCTGGAAAGCTACAGGTGTACCCTTGATCAGGAAATTATCTTAATGATTTATGTTTGGTCAGCCAGGTGTCTGACACACGCAGAAACCCATGTTTATGAGTATCAAACCAAGCTGAGAATTCCATACATCTCACACACACATTGAAATTCCAGAAAAAGATTGTTGGAATGGAATGCGCACTCTCTCCCTGGAGCGACGCATCCTGCTTACCTAATTCTGGAAAGTATTAGGCTCAGGTTGGCAAGAGCCAAGGTTTGGGGACCCCAGAGTGTGTGTTGCAGTACTGCTGGAGTCTAGTAGTGGTTAGACCACAAGTGTTGATCAGGCTTAGTTGGTGGTACTTTTGCCTTCTGGGTTAGAAAGCTGTGGGTGTATTTGAATATGCCTTGGCCACTGACAGGACCACCCTTCGTGGACGCACTCTACACCTCACAGAGCCAAGACGGAACTTCGGGGTCCTGTTCGACCCTCAAATGTCCTTCATCCCCCACATCCATGCCATGACCCGCTCCACCTTTCCCCACCTCCGTAACATTGCCCGGTTCCACTAATGTCTCTCACCCCACGCCGCCGAGACCCTCATCCACGCATTCATCACATCCAGGCTCGACTACGCAAACTGCCTGCTTGTCAGCCTCACCAACTCCTCCCTCCACAGGCTGCAGATCATCCAGAATTCTGCTGCCTGTGTCCTCTCCTGCACCAGGCGCTGCGACCCTATCACCCCCATCCTCCCATGATTCAGACTATACAATTCAAGATCCTAGTCCTCACCTTCAAAGCCCTCCATGGCCTCGCTCCTCTCTACTTCTGTGACTTCCTAACCCCCTACCAATCTGCCTGCGAGCTCCAGCCTGCTCCATGTCCCCCTCCTTGCCCGCCCTACCATTGCTGGATGGGCCTTCAGCCTCCCTGCCCCCACCCTTTGGAACTCCTTCCCCAGACTCTCTGCCTCACCCCCTTCCTTGCCTCCTTTAACAACAACAACAACAAGATTTAATTTATAGAGCGCCTTTCACGTTGGGAGGACGTCCCAAGGCACTGGACAGTTGGGTTGGGACCCGAGCAAAGGGGAAATGGTCAGGGTGGGGGAAGGGAAGGGAGGGAGCGAGGAGGGGGTAGAGACTCGAGAGGGGAGCTGAAGGCACAGTCAAAGAGAAAGGTCTTGAGACCGGCCTTGAAGGAGGAAAGGGAGGAGGCGGCGAAGGCACTGGGGGATGGAGTTCCAGAGCCTCGGGGCTGAGAGGCTGAAGGCCCGGCCACCGATGGTAGGGCGGTTGGGGCGGGGGATGTGGAGCAGACCGGAGCCAGAGGAACGGAGGGTACGGGCAGGTAGGTAGGGGGATAGTAGGTCGGAGAGGTAGGAGGGAGCAAGGCCGTGAATGGCCTTGTAAATGAGGATCTTGAATTTGATCCTCTGGGGGATGGGGAGCCAGTGGAGGCGAGCGAGGGTGGGAGTGATATGGTCGCGATGCCTGGTGCGGGACAGTACACGAGCTGCAGAGTTCTGAATGACCTGCAGCTTGTGGAGGGAGGTGCCGGGAAGGCCGGCGAGGAGAGAGTTCCCATAGTCCAGCCTTGAGGTGATAAAGGTGTGCACCAGAGTTTCAGCAGCGTGAGGGGTGAGGTAGTGCCGTAGTCTGGTGATATTCCGGAGGTGATGGAAGGCGGTGCCAGTTGTGGTACGGATATGAGGAAGAAAGGACAGCTCAGGGTCGAACAGAACCCCGAGGTTCCTGACGGCTTTGAGAGGTGGAGAGTGCAGCCTTGGATGCTGATGCTGCCAGCGCCTGAGGTGCGGAGGCGCTGACGTGAGCCAATCAGGAGGGCCTCAGTTTTGCGCACGTTGAGCTGAAGAAAGTTATCTCTCGTCCAGGACTCGATGTCGGACAGGCAGGCTGTCAGGACATCGGTGGTCGTGGAGTTGAGGGTAGAGGAGGAAAGGTAGAGTTGGGTGTCATCCGCATACATGTGGAAGTTAACCCCATGTCTGCGGATGATGTCACCAAGCGGGAGCGTATAGAGGGTGAAGAGGAGGGGACCGAGGACAGAGCCCTGAGGGACACCGCACGAGACAGTGCGGGGGCTGGAGGAAAAGCCGTTTGTGGAAACAAAATGAAGATCCGTCTCAAGACCCTCCTCTTCGACCGTGCCTTCGGTCACCCTCTTACCCCTACCCTCCCCGCCCTTCACCCCTCCTGGTCCCACCCACTAGCTTGGGTGCAGGTCCCTAACTGTCTAGCACCTTGGGATGTCCTCCTGACGTGAAAGGCACTATAGAAATATAATTTGTTGTTGTAAAAAAACTCTAGTGTAGCTTAACAACATGAACCAACATACCACTGTGCAGATATAAATAGTTAGAATAAATCAATAAAATGTGCTGTGGAATTTATTGAAAAGCAATCTCCATTTGACTTCCAGATTTAATAACCTTATACTTCAAGATGCATCTGAAGCCATCTGGAAATACCAACCGCGTCCTTGTGGCCAGAATAATTCATACTCTCGTCAGAGGCTGCTGTATCCAGTCCAAGGGCCTGACGTCCAAACTGTTTGAGTTTTTTTCAAAAGCAATGCAAAGTGCAAGGTAGAGTATTCGTCCATAGATCAATTATTAACACAAATTTGATGCTGCATACCTTTTATCTCTCAACATTTTTTTATAAATGTAATAATGCCTCTTTATTTTCAAATATTTTTAGCTTTATTTAAGTATTTTTTAGCTTTAACTTTATTTAAAGTAGTAAAAAAATTCCTGCTTAAGATTTATGTTGAAATTATTCTTTGTAAACATTGAACAAACTAATAATCTCTGTAGAATGCATTCATCTTTGTGAAAAGTTCAATAGAAAAGTGCCCAGTTTTGGATAGTGGGAAGGGGGGATTTCCTTGCCTTCATTTCTGTGTGTTGACTATTCAGTTTGAAGATGATTTCCAGTTCCAATCTGTATTCCGAATTTTCCAATTTGTTACAACTTGATTTGACAACATTGAAAAGGGTCTTGGATATAGCCCAGCTTAATGTGAGTCCATTGGTTGATTAGCATAGAGGAGCAAACAAGCATAATAATAATAAACCTTACATTTGGTGTAGCGCCTTTCATGTTGAGAGGACATCCCAGACTGTAAGGTGCAGTGACTATGTGTTTTGTGTGCATGCATCCTCGTAACAAAACTAATGATTAGGAAACTTTGGTAAAGGAAGCTGTGGGCACGTAGTATGATGGCGTCCACCAAGAATGTTCACACATAAAAATAAAAGGTTTTCCTGTAGTGGATAAGAGCTGGAAGAGAACATTTCAGTACCTTTCCATATGTTGTTTCCGCCCCTGCCCTCCACACTCCCTGACACCCAGCTCGGTTCCGAAACTCTGTCTGTCCAGTGCCTTGGGACGTCCACCTGACATGAAAGACCCTATACAAATGTAATTTTGCTATTTTGTAATACAGGCAGGAGCAGGTTTTCGCTGTTTTGGAGCACATCATGGCAGCCCTCAATGTCTTTCTGAACGTGTGTGCTATGAACTGTCGTATCCGTTTGTGCAAACTGGGGGAGGAGATCTTCCCAACATTGCTGTATATTTGGACCCAGAAGCGGCCCCAGGATTCACTGAAGGAGGAAATCGTTGAATTTTTTCGATTGCAACTTCATGCCCATCACCCAAAAGGAGCCAGAAGTCAGGAGAAAGGTATGTAGATGGATTAGCAGGAATCCTCAGTTGGCTGTTGCAGCCTCTTTCTTTTCCACGACCCATGCCAGGGGACTGACCAAGCCCCGCTGACTCCCTGATTGTCCACTCAGTCTCTGTTTGCACACTGCCTGCTACTCCCAACCCAGGCTGTTTTTCCTCCTAAATGCCCTCATCCCTGTCCTGTCTTGAACTAGATTTTCCGTTTATATTGTACTTGTGCTCAGGTTATGCAGAATATGTGCCAATTTTTAGCATTCTCCTGGAAATCTACAGCAGGTTGATCAGCAGCTGAATGAGCAAGATAGGAGTTGAGTCTGACCCCATGAAGGATCACACCTACATTTTCCTTTTTTTCAGATGTCTGATCAATCTGCTTTGCATTTCGCGCATTCAGATTTTTGTCAGATTTCCAGAGACCATTCTCCTGAACAGTGATTAGGAGAATCATCCACTGCAGAGGGCCCAGAATGGCTGAGAGCCCTCAAAATGGCCCCAGTAAAAATAGAAACAAGCCTTCTCTTCAAAGTTTAAAATTAGGATGGAGCTTTAGTGAGTGATATCTCATGCTCCACTGGTCTGTCATTAGTCTCTGTATTGATTATTCTGATTAATATTCTGATTGCATAATTGGATTTCTCCCACTGTAAATGGTATATTTTTGCTGAGAATCTTTGGCATGTTTATCAAGCAAGACCTAGAAGGGTCTCAGTGTTTTATACATCAATTGGTACAAAGTTTCTCATCTGCAAAATATGCCTTTTTGAAATGTGTTCTGTGGTTTGCCTACTGTAACAGGTGCCTTTGCAGCTGACTGGCCAAAGTGGCAGTCCCTGCTTTACAATCTATATGATACTCTGGTCAGTGAAGTGAACCACATAGGGAGCAGAGGCAAGTACTCCGCGGGATCGCGCCATGTGGCTGTCAAGGACAACTTGATCGATCTGGCTGCTGATATCTGCCATCAGGTAAAGCAGCTATTAAACATCAAGAGGATTTGTAGCCCTGATATCTCTGCCATGATTAATAACAAGTACAAGAACAACTTGCATTTTATATAGTGTCCTTTAGACGGGGTAGAGTTCAGGATCGTTCAAATCTGAACCTGAAAGATTATTCCTGATATGTATGTAAACCATTTACTCATTTTTTCCTCTTCCCTTCTCCCTGAAGTCTCTGACTTCTACTGTGTTATGTTTATATTGGAAACCAGTATTGACCTTAAAGTAACTTGGCATAACAATTCTTAGCTTCTTTGACTGTTCCCCTACTATTTGAAAATCCAGAATTATATTAATTTGGAAATACTTGGCTGCTTCACCTTTCTATTCATTATTGCTGGGAGTATTCACTTACTTGGCAATGCTTTATGCATATCCAGTTAAAACATTTTTTTAAAAATCACTTCATAGCTGCTTGTGTTACACCACAAGTTGGCTGCTGCATTCACGTACAAAATGCACAGTGATTACACTTTACCATGATTCCTGTGAAGCTCTTTGAGATCAACGTTCAATGTGAAAGGCACTCTATCAAATGTAATTATTATTGTTATCTTGTTCAACAGCTTCATTCCACGCCAAGTAAACAATCTTCACCTGCCTGCATCCTCTGGTCTTTTGACTGCAGTTTGCTGTTCATTCTTACTCTCACTACCATTGGAAACTGAAGCTTTAGTTGATTCATATCCTGCCTTCCAGAATTCTTTTCCAAAATAATTTTACCTGCTTCCTCTCTTCCTGCTTTCAGAAACCTTCTAAACGGGGATTGGGATGGAGTTCCAAAGGGTGGGGGCAGAGAGGCTGAAAGCCTGGCCGCTGATGGTAGGTCGGGCGGGAGTAATGGAGCAGGCCGGAGCTTGGTGAACGGAGGGAGTGGACAGGTTGATAGGGAGTTAGCAAGTCAGAGTGGTAAGGTCGGAGGGGGCAAGGTCTGTGGAGGGTCTTGAAAGTGAGGAAGAGGATTTTGAATTCTATCCTTTGAGGAATGTGGAGCCAGACGAGGGTGAGGGTAATGGGGTCACGGAGCCTGGTGCGGGAGAGGACACGAGTGCAGAGTTCTGGGTGATCACAGAATACACCATAAAGTAGATTGACTTTATTTTGTGGGCGAATGTGGAACTCAGTCTGGTTTGGATATTCTTAAGTTATGGCAATGGGTTTCCACATGTGTCAGACACCAGGCTGTCCAAATAAAATTAAAATTCTAACTCCTTGATCAAGCAATCATTTTTATGCTTTTCCGTAGATGACTTAAGTGAAATCTTTCCACACTGCACTATAATGAAATGACTTTCCTTTTGCTTTTCAGTTGTTCAATCAGGACACCAGAGTCTTTGTGCAGTCAGTAATGGAGATTGATTCTACTCAAAGCGCCTCTCCTCAGGGGACACCAAGCAAGCGTCGGCGTATTGAACTGGGATGGGAAGTGATACGAGAAAATCTACAAAAATCCCAAAGTGACTTTGATATGATACCGTGGTAGGTTCGATTTGTTTAAAAAAAATAGAAACTTCCCCAGTACTGTTTTTTTTGGTTATAAGGAGCTTATCCAAAAACTCCATTTCTCGTTTCCACCAATTTATTTTGTTGGCCAGCCAGATGTATGACACATGTGGAAACCTATCCCCATGCTTAAGAGTATCTAAACGTAGACTGAGAGTTCCACATATGTATGCCATCAACACATGGAAAGTTCCCTGTGTCTGGAATGGAATGTGAACTCTCCCTTGAGGGACTGATCATACTTACTTTTTGCGAGGGAGTACGGTATTAGGTGTAGGTTGGCAAGAGCTTGCAAGCCCGAAATATAATGGTTCTTTGGGTTGCTACTGAAGTTTAACAAGCTAAAGCTAATCCTTGCATTTAATAATAAGAGCATATTAAACTCTGAAGGTATCGGTAAGAAAATCTGATCGGTGGTTTCACATTGAACTTGGTTACTTTTCATTTTATTTAATCTAATGTTTATTTGATCAAATATTTTGATTTAAAAGCACACAGAAATTTAATGCACTGAATATCTTTATGGGTTATTTTCAAGGTTACAGATCACCACAACTTTGATTGCAAAGTATCCCTCAGGGGTGCCATCCTGCGAGCTTGTTCCCATTCTGACTGTATTGCACCAGATCCTTTCCCAGCAGAGACGTGGAGAAAGGACTCCTTATGTGCTGTGGTGTCTCAGTGAAATGGCCACATGCCAGCAACTCAAGTCAGACCTGAGACCTGCACAGAGGCTCGACCTGCAGAAACTCTGGGCCAAGATCTGGATCATTACACTTCGGTGCATTAGCTCCCAACAGACTGAGATTCGTGGCTTTTGGCTGTTGGGGGCCATTCTTCAGGGAGGCCTGACTGTCCCAGACAAAGATTTCTGGAAAATCTTTTCAGGATCCACATGTAAACCATCCAGGTGAGTCGCACTTCCTTCAAAACTAGAACAATTCAGTGTTCTCAGCAACCTACGGGAATTCTAATCCTTGCATTGGATATACGGCTTATAATGTCTATACATCTTAGAGTTTATTGCCAAATGGAGTGATTGTTTTGTAGGTAAATTATTTATATATTAATATTTCAAATGATTTTCCCTCCTTTCTCCCATTTTACGCCTGAAGTATAGGGAGCCTAATTGTTCTCGGGCTTCTGCTTAAACTAAACACCAGCATAAGGATGAAAGAATAGGGTAGCTGAAAGGCCAAGACCAGTATCTAGCCTGACTGTGAATACTTGAAGCTGGCTTTGGGTATTTAAATTGAAAGCTACAAGAAATTCCTGATAATTCAACCCTGGCTTAACTTGTCACTACCATTTAAGTCATCATGCTGTCAATATCCCAGCTGCATTTATTTTTATGTATTATAGATATATATATACATATATAATATATGCCTACCTCACCACTCTGGATAACTTGCCACTGAGCGCCTCTTAGAGTGACGAGTTATCCGGTGTTTAATGTATTCCAGATGGTGAGTACTTTCTGTAGTTCTTTCCTTGTGCACATTGAATGGGGAGGGAGAGGATGGAATGCAGTGGGTACAACGTTTTGCTGTTGTTTTTTCTACAGTGAATGAACTGAAAAAGAGTTCACATCAAATCACAAATATTGAGAACTGTCTGGAAACAAGTATGGCTTTGGAAGATTTAGCTTGTTTGGAATGTAGGTTGTCAATGTGATAGACTGCTGGCAAATGAATATTTTTGGCTCATGCTCCTTTTGTATTCTTCAGTGCTGCGGCTGAATGCCTCTTGCAGGCATTGATAAAATACACCCTGCCGGAACTGATGGAAGGAATTGGCGAGTACAGTGCAGATGATAATGGGACACAACCTCTCCGTGAGGCAATAATGAGGTGGTTATTGACGTATTGCCCAGAGGAGGACATGGAGGAAAATGCAGAGCTTCCGTCTGTTGTCAGCAGGTTGGTATGCAATGGTGTTGAAAACGCGAGGCTGGGGTCCTACCTACTAAATAACAATTCTCTAGTTGGCATCGGCAAGAAATACAAGCCCAGCTTGTTCAGTTTTTTTGAATTAATGTTGGTGTTTATGATGGCAGACTGTCCTTTTACTGTAGGGCCTGGTTTGAAATGCAGAATCAGGGATGTTGTGGGAGCTTCCTCTGCAGCTGTAAGATTCCTAAATGAAGTGAGTTTGGGGTCCAGCCAACCAAATTCCTAATGGGTGTAACTCAACTTTATAATTGATATGGAGGGAGTGCTATTCTGAGTTTACGATTGTTTAAGCAGAGCAACGTGAATTTCGCCCTACAGTAAAATGAATCAAGAATATTGCTTTATCCCAGCACTTTATCCATAACTTCACAAAATAACAGCTTTACCTATGATTAAAATTTACCGTTGCCTATGTGCTGAACTATATCCAGTTTATGCAAGGGTTGTTGTTATGCTTTTTAAACCTACTGTTAGAAAGCATTCTATAAGAGGATTTTAAATAAGTGCCAATTTTCTCATGTTGAACAGCTTTTATCTGAGATGTTAATTCGTTTTGCCTACAAAATACACGTCAGTTCACTTTGTAGTATATTCTATGAAGTGCTTTGAGACATTTCGAAGACATGATAAGGCGCTATATCAAATGCAAGGATTATTATTATTATCCCTTGCTAAATGTCACTGAATCAAACTAACAAAGTGTTCATCAGGCTCCCCGCAAAGCTCATTAAGTGTATTCAGTCAAACGTTGAGTCATACAGATCAGAAAAGATGCTGACTTGATCTCTTTTCTCCTCCCCACCCCTCCCCCAAACTCTTCGAGTCTATTCCGCATGCACTACGATTGACTCCTGCCTCTTAATTTAGGAATTGGAAAGTTAGCAATGATTTTCTCCAGTTTGTTACCTTACTGGAGATGGATTTGGAGTAAATATACAGTTGATTCAACTACAATTTCCTCTCTTTGCTCCTCCCTTCCAACAGTTAAATATGCTCACAATCAACAACAACAACAACAACAAGCTTCCATTTATAAAGCGCCTTTCACGTCAGGAGGACGTCCCAAGGCGCTGCTCAGTTGGGTCATGACCCGAGCAGGGGGGAGATGGTCAGGGTGAGGGGAGGGAAGGGAGGGAGCGAGGAGGGGGAAAAGAGTCGAGAGGGGAGCTGAAGGCTCGGTCAAAGAGAAAGGTTTTGAGACTGGCCTTGAAGGAGGAAAGGGAGGAAGCAAGGCGAAGGCACTGGGGGATGGAGTTCAAGGTTGATATGTAAATAATAGTCACTACAGTGAAGAACTCTATGCTGATAGTATTTATGGTAATGCACACAGTAAAGAGAGTCAGTGACTTTAGGAGAGAAAACTAGTGACAAATCGGGGGAGAAAACTCCATTACATATTGTTTACTATTAATATTGTTTGTTTTAATGATCTTAATTCTCAAATACTTTCATAGGGATTTTCCAAATCAGCTGGTCTCGCAGATCCTGGTCGGGCTCACACTAAAGGATTGTAGAATTGGAATGGCTTTCCTTCAGTCTTCATCTGCAGAGAGGTAAACCTGGAGTAATGTAAAACTGTAAGCTGCTTAAGGAGCTCAAATGTGTTTAATATTGCACCCTCTCTCTAATGCAGTACAGCCGCCTGGTATTCATTGAGCTCAGAATAGACAGGGCATTAAGTCCTTCAGATGTCCCAGGATGGACTGATAATCTTCCCTTTATGTGAGACAAACTGCTTATTATAGACCTTGTGGAACAGATCAAACAAATTTCAAACCTCACCAAAACCTTCTCATCCAGTTTCAAGTGGGATCTGTTAGTCTTCATTTGATGTATAACATGCCTCATACTGATAGAATCATATCAGGCACTTTATTTGGAATATATGATAGAATCATATCAGGCACGTTATGGGGTGGGGGGGTGGGGACGTATTTGGAAACGGGATGTCAAAATCAAGCCAACCCTCTGGCGGTCTCGGGAGTGAAGTTCCTGAGCCGAACGAGTCTGCAGTTTCGTCCCCCAGGGAGTGAGTGTGTTCCAACAATATATCTCTGGAATTTCCATGTGTAGGTGGGATGCATGGAATTCTCAGTTTGGTTTGGATACTCTTAAGCATAGTGATGGGTTTCTGTATGTGTCAAACACCTGGCTGACCCAAAAAACAGTGCCTTTCACGTCAGGAGGACATTTCAAAGTTGCAAACGATTACTGATCCCTTTAGTCATGAACTTAACCAATAAAAAGGATTCAATTTTCATTAGTCAATGACATTTCCTGTAGCTCAGCGTTTAGAGCACTCGCTTTGCAAGCAGGCGAGAGACCTGAGTTCAATTCCAGGCAGGACAAAACCTTGGGCAAGTTTCCTTACTCCACACGCCTAATAATAATCCCTCCAAAAACAAAAAACAATAATAAATTGGTCATTTTCAATCTACGACTGTTTGTGGGATACTGCTGTGCGCAATTGGCTGCCGCGTTCGCCCACAAATATACAGTCAATTCACTTTACAGTATATTCTGTGAAGCGCTTTGGGACGTCTAGAAGACGTGAAAAGCGCGATATCAAATGCAAGGATTATTATCTATTATTATTTATTTAAGGGCGCCCGTAATTTGGTCTCTTCATATGGTTTGCACTTGGTTTTCACATGGGAAAAAATAGGCCTCAATATCCATGACCTGATGCAATGTTGAAACAAATGCCTAGGATGTAAAGCCATCAATGAGAGAGAATGGAAAACGGAAAGATAAGGAAACTCCTCGTTATTTCTTCAGGGAGAAACAGCACCTGGGATTGCTGTCTAAGCTGATGTAACATCATGGTGCTGTATAAATTTTTTTTTCAGATCATGTTAGTCCTACTGTTTCCCATTTTGAATGAACTAGGATTCTGTTTCTGTCTTCCCAAGTGTGCCACCAGGAGAGGGTCCTGCTCGAGACAGCCGAGGAGGCATCATCTTCTCGGAGATTGAACATCTTTTCCTACAAACCACATTCGATGCCACTCCAAACTATGCAAGTAGTGCGGTGGCTGTTAGGGGCAAGGGAACTGTGACATCAAGGATAAGCGTGAAACATGTATTGAAGGAAAAACTAGAAGAATATCTCTTAGCCCTGGTTGAACGACTCCATTCCACTGAGGTGAGTAATATAACTTGTAACAAGCTTGTCTTGCATGAGACTGAATGTATTCACAGATCCAAGCTAGGAGATATAAATAAAAATCCAAAAGAGGCTCGGCGAGTAAAGAGAGAATCTGGGGGATGTTGCTAAATTGGTTTCATTTCCACTGGGTCATATTAGTGGCTGCATGTTCAAGTGGAAAATAACTTTCTGCGAGTCACAACTTCAATCAATTACTTAACAATGATCCTTGTAATTGATATACCGCTTTATCATGTTGTTGAGACGCCTCAAAGCGCTGTAAAGTGCAGTGACTGTGTATTTTGTGGGAGAAGCGTGGCAGCCAGTTGTGCACATTTGGGGGATTGTGGGCCAGGACACCAAGAGAAACTCCCTTCTCTTTTTGAATAGTGCCATGCGATATTTAAAATCCACTTTACAGGCACAATGGACCCCAGTTTAACATCTCATCCGAAGGATGGAGAATCCAGTCAAGTGCGTGGACAGGGTAGAAGAGGAAATAAGATGTGAATGTTTAGTGCTTTCGATTTCTATGCTGCTCTTACCTGAGGTTGATGGCTCTAATACTGCTTTCAGGCGGTGCCTCCAGAGTGTCTGGTTCGCTGTGCAGACCTCATCACCGGTGTCCTCCGCTATTACTGTGACATTGATGTGATTGCCGATGAAGATGTGTGCACATCAGCACTATTTCAGAAAGCTAAGGTATGTAGATGCACCCTGTATCAGAAAGATAAAGTATGCTGTTTAAGAAAAAAAGTATAAAAATGCTGTTTCAGGGTTATGGTCTGCTACTGCATTCTGTGTCCTGACACACTTTGAACCTGAGCAGCTAGTTTGGATTTAATTACTTGTCCTTGTGGTGGAAAATGAAGTTGATTCTGCTGATTGCATTCTAATGATATAATTTCTTGAATAACCCAGTTCACTTCCAACTTGATAGTCGAGTGTGATAGTTGATAGTTTTTAGTGAGTCGAGCACCGCTTCACAAGCGAGGGGATCTGGGTGCGATTCCCGAGCAGGATGAAATGCTGGCCAAGTTTCCTTACTCCACATGCCTCTGTTCACCTAGCAATATGTAGGAAAAAAAATAAGAGTAATAATAATTTGTTCATTCAATCTACAGCCGTTTATGGGACATTGCTGTAGGCAATTGGCTCTTTGCGTTTCACCCACAAAATATACAGTCAATTCACTTTACTGTATATTCTGTGAAGTGCTTTGAGATGTCTCGAAAACGTGATAAGGCGCTACATCAAATACAAGAATTATTATTATAAGCTGTGAAACTCCCATAAACAGAATCTCACTGCTGGATCCATACGGGAAATCATTTTAAAGAATCAGTTGATGTTTAATAATAATGGTGGATGGTGCAGTGGGTCAGCGCACTGGCATTGAGTTGAATTTGAATATTGTGATTTGACAGAAGTTTCCTCCTGTGGCCCTTGCCTGTGAAGTGAGTTTGAGGAGTCTTTTTGCCAGCTCCCGATTGATGTGGTTCACAACAAAAAGCTACTGTACTGTGCTGCTTACCTGCACTAATTGGGATGAGCCCCATTGTGGATAAGGAAACAGTGTAAATAATCAAGCAAATACAAATTGGCTCCAGTGCTAACCAAAACATTGTTTCATCAGAAGCCATTATACTGCCAATATAGTACCAGAATGCGAGTCCTCTCTCTCTGCCATTCTCTTTCTTTTGACTCTCATAATAATAATAATAATTCTTGCATTTGATATAGCGCCTTATCAGGCCATTGAGACGTCTCAAAGTGCTTCTCAGAATGTATTGTAAAGTGGATTGACTATATTTTGTGGGTGGAACAAGGCAGCCAATCGCGCACAGCAGTGTTCCACAAATAGTCGTGGATTGAGTGACCAATTTTGTTCGTCTCTGTGGCTTTATTTCCATCTCCGTCTCTCATTTTGTCAGACATTTCCTCTTTCTTTGACTTTAAATGGTTTTGATTAGACTTTGGTTCTTTTTCCCTTCTCTGCAGTCTCTTATGCTGGATGCTGGCGAATGCATTTCTACAGCTAGAAATAAATTCAATGAAGAATCAAAGCTGGCCTCTCTGAGAATCTTGGTTACATTGTGCACAAACTGTTTGCACTCTCACTCCAAGGTATTTAAACTACATTCTAAATAAATTTAAACTACATTCTAAATAAACTACAAAGAGAAGTAAATATAAAAAAGTAAATGTTGCAAATACATCTTGTGTGTGTATCCTTAACTTAGTTTACTTCACATTTTTATCAGGAGCAATGTTTCAGTGGGCCAGAAAGATAGATTTTTCAGTGGGTCAGAAAGCACGAGTGTACTGCTGTACTGAGAATCTAAACTGTAAATTTATAATTGTTTTGTGCAATTTAGCTAAATGTTTCTTTTTGGTTTTGTTGAATCACAGAGTTTATGAGATAAAACATTAGAATCACACTCATTATATTTGGATTAGATCAAAATAAATGAATATTTGCATAAAGTTGTTACTCGGTTCATAAGAGCCTAAATCATTATTTGAAATGCCAAGTTTCCTTTTAAAGTAACCAAATAACTATGTATTTTGAGCAGTACTGGATGAAAAGGACCTCAGCTTCCCTTTTCCTTCAATTATTCCCTGCAAGTTTCATGAATAACCTTGTGGATGTTTGCAAACAACTGGTAAGAAATTAAATGAATTCTTTTAGCAGCCAATGTGAATTTTTGATTATTCCCTAAGTCTCCCTGAACTAGAAGCACAAAGATCATTTCTTGATCAAGTGGGGATAAATAATTGTGTCCTCCTTACAGGCAGCCCACTCTAGAAAATCTAATGATGACAGTGAGACAAGGGATGATTTTGAAGAGAGTTTCATGGAAGTGAATGAACAAGGATCCCGGGATATCTTCAGTGATGATCACAGAAGAAACCTTGAAGCTGGTGATTATGGTGACACGGCAGATTCCACGGTTGGAATAGGTAGGAGTTGTCCTTTTTAGTAACTGATAAGCAGTTTCTGTGATGTCTAAATGGAGGGATGCAGATTCAATTTTGTCCACACCTCTAACTTCCCAAACTCAACCAGGCTGCTGCTGAGATGTCGACGGTGATGCTTCTATATGGCCTAACGGTCCACCGACAAATCTGGCTGGACCTCCTCAAAATCTACCGCTCCACTCTAGCCTCGGCCAAATCGTCCTTCTATTCCAGGATAATCCTGGAGGCGAAGAACAACCCCAGGCTACTGTTTTCTACCACATCCCGACTCCTCCGTCCCCCCCGCCACCCCGCGCAGGTCATCTCCTCCAACCTTCACTGCGAGGAGATGCTGGATTTCCTTGAATCCAAAATCAAGGGAATTCGCTCCGCGGTCACTTCCCCTCCAACATCCACCCACCCCCCACCCCCTCCCTCCCACACTCCGACTCCTACCCATCCTCCCCTACACACTTTCGTACCCGTTTCCCCACCCTCTGTCACCAAACTCATCCTATCCCTGAAACCCACCACCTGCTCCCTTGACCCCATCCCCACTCCACTCCTTATCTCCCAGCTCCACCTCCTTGCCCCACATATCACAGACATCGTCAACCTGTCCCTCTCCTCTGGCTCTGTTCCCATTCCCTTAAAAACTGCCACCATCACTCCCACCTTGAAAAAACCCTCCCTTGATGCGTCGCAGCTATCAAGCTACCGGCCCATCTCCAACCTCCCCTTCCTGTCCAAGGTCCTGGAACGAGTTGTCGCCTCCCAGCTGCGCTCTTTCCTCTCCACCCATTCATTATTCGAACCCCTTCAGTCGGGTTTCCGTGCTGCCCATAGCACAGAAACTGCCCTGGTCAAGGTCACCAATGACATCCTGATCATCTGTGACCTGGGCTCCCTCTGCCTCCTCGTCCTCCTCGACCTATCGGCAGAATTCGATACGGTCGACCTTGCTATCCTCCACCGCTTGACCTCCCACCTAAACCTTCAAGGCCCTGTCCTTGAGTGTTTTAGGCCGTACCTCTCCCACCGTCTTCACTTTGTTTCCACGAATGGTTTTTCCTCCAGCCCCCGCACTGTCTCGTGCGGTGTCCCTCAAGGCTCTGTCCTTGGTCCCCTCCTCTTCACCCTCTACATGCTCCCCCTTGGTGACATCATCCACATGTATGCGGATGACACCCAACTCTACCTTTCCTCCTCTACCCTCAACTCCACGACCACCGATGTCCTGACAGCCTGCCTGTCCGACATCGAGTCCTGGACGAGAGACAACTTTCTTCAGCTCAACGTGCACAAAATTGAGGCCCTCCTGATTGGCTCACGTCAGCGCCTCCGCACCTCAGGCGCTGACAACATTAGCATCCAAGGCTGCACTCTCCACCTCTCAAAGCCAGTCAGGAACCTCGGGTTCTGTTCGACCCTGAGCTGTCCTTTCTCCCTCATATCCGCGCCACAACTGGCACCGCCTTCCATCACCTCCGGAATGTCGCCAGACTACGGCACTACCTCACCCCTCACGCTGCTGAAACTCTGGTCCACGCCTTTATCACCTCAAGGCTGGACTATGGGAACTCTCTCCTCGCCGGCCTTCCCGCCACCTCCCTCCACAAGCTGCAGGTCATTCAGAACTCTGCAGCTCGTGTACTGTCCCGCACCAGGCTTCGGGACCACATCACTCCCACCCTCGCTCGCCTCCACTGGCTCCCCATCCCCCAGAGAATCGAATTCAAGATCCTCATCCTCACCTACAAGGCCATTCACGGCCTTGCTCCCTCCTACCTCTCTGACCTACTATCCCCCTACCTACCTGCCCGTACCCTCCGTTCCTCTGGCTCCGGTCTGCTCCACATCCCCCGCCCCAACCGCCCTACCATCGGTGGCCGGGCCTTCAGCCTCTCAGCCCCTAGGCTCTGGAACTCTATCCCCCAGTGCCTTCGCCGCCTCCTCCCTTTCCTCCTTCAAGGCCGGTCTCAAGACCTTTCTCTTTGACCGTGCGTTCAGCTCCCCTCTCGACTCTCTACCCCCTCCTCGCTCCCTCCCTTCCCTCCCCCTGACCATTTCCCCCCTGCTCGGGTCCTGACCCAACTGTACAGCGCCTTGGGACGTCCTCCCGACCTGAAAAGCGCTCTATAAATGGAATCTTGTTGTTGTTGTTGTATATGGTATGAGAATAGAAAGAGTCACATTGCCAGGCAACTGCCAGGTTATCTTCCAGCTGAAGCCTGGGTGTGGTTCAGCTCTTGCTTTCTCACCCCTGGAGTGGTGTTGCCTGATGAAAGCTGTGTGGGGCATTCCATACTCTCGTTATAAATAGCAACAAAAAATAAATGAATGAGAGTAGCATGGGGTAATTGTACACAAGTCGCTAAGTGTAGTTGTGAGCTAATTGGTTCTAATAACCTTTCAAGATTAATCTCAGAATTTCTTTTTATTGAGGCGAAGAAATCAAGGCCAATAGTTCAGGACACCACCAAGGATCATCTCCAAAGGATAGGGGAGAGGATGAGATAAATCCTGCAGTGGAGTCCTATAGCTCAGTGGTTCGAGCACTCGCCTCGCAAGCGAGAGATCTGGGTTTGATTCCCGGGAGGGTGAAATGTTGGGCAAGTTTCCTTACTCCACACAGCTCTGTTTACCTAGCAGTAAGAAGGAACCTGGTTGTTAGTTGATTGGCGGATCGCTTTTCTGGGGTAATCATTCCTTCAATAATTAATAATAATTTGGTTGCGCAATTCACGACTGTTTGTGGTACACTGCTGTACGCAATTGGCTGCTGTGTTTCGCGCACAAAATATGCAATTCACATTGCAGTATATTCTGTGAAGTGCTTTGAGACATCTCGAAGACATTATAAGGCGCTATATCAAATGCAAGGATTATTATTACATTAAGAAGTGGTTAGGTGACATCAAACTTTTATTTTAAAAACCTTGTAGGAAGTAGGGGAAAGTGAGTTCCACACTCTTGTGCGTGGAGCGTGGGAAGATGACCGAAGGCACTGTCAAAGAGGAAGGTCTTGACACGAACCCTGAAGGAAGTGAGGGAAGGAGTGAAGTGAGGGTTTGAGAGGGTGGGAGCAGAAAAGTTGAAGTCCTAACTGCTGATGGAGGGGAGGCCCAGGCGGGGTAAACAGCTCCTGATGAGTTCCACACTCTTGAGTTCCTGGGAAAGAGTCAGAGTACAAGATGGTGCAATGAGTTTAGATTTCAACAGTGAGCATGCAAGGTGCTTGAAGAGCCTGGTTTTCAGGTAGTTAAGTAAAATGTTAGTTGTAATGTTAGAGTATAGTCATAAATTTCTAATGTGTTCTAGGAGCAAAGAGCATTTTAGCTGAAGAGAATCTAACTAAGCATGATGTCCTCCTGCTTGATGCTGTCCGGTTTCTTTGCTGTTGCACTGCAGCGGGACAGAAGTATGTTTTGTCTTTCCGCCCTGGTGATATACAGAGAAAGCTGCTGGTATTGATTCAGGAGCATGATCTCCAGGCCCCAAAGTCTTTGTACTTGCACATGGTGAGTACCACTCATCTCCAGTGAATATAGTATAAGCCTGGGTATTACAATACAGAATGGCGGAAACCCATAATTACAATAACAACAAGATTACATTTGTATAGCGCCTTTCACGTCGGGAGGACGTCCCAAGGCGCTGGACAGTGTACAGCATTTCAGACCCGAGCTTGGCTCGGGGGGAGAAGGAGGGGAGAGGAAGGGGGGTGGCCGATGGCATGGTCGAAGAAGAGGGTCTTGAGACGGGACTTGAAGGAGGCTAAGGAGGGGGCGAGGCGGAGTGACTGGGGGATGGAATTCCAGAGGTTGGGGGCAGAGTGATTGAAGGCTCTCCCGCCAATGGTGGGGTGGGTGGGTCGGGGGACGTGGAGCAGGCCAGAGCCGGCTGAGCGGAGGGAGTGGGCGGGTTGGTAGGGGGTTAGGAGGTCGCAGAGGTAGGGTGGGGCGAGGCCATGTAGGGCTTTGTAGGTGAGGACCAGGATCTTGAACTGGATCCTCTGAAAGATAGGGAGCCAGTGCAGTCGGGCGAGAATGGGGGAGATGGGATCACAGAGCTTGGTACGGGAGAGGACACCGGCTGCAGAGTTCTGGATTATCTGCAGCCTGTGGAGGGAGGAGTTGGGAAGGCCGACAAGCAGGGCATTTGCATAGTCGAGCCTGGAGGTGATGAAGGCACGAACAAGAGTTTCAGCGGCCTGAGGGGTGAAGTAGTGGCAGAGTTGGGTGATGTTACGGAGGTGAGGGAAGGCAGAGTGGGTCATGGCTTGCATGTGGGGAAGAAAAGACAGTTGAGTGTTGAACAAGACACCTGGGTTCCTGACTGGCTTGGTGAGTTGTATTGTGCAACCATGGAGGTTGATGCTGCCAGAGAGCCTGAGGTGCTGAGGCGCTGGCGCGAACCAATCAGGAGGGCTTCAGTCTTGTTCACATTCAACTGTAGGAAATTTGCCCTCATCCAGGACCTGCTCAGACAGAGGATCTTTTGCTTTGCAATGACATTATCTTGGAAAGGGAAATTGGTAGATGTGAATAAAGATCTTAAGTGGTGTTTTCATGACGAATATCCCTATGGCTGGACTAGGCGTAAATCCCCTTTTATAGATATTTTTTCCACTTTTCTCCACAGTCTTGGGGCTGAGATGGGGAAACTCCTCCCTATTCATGGTTGACCAGACTGTCCAGCGTATCAATGAAATGTGCTGATATAGACATGCCTTCAACCTTACAGGCCAAAACCTTTGTGATTGTGGTGGACTAGTAATGTGTGATTTAATTTTTAAAGAATTTCTCAAAAAAATGTGTAGTTTTAATTTGTTGAATGATATCTGTGCAACTTTTTTTAATGACTCTCTGCCTTATTTCTATTTTACTTTACAGTACTTAATACTTCTGCAAGAGCTCCCTTCTGAAGAAAGCATCATACCTGTGAACGACATCTCAATGCTTCTGAAACAACTCTTGTAAGTCACGTTTTTTACCCACATTTGGTGCACTTGATAAATTGGCAACTCACAACAGGGTTCATTAATTAAAAACTCGGTCACAAGGGGAAATCTTGCTGGTATTTTGCTGTACGTCATGGCCAACTCATGCAATCTATGTTCTGAAGCTTCACTTGTGGATCATCAGGATCCTGTGAGTTTGTCATGATACCAGCAGGGTTGTCTGTTAGCAAATCAGAGTGTCTATTAGTGAGCGTGGCACAGTACCACTTACCAGCAGGATTCTCTGTTAGCGACTCTGAGACTATTAGTGAATCCTGCTGTGAACAGTCAGTTTTGTGATTCTATTGCTTTTATTTTCAATGCAGATTTAATTGTTTCACTGAATCCTTCATACACATTTCAAATATTATTTCTGCTCTTTTTAGAGGACTTCCCACCCTCGCCCGACTCCACTGGCTCCCCATCCCCCAGAGGATCGAGTTAAAGATCCTCATCCTCATTTTCAAGGCCATCCATGGCCTTGCTCCCTCCTACCTCTCTGACCTGCTGACTCTCTACCAACCTGCCCGCTCCCTCCGTTCAGCGGGCTCCAGTCTGCTCCATGTCTCCCACCCGACCCGCTATCGGTGGCCGGGCTTTCAGCCTCTCTGCCCCCACACTCTGGAACTCTATCCCACGTTCCCTTCGCCTCGCTTCCTCCCTCGCATCCTTCAAGGCCGGTCTCAAAACCCTTCTCTTCGATTGTGCCTTTGGTCGCCCTCCCACCTCACTGCCTTTCCTCACCCCTACACCACCCCTCCCCCATGCTCGGGCCCCGATACCTGACTGTTCAGCATTTTGGGACATCTTCCCGACATGAAAGGCGCTCTATAAATGTAATTTTGTTGTTGACTTTAAATGTGAACAGAATGTGCCGCACTTGTTCAACCAAATAGCTTGTTTCTATCTGATTGGAGAGATTTGCTAACCATTGATTGTGTTCTGTACAGGGATGTGTGTTCTTTCTATCGTTCTGATCAGGAGGTTTGTTCAGCGGTTTTGACGCACCTTCTTCCATTGCTAAAAGCACAGGGTATCGATTCTGATGAAATGGCTGATGTTCAGGGAAAATTACTGAAGGCAATAGGAGCATTTTGGTATGTGCCCCTTCATAATCTGACTGCTTTTACTATTGTGCCTGTCTTAATGTACAAAGGATAGCTGTGTGATTTTCTAGTCTTCCATAGCACAGTAGTTCCAAATGCTACTTTAAGACCTCATTTTACCATTTATGTTTTGCAAATATTTTTTAAAAAGTTCATTTTAACCTGACGCAGAGGTAGCATTCTCACCTCTTAGTCAAAAGGTTGTGGGTTCAAATCCAACTTTAAATCACATTGTCTAAGCTGACACTTCAATCTAGCGCTGGGGATGTGTTGCACTGTCAGAGATGCAGTCCTTCGGATGAGATATTAAAAGTTTTTTCATATGGACGTTAAAGATCCCATGGCACTACTCGAAAAGAGAAGGGAGTTTTTCCCAGTGACCTGGCCAACAATTCCCCCAAATAAAATTAATTACTTACTCCATGGCTGTTTGTGGGACACTGCTGTGCACAATTGGGGGTGTTTCATCCCCAAAGTACACAATCCAATTTACAGTATATCCCATGAAGCGCTTTGAGGCGTCTCAATGACGTGATAAGCGCTATATCAAATGCAGGCATTATTATTATTTTATCTTAATTTGCACTTCTCACTGCTGGTGATCATACTTTTCATTGAAAGCAAAGGTTTCATATAATAATACAATCTTTCCATTTGATACATCGCCTTTCACGTCAAGAGGACATCTCTATGCGCTTCATAGGAATTGCTTTAAAGTGTAATGACTGTATATTACAGGTGATTTTTACTTGGTTACATAGTTTTCAAAGCTAACTTCTTTTGTGCATTTCTATATATTGTAGTCATCTAAGCAAGGAAGGCAAATGTAATGCACAAGTGAGAGCTGCTCTAGTCAGATGCATGACGGCATTACTGGAGGTGAGTCATCTATAATTTTTGCTCTAATATTCAGTAGCTGACTAAAGGAATTTGACAATTATATTTGAATATCATCATCATATTGGATGCAGTGCTGTTCTTTTCAGTGCACTGGAACAACACTGCCATCCCCATCCTGCCTAACCCCTCCGCTTGTCAGGCACTGTTTACCCTGCCCAGCCCTCCCCTCCAATGGCAGTCAGGCCTTCAACCTTTCCAATCCCACCCCCTCGAACCCTTCCCTCACCTCCTTCAGGGTTCGTCTGAAGACCTTCCTCTTTGACAGTGCCTTCAGTCATCTTCCCACACACCAACCCCATTATTCCCCAGCCCTCTCACATCCAACTCCCAGCTTTGGTGTCAACCCTCGACTGTCTGGCTGGCGCCTTGGGACATCCTCCCGAAGTGAAAGGTGCTATATAAATGCAATTTGTTCTTGTCCTAATTTTCAAATGCATTTGCATTAATTGTTATATGTAGTGTTGTTGCAGTCAATGCACTGATTATTGTATACAGTGATAGAATCAATAACTTTGTTTGTTGACTGGTTTCAATAACTAACAATGCACTATATAACTTCATAGAATCAGCCAGTGAAATTAGGTTCTCCTGGGGTGGGGGGGGGGGGGTGGGGGCAAATAGGGTTATCTTGAGGTTGAGCTGGATTCAAGGTGATGTGCCTGGCAAATGGAATATCAGAATTGAGTCTACCCTCTGTGGCAACTTCTAAAGTTCGGTTCCTGAGCCAGACCAGTCCGCAGTACTCCCAAGGCACTATTGATGGCAGACTAGATATGCTGTCCTATCAGGAGGATGTGGATGCGCTGACCAGTCACTGGGAGCAGGGATCCTTGGATCCTGTTAACCCAGTGAGCCAAATCCCTAGTGGATAGGGTGGTCTTAACTAAACAAGCAGCAGGAAGCTTGCCAGTCAATATTTGCAATGACAAGCTATACTGTTTTAACTGGTTAAACCTCAGCAGTATGCCCAACAAATGCTCTGGGATCCCCAAGCCTTAGCTCTTGCCAATTTGCATCAAATTCTGATGAGTATTAGATGCAAATTGGCAAGAGCTAAGGCTTGGGGATCCCAGAGCATTTGTTGGGCATACTGCTGAGGTTTAACCAGTTAAAATAGTATAGCTTGTCATTAGAAAATCATCATGCAAAGAAAGTGTGTGTGTGTGTGTATCTATAATATGTGAAACTGTCTTGTTTGGATACTCTTAAGCATGGTGATGGGTTTCTCTATCATGTCAGTCACCCAGTTGGCTAACCAAATTAAATAAATATTAACGAACCCATATTTAGATCACTTTTTGTTTGTTCAAAATTTACATCTTTTAATATTCATGAGAATTGAGATGTTTGGTTTGTGTTATTTCCTGATCATGTAACTAACTTAGTGGATGCTTCACTTATATCATGAATATGAATGTTGATATCTTAAGACTTAGAGTATGAGTTCAGTATGCACATGGTACAATTAACATGAAGCGAACAATCCTTTGAAGTTCTGAAATAAAAATAGTAAAGTGAGAATCCCTGCCCCCAGTGATAGTAATCTCCAGGAAACCCAAAACACGTTGATTAGCATGCGAGTCCTGACTAAGGGTCTCTCTTGAAATATTCTCCCGTTTCTTTCTTTTCAATGCCAATTGATCTACTGTGCATTTCCAACATTTTTCTGTTTTTAAAAATTATGCATTTGATATAGTACCTTTTCACATTGAAACATCTCAAAGCGCTTCATAAATACAGTAATTTCTCTTGTGTACTGACTGTGTAAATATATTTTGCAAAACCTGTTATCTTTGTTCCTCTGTCATGATGCAGTTGCATGGCTTTAGCTGATGCATAGACAAGTCTTTGCAATACTTTATTTTTGGGTTGCTCCTCCAGACCGATCCACATTCCAAGTGGACCACACTTCTCGTCCGAAATGAAGAACTGTCTGTATCTGAAGTCTATTCAGAGTTTTTGGCAGACTCACATCACCAGGTTCGGATGCTCGCTGCCATGTCCGTCAACAGGTAATCTCTCCGGGTGGTAACAGTTACTTGTGGGAAGAAAAGATTTTGATTCGCAATTAAGAATTCCAAATCAAACTTTATTATAATAATTAATAATTAGCCTTACATTTGGTGCAGCACTTTTCATATTGGAGGACTTCCCAAGCACTTCACAGAATATACACTAAAACTCCAGCTGGCCAGACGAATGGGGTGGAAATCTGGTCCGGCTAGCCGAAATTTTTGAGTGGAAATTGCTAAGTGTAATCGCAATACCATTACCGGCATTTACCATTTTTTTTTCAGAGCAGAAAAATGTTGGTACTGGCATTATAATTGTTTGTTTTCCCGAGAGCAGAAGATAGCGAATAAGCTGTCTTCTGCTCACAAGATTCAATCTGAGTCAAAGTGGATATCTACATCAGGAATCTACATCAGACTTGCAGAATTTTTTTTAAATTTCTGATTCAAGCCTGTTCTAGCTAGGTATAAATTCCGGATACCCAGAGTCCAGAAAGGTGTACTGCAAAGTGGGGTCACTGTGTATTTGTGTATTTCACAAATTAAGGCTTGTTAATACAAAGTCATATATGGTTACCTTGTAGCATCGCAAATGCCAAACATCCCTTTAGGTGACCTTGTGATGCCATCCTGTAATATTTTTCTTTCAATTTCTTTCTCTTTAGGCTTTTTCAGGAAGTCCAGTTGCGTGACTCAGTGCAGCTGAAGGCACTTCCTATCAAGCTGCAGCAAAAAGCCTTTGAAAATGTGTATCTGAAGGTGCAAGAAGGAATGAAACTCCAGGTACTGCATGTTGTTTTTTAGGATGATTTATAAAAACAAAATACTGCGTTTGCCATTTAGTTTAGTCCAGGTGCTTACCTCCTAAATCCTCTTGGAACAATTGGGTTATTCTATAGCACCAAGCTCTTATCTTCCCTCCTTACTCCCTTCCACTGCTAGCTCATTGTGCCCCTTCTTGTGTTGACTACTCAAATGCCCTCCTCGTCGGTCTCCCTAGCTCCACTATCCACAAAATCCAGTTAATTCAAAACTCTACCACCCGCATACTCACTTGCATTAAACGCCTACAGTCACCTCCCCCGGCTCATCATTGTGCTCCGCCACTGTCAAGTGCTCTGGGGCGTTACCCTGTGTGATGAGCAAGTTGTTGTTCTTGTGTCATATGCCATCGATTCTCAATTTCAAAAAATCTGATACCCAAAATATCTCATGGTCTAAGCTTTGAAACCATAGTCTTAAAATTTAAATTCTTAAAAAGAACTGCGAAAACCAGGCATGTACTCTATGTGCAAATTCTTAATTTGAAGATAATGATTTATGGCTAAACTTACACTCTGTAAAACAATGATGTTCTACTCCACGAAAGACACTATATAAATGAAAGTTGTCAGAGACATCATAATGTCACCAGTGATTTTGGTTGCAGTGGACTCACTGATGAAGTATGGCTCATCGGTGAGTGCATTATCTGTACCTCTTTCTAATATTGCTCCTGAATATGATAAGCATCATAAAGAGGAACCCTCTTATAAAATGATTGTTAGGATTCAGATAATCTCAACCTGCGTTATAAACAAGGGCACAAACCACTTGACGAAGGTTAGCACTTTCATTCATATCATCAGAGTATGCTGCGCACGCACACAGAAAAACGCCTGGCTGCTCTTGTGATGCAAAAACCTAACCTTTTTGTGCTAATGGGATAAATTAAAGGACATTATAACAGTGTTGTGTTGTTTATAACTGTTGCTTATGGCCCAAAGCCTTTCCTCCATTGATGGTTTGAATCATCCTTTAGAATTATGCGACCCAAGAAGAGTTTCAGGATGAAGAATGTAACAGAAGAGCTACTTTGCTGGTGCTAATTTCATCCATCATCTGCTGCAGTCCTGTTTGTGAAAAACAAGCTTTGTTTGCTATCTGTCAGTCACTAAAGGAGAACAAACTGGACCCTAAACTTGTTAAAAAGGTAATGACAGCATGCAGTATTCATTTTGTGTTTCTACTTGGAAGAGGAAATAATTGTGTTAAGTTTTGCATTTGATCGTTGCACATTAGTCCTTTCATCAGCTCAGACCAGTACAGTTTAGAGATTTACGTCTGCATAGGATTATTCTGTTGTTTTGTTTGCATGAATTAATGGTTGTAGCTGAATTGCATTCCATAAACTAAATTCAGATAAAATGATTCAGTTGGGATTATTTTGGGGGGTCAACCGGGTGTTTGACACATGTGGAAACCCATCATTATGCTTAAGAGTGGTATCTGTGTTCCATGCATTCCATACTTGGAAATTTAGGAGATATTTATTGGAATGGAATGTGCATTCTCTCCCTGGAGGGATGCACCCTGCTTACCTAATTCCAGTGAGTAATAGGCGCAGTTGGAGGCTTGGGGACCCCAGAGGGTATGTTGGGGTACTGCTGGAGTCTAACCAGCTAAAACCACGTAGCTTGCCATTGTAACCTATACAAGCATTCTTTTGAGACTTGAGGCACCTTTAAATTGATGCCAAATGTGGCAGTTTCATGTTGAACTGACTAATCTAACAAAATTAAACTTTCCAGTATCTCAGTTTTATAAAGTTTATCAATCAATAATGCTCAAACATTGGTAATGTAATTTTATCAATGGACCATGATTTCACTCAAAATCTTTCAGTTTATAATATAGCATAAGAAGTTGAACACAAGCAGATTATAATTTTAGTTTGTTTATATCTACTTGCCTGTACCATACACCCATGTTCTAACTGCTTGTCTTTCAGGTTCTTGAGACGTTGTCCACACGTTTGACCTATAGGAGTTTGGAAAATTTCATAGTTTCCCATTTGGATTATCTTATTCATGAATGGCTGAAAATGGGCTACAGCTTGCCTACATTCCCTTATGTCTTGCTGAACTGTTCCAGTCTGAAGGAATTTTACAGGTAAAATAAGCACCGCCGTCCTTACAGATCATACAATTTATTGCCTGTTTTGTCAAATACTCATTCTCTGTTTGCTGCAAGGCTCCTATGTGACGTGAGTTTTAGGCACGCTTAACCCAGTTCCTAGTGGGACATCCTCCTGACGTGAAAGGCGCTTTATAAATGGAATCTTGTTGTTGTTGTTGTAGTGGATATTGTGTCACTTGGCATAAGTTAGTAATTCACTCAGGAAGGCGAGAGAAAGGATGTGGGGGGAAGTAGAAAATGTCACTGGTGCTTTTCAGTTGAGCTTGCTTCTTGTCTTGGATGTGAAGCACATTATCGGGGCAAAGTATAGAGGGAGCGTCCCGTTGTATCTTACCCTGCTGTACCATACCATTTGCTGTTATCAATTTACCTGAAATTTAAAAAAATTACTATTTTCCCTCATAGAGCATTGATCATCTTAAGCCGTACGATCACTTGCTTTCCCTTCTTCTTTCCTCATGCAAGTTGTACAGCTGGTTTCTTAGCACAAAATTATTAAAAAGATTTAATTTATGGTTATCACCCACAAACTATACAGTCAATTCACAGTATATTCTGTGAAGCGCTTTGAGATGTCTAGACGATGTGATAAGGTGCTGTATCAAATGCAAGGATTATTATTAGGAATTAAATGAACTCCAGACTGTAACAAAAAATCAGCTGAATTTTCATGTTGATATGTTGGTGACAAGACCATTCCCTGGGACCCTATCATTTTAATCTGGTAATGTCAACCAGCCGACATCTTGTGCCATTACAATTCTATTTGATTGAAGTGATCTTGTTTAGGACAGTACTGATATAATGTAGTTTCAATAAAGCAGGAGCCTTCAGAGAAAGTCTTCTGGTAAAGGTTATTGTTGTCGGTTGAATGTAGTTGACATATGGGAATCTACATGAAAATTGTTCTACCTGCTTCTATTGCCATTTTCATTAGCTAAAGGTGACCAAGAAAATTTAATTTGCATGCTCTTTGTCTTCAGTCTGGAACAGTGCAGTGTTTAGTAAAGTATAGAGAGTGTTGCATTTTTGGAGGTAATGTCCTTTGGCTGAGATGTTAAATTGAAGTCTTAACTGTCTGGTGGTTTAGGTTAAAAAAAATGAATCCCCTTAAAAATTAATGCTAGGGAATCATTAATTTTTACCTAAACCAGTTTATCTCAATAATCTCTTCACAGTTTATCTCAACAACTCTGCCAATATTTCTTCCTCATTCATGTTCACCCCAAAAAGTGAATTGAAATGTAATGATCGATCTGATTGCTGATTTTGTGATGTTTGTGTAGGTTAGCTGCCAGGTTTGTCTACATAGGTCACAAGCATGTGTGACATTCTTTGAAATGTTTCTGTACCAATCAGCTGTTTTATTATTAACATTTTTTAATGAGATTTTCAAACTGTTTGAAGCGCTATTACTCAGTGTTACTGGTATAACATAAATATTGATGTATTTTAGGTCCTACTACAAGATCCTTGTCCCACACCTGACAATTGTTGGTAATTTGGAGGAAGTGAAGTCCATTGGTGTGCAGATCAAGAGGGAATGGAAAGAAATGCTGGCTGATTGCCTTCCAAAGATCATGGTTAACATCCTACCTTGCTTTGCGTACCAAGGTAGAGATGGATCTGGGAATGACACTTACACGGCTCAGCAAAGAGAAAATGCATCCAAGGTTTTCGACATGCTAAATGACGACCATTGCTTAGGGAAGCAGGTGAGATCACATAAAGATGTTCCTGCATTTTGTCTGACATTAACTGTACATTTCCTAGTAGCGTCGAGGCCTAAGAAAGTTCAATCCATGTTGCTAAAAGAAAAACTGATTTCATGTGGGTTTATAATCTCAGCCAGGAGGGTACATAGGAGCGACTGTAGTGCACAATCTGTTATTCTATATTTCTATCTCTTGAACATTGATTTGAATACAGTCAGTTTAATGAGTTTTATTCTTTCTCTTCGTTGCATGTTTTCTTTTTCTTTCCTGATCCTTTCTCTTCAAAAGTCTGGGCAATCTGATCTCCATTCCTTTTAACCACAAGCAAGAAACCTCTCAGAATTGGCTCAACTCTGGTCTCCTGCATCTGACCATAATACATAACCTACCACTTTGTGGTGATGTGATTGAGCCAGACCAGCCAGCACTGAGCTATTGAACAGCACTAAATCTTAAGAGTTTATAGTGTCAACCATTGCCCTGCATTTAATTTAGATATAAATTATTTCTAAGTAAATTTTGTACACCAATATAGTTTCATGAATTGCACAGATTCAGTCTTTTTTTCCATCTGCAGCAAACTGAAGTAAATCTTAATGGTGCAGGAAGCATTTCACTTGAAGTCATAGTTAAAACTGTATTCTGTCCCTCTCCCTTATCTTAGAGCACTGGTTAGAGCACTTGCTTTGCAAGCGAGAGACCTGAGTTCAATTCCAGGCAGGGCGAAACCTTGGGCAAGTTTCCTTACTCCACACAGAGCCTAATAATAATCCCTCCAAAATCAAAAACAATAATAAATTGGTCATTTTCAATCTATGACTGTTTGTGGGACATTGCTGTACGCAATTGGCTGCCGCGTTCGCTCACAAATATACAATCAGTTCACTTTACAGTGTGTTCTGTGAAGCGCTTTGGGACGTCCTCCTGACGTGAAAAGCGCTATATCAAATGCAAGGATTATTATTATTATTATTATTATTATTATCTTTCATTGGCAAACGTACCTAATTTGCCCAAAATAGGTTCAGATAAAAGGCCTTTTTATGAGAAGTTGTTTTTTCAATCATTTATCTTGAAGAACATTGACCAATTGAGTCACAACAACCTACCAGAGATTGTGGTGGAGCTGCTCAACACCTTGTATGACTCTCCTGACCAAGAGGCAGCAGAAGATGCGGAGCTGGTGAGGTTTGCTGGGTAAGAGAATCAATAAAGCTGCTGGACGCCAAGTCAAGTGGAGTATAGAGAGGTGGCCATTAGCACAGTTAAAGAGGTAGCTTTTCAGTAGATATTTACAGACAGAGAGTGGATGAAGCAGAGGGATTTAGGGAGGGAGTTCCAGAGGGTAAGAGTATAGAGCCTGAAGCAGCTGATGTTTGGGAGGTCGGGGACGAGATGAAAACCTTAAAGGAGATTTTGAGGTTCAAACATAACGAGATTACAGCATTTGTTTGCCAGCAGGGTATGGATGGATGGGTTCATGTAAACCTGAATGTATGTTTGCCATAACAACGCAGGTAGTTGTATTTTTGATTGATGAGATGAATTTGTACTGGATTTGCTGCAACAATGTCAGTTTCTCCTCTGGCGTCTCAGTATCTCAACTTGTTCTCGCATGACAGCCCTGAAAGTTGACGGAATGAAGAGTCTGCTATTTGAATTACTGGGATCCAAATTATGTGTGTTACATTGGCATTTCAAATAGCAGATTTTCTAAAACATTGATGAAAAGAAGCTGTAGCTGATTTTTTTTTTCCCCTTAATGTAGGGCACTGGATCCTGCTCCCAATCCACCTTACTTTCCGTCCTCCGTGATCTTAGCTGCGTTTGATTACATCAGTGGCTGCCATAAAGAAAAGCTGAAGTCACTTGTTGCAATTATTTCAAAAACTCCAGTAAGCTTGATATTTTCAATTTACTCTATCTGCAAACTGTAATAAAAGGGCATTTTTTTCTTTGTGGTGCTATTTACGTGCATCTTGTGTAATGTGTACTGTGTTTTATGATCATTACGGTCATCACACTGGAGTTGTTAAATCTTACTCTAGTACGTGTGGACATGAAAATAATGAACATAAACTGTCTGAAAAGTCTCTGAGATATTTATGTTGCTGCAGGATTCGATCCAGAAGATCTTGCTAGCAATTTGTAGGAAGGCAGTGGAAACGAGCAGTGCCTATGAAAAGCACCGGATATTGAGGATGTATCGCTTGTTTGTGAACTTGCTGCTGAAGGCGATAAAGTACGGGGGGCTGGGAGGAACCTGGGCATTTGTTCTGCGAGATGTTATCTACACACTTATCCACCACATCAACAGCCGGTCAGTTTTCTTTTTCATTTAGATGTCACTCCACAGTGTTAGTGCGGACAACAAAAGGGTTGAAAAGGGCTTGAGCAGAAAAAACGCGTGCGTGTGTGCACGCGTGCCGCGCTTACTGAAGGAACCCCACATACATTACCCTGGCCCATGAGAACTTTTCCCGGTGTTTTCTCAGTAGGAGCAGAGTTTACAAGAGTTGGTGTGATATACTTCGGGTTTTTGCCTGAGGCACACTTCATATCCCAAGGCACCTATTCTGGTACTTGTAACAATTACACTTTTTAGACTCCAATGAGGAGGTTTTGTGAAACAACAACAAATTACATTTGTATAGGGCCTTTCACGTCGGGAGGATGTCCCAAGGTGCTGGACAGACAGGGATTTGGACCCAAGTATGGGGTTGGGATCGGGAGGGAGGGTAGGGATAGGTGGGTGGCTGAAGGCGCAGTCGAAGAGGAGAATCTTGAGACTTGCCTTGGAGGGCGCAGGGAGGCTGAAGGCCCGACTGTCCATGGTGGGGCCGGCCGGCTGGGGGCCCTTTGTGTTAGTAGTGATTGAATTTCATACACAGAGTTACTTTATGTGGTGACTGTTATGGTGGAAAACCTCCCAACTAACCTGCACAAGCAGTGTCCCACAGACAGTAATTAGGCGAATGGCAGAATTTAATTTGGTGAATTTGGATGAGGGAGAGTGATAGTAGCTTGGGCACGAGCATTTGTTTTAAGGTTACAATAACCATTAGGTTATTCATCTTGAATCAAACATTATCTTGTGAAATGGAATCACAGTGTCGTAAATCTGCCCAGTAAACAAAGTTTATTGGAGAAGGATGCTTTTATTTTGATATTGGTGGTTTGATTCATTTGTCTTGAACTTTGTTTCCATCCTAGGCCATCACACATGGATGATGTATCTGCACGTAGCTTTTCTTTGTGTTGTGACCTTCTAAATGTCACCTGTCATACTGCAGTGGAACACTGTGGAGATGCTCTTGAGAGTCACCTTCATGTTATTGTGGCCACACTTGCACCTCTGGTCCAAGAGCAAGCAGAGGTTCGGCAGCAGGTGGGTTTAACATCAAACCATCATTAAACTGTAACTGCTTCTACTTTTGGATGAACCGAGACAGCAGAAGAGGACTCAGGTTTAGGCTTGCGAGGAGCAATCTCAAGGTAGATACCAGGAAGTATTTCTATACCCAGAAGGTAATTAATGACGAGAATTTTTTCCTCCTCATCCCACTCTTTTGCACCTATGCTGTTGAAGGTGCGAATGGTTGGAGCGTGCTCGTTGAGGGGAGAAAACTAGACATTCGCCAACGCGTTGCACTTCACCTTCAATCTTCCCTTTCCCTAGCAAGGAGATGTTTCAGTCTCTATTAAGATTCTTCTCACTCAGTGGTGACTCAGATCAGAAAAGAGTATGAACGTTACTACATTTATTCCCATTTGGAGTATCTGTGTTTTGCTGCTTGAAACACTTTTGGTGCTTTCCTGAATTTGTTTGGATTTAAAAGTGCAATGAATTATAGTTATGGTTTGTGTATTGGTTCTTTCAGGCCCTCGAGTTGCTGAGGTACCTAGTGATAACAAACCAAGACAATGAGAACCTCCACCATGCTATCAAGCGGTTGGATCCCTTTCCTGACCTGCCTGAGTTTCGTGAGCTGCGTTTCACTCAGGAGAAGATCAAGTACAGCAAGGGACGGTTCACCTTGTTGAAAGTAAGAAATCCTATCATTTAAAAATTGCTGGATGTTGCTAAGCATTTGATGTGAAGAATATATCTCCATTGGTAACTCCTGCGGTGGAGGGTTTGAAACTCTGTTTGACAGCCGAGTTTGAGTCTAGTATCAACTATCTTGTCTAGGCTGATATTTTATATTAGAGTATGTTGTATCCTGTGGAAGTCAACCTCCATTTGGCTTATACTTGACCATCATGATAATCTCAGCCTACAATTTAAGATCATTCAAGTTTTGGAAATTCTCTTATTCAATCTTAATTTGGCAGCTGTTTTTGTTTCTTTTGAAAAACTGAGAAAACCACCTTCCAAATTAAGAACTGGTTTAAGAATTTTACAGTTTTGCAAATCTTACATTTTAAGGTATTAGTCATGAGGCTAAGACTATACGAAATATCAGGACAGAAATTTAATGCCGGACTTGAAGAAGACACACTCTGAGAACTGAATGAGAAAATGGAAGTAGACAGATAAATAATTAATTGAAGTCAATGATACCAGGAATGGGGAACCTTAACTATGAGGACAGGCTGGAGAAGTTAGGACTTTTCCCATTAGAGAAGGTTACGCGGGGACCTGATAGAGGTCTTCAAGATCATGAAAGGTTTCGACAGGCTAGATAAGGAAAAGCTGTTTCCGCTGGTAGGTGTGTCTGTGACCCGTGGTCACAGTCTTAAGATATCTACCAAAAGAAGCAGAGGGGAGGTTAGAAGAAATTTTTTCACTCAGCGAGTTGTTCGAATTTGGAATGATCTGCCTGAAAGGGTAGTGAAGTCCGATTCGATAACAGCTTTTAAGAGAAAACTGGATAGGTATCTGGGGAAGACGGGTTTGCGGGGTTATGGGGAGAAAGCTGGTGATTGGAGTTAGTGAAAGTGACTTGCTCTGTCAAAGAGCCGGCACAGACTCGATGGGCCGAATGGCCTCCTTCTATGCCGTAACATTCTATGAATCTTCGATGAATTGTTGCTTTTTGTTTGCTGTGAATTTCCTTACTTAATGGACTTCTTGTTTTCTGTTTCAGGAGATCTGTCATTTCCTTTCAGTCAGCTCATGTGATTCCTTACCATTGACTAGACTTGAAGGATTAAATGATCTGAAAAAGCAACTGGAACAACACAAACAAGATATTAAACAGTTGTTGAAAGAGTGTCAAGGTAGGCTGGCAGAGTTGTATTCTATTAAATCAACTGTATCAGAACTTCATACTCATCAGCATGCTCCTCCAACATTTCCTATTTATTGTTCTTTATCTAATGAGTTGATCCACATCCTCTTCCTTCAATCTTTCTGTTGAAATCACTGCCTCCAGCTCTTCCTGGTTATTTTACCAGACCCTCAAGACATGGGAATTCTTTATCCCTCTCAGTATTCCTACCTCCTACAATCTGTGTCGTTTAAAACCCAATGTTGTCTTCCCTCCTATTCTTTTGAATGGTTGCAGTCCATTCAATATGCTAAATGTCACATAAAACTGCAGATTTCATTTAATTCCAATGCACCATGTGTGTGAAAGTTAACTGCTTTTGAAATTATTTATCAACTTCTGGCAGGGTTGTAATCCACATGTCAGAAAGCAAAAGACCCCATAAATTGCTATATTGTTTTGACTGAAAATGAACTCTTGCAAAACATTTTAAAAATGCTCTATCAATAGATAACCCAGAATCCAGCATCCTGGTGAGACTAGTTGTGAATCTGTTGCAGTTGTGCAAATCTGCTATCAATCACCCAGCCGGAAAAGACATACTAGGTGAGCATTATAACCAACTTAATCAATGGGCTCCTATACTACAGCTTCCTGTTGAACTGGGGGGTCTTGATGTAACATTGCACAGCATAGGCTGCGTTAAGGGTGTAGTGGATGGAGCTGTAGCTTACAGACCTGGAGCTCACTGGTTTGTAACTCCGTTCATGCTGAGTTTGCTACCGGGTTTTGTGGGAAGCCTAAAGGGGCCCCAGCCTTCCCATGGTTAAGGAGGGGAATGTACAATTTTCATGGTACATCTACACTACTGCTGTGTTCACATTATGGCATCTGAGTGAGGAGAGGTCAGATTAAGCTGTGATTCCCTCTATAGTCATGGCCTGCTGACACTCACCAGCAAGACTCACACATTAATGATGATCACTTGGGCAGGATACTAGAGGGTAACAGCAGTCATGGAACCTCACCCCAGCATGTGGAGACCAGGAATAGAGGCAGATGTCAAGGGAGAAAATTAGAAAATAATTGAGACATCTTGATGTAATAAGTTGGTAAATCACCACATCTGTGCCATGACCCACTCTGCCTTCCCCCACCTCCTAACATTGCCCGGCTCTGCCGTTGCCTCACCCCCCAGGCCGTCGAAACCTTCATCCACGCATTCATCACATCTAAGGCTCAACTAAGCCAACTCCCTGCTTGAAGCACTCTGAGATGCCTTCCGGTGTGGAGGGCTCTATATAAATCCAAGTTGTTGTTGTCGGCATTCCCAACTCTTCCCTCCACAAGCTGCAGATCATCCAGAACTCTGCAGCCCGTGTCCTCTCCCGCACCAGGTTCTGTGACCCCACCCACCCATCCTCGCTCGGCTCCACTGGCTCCCCATGCCTCAGAGGATAGAGTTCAAAATCCTTGCCTTCAAACCCACCCCCTACCTCTGCAACCTGCTGACCCCTTATCAGCCTGTCTGCTCCTTTATTCAGCAGGCTCCAGCCTTCTTCGTGTCCCCTGCCTGACCCTCCCCACCATTGGCGGTCAAGCCTTGAGCCTCTTTGCCCCACCCTGTGGAACTCCATCCCATATTCCCTTTGCCTCGCTCCCTCCTTGTTTCCTTCAAGGCACACCTCAAGATCCTTCTCTTCAACCGTGCCTTCGACCACTCTCTCTGCCCTCTACCTTCCCTGATCTCGCTGGGGTCCTAATCCCTGACTGTTCAGCACCTTGGGACGTTCTCCCGGATGAAAGGCACTTTACAAATGCAATTTTCTATTGTATTCCACCTTGTAAGGCATTAAAATAACTAGCATGTAAAGTTTAGTGGGAGTTCAAATTGACTTCCACTTGTATTTGTTACAATATTGGATTTTGCATTACCATGTCCTGTACATTTTTTGGTGTTGTATGAAGTCTGCAGATGTGTTCATTGTTGCTTTCTCTGAGATGTTTGACCAATGCACGTTGTCAAACATCCCAGAATGTGAATGTGATGGGGCTTGAGCCTGAGATTGCCAGAGCTTAAACCTGAGCTATGCTGTTGTTTCAGAGGCTGCTGGAAGTTGTTTGGGAGAAGTGGGTCCAGTTGACTTTTCCACAATCGCTTTACAGCACAAGAAGGATGAGCTTCATTCCAAGGCAATGGAAGTCTTCAAAGAAAATAAATTTCAATTGATTTTCATTCTCCTAAACGTCATTAATAATGCACTGATAGATCAGGGGTGAGTGTGGAGGAAATTTGTGAACCATCTGAATGCAAACCGATACAGAATATTGCAGATATGTTTAAAAGTAGGTGCATTAAAACCTGCATCCCGTAGTCTAGAACTCACTTATAAATAAAGATTTTTCTAGTGGTGTTGCTCATTGATGTATGAATGTACTTTCATGCAGCATGTAATTCGGGAAAATGATAGGATACCAGTCAGTGTTCTCAAAAAGTAAACCTTAATAAAATAGTGTAAAAGAGGTACAATAGGCCACGTGGTTTTAAAAAAAAGCTCTGGATGTGTTTTTTTTTAAAAAACCTGATTGAGTTCCTTCTCATTAAAGCCTGCTAAACTGTCTAAAAATTGTTGACTAAAGGAAAAAAGGTCAGAAACCAGGGTTGGGTGGGTAAGAGGTGAGGTGGGTAAGAGGCTGGGTGCAGGGAAATATAATTACTTGAAGAAGCCTTGATTGTACGAAGCCTACGTTGAGACAGGAAAATCCTATTTGGTTTAGCAATATGTGTCTCCCATGTGTTTTCTCCGTCAGTATTGAAGTTCGCTTTGCGGCAGCTACATGTGCAAAGAATATTCTCGCTACCCAGTCTGGTCACCAATTTTGGGATCAGAGTAAAACGGATCCCAATGGTCCAGATCCAATGTTAATGTATTTACAGCCATTCCGAACAGCCAAAAAGAAGGTGTGTTCCATTTTAATTCTATTTTGATTATGAATGAACAGTAACTTGTGTCCTGTAAACTCAGTGAAATTTTAATAAGCAATGCATGTTTTTACCCAGATAAATGTTATTAGATGTTAGATAACCAAATGTGTGTGTATATAACATATGTGTGTATATAGTGTATGTGTGTGTGTATAAAGTGGAGTAATTTAAAAGATGTGAGTTACAATTTTTTTTGCTGAGTTACCTCTGGTGCATTAATATTGAGTACCTTCTCATTAAAGCTTGCTAAAGTGTAAGATAACTTGAGGAATCAATTAAGAAAAAGTTGATGAATCCCTTTGGCTACAACTGAAACTGAGAGTGTGTATTGTTGAGGTCCTGTCTGCCTGTTCAAGTGAACTTTAAGGATCCCATGGCGCTATTCGAAAAGAGAAGGGAGATTTTCCTGGTGTCCTGGCCAACAATCCCCAAATAAAATCAGTCACTCAGTTCATGGCTATTTGTGAACAAATTGGCTGCTGCACTGGCCTACACTTCATGGTAAAATCCTGTGAAGCACTTTGAGATATCCTCTTGCCGGTTTGATAAGGTGCTACTGTATATCAAATGCAAGGATTATTATTAAGACAGACTGACTTTAAATGATGACTTCATTTCTTACTATTGCTGCATGCAGGAGTGCAGTTATATTTTGGTTTTGTTTAATTAGATTGATAATTATCACGCGGTGGGAATAAACCATTTCAGATGTGTTTCACAACATAAACCTTTTTCTAAAATTGGATTTTTTTTTCCTTGTTCCAGGTTCACAACTTGCCATCAGCGGAAAGTCCTGAGCCTCCACATACCCTTGACGACAGCACTTTGTGGATACCGCAGAGTGGGTGCCATGAGAGCTGGCTAAAAACATTGACTTGCTCCCTGCTGGACAGCGGAGGTGTAATAAGTGAAGGTCTGAGGTTAATCAAGCCAATGTGTGAGGTAAACGTTGACATTATTGTGTTTAGTGAGGATACTGTGGTCATTTATTTTACTTGGTCCTTTGTGAAATTCTCATCCCATTACCGGCTCCTTAGTAACCTGCAAAATGAGGAATGTGAATGTCCCCAGTTAGATTTGGCCACTCCTAATAATGCAGCTTTGAAATTTGTAATTACTAAATAAGTCCCCGCTTCACACCACTTCAATTGCAGTTTTGATTCTCAGTCAGAGAAAATATTTAAATTCAAGGTGAGGTGGGCAGGGGAGGAAAGCTCTCCATGAAACAAAATAGGAAAGGAGAAACCGTCAGAACATAACTATGCAGCAACTGTTCATTCATCAATGTCTGTGATTGGGCATTGCTGTGATCCAGTGTGATGGTACATGTCATGCAACAAATGTTAACCTGTTATATGCTATGCACAAAGTTTCACTTAATCATTGGCTTTCTGTGGAGGAGCATGCTAGTTTTGCTCCATTTGTTTTACAGTAATAGGTTCAATACTAAACTGTGCTGGGATCTATATAGAGGTTGGGGGATAAATGTGGTGGTATTACCACATACCAAAAGTGCACCAGCCATCTGAGTAACACTGAAGATAGATTAAATATTGATCAAACCAGTGTAGAAATGTGAATGATAGTTTAGTTTGATAGTAGAGCAGCTGCTTTAACTACAGTATTAAAAATCATGAGCATTTAGTAGAGAAAGTGGTTTCTGACTTGTCCAATTTTTTTATCATTAATGTAATTGACTTGATTGTAAGATTGAAATTGGTCTTCAATTGATTACCGTGTGTGTGTGTGTGTGTGTGTGTGTGTGTGTGTGTGTGTGTGTGTGTGTCTCTCTCTCTCTCTCCACCAGGTGAAGACTGATTTCTGCCAGCTGGTTCTTCCGTATTTGATCCATGATATTCTCCTTCATGACAGCCATAGCTCCTGGAGAGTGCTGCTGTCTAAGCACATTCAAGGCTTTTTTAATGCCTGCTGCCGAATGGGATCGAGCTCCAGCCGGTCCACTACACCAGCCATTGTTGACTCAGGTAATTGTTCATTTGAAAGTTGTTTTTACGAGAAACGTCTTTGAGATTTGAGGTTCCTGTCTGGCCTAACGTGTTTATTTATTGAAATGACTAGTCCAGTCTCATAATTTTGACAAGTTGTTCTTTGTACACAGTTGATCATAAATCATTGTATATACCAGAAATGTTTCTAACTGTTGCATTATGCAACCCTGCATTTAAGCATTAATGTTCTCTTTCTTTTGTTGATCAGTTTCCTAAGAGTTGCTTTTGCTTTAACCAGAAACTGATAGCCTCCCCCATGGGCATTTGGACAAAATATCTCGGCGCACCATGCTGGCTGTGGTCGATTACTTGCGAAGACAAAAAAGGCCTCAAGAAGGGTTGGTAAAATCTTGCTGCAGAAAATGTCTTTCTTGGCTGCAATGGGCAGGCTCTAACCGTTTGTTATTGGACAAATATGCCACAAATGGAGCACCAAGTGCCCAAGCTGCCAGATTCACTCTGGCTGGTAGGGAATAATAATAATAATAATAATAATCCTTGCATTTGATATAGCGCTTTTCACGTCAGGAGGACGTCCCAAAGCGCTTCACAGAATATACTGTAAAGTGAATTGACTGTATATTTGTGGGCGAACGCGGCAGCCAATTGCGCACAGCAATGTCCCACAAACAGTCGTAGATTGAAAATGACCAATTTATTATTTTTTGTTTTGGAGGGATTATTATTAGGGAAGTGGGAACATTGCATTGGTGTAGTGGGAGATGTGGTTCTGCAAGTTCTTTGTTGGGGCAGAATAGAGGGAGTTTTACTATGTATATTCTCATTCGATACTTGACCTGGTTGTGCTTGGTGCCATCACTAGTTGTCTCAATTTCCAAAGTATATATTTTTCTCCACTGCCATTTCTCCCTTTGATCACCACAAAAATTCACTAATCTTTTTTCACCTCAGTGAGACTGCGATTTGTACTTTGATGTTCCTTCGATCACATTGATTTTGAATGTCTAAAATAAGTTGTTTATTATTAATTGATTGTCTGCACCTTTCTCATACTAGGCAACAGCTCAATACTGAATGGGACAACAACTTCTGGCTGGAGTTGAATTACGTGGAGGTTGCTTTGACAGCCCAGACGTGTGCTGCACATTTTACAGCCCTGCTTTATGCTGAAATCTATACGGATAAGGTTAGGTCAGAAGAAGAAGAAGAGTTTAAAAGGTAATGTTTTTATCAAACTATTTCCAAATATTTTATTTAATATATGCAGAGATGTGTCATCAATGCTGTAAAATGGTAGTGTAAAAATAGATTCTATACGACAGAAAACTGCCTGAAAGACTGGTGTCAGTCTGCTTTCAGGAACTTTTCTTAGGGTTATGTCCATAATTTTCAGAATGGATCTCTTATGAATTAGAACTGTGGCCTTTTTCCCAAAAGTGTCAGGTAGCAATAAAGAAGCAAAGACTGATGAGCTTTAATCTTGTTCAGTAAAAATTCCTTGAGCTCATATTCAAAATGTACATTGCGCTGGTCAGGCTGTACCTGGAGTACTGCATATAGTTCTGGTCTTTGCGATATAAAGGAACTCCACAAGTCTGTGGTAGGTCAATGGAGAGGGTAATTCACAACTGGTTACCAAGAAGACTGGTACTCGGGTTTGTGCTGAAACCTCATCATAAACTCAGGATCTTGAATAACTTTCTGTAGATGTCTGTCTGTTGTTTTAAAACCACATCTTTGAATGCTTAGTTTAAAATGAGGCATGCATCCTGGATACACTCAATAATCTGAATGTTAAATGTTGGGTGTCAGATGAGCCCTGACTATCTAGAGAAACTAGAGTCTCTGATTAACCATTTATAGTCACAAATACTTTATATCTGATTGTGCTACAGCGTCACTACAAATAGCTATCTTGTACTTCTGCTTTTGTCAGGACTGCCTTCAAAGCGTCGCATAGAATAACATTTGATGAGGCCAGCCAAGAGTTGACTGTATCTAGTCTGAGCAGCAAAAGCAAGGAAGAAACAGGAATCGGTTTACAGGTATAGAAACAACTGATTGGTATGACCCTGTGGCAGCGATTAACCTCCTGCTTCTACTTTGCACCAGATCCAACATTTCCTTAACTGAATGATTTGTTGTTTGAAAAGAATGGCCAATTGCAAGCCATTATAACTTTGTGCTAGTGAATGTTGAGGGCACCACATTGTGATTTGGCTCTCAACTCTACTTAGTTGGGTGAAGTCTTATTGATCAAAGTATTGTTCGGATTCTGCATTTGACTGGGCTTTCAGTCATTTTACCCCCTTCCTTCAGTCATTTTACCCCACCTCCTTGGCTCCCATTCCAGCTCAGATGGCTATTCAGCACTGTGAAATGTCCTTTGAGATGTCCTTTTGACGTGAAAGGCGCTATATAAATGTAAATTGTATTATATTGTACACTCAGCAACAGATGACATTTGTATAGCTTCTTTCATGTCAGGCAGATGTACCAAGGTGTTGGACAGTCAGAGTGTTGGTTAAGTGTATTCAGACTAAGTATAGCCCTGCACTCCACAGGTGTAAATGGTACTTTGGTCTCTTTACTGTTTGTCTTTGTGTGTGCCTATCTGTTAGTAGAGCAGTAAGAGTACTAAATCAGTTCTTTCTATGCTATAGTGACGTTCAGACCGAGTTTAAATTATATCAATTTGATTTTAACCTTTCCATTTTTAGCTAACAGTTATTAGCACACAGGATCTGGGTGGCATGAATTTATCTGTTTGAAAGCTTTAAATAGTGACACAATAAGCAAAGCTTTGATGAAGACTCAATTAACATGTATATTGTAACAGGAGCTCCTGATTGATGTGTACAGAAGTATAGGAGAACCCGATAGTTTGTACGGTTGCGGTGGAGGGAAGATGTTGCAGCCTCTCGCCAGGTAAAGTAACATTTCCAGTGTTGTATCTCTTGACGTATCTGTATTGCTGGACTGTTTATACTCTCCAGGAGCAGGGAATCCATGTATTCCTATAGGTAGTGACATAACCTCTCTAATTGGTCTTTTTATGCGAGTGTCAGCACCTTAGGACATCCTCCTGGCGTGAAAGACGCTTTATAAATGTAATTTGTTGTTGTTGAGTGTCACTAGATTGTTTGACCAAAGCTAAGCCCCATCCTAGGCTTAATTAGTGTCCCCTTAAATCCAGCAGGAAGTGATTGGGAACAGAAACTCATCTGGTTGAGGCTAATTATAGTGTCCCGCTGCCACCCTGCTGAGATTCTTTATGAAGCACAGACCAGAAATCTATCCTAGGACCTTCTACATGGTGTATTTACACTTGAGTTATTGAGGCTGCTTCTTGAGTAATTAAAAAAAAGAACTGACCTCCTACACATGGCAGAGTTCCTGACTTTACATTTGGCACAAAGTGATAGGACATGGGTTTATACCTATGATTCTTTTGTACGCCTAGTGTGTGGGATCCTCTACCTCAATACGCATGTGTGGGTATGTGAGAGACTAGACATTCAAATACAAATATCACAATAAGTGTTCCAATGAATCTCTGTTGGATTTTGACAAAAGAAGTAAAATTGTTCATTTCTAGAGTTTTCTTCATTGTAGGAATCCAATACATCCTTTGCAAAAGCCCTTTCAAAGACTCCCTGACACAACACCCCACTGCATGGAGGATGCTTCAATCTGAACAGTGTAAAAAGGAAGTAGTGGTACTACTCCGCATGGGGCACTATACACTGATTGGAAAATTACACGTTAAAATATTTCCCCCAGATTTCTACTATTTCATTTTTCTTTAAATTTGGAAATGTATGTACAACCTTTATTGACCTCCACTTTGTACCACATCATCAATTCAATCTGCCTTTCAACAGAATTCGAACATATGAACATGAAGCACTGTGGGACAAAGCCCTTGTGACGTATGACATTGAGATGAATCTCCCTGACTACACTAGACAGGCTGGGATTATACAGGTAGATTTTCTGTCCATTGTTTCCTTAGTGTAAAATTGAACCATAGCAGTTGCCCAATATAATAAAGCTTATTTCACGAATGTAGGGGCCAAACAGCTAAGTCCAATTCTGTTCTTATCCAACCAAATATCCAGTACAGGGAAGCGCAACCTTAGCAAAATTCTACAGAAAGGAATATAACAATCCATTGGCATTCAAGTACAGATACAATATGTTGCTTATTCATTCTGCTGTCCTGCAACATTGTACCTGTGTCTCAATATCAATTAAACTGTGACCATAGAATGAGAAGACTGCTGATAAGCTACAAATGAATGAATTAATATACAAATATATAGATATATAAATATGTGATAGGGATATGATGTATACATATAATATATAGAGATATGATGTATAAATATATATATTACAAATGGATATGTATAAATGATTTAATTGTATTGAATCTAGGCACTGCAGAACTTCGGACTCTGCCATACTCTTACTACCTATCTAAAGGGACTTGAAGCTGAAAATTCAGAGTGGTGTGAAGAGCTACAAGAAATCCGCTTTCAAGCTGCCTGGAGAAACATGCAGTGGGACTGTATGTTTTCCAATAGGTAACCTCGCTCCCCCTGATCCCAACCTACTCAGCTTTTAATATTCTAGCAATTAATTTTTGGTATGAACTGTTTGTCTTATTATATGTTGCCACCTTATCACCTGATCAGTAAATTTATCAGTAATGTTACTGCTTGTCCAAGATCAGTTTTCAAATGTCACTACTAAGTTCAGAGTCCAATGAAATCCACTTTTTTTATGATTAAATTCTGTTTCAAATTGCAAATGTGCTTTGCTGCTTATGCTGTTTGCTGTTGAATGACCCACTTGTTTTGTCTGTTCTAGAGATGAGACCACAGGCCCCGGGTATCATGAATCTGTGTACCATGCTTTTCAATCTCTAAAAGACCGAGAATTCTATGCTTTCTATGAAGGCTTGAAATTTGCCAGGTAACTCCATAATCATCAAGTGTTTAATCTGCCTTTGGCAAATGCCAAAAGCCAAGGCTGCCTTTTCATTTGTGACTAAACTGCTGCCCTGCTTTGTCTAGTAATTAATAAAGATGATTGATGTTATCTGCCCTATACATGGCTGTTTTGCCAATTTTGTTTCTATACTTCTGTTTGATTTTCAATCTTCTTTCTTGTGTTACTAATAGATCAATTCCTCCAGCTGTAAAACTGATTGTTTCTAATAGTTTTTCAAATGGAGGATTCTGTGTTCTGTACCAGTTTGTCACTTCTGGGCAACGGAGTATTAGCACTGAATTCTGTAACAATTTATTTTGCCAATAGGATGAAGGAAGTTGAAGAATTAAGCAAGGGAAGCCTGGAATCAGTTTACTCTCTGTACCCTGCACTGTGTAGACTGCAGATGCTGGGCGAATTAGAAACCATTGGAAAGATACTGCCCAGGTAACCAGACAATGTACACACGGTCTGTGTCAGACTTCGCGAGGCTTCATTCAAGAGAATACGAAATACACCAAATGACCTGCAAAATACACAGTCACTGCTTAACGAAAAATCCCGTCAAGTTCTTTGTGACAACATGATAAGGCACTATATCTAGTGCAAATATTTGTTATGCCAGTAATAACCTGAAACATACAATAAACCCAGCTTACCAGACTATGTGTGCTCAGAATTCAGACATAGCCGGACCGAGTCAGAAAGCAAAATTTAAAAATAAAAACATTTTTTGGCAGGCCTGCGCACGTGTATGCTCTGGTCATCCCACTCTCCAAGCATGAGCCCCCACCACACCATCCATGCTGGCGTTCAGGGATATCGACTTTGATCCGTAAGCAGAAGATAGTTGATTCGTTATCTTCTGCACATGGGATTCAAACAAGTACATTGTCGGTACCGGAATTTTTTCAGCACTGAAAAAAGCCAACGCCAAAAAAAGTGGTTAAATGCCAGTAATAGCATAGTAACAGTAATAATCCTTGCATTTGATGCAGTGCCTTATCACGTCTTTGATACATCTCAAAGGGCTTCACAGAATATACTGTAAAAAAATTGACTGAATATTTTGTGGGTGAAATGTATAATTATAGTTAGTAACGGTGTAATTATAATTATACTTAGGCTGGCTCGTCAGACCACCCCCCATTTGCAAAACTCCCCCCACCCCCCATTTGTCTGGCTAGCTGGGGGCTTTGGTGTAATTTATTGTATGGCCCCAGCCCACTTTTTTATCCATATCATGCATTTGTTGAGACTTCTCGAAGACATGATAAAGCGTTATATCAAATACAAGGAGTATTGTTATTGTTTATTGCCACCTCACACTGTTTGGATATGGTTAGCATCTTTGCTTCAAGCTAAATTTACCAGTAATCAGCCTACCATACCAAGTGTTTTTTTTTGTGTAGTACCTTTCTCCCAAATAGCTTGATTCTGATCAGGAAACTGCCGTGACACTTTTTATTAATTTTCAGAAATTTATAGAAATAAGAAGCTAATTTTGCAAAACTTATTTTTAATTTAATAGAAGTGAACCTGTAAGGGATGAGGGGACGAAGTCTCTTTACACTATTTCCAAACTTAAATTTATTCTTGTAAACACTTCTGGAACTTCGGAAAAGTTTAAATCTTTTTCCAGAATTGTGATGTTGACATCTAAAAAAATAGAATTTTGGGTTTCTTCCCATTTTATTCGGATATTACTTCACATTTCATTACATGCTGCAATTTGAGCTGATAAAAGTAAGTTTATTTGTATCCAGCTTTAAGTTTTGCCCCAAAAATATACAGTCAATTCACTTTAAAATATATTCTTTGAGACAACAACGTGATAAGGCGCTATATTAAATGCAAGGAATATTATTATAATTTGCTAACCAAATTGTTTCTGCTGGCTTTATAGGCCTATGACCGTTGAGACTTTGAACGAGGCTCGCAGAAGGTGGCAGACACAGCAACAGCTTCTGAAAGACAGTGACTTTACCTTCCAGGAGCCTATTCTGGCCCTAAGGACAGTGGTTCAGGAGATGCTCATCAAAATGGAAGTGAATGCTTCACGGAAAGAACTTATTCAAGAAATTTTGATGGAACATTTGCTTGAAATGGCAAAATTAGCACGTGCAGCAAGGAATACACAGGTACAGTCTCTTTTTAAATAATGTGCGGAAACCAATTGAGCACAAATTTTAATCTTAATTCAAATGTAACTAAAGGGGAAGTTAGAAAATATTCTCTACAACAAGCAGAGTCCATAAACTTTATTTTAAAAGGGAATTAGATAGATGCTTTGAAAACAGGGCTGTCTCTTGATACAGTTGTACAGCAGTCTTCCTAGAATTTTTTTGGTGGTTCCAGCTGGCAGAGAAAGCCATCTTCCAGATCAAGCAACACAATCCCATTGGGTTTGGCATCTCCACCTGGCAACTGGAAGAAGCCCAGGTTATTTGGGCTAAACGGGAGCAGAATCAATCCCTTGACATTCTCAAACAGATGATTGCTGAGCTGGAGGTACATTCTCTGATCCGCGTTTGCCGTGATAAAATGTCTTTAAAAGTGTTCTTCCATATAATAAAATCTTTCCAATCTTCTCAAACAGGGTGCCAGAAACGTTCCACTAACATGCTCATGTGGTTATCATTAATGTATAACCTTCTGATGGCAGGCTATTCAACTTCAGGAAGCATCACAGACAAGCCCAATCCTCGCTTGACATCTACATACCTGCACCTCCTGCAGGCAGGGATCAACAATTACCCATCAGAGGCCCGAAACACTTCACGGTCTCAACCTTAAGACCAGTGTCTTAAATTTTAAAATCATGCAGAATTTTGGAAAATTCTTTAATTAAAATCCAGATGGCCACAGTTGGGTTTAACATCGGAGACTAGTTTCCAATTTAAGACTGAATAATAATCCTATGAACAGTTGTTGTTTAAATAATAATGCTTGCATGTGATATAGCGCCTTGTAGCATCATTGAAAGGTGTCAAACCTCTTCACAGAATTGACGGTAGAATGTTGTGACTTATGTATATTGTAGTCGAACGTGGTTACACTGTATCTCAGGGAAGCTGAGGCTAATTATAACACCCCAAGCTGCTGACCCAGATAAAACCGGCTAATTTGGCACATTCCACACCCGTATTACTTTAATTCACTGGAGAAACTATCTTAGTTAATAATAGGCAAAGTAAAAGCAAAGCCATATAGATTTCATTATGGTCAAAACATGTCACAACAATAATCCTTTTTAAGTTGGCAATGGGGAAGAAAATGCTTCGGATAATTTTGTGTCAATTAAATTGAATGTACCTTGTATTTAGTTCTTAAGCATTCAGTGACAATAGAATTGGAACAGTGCTCCTCAGGAAAGCAGCAATATTACTGGCACCTTACTCCTAGAAAAAGCATCTTGTGATATAAACTGAATCTCCAGCAGGGAATCAGATGTACAAGGCACCTCAGAGCAGAATCATCTTGGGAATCTGATGTACAATACCACCCCCTGAAACTTTTGTACTTTTGTCACGGCATTTTTTCCAGTGTTTTTTTTCATTACCACTTTTCTGAGAATTGCTCGTTCAGCCTCACTATCTTCCTTCTCAGACATTTTTGCACCTTTTCATTTTTTTCTTTCCACCTTTTCTGCCCTCAGTTCAGCTCTGATGTCCCGCTGTATGTGGAGTGTCTGCGACTGTGTGGAAACTGGTTGGCAGAGACCTGTTTGGAAAGTCCTGGGACCATCATGCAGAAGTACTTAGAAAAGGTTAGATTGATTTAACCAGCATACTTGTATACAGTTTTCATGTTTGAGAAACATTTACCTTTAAAATCTAAGATAATGGATCTGAGGCAAACCAAGGAAGGGGTCCTTTATTCTGTTCAGTAGATCCATCAAACAGCAAAGTAGAGCACTGTTGTAGGTACACTCACAGGAGAATCTGGAATTCCCATCACATCAATTTGCTACTGTTTCATTCTAATTTGCTGACCTATTGGTATAGTGTTGGGTACTCAATTGTCATAGTCATGAGTCTGATTCCCAGATTCCACAGACACTAAAGTCCACTCATCTTCTCTCAGCTGCACTGGAGATGACCAAGTGCTTCCTCCTGAGGAGAGCTTCTTGGAGAAAGACTGCATCCTACAGAAATCTACTGGCTGCACAGAGAACAGTGTTGATTTGTGTGGCCTGGCCTCGAACCTAAGCACATGGTGACCACAAAATCCAAACTCGTGTTGGTTTCTTAAAAAGGGAAATTTAATTGACTCAATATGATTTTTTTTACACACCATTTAAATGTAATTAATCTACAAAAGGCTAATTAATAATACAATCCTTTCATTTGATATAGTGTCCTCAATATGTTGCTTGTAAATGCTTATAATGTTTAATTAATTAGAGACTTGTAGCATCTATTCTCTGATCCGTGTTTATCATTATTCTCATATTCTCTATAAACCGTAGAGTTAGGTCCATCAAGATTTGGACACTTCTCCTTTAGGAAACTCATGTGGCCCTTGGCCATGCCAGCTTTTGTCTTTGTAAACGAGCCAGTTTTATCATATACTCTTCTGATCTAGAGCACTTAGAATGAAAGTCTGCAAGATATTCCTATCTGACCTTCTGATAATGTTCCATTATTCAGGCTGTGGAAATTGCTCTGAGTCACAGTGAACAACACAAGGACGCTGTTCAGAGTGGCAGGATGGAAGCATTCTTATCTCTGGCACGTTTTTCAGATGCCCAGTATCAGAGTATTGATAATTATATGAAATCGTCTGAGTTTGAAAACAAGCGTGCCCTCCTCAAAAATACCAAGAAAGAAATCCGTCTGATGAGAGAGCACAAAGTTCAAGCAAACCGGTGAGTGGCTGTAGAAATCTAGCTGAAGGAAAATATCAATTGTTTACATTCTCCCATTGACATGTGGGTACATCAAATTCACAATACTGAGAACATAGGAACAGAAATAGGCTATTCCGTTAACTTGTTTGTTCACATTAACACACATAATTCTGACTCTGCCACAGCCCATTAATCTCCTTGGCTGCTTGCTCAGGCTGAAATAGCTGAATTTCAAACCCCCGTCACCAGGAATCCCTTCTTTTACCTCTACAACATTAACTGCCCAGAAGGGTGAAGAATTATCCGAGTTCTTGAAGAACCACCCTTATGATCTGAAATAAAGGGATATGGAACAAAAGCAGATAAATGGAGTTGAGGTACAGATCAGCCATAATCTAATAGAATGGTGGAACAGGCTTGAGGCGCTGAAAGACCTTCTCCTGTTCCTATGTTCCTATCATGCTGCTGTATCCCTTATCCATGCTTTCACCACCTCAAAGATAGTTGTTTGGGGTTTTTTTTTTTGCAATTCTAATCTCACTAGTCTTCCTATCTCCATTCGAGAGAAGCTTCAACTAATCTGGAACTCTGCAGTCCATTTCTTACACAAAGTTCCACACCTGTTATTCCCTTCCTTGCCAAACACATTGGCTTCCAGTATCAGAGGATTGAAGTTCAAATCCTTATACTGCTTCTCTAATCCATTCATATTTTCACTCCGCCCTACCTAGTCAGTCATCGTCAACTCTCCTTTCTAGCCGATGTCCTCCATTCCAGCCGATATCCTGCATTCCACCCCAATGGCCTCCGCTCCTGCAGCTCTGATCCAATACTCTCTCCACACTCCCTTTACTTCACCACTCCAGTCTGAGCTTTTAGCTACCAGTGTCGTTTGGAAATCACTTCCAGAATGCCCCGCTGACACTCTCAGTCACCAGAAACCTCCTAACAACATATCCCTGTGACCGTGCCCTCAGTCAGCGTCGTTAATTCTCTTATTTTCCTGTTGATCCTCCACTATATTTGTCATGTGCTTCAAGACGACCTTTCATGTTTATGCAGACTTTGTAAATCCAAGTTGCTGACTGTTTTGATAGTATGAAAGACTTTGTCAACCATTCTTCATTGGAGAGTTACTGTTGGACACCTTCTGAAATGTTTTCTGTTGGACAGGTATGTGGTGAAGGTGCAGCGGGAATTTGAGATAGATGAACGTGCAATTTGCGCACTGCAGGAAGATCGTAAAAAGTTCCTTTGCAAAGCAGTGGAGAATTACATCAGCTGCTTACAAAGTGGAGAGGAGCATGACATGCGCGTTTTCCGGCTGTGCTCCCTGTGGTTAGAAAACTCTGCTGTTCCTGAAGTCAATAGCATGATGAAGGTAAAAGCAAATGACAGTAGAGGTTCATTATATGGCAGTAGTCAGGGTTCATAAAATCTCAACCCACTTTATAATGGGAGTTAGCTCTTCTTTTGCACCATCATGTCACTGATTACACAACTGCCTGTTGACCCAGAAATCGGCCATTGTTTAGCACACAAGAAACCAGCCAGCCTTGTAAGTGAATCACTGTTATAAAGGGGCACCTTCTAATCAAGTTCTGTATTCATAGTAAGTAGGTTAAACCTATTTTTGGGGGGATAGGGGAGAGAAAATAGTGGATGTTATACAGTATTTCATCAAATGTTACAGCACAGAAACCAGCTATTCAGTGCATCAAATCTGCCCAGTGTTTTTCTCTACATGTGCATCTATTCTAATCTCTGTTTCCTGCTTGATCCCCGTACCCTTTAATATTTATTGTTGAAGTACCAATTTAGTTCTCTTTTAAAAACATTATGGATTCTCTTTAAAATACTACACTAACTTCCCTCATTCATTGTTTCATATTCGTTCCTCTTTGTGCGGATAGGTAAACAAATTGCTAGACTTTTCTCACATTTGGAGATTTATTCTTTTCAAAGGCTAATTTAATAATCATCCTTGCATTTGATATAGTTCCTTATCACATCTTCAAGACGTCTCAAAGTGCTTCTCAGAATATACTGTAAGGTGAATTGACTCTATTTTGTGGGCGAAACACAGCAGCCAATTGCGCACAGCAGCGTTCCACAAACAGTCGTGGATTGAGTGACCAAATTATTTTTATTTACTTTGAAGGAATTATTACCCCAAAAAAAGCGATCCACCAATCAACTAACAACCAGGTTTCTACTTACTGCTCGGTAAACAAGTGTGTGGAGTAAGCAAACTTACCCAATGTTTCAACTTGCCGGGAATCAAACCTGAGTCCTCTTGCGAGGCGAGTGCTCTAACCACTAAGCTACAGGTCCCCACAATTTAACAGAGGAATTCATTTTTCAGCCACTGAAGGGCTGTGGTGGTTGGCAACGATAGGCTTACTCATCCCCAGTCCTGTTTCACACACTAAGGTTGAGCTGTCGCATCTGTGATACTGTTCTCAATCTTCTCACTAGCAGGTTTTCTTTGGCTGCAAAACTATCCTTTGAAACCAAATTTAAGCCAGTGAAAATGACTATTTAAAAGAAATTGTTCCCAATGACAGACGGACAGAAGATGGAAGGAAAAGAAACACAAAAACGATTAAAGTTAGTAAGAGGTAGAAATGGTTAAAAAAATATTAAAATGAGAGGGAGAGAGATTTGGGAAATGGAGAAAAAGAAGACTGCCCAGGATTAATGGGATTAATGTTTTATTTAAAATTCTACTTTTTTTTAAGGTTAGGGTTAATACTGTGTTTCAATATACAGCTGATATATATTAGTTGATTAGCAGATAATAATTTTATGGGGGTAATAATCCCTTCTAACTAAATAAATTATAATTTGGTCACTCAATCCAAGACTGTTTGTGGTACATGGCTGTGGCTACCATGTTTCGCACACAAAATGTACAGACAATTCACTTTACAGTATATTCTGTGAAGTGCTTTGAGACGTCTCAACAACATGATAAGGGGCTATATCAAATGCAAGGATTATTATTAATGTTCAGTAATACCGTTGCAGTATAATGTTTCACTTTGGGCTTTATTTTTCACAGAAAGGTATAGAAAAGATTCCATCTTACAAGTTTTTACCTTTGATGTACCAGCTGGCTGCTCGAATGGGGACAAAAATGCCAGGAGGAGATGTATTTCACGATGTTCTGAATATGGTATTCTATTTATTCAAATAATGAAGCACAACCCTATGGTTAGAAACCAAGGGAAAGAAAACGGGAATTTAGATAACAATTTTTAGCTCTGTTTCCCTAATGTGGTTATTGTCAGTGTTGTGCAGATGTACTTTTTTTAACCTTTAATTTTTTCCTCTTTTCTGAAAGTGTTTTGACTTTTCTTTGTCATGCGGTTTAGTTCCACAGACACTAGTTTTGCTTCAACAATCCACTGTAGTAACTCACTCTAGTGTTTCTTTTAATATAACGGTCAATTGCGCCCTCTTTCTTCCCCCCACACCCGCCCACCCGTAATAAATGTTTAGCTTCTATTGGGTTTTCAGGGAAAAGGGAGCAGAGCTGCTATAGCTTCCTGGTAGGGATGTCAAGTCAGCCCAGTTGGACTTACTAGTTGGCAATCAGAATACTAAGAAGATTGCTGTGTAGAATTCAGAAGGGGGTAGGAAGGAAATGTTATGGGAAAAAATTAAATATCTTTATTAAACAGAATCCTATAAAAACTTCAATTTTTATATTTGCATCACCTCCACACACTTTAATGATTTAATAGTTTGTGCTCTTACAGTTTTACACCTATTAATTTCTTGCAGCTAATTGTCAAAACTTCACTGGATCACCCTCATCACACTTTATTCATTATCCTGGCCTTGTCCAACGCAAACAAAGACGACATCCTAGGAAAACCTGAAGTACCGACGAGGAGCAGATTAGGGAAATCCTTGCCTAAGGATATCTCCAACCTGGATCAGGTTTGTTCAACAAGAAAATATCTAATTGTCAAATGTTTGCAAAATATATGATGTTTAAAGAAAATTGCACTTGTGATAGGCTGTCCAGTTAACACTGAGTACTCATAAGAGAGATTCAAATAAAGAAGGTGCCTCAACCCATTTGATTCAATTCTTTCAGTGACGTGTTTCAGCTCTTGATTGAAATTGATGTAAAGAAATGCTTCCTGTCGTCTGTCCTAAATATGCTCTTCATAAAACTATGTTCTCTCTGCCTAGCATGTCTGAAAGCCTTGTGCTGAGCCTACTCCATGCCATTTCAGATATTTTATTCCTCAATAGGGTGCTTACCTTTCAAGCCTGATTGAATACATATCTTTAGTTATTCCTCATAGCTCATCTCTCTGGCGCCAGTGAGTCACTGATGGTTTTCCCCGATGGTCAATTAGCCCAAGGCGAGACAGACCATCACAGTTAAATCTTAACTGCCCTTCTAAGCTTAGAAAATGCTGATAACCTCGTTCCTAGGTATAGAGCCTGCATTTCCAACTAAGATATTTAATAATAATAATTCTTGCATTTAATATAACGACTTATCACGTCTTTGAGAAGTCTCAAAGAGTTTCATAGAATGTACTGTAAAGTGAATAGACAATAATTTGTGGGCAAATATTTAGTTCCATTTTGTTACATTGCTTCTCTAGGAGAGAATTTATGCTGCCAGCAAAATTATAAACATAGTCCGAAAATCTAAAGGGAAAATGGTGAAGGACCTTGAGAGACTGTGTGATGCCTACATTACCCTGGCAAACATGGACGCCAGCAAATGGAAGCAGGAAAGGAGTAAGTGATAAGCAAATTAAATTTTTTTGATTGTCAAGTGATTAAAAACTGAAAGTCTGTAAAGCCTTTTATCTCGTCCCATGCTTTTTTTTATATTATTACAGCTTCTTACTCAAGTTATGAATTTCTTAAGGGCAAATTTTTTTATTTATTCCTTAGTAATTTTTCCCTTCATATTCCAGAAGGCATTGACATTCCTCCATCGCAGCCCATCACAAAACTAAAGAATCTTGATGATGTTGTTATTCCAACCATGGAGATCAAGGTAAGATGAATAAGTACCTTATTAGGGGTCACTCTAGTTCCATAACTTGTGAAAATGAGGACTATATAGGTGGTAGTGGAAATAGACTTCACTTGGAACTGGAGCCTGAAATTCTGCTGGTTAATAAGGTTACCTCTGTGAGCTTATAATAGGGGCTTCTAAGTGTAATCTTACCAAGCTGTAGATCTTCAGTCCCTTTGGCAATACCAGTATAAGCAGTCCTCTGCCAACGCCTCTTCATAACCTTGTGGAAGAATTGCCCAAGATGACGTTAGCTTGACTTCGCCCCTCCTTCCACTAACTTCTCACCAGGGACTTTGTTAAGCATTTCCTGGTAGCAGACAGCTTGGATTGGAAATTTCCATGTTAAAAGCCATAGGCATAAGCACATTTCTCACTTTATGTGGCATTGCCTAAACATTGCACCACTTCACGCTGGCTGCTATCAAAGGCCTGATTCTGTTCCTATTGGGGAGAGGGAAGAGGGGTTGGAGGCAAGCCCACAGCTATTCTCATTGAATTTAAACACTTTCAAACTCAGTTTAACTCTAAATAATGGCTTTACCAGCTCAGTTAGTGGATAAGTAAACTCTTGCAAAGTAACTCTCTTAAGTTACTTCAAACTTTTTTTTTCTTGAATGACTTTAGGTGGATCCATCTGGAAAGTATGAAAATCTGGTAACTGTGAAATCATTCAAGTCTCAGTTTCGCTTAGCAGGAGGAATGAATCTCCCCAAAATCATCGATTGTGTGGGGTCAGATGGAAGGGAAAGACGGCAGCTGGTCAAGGTAAGGTGATATAGGTAGTAAATCCACAAAAATAGCACGAAAAGTGCAATGATGTGCAGTCCGTGCAAATTGAAGTAAATATGGTGTCTTTCCTGAAGTGAACTGAGTCACTAGACTAGGAGTGACTGGAGGTACACAATGGGGTTGCAAAGCGTGAGTATTGCAGAGCCTCATTTGGAGAGCAGGCACAACGTAAACTGCATTTTCTGAAGGGAAATCCTTATACGTCACACACTGATTTTCATTACACGTTGGCTTCAAACCACCCTTTGGAACTCCATCCCACTCTCTCTTCGCCTCGCTCCCTGCCTTGCCTCCTTCAAGGTACGTCTCAAGAACCTCCTCTTCAATCGCGCCTTCGGTCACCCTCCTATCCGTACCCTCCCTGCCCTGCACCCTTCCTGATCCCAACCCCCTACTCGGGTCCAAATCCCTGACTGTCCAGTGCCTTGGGAAGTCCTCCCGACGTGAAAGGTTGTTTACAAATGTAATTTGTTGGATTGTTGTTGAAATTATGCTGCCGCTGATATAGTTGTTTCCCTGCTTTCTCCAGGGTCGTGATGACCTGCGCCAGGATGCTGTGATGCAACAGGTTTTCCAGATGTGTAATGCACTTTTGAAAAAGAACACAGATACTAGAAAGAGGAAGCTGACTATCCGTACATACAAGGTAAGACAGAATCACGGGCTTGAATGAACTGGTGGAAAATTGGGAGGTTCTTAGCAGTGAATCATAAGGAGTGTCTTCAAACACAAAGTTGTGCTCCTCTACAAGGAGGCCTATACCTCTATTTCTGTTCAATTTTGTTAAACTTCAATTTTCACAATGATTTGAAAATAATTCAGTACATACTATTTTTCAATGAAAAGCCTTTATAAAAAGAAATCCCAATCTCAAGATACTATATTTTAAGGCCTCCCCACCCTAAGTTTATGATAGTAAATTATTAGCGTATTGGTAAGCACACTCGCTTCGCAAACGAGAGGACTCCCAGTTTGATTCCTGGGCAGGGCAAAATCTTTGGCAAGTTTCCTTACTCTACACTCCTCTGTTTACCTCGCAGTAAGTAGAAACCCGGTTGTTAGTCGATTGGTGCACCGCTTTCTGGCGATAAAAGGATTTCTGCTCCCTCTTCTCAACAGGCTCAGGGCTGCTCCATGTCCCTGGCCCGCCCCACGATCACCATTCAGGCCTTCAGCCTCTCTACCCCCACCCGCTAGAACTCCATCCCACATTCCCAAATACAATAGCTAATATGCGCATAGAAATGTCATACAAACAGAAATGAAGTGAATGAGCAATTTTATCTCAGGATTGTTAGCTACTGCCGTGGGATATTTAACGTCCACCTGAACCATCAAATACGACCTTAGTTTAACATCTCATCTGAATGACAGAACCTCTGACAATGCAACTCTTCTCCTCCGCCACCCCCCCCCCCCAATTATTGCCCTGGAATATCAGCGACATGGGTTCAAAGACCCAACTGAGGCTGGAACCCACAACCGTCTGATTCCGAGACGAGAATGCTATCAACTGAGCCAGGCTCACACCTCCAATACATACACAGGACTTCTGGTAGTACTTTGAAAGCCCTACTTGCTTGGGTGTGTGATAGCACAATGAAAGCTTCGCTTTATATTTTTTTCCTTCTAATTCCCTTTTTTAAACCCATAGCAATTCTCAGGAGAGATTTGAGGTTAGATATACAAAAAATTTTGTTTGTGCAATTGAATTTGAAGAGATTGACTTTTATTTCTATGCATTTTGAGCTCCTACCTGCTATCAGTATGTTACAAGGCAGAGAAGATCTCATTGTTATTTCTAAAACCAATATTTAAGCAATCCTTTTATGAAGTTCATTTTTTTTGTTGGCAGAGGGGATTCTATGGAATTGGTTGAGTGATCATTTTGAATTAATTCTACATTATATGTTTGGGATAAGGGGGAGAGGGTGGTGTGGATTAAGAATACTTTAAGCATTTCCTGTTACTTGTTTCCATTGGAGAGATGAAATCTAGTTTGGCCTTGGAGATGTACATGGAACCAGATATAGCTTCCTACAGAGTTTCTTCCTAACAATCAGTTTATTTGATGCACAATGCAGAACTTTAGTTTCCTATATAGCGTGTACATGTAGCAGCACAGAAATTGCTATTAAGGAAGTTACTACAAAATGACAGCTCTCATATCACATGCCTTTGCTGTTGTTTGTATGTCTTGCTGCACCTTGCACATACTCAAGTAATTAATTTTACAGTTTTAAGATGTTCATTTTCTCTTGGCCAGGTTATTCCTCTTTCTCAGAGAAGTGGCTTTCTCGAATGGTGTGCAGGCACCGTGCCCATTGGAGAATACCTCGTCAATGCAACAGAAGGAGCTCACAAGAGGTATCGACCAAATGATTGGAGCAGCATGGAGTGCAGGAAACGAATGACTGTGAGTCACAGGATATTACAGTTCCTATGTCCCCCCACCCCCCCTCCCGCCTGCTCGATTATTGGCGGTCGGGCCTTCAGCCTTTCTGCCCCCATCCTCTGGAACTCCATCCTGGAGCCCCTCCACCTCACCCCCTCCAATACAATACCTCCTTCAAGGCCCACCTTTTCAACTGTACCTTCAGTCATCTTCCCTCCTTCAACCCCCTGCCCTTCCACCCTCTGATTCCCAACTCGCAGCCTCGGGTGCAAGACTCATTGTCCAGCGCCTTGGGACATCCTACCACATGAAAGGCACTATTTAAATACAATTTTTTGTTGTTATAAATTCTTGTGGTTTTAACCGATTATTTAGAAAGAAAAGATTGTAACTTTCAATAATACCTGGTTTGTGGAATTGGCTGCCTTAAATCTTGGTACAAGTGTTATCTTAAACCACACTGGGGTTGAAAAAGCAATCAGGAAAATGGCAGCATAAATGTTACCTTGTTCCAGGAAAAGATTTGTGAGAGGGGTGAAGCTGAATTTGTAGTTTCCTCAAACAGTGCAGACTTCATTCCAGATAAAGGGAAATCTTCATATGTAGGTGGCATGAGGATGTGGAATTGAGTTTGGATACTCTTAAGCAAGACACTGGATTTCTAAACGTGTCATTCTCAGTAATTTAGTACTCAAACTCTCTTTGTAGGATGTACAGAAACTGAGCTTTGAAGGGAAATATAAGGCCTTCATGAGTGTTTGCAAGAACTTCCGGCCAGTATTCCGACATTTCTGTATGGAAAAATTCCTGGATCCAGCTGTTTGGTTTGAAAAACGCCTTGCTTATACTCGAAGTGTGGCCACTTCTTCGATAGGTATGTCATTGTGTAATATCGCCATTGTGTTGCATTATATTACCTAATCATTTTGTCAGTGTACTTGTGTAAAATTGTAGCTATTTATTGAAAAGACGGAATGGCGTATCTAATGAAAAATAATTACGAAAAATTCTACAATTACAGATAATTCAAGATGGATTTGCATGGCTTTTCCTTTTAATGCGAATAAAACATTAAATATTATATTTTAAGCAATGATTGGAAAGTAATGAATACACTTTCTGAACTAACAGAAAAATACATTTGCAGCAAGAAGGCCATTTAGCCCATCGTGTCAGTGAAGTTCTGCCTCCGTTTTTGTAATCAGTTTATTAATCCCATTCTTCTGCTTTTTCATATGTCTCTTTGAATGATTTCCATTGAACAGCCTCAGCAGCCACTTGTGGGAATGAATTTGTCACCCTAACAGTGAAGAAATTTCTTCTAACTTTTAATAACTTCTAATTGGATGAATTTTGAACATAAAGTAAATGCAAGGGCAGCATCAGTTTTCTTGACTCCACATTCAAGTGACGCTACATTTTAGATTTAACATTTAGTTTTCTTCTTTCAAAAATATTCTGATCCTCAATATTTATTCTATGTAGTTTAATTTGGTTTTAATTTGAGTAATATTTAATGTAAAATGGGGAGAATCCCAATTATTACACAAATGCAGTATTTGTGTAATTGGTATTCTCCCCAAATTACCATAGACTCCACATAGTTCACTCCACATTGAATTTTGTTTTTTCATTCACCCTTTCCCACCACATCATATGCTCTGACTCCAATCACCTATATGTATATTGTGTGTGTGTGTTTGTATGTATATGTGTGTGTATATATATATATAAAATGTATTTGCAGCAGGTTCTTTCATTGGGCATAGTGCCTGCACACCACTCAAGAAAGCTACTTCTCTGAGAAAGTTAAGAATCTTAAATCACCTTATAGGAAGGATTTATGAATACACATAGGGGGAGGGAAGATGTTACAATGTTGAGCTGGGAAACAAAAAGATAAATCTCTTTCACATTTCAAGTGCATTCTTGTCCATCATGGACTCCTTTTCCCAAAGTACCGAATGCTGAAGGAGTAGTATTTTTGAATTAATGTATTTATTTTAAACACTTAGAGAAAATAAATGCTCTTCCATTGAATCTTTATATAATCGGAACGTATGTTGCGTTTGTTTACTGAGCCTGCTTTGATATTTTCAGTTTGCTACATTGTTGGTCTTGGTGACCGACACGTACAAAACATCCTTATTGATGAAGAATCAGCTGAGCTTGTGCATATTGATTTAGGTGAGTGCAAGTTCCCAATTACACACCGATAACGCAAGCTTCAATATTCCCATTTACCTCTACAATTCTTATCTGTTAAATGTATTTACATTATGTTGATGGCTTGATGTAGCTATAGCTTTACATTAATGTCCCGATGGAGGCCAGCGTGAGCTCCGAAAACACCAGCAGCTTTAGAAACTGTGATCAAATGTCCATAAATTCTTAACCTGTACAAGGCTGGCATAGACCATGTTCTGGAGTGACTGAGAGATGACACAAGCTAACTAGAACACTGCTTTTTAAGTCAGCTGGGAGTCTTGAGATTCACACAAACCCCCTTCTAGAGTTTCAGTCTTCAGTTCTAGTTCCGGGGCGAGGGTGGGGGGAGCACATACCACTTACACGTGCCTGGAAAGCACAAGTGTAGATTTCCAGAACCCAAAAGGGACCCAATGGTATGCTTCTTGCTGCTTGTCCATCTAGGGCCATCATACTTGTTTGGGCTTTGGTTTGCAAGGTTATCAGAAGCTAAGTGGGAAGAGTTGCAATCCCTAGTGACTGAACTTTCTAGATCATGTTGGTCTGTTGTCAACAGTGTACTACAGATCTGCCTGGCTCAGGTACTGAACATCTAGAGAATTAGACAAAACACAAAATACTGCAGATGCTGGAAATCTGAAAACAAAAACAGAAGTCGCTGGAAACACTCAGCAGGTCAGGCAGCATCTATGGAGAAAGGAAAGTGTGTCGATGTTTCAGAACACTTGGTTCTGATGAAGGGTCGTGGACCTGAAATGTTGATTCACTTTCCTTTCTCCATAGGTGCTGCCTGACCTGCTGAGTGTTCCCAGCAACTTCTGTTTTTGTATCTAGAGAATTAGCTCTGTTTCACCCTTTCCTATTTATGTCAACTTGGAGCCATTGAGACCACACTTGCCTTCGTTCAAACCCCTGAAAATACTGTTTTAAATGATCACCTCAGCTTTCCTTTTACTTGAATAAGCAACTTCTTGTACATTTACCACTTTTAGGAGTTGCATTTGAGCAAGGAAAAATCCTTCCTACTCCGGAGACCGTCCCATTCCGATTAACCAGAGACATTGTGGATGGAATGGGCATCACTGGTGTGGAAGGTGTTTTCAGAAGGTAGGTGGTTTAAATGAGACTTGTTTCTGTATCGACTCTGTTCGTCACTGCACACATCTCCAGTTCAGGAAGTAAACACTTATCCAACTCTGATAAAGAAATGAAATTGTATTTTCTTCAGAGCATCTCAGTAAATAATGCACAATTATATCACAATTCTTTTTCAGTGGCTCAAATACTGAACTAAAGGATAGGCTAAACTGCATCTGTGATCACTTTTGGATTTAATGTAACATGTATTACAATGAATGTCTGACTTTTTTTAGTGTTATGAATAGGGTAAAATTATAAACTGTGAGGGGGTGAATAATGTGACTGCCTATAGGACTCTGAAGACCCATTGCATGTTTTGCACTATGGCTTCCCCCCATGTCCTCAAATTTTTGCCCAGCTACAAAATATACAGTCATTACACTTTACAGTATATCCAGTGCAGCACTTTGAGACATTCTCCTGATGTGAACGGTGCAATATCATATGGAAGGATTATTTTTATTGTTATTGTTATGTATGTAATGGTCAAACAATTAGAGAGATCTAAACTCTATTCCCCCAATCAATAATAATCCTTGCATTTGATATAGTGCCTTATCACGTCTTTGAGATATATCAAAGCAGTTCATAGAATATGCTCTAAAGTGAATTGACTGTATATGTTGAGGGCGAAACGTGGCAGCCAGTAACGCACAACAGTCAACCAAAGAGAGTTTGCAATGTGGAATCTGGAAAGGGAGGGACAGTGGATCTGTCAGTAAAGCCAACTACTCGTTTGTTTTAATGGGAACTGACTCTTTAACTGAGTTTTATTCAGCTCCACAACCCCCAAAAATATTTCCACCAGTCACCTGTGGGTATCATTCCTGGAGATGAATTGAGAAATATTGATTGCTGGTAACCCAGCTCTGATTAATAATACTTTCAATATTCTGTTATTCAGGTGTTGTGAGAAGACAATGGAGGTTATGAGAAATTCCCAGGAAGCTTTACTAACCATTGTAGAGGTAACTTCTCTTTATCAACTGTTGCCTTGGCTGTCCCATTAAACCAGTGTTAGCTAATTATAATCGGGCTATGCACTTTGATTTATCGTAAGTTTGGTTTTAACTTAATTACAATAACAATTTCTGCAATGCATACTGCATGTTGAGTGTGAATTTCACATTGATAATGAAATGACTTGTTCAGCTACAATATTTATTGCATCTTCCCTTTCTCCTGAATGCATTAACTTACTGCAGTGCAGTTTCACAAATGCCGTTCAGTGTCTCATCCAAGTGAATCTGGATAATAAATGTCAAAAGCCTGAAATGGAATCACCGTTGAGCCCAAAATTGGCATCAACCAGAGTCCATATACATTCACTTTCCAGGAAAAGTTTCTAATAACTAACTTCTCTCCTACCCTTCCAGACCATGTGCACTGACACTTGTTGCTCTGGCTCAATTCAGCAGAGCGAGACATTGGAGGAAAGGTTTATTAAGATTTCTTGTAGCCTCCAGTCGTGCAGATGCCTCTCTTAAACTTTGCTCCTCACACAGGTCCTGTTATACGACCCTCTCTTTGACTGGACCATGAATCCTTTGAAAGCACTTAATTTGCAGCAGAGACCTGAAGAGGATGCAGACATCCATTCGACACTGCACACCACTATGTCTGGAGATGACACTGAATGTGACCCAAACATCACGTAAGATCTTACTTCCAAACATTATACAATACTTCTGAAAATAATCTATACCATACTTCCAAACTATAATTTCCAGAACAGTTTGAAAATCTACACTATCCCTCTCAAATCATCCATAACAAGAACAACAACATCAACTTGTGTATCGCTCCTCATGAAGGGTAGTATCCTAGAGTGCTTAACAGTGGTAAAGCACAACGCCGAGCTGGAGGGAGGGGAGAGGTGACCGTAAGCACGGTCAAAGAGGAAGGTCTTCAGGTGTGACCTAAAAATGGGGAATATAATTCATACTATATTCCAAAAGTCTGTATTGTAACAAACAACTTGCACTCTCCACAGAGAAAGAGAACAGAGGCACAAGCAGGGTGGGAGCCAGGTTAGGGGGGGTTGGTGAAGGCATAGGGAAAGAGGTAGGTTTTTAGAAAGGTTTTAAAAGCGGAGAGGCATGGTACAAGGTGGAGAGATGCAGGGAGACAATTCTAGAAAGCAAGAATCAAAGTGGCTAAAAGCTTGCTACTGGTGGTGGGTGAAAAGGGGATGGGATGTGAAGCAGGCCTGAGTTAGCAAAATAGAGGAAGTGGGTAAGACTGTGGAAGTAAGACTGCAGGATATTTTAGAGGGAATGAAGGCATTTGAAGGTTAGAATGAAGATCTTAAAATCAACCCACAAGAGAATATGGAGTCAGTAGAGCATGGCAAGAATGGAAGTGGTGGTTCTGGGTCTTTTCGGAGTCTTTTATGAAAAGAATAAGGAGTTCTGGATGATCTGGAGCTTTTGAAGGGTTGAACTGGGAAAGCCAGTGAGAAAGGCATTGGATAAAGCCAGTCTGGAGGCGACACGCGTTAATGAAGGTTTCGACAGCCATGAGGGTGACGTTGAAGGCGGTGATGCTGTGGAGATGAAGGAAAACAGGGCTTGGTTAAGGAACAGGCTTCCAAATCAGAGACGTATTTACAGCACAATCAACAACAAATTACATTTGTATAGCGCCTTTCACGTCAGGAAGGTCTCTTAACGTTATAGCTGTTTGGGTACTGTTGTGAGCGAAGGACAAACCAAGCCAATTGTTCAGAACACTTCAAGAATGTGAAAAGACTGTCTGTAAAATAGAGCTGTTCTATACAGAGGTATATTTATATTCAGGAATGTGCTTACCTGCTGCGTTTTCTTTCAACAGCGATGTCCAGAGCATCAACAAAGTGGCAGAGCGCGTGCTTCTGAGACTGCAGGAGAAGCTCAAGGGAGTTGAGGAGCGTGCAGTCCTCAGTGTGGGAGGGCAGGTGAATCTCCTCATACAGCAGGCCAGAGATCCCAAAAATCTCAGCCGCCTCTTCCCGGGCTGGCAGCCCTGGGTATGAATCACAAAGGAAGAAAATGCCCATTTGGTGCAAAAGACAACATCTGTTAAATTCATAGCTTAAATACAAAAACTGTACATACGTTTGCATTTGGTGTATTATATGTTTGGATTAGAATCCTGTATGACCCTTGTTAAGATATAGTCATATGATATAAAGTTCATGGCTGTCGAACCTTCTTCTGAAAGAAATGAGGTAGAATTCTCGATGACCTGGATCCTAGAAAATAAAGGTAATAATAATCCTTGCATTTGATATAGCGCTTTTCACATCTTCTAGACATGTCAAAGCGCTTCACAGAATATACTGTCAAGTGAATTCACTGTATATTTGTAGGTGAGACGCAACAGCCAATTGTGCACAGCACTGTCCCACAAACAGTCATGGAGTGAAGTGACTAATTTTTTTTTCTTGAATTATTATCAGGCGTGTGGAGTAAGGAAACTTGCCCACGGTTTCATCCTGCTGGGAATCTATCCCAGGTCTCTCGTTTGCGAGGCGAGTGCTTTAACCACTGAGCTAACAGGTACTGTCTGTTGTGAAACAGTAAGCCATCTAGACTCAAATGCCATAGGTTTGATTCCGTTTGGCCTGAGTTAGCTGATTTTCTCAACTTGTAGCAGTTAGCTTTAGGGCCCAGGATTAGAGAGTAGACAATTATCCTTATTTACATGGATCATAAGTAAGAATGCATCAGACTCAGATGTGAAGCCTTCCTTGATCAGCATCACTTGGGCGAATACCAGGACTGAGTGGAGAAGGGCTGTGCTATTGTAATTCAGCATCTTCAGAAAAGGGAAAGGAAATTGTTAAAATGAATGTTTGGTTTTATCGGATTTACATAAAAAGTGAAACAAATGTATTAATGGCCAAAAAATTAATGAGAATTATGAGACAGCAGAACAGCATGCAGCATTTCAACATCCATGGCAGGGTTTATGTATATCTGAAAGTCAAGTGCACAAAAATTAAATACTAGGACTTGGTGGTTTTCACTCCCTTGCCCAAAGGTCAATTGTAGAGCTCCTAATGCTACCATTGGGCTTTTAAGAATATCATAGTCAACAGTGAATTCATCCACCAAACACTTCACAGTATATCTCAGTGCATTGAGGTGTCTCGAAAATGTGATAAAGACACTATATCAAATGCAAGTATTATTATCAATCTCATGTCTTAGTTATCGGAATTGATTTGAAAATGAAAGGTAAAGCATGATTGTTTAAAGCTGCTGCACTTATTCACTGTCACTGAGCTATGAGTACTTTGGCTTACTTTCAGTCCATGTAACATTGTAATTGTTGTTCATACTTGTACCCAATAATATAATGCAATGGATAATTAAAAATCCAGTAGAGTATCTGCATAGATACACTTGTATTCCTAGAGTCACCAGACATAGATACTGATAACCCAAAATCTTTCTCAAACATCATCCATTATTAACTCTTCTGAAAGAGATAACAATATTTCAGCACTATTATTGCAAATGGTGGACGCCTTTATATAGTTTTATGTTACATTTGAAATAACCAAGAGTTAATTTACGACATTTAATAAATTTATACTAAGTGGATGTAGAGCAGAATTGTTTTCAGTCTTTCTAAATGCAACTTAATATCAGATGGAAGTAGAGAGCTTGGTTGTTTCTGAATCTAGTAAACATTATAGGTGTAATAAATCTCACCATTGTAATATACTGTGAATTCCCTATATAGCTTTAACTAAATTATATTCCTCCAATTTGAATCGTTACAATGCATCTTTTCAGCTTTAGAGAATCCTGCTTCGTTCAAAGAAATGAACCCTCCTGGCTTCATATTTGAGACTGACAGTAAAGTGGTTTATCTTCTGTAACAAACCCTTTTATAAAATCACATGTACATGCTTTGAAAGGAAAGCCATTTAAATCTTCCAGTAATTCCGTACCCTCCTTCCCTGTAACTAATATTTTATTTTTGTTAGACATTGGATGAATTTGCTAGGAGTGTTTATCCAGGCTCATAAAATATCTGCTTTATAGTGGGGATAATTTCATGTAGTGACTTAGGGGAGAAAAGAGTGCAACTATACACAGCTACTCTTAACGTCTGCTTTTCTGCAGTGATATTTCTCCTTCCTTCCTTTGGCTCTTGCAGAGAGACTAGCAGAACAGAGTAAACAAAGTATTTTTATTGCGTGTGCTTGTGAATGTACAACAGCAGGCAATTCAGATCTGCAGGTTTACGTATCGAGCTGTGTACCTATTTTGCTTTTCAACACTGCAAATTGATGCAATATTGAACAGATGATAGTCGACTCAGTTCTTACAGATTGATTTTTTTTGTGATCTTTTGTAGAATTGGTGTACATCAGGTTCTCTACATTTTGCATTCACTTGAACATAAGTGAAAGTATACATTGCTTAACTTTTGCTAATGTGCCTGTTTGAAACTTAAAATGAATGGATAGCCAGAAAAAGCCTTCCTTAACAAAGAAATGTTAAGTCAGGCTCTGTTGAATATTTGAAATACAGTACATGTACTGTGTTGTATATGCAAAACATGATATCAGCATTTGATGGGAGTATTTTGTTGTTGTATTTCCTTCTGGTTAGCTAGACATGATTTTAAGTGGATTCCCTTATATTCCAGAAACAGTGGCATGTTTATACAGATTGTATATATTTATTTTTGCTACTGAGTTATAGTATCAATCATATGCATCAATAATTGAATCACTTGCTTTTTTTGTTCTTAAATCTTTTTATTAAACAAACCTTAAAAACACCATTCAATTACAGGTTTGACATTTTGTTACCGTACCATTTGTACTGCTGATTCTTGTTTTATAGTCAGCACTGCCCTCAATAGGCTGAACTGAGAGTAGAAAACTACTGTATTCGTAAATGAAAGATGTATGATTAGACCAGCTGTAATTCTGATGGTCAAGCACCTTAAAATTTATGTTGTCAAAATTGTTAAAATTAATGTTTGATTTCATTGGATATACACAAAGAAAAAAATATATTAAACCTTGTGTACTTTTTAATTTTGTTGGATGTCCTTGACAGATGCCATTTTATGCTTTTGTTTAAATGTGCAATGTTTCCTCCGCCTTGAAATTCCTCACACAATGAATTCTAGATCTTCACCAAAGCAATGTGCTTTCGGAGCAAGTGTGACAGATGGAATAGAGAGCAAATCAATGGATCAGACTTCGTGAATTTATTTTTTCAAGTAGTCCCAGAGAGACCCAAGACCTGAACGGTATACCTATTGTCGACTCCAATACTTGCACCATTTTCTGCTGTGATTTTTACTTCCTGCTTTTCTAAGCATTTGGTAATAATAATCCGTGCATTTCATATAGCACCTTATCACCTCAATGAGATGCCTCAAAACATTTCACAGAATACACTGTAAAGTGAATTGATTATATTTTGTGGGTGAAACGTGGCAGCCAATTGCATACATCAGTGTCCCACAAACAGTTGTGGATTGAGTGACATTATTTTTGAAGGATTTATTACCCCTAGAAAAGCAATCTCCTAATCGACCAAAACTGTTCCTATTTACTGCTATGTAAACAGGCGTGTGGAGTAAGGAAACTTGCCTAAGATTTCACCCCACCCTGGAATCGAACACAAGTCCTCTCCCTTTTGAGGCGAGTGCTCTAACTAACGCCACCACCAACTTGCACTTATATAGCGCCCTCCACTCAGAGTAACGTCTCCAGAGCGTTTAACAGTGGAGGAGCCTGACTCAAAGCTGGGGGTGGGGGAGAGATGGCTGTAAACACAGTTGAAGGTTTTCAGGTAGGACTTGAAAAAGGAGAGAAGGGGGAAGATTGAGGGAGAGTGTTCTAGAGTTTCGGGACGTAGTGGCTGAAAGTGCGACTTCCGATGGTGAGTAGGGTGCGAGGAATGGGCAGGAGGCCGGTGCCAGTCGAGCGGAGGTGCCGGGTGGTGGATTGGAGAGTGAGGAGGTTGGAAAGTAGGGAGGTGCCAGGGAGTGAAGGGATTTGAACATGAGTGTAAGGATCTTGAACTTGATCCGTTTGGTGATGGGGAGCCAGTGGAGCCTGGCCAGAACTGGTGAGATGTGGGTACGGAGTTTGGTCCGGGTAAGTAACCAGTACAGTACAGGACTTGGTAATTTGTTTTTGGTTTGTAGGATTCCATAGGCTTCAACTGCTCTCTTAAGGATCCAAGGGGCAGTGCAGCTCCACTCAACGCACCAGTCTGGGGTAACTCCCTTAATTCCACATTCATTCATAAATTGATCTGAAAAGATGGTATTTTTATTACACACAAAAGGGATATTCAACAATCCAACACATTGATCAATACGAAAGTGAAACTAATGTACAGTAAAAAAAAATCCCCTCAGGAGAATGTCTTCATAGGAGGTACTTTGTAGACAAACGTAGCAGCCAATTTTGTGCATAACGATAATCCATGTGGGGTCTTGTAGAAGATTTCTCTTGGGATGTTAAGTTTTTGAATTTATTAAAATGAGTTACTATTTATTTTTGATTACAAGTTGTAACAACAAGATTACATCTGTATAGTGCAAATATATATATAAATATATAGTGCACTTCGGGAGGACATCCCAAGGTGCTGGACAACATTTCAGACCCGAGCTGGGGTCGGGGGGGAGAAGGAGGGGAAGGGGGTGACCGATGGCATGGTCAAAGAGGAGGGTTTTGAGGCAGGATTTGTAGGAGGCTAAGGAGGGGGAGAGGCGGAGTGATTGGGGTATGGAATTCCAGAGGTTGGGGGCAGAGTGGCTGAAGGCTGTCCCGCCAATGGGGGGGAGGGTGGGTCGGAGGATGTGGAGAAGACCAGAGCCGGCTGAGCGGAGGGAGCCGGCGGGTTGGTAGGGTTTAGGAGGTCACAGAGATAGGATGTAGTAGCATTAAATAAAGTAGTAACATTAAATAATCAAAAAAAGTTTACACTATACATATTGTACAAATATATTAAATGTGACTATTCTCGATGGGGGGAGTTGGCTGAGACTGAACTGGCTCCAAGGTGACCAGGCAACGGAATTGAACCAGCCCTCTCTGACTGTCTTGGTAGTCCCGTTCCCAAGCCAGGCTGCTGAGAGTACAGCCAGCCTGGCTTGTCAGCAGGACTTGGAAGGACATTGGTGACGGGGTACTTCCTTCTCTGCTTCTATTAATCCTGCGAACAAAGCCATGAAGGTGAGAGTGGTTCTAGCTGGACAAGCAATCCTCACATTCATTTCCTTACATGGCCTCACTTTGCTCTAACTCTGTGACCTCTTGCAACCCCCAGCCTCTTCCTTACCCACTTTAAGATCTTTCTGACTGCTTTTGCTCATCATTCCTGCCACATTCCCCCCACCCGGGCACACATACCCACCTTCCTCAGCGCCCTCTTATATCCTGCTCAGGCTCCCAGTCAGCTCTATGAAGTGCTGTTAAGGGCTCTGCGACGTGTGAAAGGTGCTATAAACGTTTTCCAGACATGAGAGGTATTATATAAATGTAAAATTGTTGTCACCGGTTGTTTATTTTTCTGTTGTGTTCTCTCATGCAGCATAAACAATCCCACTTAGCTGTGTTTCACATTAAATCAAAAGTGCATGTGTACATATACACAACCTGACTCATCAAGTACAATTTACGGCTGGTCTGCACAACCAATATATTTTACTGGGCTGCTTGGAAATTTCTTAAACGTGAAACTGAAAGATAAGAGAGTACACACTGCTTTTTAAAATAAAATGCGCAGTAATTGTCACCCACTTCTCACAATTTGAAAGCATTAATAATTAATGTTATAAATTAATAAACAAGACAATACATTAATAATGTATTTTAATTATTAGGAATGGCTGGTAACAGTTAATTAAAAGTAATGCCCTAAATCTTTCTAAAAGTCAGAGTTAACAAAATGCATTGCTATTTTATTGGTTTGTGTATTTTGAGTTTATTACGCAAATAGTAAACTTCGACCCCACAAGTACATCCGAATAATAAGACATATATTATATTCCACTATTTTCACATACAAGATCTTTTACATGTACCACAAAAATATCTATCAAGTTAAGCTTTTTAACTGTTACAGGGATCATCCACAAGAAGATTATTTGTACATGGAGATTAAATATAAAGAATCAAGTAAATAGCCCTGAATTTCTTCCAGGATAGAACTTTTTCAAGTCAATGCATTAAATATTATGCATGACATACTATAGTATATCAGAGTACTATTAAAAAAGGTACATTGATAATTTTGCTGTAAAAAATAAACTAAGAACTAATAATCCTTTATCGTGTTGGATATTGTTTTTTCTAAGTTTTTCAGTAATTGTGTGAAGCATAACAAATCTTCTTGTATTTCAGCAGCTCTTTATATCTTAAAGTTGGGATTTGCTTGTTTTATAATTACATCGGGGTCATTCTTTATTGGGCCATACCTTGAACCTAAATGGAGAAATGCAAAACAGAGTTTAAGCTACTTGAGCGAATTAATGTTTGCCTTGAAATATGAATGTTTTTGTGCAAATCTGAAGGATAAAGATTACACCTTCCAACACAGGAGATCTGTTTAACTCAGTGCATTAGACAGTCCTGATTGTTTTGAGGTTTTTGGGTGGGTTTGGGGAACTGGTTGGTACAGTTAATGCAAATACAGTTTAGCATATAAACATATTGCTTACTCAAGTATAATTCTAAACAAAGCACAGAGGTGCTGATCCAAGCAGGATTCTGCAGAAAACAAATTTAAAAATTGTCAGATGCAACCATACTTCAGAAATGGCTTCAATACAAATGTTAGTGTTAGCTTTAGGTGACATTTAACATGACATGTAGCAGCAGGAGTCGGCCCTTCGAGCCTGACCCGCCATTCAATCATGGCTGATCTTCTGATCTAACTCCAGCTAATACCATAACCCTGCCTTATCCCCATATCCCTTAATCCCTTTTGCAATAAGAAATATATCTATCTCAGTCTTGAATATGTTCAAGGACTGAGCGTCAACAGCCCTTTGGGGTCGCGAGTGCCATACATTCACCACCCTTTGAGTGAAGAACTTCTTCCTCAACTCAGTGTGAAAGGACTGGCCTCTGATTTTAAGGTTGTGACCCTGGTTTTATTTTCTCCAACCAGGGGAAACAATCTCCCACTATCTACTCTATCATGCCCTTTGATGATCTTATAGGTTTTTATAAGATCCCCTCTAATTCTTCTATATTCCAGAGAATATAGGCCCACATTGGTCAGCCTATCCTCGTAACTCATCCCCTTCATCCCTGGTACTAACCTAGCAAATCGACTCTGCATCCCCTCCAAGGCAAGTACATCCTTCCTTTAACTGCACACAGTATTCATTCCAGGTGTGGTCTCACCAGGGCCCTATACAGTTGCAGCAAGACTTCCCTACTCTTATACTCTAATCCTTTCATAATGAATGCTAACATACCGTTCGCCTTCCTAATTGCTGCTGCACCTGCAGACTAACTTTCTGTAATTGGTGTTCAAGGACACCCAAGTCCCTCTGGACGCTAACACATTCCAATCTCTCCCCTTCTAAAAAATAACCCGCTCTACTGTTTTTGCTACCTAGGTTGATGACTTTGCACTTCCCTACATTATACGTCATCTGCCACCTACCTGCCCATCATCTAACCTATCTATGTCTCGCTGCATTTTTTTAAATGTCATCCTCTGTGTTGACACTTCCTCCTAGTTTTGTGTCATCCGCGAATTTAGATATATTAACTTCGATGTCCTCATCAAGATCGTTGATGTAGATGGTAAATAGCTGAGACTCCACTAGTCACATCCCGCCAATCTGAAAAGGACCCGTTTATCCCTTCTCTTTGTTTCCTACCCATTAACCATTCCCCAATCCACGTTAATATGCTCCCCCCAATTCCGTGGGCCTCTATCTTTTGGACTAATCTTTTATGCGGCACCTTATCGAATGCCTTCTGGAAGTCCAAATAGACCACATCCACTGATTCACCCTTATCTAGTTTACTCGAAATATTCTCAAAAAATTCTATGAGATTTGTCAAACATGACTTCCCTTTTGTAAAGCCATGTTGACTTGGCCTAATTATATTGTGTCCTCTAAATACCGCACTACCACATCCTTAATCAATGATTCTAAAATTTTTCCTATCACTGATGTGAGACTAACTGGCCTATAGTTCCCCATCTTTTCCTTTCCACCTTTTTTAAATAGTGGTGTGACATTTGCGATCTTCCAATCCATGGGGACTGTTCCAGAATCCAAGGAATTTTAGAAGATCAGACACAAGGCCTCCACTATCTCATAAGCTACCTCTTTTAATACCCTGGGATGCAAGCCATCCGGACCAGGAGATTTGTCACTTTTTAGTGCTAACAGTTTCCCTCGCACCAATTCTCTACTAACGAAAATTCCCTAAGTCACTCCCTGTCCTTATCCCTTTGCTGCATCCATCCCTATTGTTGGCAGACTTGTGTCTTCTCGGGTGAAGACAGATGCAAAGTATCCATTTAGGGACTCTGCCATGTCCTTATCCCCCATTACAACTTCTCCCGTCTCAGACTGAAATGGACCTACATTTACCCTCACTCGCCTATTCCTCTTAATGTATTTGTAAAGATTTTTACAATCTGACTTAATGCACTGTTGGAATAAATTGTTCAAAATTTAAAAACAAGAGAAAAATAAAAAAAACTTCCAAAGTTGAAGTTACCAACTGTGTCATTTTACAAAACAGATTGGCCTTTGTTCCTTCAGAATGATTTGCTTTGCTCAGCCAATAGCACATGTAGGGTTGTTCTCATCTATTTAATATTAGGAAATAAACACATATATTAAAAGGGAAAAGTTCCACCTGTGTCTAGATTTAATCTATTTATGTAGCATTTAGAGCTTCCAGAATTTAATAACCAATCTTGCATTTGATTGCTCAGTGGGCTCCAGCCCGCTTCACGTCCCCCGCCTCACCCGCCCTGGAACTCCATCCCGCAGTCCCTCTGGCGTGTCCCCTCCCTTGCCTGCTTCAAGACCCATCTCAAGACCCTCCTCTTTGACCGTGCCTTCGGTCACCCTCACTGCCCTCCACCCTCCCCGATCCCGGCCCCCAGCTCAGGTCTGAAATACTGATTGCCCAGCGCCTTGGAAGGTCCTGCCGACTTGAAAGACGCTACACAAATATAATTTTGTTGTTGTTGTTGACTGTATATTTTGTGATGTGTTTTGAGACGACAACAACAAATTACATTTGTATAGCGCCTTTCACGTCAGGAGGACATCCCGATGTGCGATAAGGCGACATATCAAATGCAAGGATTGTTATTATTCAAACTGAATTCAGAGTTAATAATGAATTAAACAATAGGCCTGGATTCTGGATGTCCTAAAATGTTACATAATTGGGGTAGATCTAGACAATGGGCTTGAAATAACACCAACTGAATTGTTTGAGTTTTGCTCTTAGAACATAAGAACATAAAAATTAGGAGCAGGAGTAGGCCATTCGGCCCCTCTAGCCTGCCCTGCCATTCAGTAAGATCATGGCTGATCTATTCTAACACCACCTACCCACCTTATCCCCATATCCCTTAATCCCTTTATCCACAAGAAATCTATCAATCTCAGTCTTGAATATGTTCAAGGACTGAGCATCTACAGCCCTTTGGGGTAGAGAATTCCATAAATTCACTACCCTCTGAGTGAAGAAGTTTTTCCTCAACTCAGTGCAAAAGGGCTTACCCCTAATTTTAAGACTGACCCCTGGTTATAGTTTCTCCAACCAGGGGAAAAAGTATCCCACTATCTATTCTGTCGTGCCCCTTAATAATCTTATAAGTTTCTAAAAGATCACCTCTCATTCTTCTATATTCTAGAGAATATAGGCCTAAATTGCTCAACCTATCCTCATAACTCATCCCCTTCATCCCTGGTACCAACCTAGTGAATCTATGTTGTACCCCCTCCAAGGCGAGTACATCCTTTCTTAAATAAGGAGATCAAAACTGCACACAATACTCTAGGTGCAGTCTCACCAGGGCCCTATACAGTTGAGGCAAAACTTCCCTACTCTTATATTCTAACCCTTTTGTAACAAATGCCAACATACCGTTAGCCTTCCTAATTGCTCGCTGCACCTGAAGACTAACTTTTTGTGACTGGTGTACAAGGACACCCAAGTCCCTCTGAACGCTAACACTATCTAGTCTCTACCCTTCTAAAAAATAATCTGCTCTACTGTTTTTGCCACCTAGGTGGATGACTTCACACTTCCTTACAGTATACTTCATCTGCCATCTATTTGCCCACTCACCTAGCCTATCTATTTCTCGTTGCATTTTTTTAAATATCATCCTCGGTGTTTACTCTCCCTCCTAGTTTAGTGTCATCCGTGAATTTGGATACATTAAGTTTGATGTGCTCATCTAGATCGTTGATGTAAATTGTAAAAAGTTGAGGCCCAAGCACTGATCCTTGTGGCACTCCACTAGTCACATCCCACCAATCTGGGAAGGACCCATTTATCCCTACTCTTTGGATTCTTCCTGTTAGCCATTCTTCAATCCATGCTAATATATTCCCCTTAATTCCATGGGCCCTAATCTTGTGGATCAACCTTTTATGCGGCACCTTAACGAATGCCTTTTGGAAACCTATATACACTACATCCACTGATTCCTCCCTATCTAATTTACTTCATATGTCCTCAAAAAATTCTAAAAGATTTGTTAAGCATGACTTCCCTTTTGTAAAGCCATGTTGACTCTGTCTAATCATATTGTGATCCTCTAAGTATCCCAATACGACATCCTTAATTAAGGATTCTAGAATTTTCCCTACGACCGATCTCAGACTAACTGGTCTATAGTTCCCCATCTTTTCTCTCCCACCCTTCTTAAATAGTGGTTTGACGTTTGCAATCTTCCAATCAATGGGAACCGTTCCAGAATCCAAAGAATTTTGGAAGATCAGATACAAGGCCTCCGCTATCACTTTTTAATGCCAACAATTTCCCTAGCACCAATTCTTTGCTAATGTAAATTTCCTTAAGTTGCTCTCTATCATTAGCCCTTGGTTCATCTCTATTTTTTGGTAAACTTCTTGTGTCTTCTAACGTGAAGACAGAAGCAAAGTATTTATTTAGGGACTCTACCATATCCTTATCCCCCATTATAATTCCTCCTGTCTCTGCCTGTAATGGATCCACATTTACTTTTGTGAGCCTATTCCTCTTAATGTATTTATAAAAACTCTTACAATCTGGCTTAATGTTCCTTGCTAGCTTGGCCTCACAATCCATTTTCTCACTCTTAATGAGCTTTTTGGTTTTCTTTTGTTGGTCCCTAAAACACTCCCAGTCCTCAGGTTTGCTACTCTTTTTGACAGTTTTATAGGTCTTTTCTTTTAGTTTTATACTTTCTCTAACTGCTCTAGTTAGCCATGGATGAACAGCTTTCCCTGTGGTACTCTTATTTCTCAGGGGAATATAATAATAATAATAATAATAATCCTTGCATTTGATATAGCGCTTTTCACGTCGGGAGGACGTCCCAAAGCGCTTCACAGAATATACTGTAAAGTGAATTGACTGTATATTTGTGGGCGAACGCGGCAGCCAATTGCGCACAGCAATGTCCCACAAACAGTCGTGGATTGAAAATGACCAATTTATTATTGTTTTTGGTTTTGGAGGGATTATTATTAGGCTCTGTGTGGAGTAAGGAAACTTGCCCAAGGTTTCGCCCTCTGCCTGGAATTGAACTCAGGTCTCTCGCTTGCAAAGCGAGTGCTCTAACCACTGAGCTACAGGACTCCACTATGTGACTACTGAGAATTTTGCACTACTTCTTTAAACGTTTGCTACTGTTGGTCTATTGTCATATCCATTAATCTAATTCCCCAGTCTATTTTAGCTAATTCCTCCCTCATACCTGCAAAGTTAGCTTTATTTAAATTTAAGACCCTTGCTTCGGATTTAACTACATTGCTCTCTAACTTAATACTAAATTCTATTGTGTTATGATCACTCTGCCCTAGAGGAGCCTTAATATCTATATTACTGACTAGCCCTGCTTCATTACACAAAACAAGGTCTAGTATGGCCTGTCCCCTAATTGGTTCCTCAACATACTGTTCCAGAAAGCTATCTCTCATACACTCTATAAACTACTCTTCTACCCTACTTTTGCCGATTTGGTTTTCCCAATCTATGTGAAGATTGAAATCACCCACTATTATTGTATTACCTTTGCTACATGCTGCTCTAATTTCCTGATTAATAACCTGTGCTATGCTGTGATCACTCTTTGGGGGTCTATAAACTACTCCCACTCATGTTTTCTGCCCCTTGTTATTTTGTGATTTATAGCTTCATCTCAACCCTCAACATCCGACTGTCATTTAACACAACCAGCTTACAAGTGATCATTGGCATAAAATATGATTCACATTTTATGAAGCTACATCAGATCACATTCTTATTGTCAGAGCTATATTTTTTCCTTCAAAAATTCATTTATTTTAAATTTTGGCCGGAGTTAACATTGTGAGAAAAAATTGGTTCACATTGAGATATAATTTATGTCCCCCTCAAGGTGCTGAAAACTCAAAACAACTTATCAGATGTCTGTAGTTCTAGTATAAATCAGAGTCCCAGTTTCCTGACAAAGCCTAATCGTCATCTATTCAAATACTTGCACAGATATCACGGTTGTCAAAGAAAATGTCTTTTTGAGGTGAAGCTTTGAATTAGTAATTACACACATAAAATCAGTTGGCAGCATTAACAGTAACTTTCAGCTGGGGTTCACTGTAACAAAAGCCTTTCAGCTTGAAAGCCGTTCAAACTACTTATTAGTATTGTTCAGACCACAAACCTTGAAAGACTGCCTAGAACCTTATATATAGTCTGATGTACAACACCTATAATTACACTGAGAAGCTGCAGATTTACTTGGAATATCAGATCTCAGAGCTAGAATTAGCATTTTGCTCACCAGTTCTAAGCTTCCTTCACTGTTTTGCCCACAAAATATACAGTCAATTCACTTTACAGCATATCCTGTAAAGTGCTTTGAGATGTCTCAACGATATGATCAAGTGCTGTACCAAATGCAAGGATTATTATTATTATTACTTCAGACTTTGTGAATTTAGTATTAAGAATTTGTAGGCTATGAGTTTTTGAAATCCTATATTTGTAAATTCAGAAGTTGCAATTAATGCAACATATTTAATTTGAGAATATTTGCAATTTAAACCTCAAATCTAAATATTTTAACCTCATAGCCATTGCAATAGCCTGGGAGAAGATATCATTGTTGTAATTATTCCATTAATTAGTATTTGCATTGCTTCCAGTTGTAGTACACCAAGCCACAGACAACAACAACATCTTGCACTTATATAGCGCTCTCCACCCAGGGTAGCATCTCAGAGCACTTAACAGTGGCAGAGCCTGACTCCGAACCGGCTGGGGGTGGGAGTGGCTGTAAGTACGGCCGAAGAGGAAGGTTTTCAGGCGGGACTTGAAAAAGGGGAGAGAGGGGGCAACGTGGAGGGACTGAGGAAGAGCGTTCCAGAGTTTTGGGGCATAGTGGCTGAAAGCCCGACCACTGATGGTGGGGAGTGAGGAGATTGGAGAGGTAGGGAGGTGCCAAGGGACAAACCTGTACAACAAAACAAACAATATATCCAATGTAGATAATTCAATAATCCTTACACTTGCTATAATGCCTTATCATGTGGTTCAAATATCTCAAAGTGCTTCACATGATTTTACTGCGGAAATGTAGTGACTGTAGCCAAATGCGGCAGGCAATTTGCATCAAGCAATGTCTCACAAACAGCTGTAACGTGAATGACCCTGTACCTAGTTCTCACAGTTAATTAAGATTTTTACTGTAATCTATGGGCCTAATAATCACAGATAAAATCATCTTTTTGTTGTCATTTCTTCCAACATAAAAACAACTTCATTTATATATATTATAGTGCCCTTCAAGCGGGGAAGCATTTCGGAGCGGCTGATATAATAAAAGTTTTGTTAGTAATTTTTCTATGCAATTTTACTTTTCTAATTTGGGAGTAGAAATTCTACTTGGGTCATGATTTATTCTATTGATATAGTTTTATCTTTAAAAATTTTAATTGCTATTTTTTAATATAGAAAAAATAGACACTTTACAATATATTTTGTGGAGCGCTTTGAGACATCTCAACGATGTGTTAAAGGTGCTATATCAAATGCAAGGATTATTATTATATATAGCATTTCTGAGCATCCAGCATTTAGCAAATTCTTAAATACAGCCTTGGTTTTATGGGTTCCTTTAAATAAAAATAAGACTAAATTCTATAATTTGACAAACTGTGGACGCTGTAAAATGCTACATAAATGGAGTAAACCTTCCTAGTACCAGGTGGAATATCACCCCAAGTGTATCTATTTGTATATTTGGTATATTTATGTGATAATTTACATTGTTCCTTAAAATGGTTACCTTTAAAGTTTTCAGACTTATTGCTTCTTCCAATGTCCTTCCAGCCCTTCAAATATCTGAAAATGAATAGATAAAAAAATCCAGTTTGTTCGGATCATTTTGTCTGGTGCTCTATCAGCGCTGAATCCTCACACTTGTCTTCAAATCCTTCCATCGACTGGCACCTCCCTACCTCTCCGACTTGCTTACTCCCCAACCCACTACCCACTGCCTCTGGTCGACTGGCTCTAGCCTCCAGCTTGTCTCCCGTGCCCTCTATTCAACCATCGCTTTCAGATGAAACTCTGGAACACTCTTCCTCTATCTCTCCACCTTGTCACCTTCTTCCCCATCTTCAGGTTGCTCATGAAGACCTTTTTCTTCGATCGTGCCTACGGTCACCACCCCCCAGCTCGGAGTTGTGCTCCGCCACTGTCAAGCATTCTGGGATACTACCCTGTGTGAGAGGCGCTATATAAATGTAAGTTGTTGTTATTGTTGCATGGGATGGGATGGACAATGCTTCACGTTCAGAGTTTAAATCAAAATCCAATTTCTATTTTATCATCTGTTTTATTGGGACCAAATAAATGAAATTATCTTTTTATAACAATGGTTTCCAGGATTTTACTAGTATATTTGGAGACTGAATTCTGGGCTCTCCTCTTACTTTAGCACTTCCCAGTTACTGTGCCCATTGTGGGTATGTGCGCCATCACCCATCAGCCATCACTGTCATGCCAACACGGCTGTGAAACATCGTTAGCAACAGACATAATATCTATTTCAAAAGCTTCTTGTGGCTTGACAGCAAGCAATTGTCTTTAAAGTAAGCTAATGCTAGGAGCGACGATGACCTGGAAGAGAAGAGAGAGGAACAGATTGGTGGGTCCCTGAGGAGAAATGTAGAGCTGCCTGGCAGACAGGTGAATATAATCGCCATAGGTGAGCCATCTTGGAGGCCTGAGTCAAAAGAAAAAGATTGAGACCTACTGATAACAGCAGCTCAGCTGTTGATGAGCTGTGCCTTTTTAAAACATCAAAAACATTGAACAGCTGAGTGACGTCCAAGACTCGACATGTGGGAATTCTCGATTCCAGAAGGTCTTTCACATTCTATGAACCTATATGTTTTTCCACATTTCCAGAACCCCAATCTCCTTTTTCATTATAACTCACACAACAACCATCAATGCTCCATGTGGTGCTATGTTTAGCACACTTTCAATTTACCTTCTACAAGTGCATGGTTCCATCCTTGTATTTGATATAGCGCCTTTATCACATCATTGAGACGTCTCAAAGCGCTTCACAGAATGTACTATAAAGTGAATTGACTGCATATTTTGTGGGTGAAACGTGGCAGCCAATTGTGCACAGCAGTGTCCACAAACATTTGTGGATTGAGTGACCAAATTACTTACTTACCTCCCTCCCTCCCTACCTCCCACACTTGCTTGCTTGCTCGCTCACTCACTCCCTTATTTACTTTTGAAGGGATTATTACCCCTGGATTCCCTAAGAAATTCCCTAAGAACCGGATTCCTACTTACTACTAGGTAAACAGAGGTGTGTGGAGTAAGAAAATTGCCTAAGGTTTCGCCCTGCCCGGGAATCGAACCGGGTCCTCTTGTTTGCGAGCCGAGTGCTCCAACAATAACGTCCAAGTGGCTATTATTATATGTGAGCCTAGACATCGAGTGTTGGCAAGCTATTCAGCTGTTGACATCAATGCCCAGCTCGAAGCTGTCTTCAATCAATGCCACACCCACGAGCAGTCTACGGATAACAATGGAAACCTTGGCTGATCTTTCCTGCTTGACTCGGGGGTGTGCTGAACCCAACCCAGAACCCTGGCTGAGATCAGCTGACTCAGCATTGATGTACAACTAGTTAAACCCTAATGTTCCACCATGGCTGTGCCTTACTCAATAAGTCATTATCGAGCCATAAAAAGTGTTAATTGACACCTTTGAAATGAAATTTTAAAAATGCTGACTTACTCTTCGAAATTCAGTGCATTGGTCCATTCCAGCAACTCATCCACCTCCCACTCCAGGGCAGTGTCGTAACCCTCCTTTTCTACCATATTCATTAATCCAATTGTTGCGTTCTGCACCAGATCAACTATGAAAGGATCTGTTGTTTGAGCCTCCAGCATATTTCCATGGTACCTAAATATTCAAGAAGCAAATACAACAATAAAGCCAGGTTTACAACAACAACAAGATTCCATTTGTATAGCGGCTTTCACGTCAGGAGGATGTCCCAAGGTGCTGGACAGTGTACAGCATTTCAGACCCGAGCTGGGGTCAGGGGGTAGAGGGGAGGGGAAGGGGGGTGGCCGATGGCATTGTTGAAGAGGAGGGTTTTGAGGCGGGACTTGAAGGAGGCTAAGGAGGGGGCGAGGCGGAGTGACTGGGGGATGGAATTCCAGAAGTTTGGGGCAGAGTAGCTGAAGGCTTTCCCACCAGTGGTGGGGTGGGTAGATCGGGGGACGTGGAGCAGGCCAGAGCCAGCTGAGCAGAGGGAGCGGGCGGGTTGGTAGAGGGTTAGGAGGTCGCAGAGGTAGGGTGGGGCGAGGCCATGGAGTGCTTTGTATGTGAGGACCAGGATCTTGAACTGGATCCTCTGAAGGATAGGAAGCCAATGGAGTCGGGCGAGAGTGGGGGAGATGGGGTCATGGAGTTTGGTGCGGGAGAGGACACGGGCTGCAGAGTTCTGGATTATCTGCAGCCTGTAGAGAGAGGCGTTGGGAAGGCCGACAAGCAGAGCGTTTATTAGCTTTATCGAAGCAAAATCTATTGGGGTTGGTCCAAGAAACTTGTAATACTGGTTCTACAGCAGGATTTCAGACATCCAGAGGCCTGAAATGACTCATGTTCTTAGCCTTAAAAGCTAAGAACATAAGTCTTAAAAATGATAATTGTACAGAATTTTAGAAAAAATCTTAAATTAACTGTTAAATAAGTCAGTCGTTTTTTGCAGGATTGTTTTAAGCACGGAGCAAAATTGCCTTACTAATTAAGTCTGAATTTTAAAAATTCCAAACTCCCATGGCTCTCTCGGCCTTGGGCTGCCCACCCCAGCGTGAGTCAAGACCACCTACACAGAGCACGTGATGCCACCACATTGTGCACAATGAAGGTGCCTTGTGGACAAGCAGTCGGTGCTGGAGCCCACACAGAATGAGTGGCTTCTCTTCTACTCTGCTCTCTGGCCTTGTGAGGCCCCAAGTGTTGTGAGGCCCCAAGTGAAGAGGCAGCGATTGCCCTCAATATCCTGTCCTTTATCACAGTGTCACCAAAAGACATCAGCAAACCCAGCAGCAGAGTGGCTGTGTTAGAGAAACAACACTGGAATTCTCAGCCATAGCTGCCAGCCTGCCTCTTGATAATGTCTATTCTCATATCAGTCTCACTGAAACTCACATCATTTGCATCCATTTAATTTTTTTGTCTTTTCGTTGCTTTTGCATTTCTTCTCTCCTGTGGCGCTTAGAGTGGTGGAACTCTATTGCATTTTCTTTAGACTGCAGGTACACTGACTTTAATATGATCTAAATAAAAGATACATTGTTTAAATACACCTAAATGTATGTAGGTATTTTTTTACACACATTTTCTCTCCACTTCTCTTGGAGGCTCTGACCCTTGCTGAGCAAAATTTAGCAATAGTGTTTGCCTACATAAACAATCAAATGACTTTCTATTTGACAGTATTTACTTGATACATATAAGATGCAATATAAATGCAAGTTTTTTCTTTCATCCTGCTGCACTACTCTAAAACCTCACCCTTTAAAGTGTATTACTGCTCCCTATTTATACTGTTGTATTATGATAATTCCTAATTCAATTCCTAAATCCAGATCATTTATGTGCAATTATTTCATAAGACCGGCCCCAACACAGATCTCTGTAGAAACAACACACTGCATCTTCCCAGTCTGAAAAACATTTGTTTAACTGTACTCATTGCTTTCTGCACTCCAGCCAACCCTCTATCCGTATTCTCACACTTCTCTTAATCCCACATGCCATAATGTTTGCTATCAGCCTCTTATGCTGTATGTTATAAAAGGTTTTATTTAAATCCATATGGACCACATCTAACAGAGTCCTGTAGCTCAGTGGTTAGAGCTCTCGCCTCGCAAGCGAGAGACCTGAGTTTGATTCCCAGCAGGGCGAAATGTTGGGCAAGTTCTCTTACTCCACATGCCTCTATTTACCTAGTAGTAAGTAGAAACCCATTTGTTAGTTGATTGGCGGATCATGTTTACAGGGGTAATAATTCCTTTAAAAAAAGATAATAAATTGGTCACTTTAATCCACGACTGTTTATGGGACATTGCTGTGCGCAATTGGCTGCCACATTTCACCCATAAAATATACAGTCAATTCACTTTACAGTATATTCTGTGAAGTGCTTTGAGACGCCTCAAAGATGTGATCAAGCGCTATATCAAATGCAAAGATTATTATTATATTTCCATCATTTATTCTCTCTGTTATCTCTTCAAAGAAGTTTATACGGTTAGTCAAGCATATCCTACATTTTAGAACTCCACACTCATTAGCCCTGATTAGATTGTGTTTCTCCAGGAATAAAACAACAAATAAAAATCACCACTCTACTACCAAAAATGTTGTTCCATATTATAGCTCTCCAGTAATTTACTAACCACTCAAATAAGACTGTTTTATAATTTCCTGTCTTGTACATGATGCATTTTTGTTTGAAAGAGGGGCATCACATTTGTCACTCTCCAGTCATCTGGTATGATTTTCCTTTCTCCAGGATTTTGGAAAATTATGATCCTGTTCGGTTCTCAACCAACACTCCCGTCCCCCCCAAAAACTGTCTCTCACTCAGCTGTATATGAGGTTTAGTCACCTATCACCAGTCACCCTCTCACGCCAGTACCATCCTCCAAAACTCTAAAATAGGCAAGCTTTCAACTCAGAAAGCTAACTACAATACATTCAACTAAAATCCTACACAAACTTACAAACACAGTGGGTCTTTAGATTAGTATCGTCCATCAAAGACTAAGTCACCCCAGGCCACAGACTCACTGTTCATAATGGCCAGAACAAGAGTCTCACCAATAGAAACCTCTCAGTAAGGTCCCTGGCCTCCCTGCCCCAATATACAGATTGCTAATATGAGCCATTGGAAACTTATGCACTATACCCTGTGTGAAAGACGTCTCCAGCCATTCATCTCCACTCGTTTATACCATCCGCTCTGATCATCTTCCATGATTTCCCAACGGTTATGAAGTTGCCTGGGTACTTGTTGTTTCGCAGCAGGATTGGTATAATTTTTAGGGCTATTTGCACAAATATCCACAATGGGTCGGTGAGTAAATATCTTGTAGTAGATGTCTGGGGGAAATGATTCCTACAGCCAAAACAGAAAGAATTAATTAATTGATAATTATTAATTAAATAATTAATCCTGTTAATGCAAATTAATCAAGTTAATTAATCTAAATTATCTAGGCTTCTATTGATGATCATTGCAAATGAATGTTCTAATAGAAGAGAAGACTACTTAATCTGCAGAAAAATGTTATGTGACCAAGAAATTACAATCTTTTCGAAAAGGCCTGGCTCCACACAAAACATTTTGTAGAGACAGGAATATACCTTCTGCATGTAAATTAGATAAGGATAAACTGAAATGCAAGCCGGTCACAAAATGACAAGAGGTCAAAAGAGAGGTGGGCATGATGAATCCCTACTGGCCCATTAGATCTAATGTTTTAAAACCATCAACCCTTCCAACTTCCCTGTACAGCACTAAGCTGTTTCTTATATGAAGCAGTCCTCTATCACTCATCCTGCTAACCCATTCCATCTTTTGCCACCCTCTGTTAAAGAAATGCCTGGTTGTCTGACCTAAAATGGGCTTTCATAACCCTTCACCATCACCTCGTCCTCTTGACAAGGGGGAAAATTAAGCAAATTTGACAAATAAGTCTAGTAAGTCTGCAGCCAAAGAAACATATGCACCATTAATTATAACATCCTACACAAAGTGAATAGATTTAAAACACTTAACACATTTAAATAGATTTATTTTTATAGCTAGTTAAACTGAATAATTCTGCTTTTATTTATTATCTGTATCATGGCAAACAAATATACCCTAAAATTGTTATTGAACCCCCAATAAACTGACTTTCCACTTTGGATTAGCTTTGATTTTATCAGATGCTGGATAAATTGCAGATAAATTCTACTAATATTCTATAAGTCCATGCAATTTTCTTTTGCCAAGAAATAAAGATCTTGAATCCAAATAGATCTTAAAGATATCTGCTGAGGTGGGAGTTGGGGGGGTGGCGGGAGCATAGGGGTGAAGGGTACACAGGACAGGATAGGGTAGAGGTTCTGGTTCTAAAATTTTAAATGGGATTGAAAAAGTAACTAAGATCAATACTATAGGATGCAACAAGACAGTAGAACAAAAACAAATCGATTTATGTTGCCAAGGGCAATTTCCGTACAGACACCAGGAAGTTTTTCTTTACGCAGAGGGTGATCAACAACAACAGCAACTTATATAGCCCCCTCCATGCAAGGTAGAGTCTCAGAGCGCTTAACAGTGGTGGAGCCTGACTCTTTGCTGGTGGGGAGGTGGCCGTAATCACGGTCGAAGAGGAAGGTTTTCAGGCGGGACTTGAAAAAGGGGAGCGAGGGGGCAAGGTGGAGGGATTGAGGGAGAATGTTCCAGAGTTCAGGGCGTAATGGCTCATTTAAAAAGCCACTTGATGCAATGATGTGGGGACAGTAGGTTGGGTTTTCTGATGAGATTGAATGGGCTGAAGGGACTTTTTCATCCAGGCCAATCTTGTGATCTTATCGAGATTGACAAAAGCAGTGAAAGAACACTTACTCCTCCCAGTCTGAATCGGATGTGAACTCCAGCAGCTGCATCCAGGTACGCAGCCTGTGGATATGCAACAAAATGTACTTAGATTGTCTCTGCATTACTTCATTTTATGCTTTATCAAAACTGTATTAAATTGGTCTATTCAAAGAACCTTATCAATATCCCTGTTGTATCCTTTTATCTTATTATGTAGGATAGCCCAGTGCTGGAATCTATCAACAACTTGCATTTTCAAGAACATTTTAATGAGCAATGAAAATATTACAATGTATTGCAAATGACAGATCCTAATGTGTCTGATACAAATTGGTGACTAGATTTCACTTTTTTATCAGATACATAGGAAATCTGTCAATTACAAGGGAAACTGGGGAGATTTTCATTGAATTGTGCAACACAGCAACATACAAAGTTATTGGAAAACTTTCAACTGGCATGTGCTCTCCACCAACCATCCTCTCAGCCCAAAGCATTGTCAGCTCCGATGCTGAGAGCAATGAATCACCAAGTTATGTTGCCCATGTGTGGGAGAGGAAAGCAGTCTTTACTTACAGCTGCATTGGTTGCACATAAATAGATTCAGGTCACTTGACTGTTAGTGACTAGCTGTGATAGGAAAATCAAACAATCAATTCAGAGGGAGTCCTGATTGAAGTTAAATGAATGTTGGCATGTTGCCTAGAAGTTAATTTTCCCCTCAAAGTTGAAGGAAGTAGTATAAAGACGAAAGCAGTAAATAAAATGGTCCAATATGCAGAAAATAGGATTGTATGGAGAATTGAAAAGATTCTGCATTTTGTACATTCCACAGAAATAAGACCAGAATCTTAGTCATACATCCACACAAACATGCACACACAAACACACAAACATTGTCACGTTGTTTCCAAGTTACTCTGAGGGAAGCTGCAAGCTGGTGGCTGCACCTAAGTCACAAATAAGAATATTGTTTCCACCAGGAGGCAGCATAACATCATTTGTGGTGTGCTTTCCCGACACTAATTTCTCCTATCCCCTTCTGAAGGTGTCCAGCTCCTTTGTCTTTCTATTTCGATAGTTCCACAAGCCTAAGAAGCCCCTTGGTACCTCGCCCAGACGATGAGTATTCATGTGTCAGCCCAGATAATTTGTCAGAAAAAATTATTTTATCAGAAGAAAATGAACCCTTACCTCGATGGGATTGATAGATTTCATTAGGATTCGAGGCTCTCCTTTCCCTTTAAAATTAATCAATTCCTTGTAATACCGAAATAGGAGCTTGTCCTGCAAATACCAGTTCAAAATTACATCTGTGACAAAGTGACACAAATTCTACAAAAATACTTGGTTCAAAATGTGATATTTACAACCCATAAATTGCGGCAGCCAAAATTATGGCTGAGATTTTGCACTGGGGTTATTTCTCTACCAAGCTTCCCGCTGCTTATCTAGTGTGGCAAGCTATATGGTTGTCCAATGGCAAGCTATATGATTATAACTGGTTAAATTCAAGCAGTACCCCAAATATCTGGGGTCCCTAAGTCTTGGCTCTTGCCAATCTGCGACTAATGCTCTTTGGCTTTAATGGGTGTTTTGACCAAAATGTACAGTCACTTCTATGAAGCACTTTGAGACTTCTCGATGTGATATGTTGCTATATCAAATGCAAGGATTATTATTATAATGTTCTCTGTATTTAGGTAGCAGGGTGGAGCACTTTGGGGAGAGAGTGCACATTCCATTCTAGACACAGAATTTTTACGTGGCTGTCATATGTGGAATCTTCAGTCTGGTATGGATAGTCTTAAACACGGTGATAGGTTTTCACATGAGTCAGACACCTGGCTGACCAAAAAAAACAAAAAGCCCTAAAACTTAGATAACAACAACAATATTACATTTGTATAGCGCCTTTCATGTTGGGAGGACGTCCCAAGGCGCTGGACAGTGTACAGCATTTCAAACCCGAGCTGGGATAAAATAAAATAAAAGGTCAAAAAGCAAAATGCTGGCAGCAAAATAGTCCTTTGGGATTGGATTTATGCTTCTCCAATTTTTTTCATATCAGATTTTGTAATGAGTTTTGCAATTTCATTCTCTAGTTTGCGAATCCTGCCCATCTAACCTCAGTGTTGGTTGATTTAATTCAAGCAAGAAAAAATATGAGATTTATTTATCAGCCCAAGATCCAGGCAGTTTCTCTCTCTCACACAATGAGGAACTTTATACAGTATTTTCTCTCCTTGCCAGAAGACACTGATGTGTGCTGGGATACAGTCCTGTGCACAACAACTGTCCTCTGGTACCTGACATGAGATCCATCCTTCATGTGTGAAGTTACACAGTGAATGTTGTCAAGGTACAGTTCTCACCATGTGGGAGCAGTGGGTGGGAGGGAGGAGGAAGAGTTACAGCTTAGACTGATCGTGCCCTTGGATGACATTCACACACAGAAATATTCCAAGCAGGTTTCTGATACTGATCCGGCTGCATACTACTGTGTTGATACATATTCTACTTCCTAGTCAGGAAAACATTGATAGCCAATTGTATTGCTTCCCAACAGTGCACCATGATTTATATATATATAGTTGCTTTCTACATAAAATTGTATTAGCATTAATATAGAGTGGTGGTGGTGATGGTGGTGGTGGAAAAGCGAAATGTTTCTTGACTACAGGTGATTTACAACATTGTTTTCCATAGATGACAGAAAGCCTAGAAATCCATGCTGCTGGTGAGAAGCGTTGTTCAGTAGATGCACAGCTCCTGGTAGAACATTAACTGAGCCTGTAAATAAATTCCACACCGTCAGTCACCTTGACTAATGTCAAGTGCTGTTTAGTGCACAAGAGTCATCATTTCTGATTTTTTTTTTCTCTCTGTGACTTTTGGATCCTGTAGGTAGTATAATACCCATCACAAACTCTTTTTTGTGTAACCAGTGATTGATGGAACATGAAAAATGATCGCCACCAGAAGCACCATGCCCAGTTTGTGAAAATGTGAACTGATGCTAATTTGTCAACTGATAAAATAATTACAACTGACCTGAATGTCACTGCGCTATTCCAGGGTGGACGTGGGGGAATCAGCCGGGGCTTCTGTTCCTGATTGTGATTTTCCCCCTCCCACACACATACACAGTTGAATAGTGTGGTGAGTCAATGTTATGGTAACAACTAAAGAATGATCCCTTACTTGCTCAAAGTAGCAGAAGAAAACAACAACAACAACAACAACAACAAGATTCCATTTATAAAGCGCCTTTCACGTCAGGAGGACGTCCCAAGGCGCTGCACAGTTGGGTCATGACCCGAGCAGGGGGAAATGGTCAGGGTGAGGGGAGGGAAGGGATGGAGCGAGGAGGGGGGAAATGGTCAGGGTGAGGGGAGGGATGGAGCGAGGAGGGGGGAAATGGTCAGGGTGAGGGGAGGGAAGGGAGGGAGCGAGGAGGGGGGAAATGGTCAGGGTGAGGGAAGGGAGGGAGCAAGGAGGGGGAAATGGTCAGGGTGAGGGGAGGGAAGGGAGGGAGCGAGGAGGGGGAAGAGAGTCGAGAGGGAGCTGAAGGCACGGTCAAAGAGAAAGGTTTTGAGACCGGCCTTGAAGGAGGAAAGGGAGGAAGCAAGGCGAAGGCACTGGGGGATGGAGTTCCAGAGCCTGGGGGCTGAGAGGCTGAAGGCCCGACCACCGATGGTAGGGCGGTTGGGGCGGGGGACGTGGAGCAGACCAGAGCCAGAGGAACGGAGGGTACGGGCAGGTAGGTAGGGGACTATCGACATAAAACTATCGACACCTACCAAACCGTACCCAGCAAGTGAGTGCATTTAAGTTAGGAGAGTTCAAGGCTGAAGCACATATTTTGTTCATACTTAATACAAAAAAAGTTTTAAAAATTATTACGATATCTTAAGTTTAATGTAATAAAACCTATTCCTGGCACCATAAAAAGTGCAATTGCCTGAATGGCAGAAAGAATTGGATTAACTACAGCAGGGAACACTGTACCTGTGTGTGTCCACTAGATGGCAATGTTTCTCAGCATTCTCCTTGAAATAATAATCTAATCCTTGCATTTGATACAGAGCCTTATCATGCTGTTGAGACGTTTCAAAGCGCTTCACATGATAAAGTAAAGTAGATTGACTGTGTATTTTGTAGGTGAAACACGGCAGGCAGTTTGCACGCAGTAATGTCCCACAAACAGCCATGAAGTGAATGGATAATTTTAATTAAGGGATTGTTGGTCAGGGAGAAACTGCTTTCTCTTTATGAAGAGAGTCTTGGCATCTTTAAAGTCCATTTGAAAAGTCAGATGGGATCCTCAGTTTAATGTCTCAACTGAAGGACAGGACCAGGACCTTTAACAATGCAACACATCTTTAGCACTGCATTGGAGTGTCAGCTTAGACTATGTGAACCCAAGTCCTGGGGTGAACCAACAACCTTCTAATTCAGAAGCAAGAGGGCTACCACTGAGCCAGGCTGACACCAAATTATTGAGATCACCAGAGAGGTTCGGATGAAGAAGCCCTTTGACTCATTTTGCCTCACGCTTCACAGCATCAAGCTGTTTTTTTTGAATGCGTCCTGCAACCTGGCCCAACCACTATTCCTGGTAACCTGTTCCAGTCTTTAATTATTCCATGGGTAAAGAAAAACTTCCTTGTGTCTATCCTGAATTTGCAACCCTAAAGCTTTGCGCTCCGAGACGTTATATAATTGCAAGTTGCTTTTGTTCTATTGTCTTGGTACATCCTTAAGCCTTGTAACTTTCTTAATCACAGTTAAAACTATGTGTACAAGACCTGAATTGGTCATGATCTGTCTATCTGTCAGTGGGTGGTTTACTTGTCAACGCAGTTTTGGAAGGTTGAATACCTGATGCCTTACCACAAATAGAAAGCATTAGGAGTTAGGGCGAGGCAGTGGATGAGTATTTACAAATTATTATCCAGCCTAGAGCGAGTACTAGTATTCAGGGAAACTTTGAAGCTGTTCTTCATCTTGTTCTTGCAAGTTTGTTCATTGTATCTAAAGAACAGTTTGGTTTCCTGTTCGTGATCATCAGCAGAATTTGGAGATCTATTGAAATCCATTGAAAGCAGAGCTATTTGCATGGCCCATGGGCGAGTCAGTAAGCATAGCTTGTTTATAGAGCAGACGATGTTGTGATAGACACAATGATACAATAATAATAATAATCCTTGCATTTGATATAACGCTTTTCACGTCTCCTAGATGCCTAATCCTTGCATTTGGTGTAGTAACTTATCATGTCGTTGAATTGTCTCAACGTACTTCATTGGATTTTACTGTAAAGTGTAGTGACTGTGTATTCGTAGGCGAACCCTGCAGCCAATTTATAAACAGCAATAACCAATTTTTATCTGAGGGTTTATTGGCCAAGACACTGGGAGAAACTGCCTTCTATTTTCAGATATTGCCATGGGATCATTAACATGCACCTAAACAGGCAAATGAACATGACAGGTTAATTGTTAAATAAGAATAATAATCCTTGCATTTATATAACAAGAACATACATTTATATAGTGCCCTTCACGCAAGGTAGCGTCCCAGAGCGCTATAACACTTTATCTTGTCGTTGAGCTGCCTCAAAGCACTTTACAGGCTTTAATGAAACGTGGAGTGACAGTGTATTTGTAGGTGAACATAGCAGCCAAAATTGTACCCAAATGATCAGTTTTATCTGGAGGTTGTTAGCTCAAATACCAGGAGAAAATCCTTTCTCCTTCCAAATGGTGCCATGAGATCTTTAACAGCACTCTAAGAGGCAGTTAGGACCTCAGTTTAATGTCTCAAAGGAAGGCATCTCCAACAATACAGTGATCGCCCAGGACTGCACTGGATTATTACCCAACATGGAGCTGCTTTGAAGATGCTGATGAATATCACAGGATACTGTAAATTTCACATAAGTTGTATCAGTTGGGACCATACATTGAATATGACTTAGTGCAAGGTATGAGTTACGTGAAGCTTATCAGTAATAGGAAATTCAATGGGACTTGGGGAGATGTACTTTGGCGATTATATGATTTATACAGATCAGACTTATGTGACTTTTACTGTACTACCATATGCACATTTTAGTAGTTCATATTTTGTGTACCAGGCACAGTGTATTGTTTCTGCCATTTGCTTTTTTCAGGGTACTGTGCTTGAAGAAAAATATTGAAGGTTAATGGAAAGCGAGCAGGAGACTGGGATTAGATTCTTTTGATGTGTTCTCTTGATGTGAAAGGTGCTATATGTTGTTAGTCAGCATCTTTAGTAGGGAGAAAATTGGAGGGAGTAACTTTTTTTTTAAAGTCCTGTAAATTTACTGTAAAATTGCTAGTGTTCATGTATTTCATGCCTTCAAAAAACACAAGATTAAAGAAAGGATGTCTAACTAATTACAAAGCACGGATCTGATTTAACAAAGAGGTGGAGATGAGGTAGGGCTTTAAAGTGTTTTGAAAATGGAGGCAGAGTGCAAGGCGGAGGGATTTCAAGAGAGAGCTCCAGGGAGCAGGGACAAGATGTAGACAGGCCCACTGTTGATGGGGCTGAGTGGGCAGTGAACATGGAGCAGGTCTACACCTTTAAGTCAGCAAAGTTACTGCCAGTTCGAGAATGACCATTGATGTGCCCGGAGGGAGTTGTTGATGAACTAGTTTTGAGCTATTCAGAGCTTCAATTTTCTATTAAACATCTGACATTTTGCATATTGGAGGATATTTAAAGGACTGGTTTGACTAGAATTAATTCCTTCAAATCACATAAGGGCTCAATCAAAGAAAGGTGTGTATGTGACCACACCCTGTGATGTTTCAAGACTTGGAGATCATAATCTTCAGCAACAAATCACGCACGACTGTCACAGCACCTTCTGCTCTGCAAACAGATGGTTCCAGCTGGCTGACTCCTGTGACTAGTCAGCTTGTAGATTTCACTAGATTTCATTGGAAACCAAAATAGATGACAATGCACTCCCAAGAATAGATAAACACTCGAAAAATGAAAATAAATATGTCAAAAAGAGAGATTCCAGTGATAGCTGAACAACTTCTGTAAAGACTTTAGAACATTTTATAGTTAAATGATGACAAAAATCAAGGAAATCATAGGAAAACATAAGAAGCCATTTAGGGCAGTTTATTAGATTTCCTGCCCTAAAATTTCAAGAAGCACATGTAACAATTATGCTTTCCCACGAACAAATACCTAAAGATCCACAACAGTTCATCATTGTTGCATTAATAGGGCTTGAAATTCACAATCACAAAACTGCTCATTTCTTTATTATTTATTTCACTATTTATTATTGCCATTAATTGGCATATAAATTGTTCAATTAAGGAGCAAGTGGACAGGCTGTGAAAGTAACTGAAAGTTTAAGCTTATGGCTAATTCTCTCAAAACATCTAAGCTTGTGCTGTAAAATAAGTCCTTTCACACTCACAACCTTTGTATTTTCTTGGGGTTGGAGCAGAGGGGAAGAAAGTGCATATAATAAAACTCAGATGTTGTTTTGCGGATATTTGTCCAACCTGTTTCTGTTAAACCATCTTAAACATCAAAACATGTTATTCGATAGAGAGGAACCTCAACAATCCTATCATTGTAATGGAAGTTATTCAGCAATGCTTGTAATTTAGAGTTATTCACTGACTGTTTATCATCAAAGCTGCTACGTGGGAATTGTTTCTAGCAGTTTGCTAATGTAACCCCTCCTGTTTTTCAGTGTAATAAGAATTTCCTTAAGAATGGTAGGATTGTTATGATTCTTCCCTATTATAGGGCATCACATATCTGTATAGAGTTACATAAAGTAACACAGAGTGATACAGCATTAAAGCAGGCTCTTTGGCCCAACTAATCCGTGCCAATGTTTATACTCCACACAAACCCCCACTCCAACTATTCACCTCTGGAACTCCCTGCCTCGCCTCACCCCCCACCCCCATCTATCTTCAAATCACACCACTCCGCCATCAGTGCTCCGAGATGCTATCCCGTGTGAAGGGTGCCATGTGAATGCATGTTATTGTATTTCCCTTTCCCTCTCCTATAGCCCTCTAATTCCTTCATCTCATGCATGCAATTTGGATTCTATTTGGCTTACATTTATCAAATGTCCTCGGTAGCCTTTCGTAGCTACTATCAATTCAATCTACATTTGACTTTGCTCCTTCTGAGGCTATTCTGTAACATGTGTTGTTTATGCTTAACAGGGTGTGGGTGCTTGACGGAAGTTGGGCGTGCATGCTCAGATGGGGTGCCTGAGGCGAGTGGGTGCTGGCTGAGTACAAGAGAGAGAGAGCGGAGCCGAGGGCTCTCTGGGAGTGCAATAAGTTTTAACAAATAACTTGACAATCGTGAGGATGTCACACTAACAGCTCGCTCCACTCAGGTGTAGTGTACGTGTACCAATGCACACTGACTTACCATGTCTGATAACTTGTCACTGAACCCTTTTCCCTGACGAGTTATCCAGAGTTAAAATAAAAAAAATTACTGTAATATCAACACTCAACAGCCTCTTTTCCAATTAAAAGATAAGTCTGCATTCTTTTAAAAGTATCAGTCCATGTTTCAACTTATTCCTCAGATGTAAATATCTCAGCAATATTGAGGTCCATAAATTGCTGAAGTATTCAGAGATGATGTTTACCTGGGTCTAAAACTATGACAGAAGGTGGAAAACCTGGTGAGTGATGTGCTATCACTGGCTATATTATGACCCATGATGGTTATCAGGCGGTCAAAATACGTGGTTAAAATGTATCCTTAAGACCTATCCCTAGTATCAGGGTTGGAAGTGAATACTAGGAGCTTGACCTTCATAATTGCCGGCAATAGGAACAGTGTTTCACCCAGACGCTGCGTTTTAAGCCGTTGGGCAAGAAATGTTACAGCACAGAAACTGGCCAGTCAGCCCACACTGTGTTTTCCTCCATGTGAGTCACCTAATCAAATCCCACTATTTTCAACACCTCCCCCTTACCCCCAACCTCCCTATTACCCATTATTTTCATTTTTCAGAATTAATCTAATTCCCTTTTAAAATAATTTATGGACTCTACTTCACCTGTAGTTGTGACAGAGAATTCCAGATTCCAACCACCTGTAATAATAATCCTTGTATTTGATATAGCGCCTTATCACATCATTGAGACATCTCAAAGCGCTTCACAGGATATACTGTAAAGTGCAGTGACTGTATGTATTGCTCAAACACACTCCTCGCCGGTCTCCCCAGCTCCACTATTCAAAAAATCCAGCTTATTCAGAACTCTGCCGCCTGCATACTGAGCCGGACCAAACTCCGTACCCACATCTCACCTGTTCTGGCCAGGCTTCACTGCCTCCCCATTACCGAACAGATCAACTTCAAGATCCTCACACTCGTGTTCAAATCCCTTCACTCCCTGGCACCTCCCTACCTCTCCGACCTCCTCAGTGCCCATTCCACCACCCGGGGACTCCACTTGACCGGCACCGGCCTCCTGCCCGTCCTTCGCACCCTCCACCCCACCATCGGAGGTCGCACTTTCAACCATAATGCCCCAAAACTCTGGAACACTCTCCCTCAATCCCTCCGCCTTGCCCCTCTCTCCCCTTTTTCAAGTCCCACCTGAAAACCTTCCTCTTCGACCGTGCTTAAAGGCCACCTCCCCACTGCCCCCCAGGCTCGGAGTCAGAGTCCGTCACTGTTAAGAGCTCTGAGACATTACCCTGCATGGAGGTGCTATATAAGTTCAAATTGTTGTGGTTGTTTTGTGGGCGAAATGTTAAGCATTTTTTCTAAACCCGCCTTTAATTACTTTTGTAATTATCTTACTCATACATTACTGATTCGCCGACCAGTGAAAATAATGCTACAATATCTACCCCTTCATAACCCTTCAATGTCTCAAAAACCTCTATAATAATAAATATAAATAATCGTTGCATTTGACATAGCGCCTTATCATGTCTTCGATACGTCTCAAAGCGTTTTACAGAATATACTGTAAAGTGAATTGACTGTATATTTTGTGGGTGAAACACAACAGCCAATTCTGCACAGCAATGTCCCATAAGCATTCGTGGATTGAAGTGATCAACTTATTTTTTTGAAGCAATTATTATCCCCAGCAAAGCGATCCACCAATCGACTAACAACCAGGTTCCTACTTACGACTAAGAACTTCAAAAATCTCTACTAGTTTATCCCCATTCTCCTTAACTTCCTCTGCACCAGTGAAAAAAATTATAACTGAGTAGATAAATAAGTAAAAAATTTAGACTTACAATAAATCTTCTCCATGCCTTCTGTATTATTCTCGCTGCGTTGTCTACTTCCGTTTCCGCTTGTTGCACTTCTAAGACTTCATCTGCGGCATCATCATAGTCTACCATTTCAATAAAAGGACTAAAAAAAATACAATAATAATGATAAATAATTATTTTTTCTATAAGTTGGATACAACTGCTTCATATCCTCCCCAGGTCAAAGAGCAATTGCAGAATGAGTTGTACACATCCAATTGTAAGTAGAAAAATCCTCAGTTACTGATAGTGGGAGCTAACGTGAGGTCCTTAGAACAACATTAATAGGTAGATTTTGTACAGGTCTCCAGATAGAAGTGAAAAGTTGCTGCTCACTGACTATCAAATATTGCCCTGTACTGATCAAATTTCTCAGACATATCAACTTTCGCCTTTAAAGGACACTGTGTACAGTAACAATGTACACCCCAATTACTTGTTGAGAGATGAATTATCTGGCTTGGTGTGCAGCCAAGAAGCATTTTGTGTTCATGTTTTCTTCTGTTATGCATATGACATAAAATCACAATGTTCTGAGACATTCTGTACACAGAATATAATATCATAAAAGTGTTAACTTGTAGAAGATGTGGAAGGTATTAGTTATGGGGAGCTGCCACATGCATCAGCAGTTTGTTTTACTGGCTGTCATAAGAATTATACTTTAGCCTCTTAAGCTCTCTGAGATGCTACCACAGGTGAAGGGTACTCTATAAATGCAAGTTGTAGTTGTTTTTGTTATTTATCATGAGATTCAAGCTCAAGTTAAAGGGATAAATCCCATTAATGATTGGAGATTTGCATTATAAATAACTAGAAATATCTCTATGAGTTTGCAGTTACAACCAAAGCAAATTCTCACTTGAGGTGGTGCTAATCCGTTACGTTATATGATTAAAACAATTTTTTTACTCAATTTTGGATGTGGCCAAGATTGCCAGGGGAGTATTTATTGCCCATTTCTAGATAACTTGAGAAGGAAGTGATCGGTCTTTTTGTAAACTGCTGCAATCCATATAGTGGTGCTCCCATGATTTGGTCTGTAGTCCAACTATAGTTAAGTTATATAACTATAGTTAAGCAACAATAGAAGGTGCAGTGATATATGTCCAGGTGTGACTTGGAAGGGAACTTGGAGGTGATGGTGTTCCCACAATGAGGTTGCCTTTGCTCTGTAACGTGATTTTTTTTGTAAGACTAAAACCTCTTTTAAGGTATTTTCTCCCTGCTTCTCTGTTGCTTCTACTGTGTGTACATATCATCCTAGCCGAGAGGATCCAGCACCTTGGGACATTCTCCTGACTTGAAAGGCGCTATACAAATGTAATTTTATTGTTGTTGTTGTTGTCATCCTCCTCCAACTAACAGGTACAGGTGGAGGTGTGCAGATGGAGCTCTATAACACAATACCTCCTTGGTCTGGGATTGAAAAATGGTTTGTAGGTGTACACTTCATTTGTTTAAGTAACAAGGAAATGCAAATTCCAATGGAGCAAGTAAAAAATTGGACAGATTGCTCTGAAACAAGTACAACTAAGTAAACAAGTGCAACTAAGCTCAACAGTTAAAATTACAGGCAAACTGATGTCACAAACAAAGCATTTGCCACTGTAATTAGGTATCTACCAAGTGTTCCTGCCTTGTGAGTTTTTGCCTCCCAGTTGTAAGGTTGGAGAAACTCTGTAGAAATGTGTGCAATGCTCCACATACCCGAGAGAAGCAGGTGCAGAGATGTGACTAGCAGCTGAGATGTGGCCATGAAAAATGTGTATTTATGAGCATGCAAAATTTTTGTGACGTTTGTGGAAGTTTCTTCATAGTTTAAACTACGCTCTAAGTTACGAAAAATAACTTTTAGCTGCTTCAATAATACGTTGATCATTCAATAACTAAGAGAAGAACCCTCCTTCATTCAGCCTATGCTCAATCTGAACAATTTAACACTCAGAGTTGAACACTTACCCTAAGAACACTATGTATTCACGTTAGTTTTATTTATCAGAAGTTGCATTGAGCTGCCTTAATGCCTTAATGAGAGCTACCTGTCACTTAACAAAACTGTGTGCAGATTGCTGAGGTCAAATGAATTTTTTTTTAAACTTTTGGAATGTCCTTCTTCTCTTCCTTTCCTGGAAGTACAATATCATACCTCTTCAACTGAGGTATGATTGCACAGATATCTCACCCAATTGGTTAATAAAGATCCATTCTGAAGTAAGTAGTAGAAGTAGAAACACAGCTTCCATCACACTAATGCAATACAAGCTTCTTTGCACACAGCAATTTTAGCGCGAATGTCAGCCTGGCTCAATGGTTTCAATAATGGTATCAATGGTAGCATTCTCACTTCTCAGTCAGATTATTGTGGGTTCAAATCTTATAATCTAGGCTGATAATCAATGGAAAGCAGGGAAGAGCGCTGCATTGTTGGGGGTGATGTGGTTTGGACGGAACTTTAAACCAAAGTCCTGTCTGGCTGTTCTGGGGGACTTCAACGATCTTGTGGCAATATTCAAACAAAAATGGGAGTTCCCCCAATGTCCTAGTCAACAATTCCCCAGATAAAATTGGTCATTCACTCATGGCTGTTAGTCAGACATTTCTGTGTGCAAATTGACTGCTGAGTTTGCATACAAAATACACACGGTTTCTATAGTAAGTCCTGTGATGCGCTTTGAGTTGTTTTAGTAATATATCAAATGCAAGAATGATTAATGTATTAATTAATGCCAAAGAGAAAGGAAGGTAGAGTAACCAATTTGGAACCCAAATGCATAGACAAAACCTGCTACCTGACTTTGAAGATTGTGTGCCCAGTGATCTCCATTCTCACTACCAAATTAATCCAATGGCTTTCAGCGAGGAGAAAATATTTCAGTCTGGCTTACAGGAGCATTTGTCTCTAAGTAAAGATCTTGGCAGCAAAGTCACATCATTTTCATAATTGTATTGTCACAGTCTCTGAAAACATGTGTTACAGTATGATGATGCCATAATTACCTAAATAGTTATGCAAATTCGTTTTTCAATATTTCTCCTTACCTTTTCCTTACCTGACGACTGCTAGTATATTACTGCCTCATGGGGGTTATTCTTCATGTATCAGAGAAGGCAGTATGTCTTAGTGGATAGTTCAGCAAAGGGAGGGGAAGATTGCATCACAATTAAATGCGACTATTCCCTTCTAACTTCCACACACGGACTGAAGTCCACCAGGGATCATTGAATATATAATATACATTGTACAATATACATTTATAAAGAGTCTTTCACATAGAGATGACACCTCAAAGTGCTTCACATAGCGTGAGCTGGGGATGGGTGGGGGAGGAGAGGTGAATAAAAACACAGTTGAAAAGCTAGGTCTTAAGGTGGGTTTTGATGGTGGTGAGAGAGGGATTCTAGGATGGAGTTCCAGGGATTGGAGGCAGAATAGCTAAAAGCTCACCCCCTTATAGATATTAAAGAACACTGTTCCTTTTTATTGTCTTTATCAATGTCTGATATCTCAAAGTCTCAAAGCACTTCATAGGTAATTACTGTTAAGTCTAGTTACTTTTTGGATTTTTTTTGGTCAGCTAGGTGTCTACCATATGTGGTTAACCATTAGCATACTTAGGCATATAAAACCAAGCAGAATGTGTCCCTCCAGTTAGAGTGTGTATTCCATGCCACATGCCACATATGCGTGTGGAACGGAATACACACACTCTAACTGGAGGGACACAATCTGCTTACCTAATTCCAGAGGCTATAGGCAAAACTTGGCAAGAATAAGGCTAAGGGACCCCCAGCGTGTGGAGTGAAATACTGCTGGAGTCTAAACAGATAAAACTGCAAAGCTTGCCATTGAAAGCACTGTCTGGCAAATCTATCACTATTACAGATAGGATCACCCTACCCATTAGGGTCTTAGCTTGCAAAGTTAACAGGAGGAAGAAATCCTACCTCCCGAGTGACTGGTCAAAGGGGACTTAAGCAGGCCAGTGTTTGTGGCAGGAGTGGCCGGGTTGGGAGGGTTGCAGGGGTTTGGGGCAGAATGTTTTTACACACGAAGCGTTGTTAGGCAATGTAATGCCTACATAGAACAGCAATTGAGAAGGATTTCAAATGATATGCTAAGAGGGAATTGGAAACACAATATAACAGAAATGGAGAAAAAAAAGGACATGGGAAAATATCAGGATCATGGGATGAAATAGATAGCTATTTCAAAGCACAATGACTTTTTGTGCCGTAATTTTCTATGGTTAGCAAAGCACCAGTCAACACATTTCCCTGCTGAGCCATTATTAACAAAACAGCTTTCTGTAAACACAATGCTTCTTCAAATATAACCATTATTAAAGTTGCTAAATCATATTTAGGAATGAATGTATGAATGGGCAGCATGCTGACAAATGACAGAAACCAGTATTTGCTAAGAGAAAGTAATTTATTTCACTGAGAAGCTGAAATGACGGGCCAAGGTCAGTAAGACAAGACAACATAAGCAAAGTTGAAAAGAGGACAAAGTAAATGAAGGCAATGTGAAGCTTGGATCATGAAAGACTCTGGACTGTGGCAGAAAAGGAAAACAGGAGCTCCATAGTCTTGAGGTCTTGGGAAAGAATGAGTTCCAGAGGACAGTGTGATCGGTTTACATTTACGGCAAGGAATAAGGAAGGCAGGTTTATAGAAACAGATGTTTGGCACTGCATCACATTACTTTTAACTATTGAGCCATCAAGGGAATCTGTTAACATGATATTGTAGCAAGATTTGTGTAATTGCAAAATTATTTCCTACCTGTTGGTTCTTACTCGTGCTATTTCTGAAGTCAGTGATAGTCTCGTACCAAGTGCTGCCTTTATTCCAGAACTAATTTTGAGGTGCCTTGGTTGTATTCGATCGGAAAAGAGCCCTAGATTCTGACACCTGCAATTGAAAAAAAACAATGGTTTGAGAGGCACAAAGATGTCAAACGCATTGTTCCTATGTAAACACTTTAGAAGGTTATTTGCTGATCACTGCCACCAAATTAAAGAAACCGGAACGGGGAAAAAGGTTGGGAACAAGTATAAATAAATAATAATACTCCTTGTATTTGACATAGTACTTATCACATTAAAAACATCTCAAAGCCCTGCACAATGTTTCTGGGAAGTGTAGTGACTGTATTTTGTGGGCAGCCAATTTGTACATAGCAATGTTCCATTAATAACCATGAAGTGAATTACCAATTGTATCTGATATTATCAAGTTGTTTGATATTCGTGCACATCTCCTGCCCTCTGCTATTGTTATTTCAATCAAGCAATGACGTAAATAAGTTTCTAAAGGCTTTGCAAATGCAAATTCTGAGATTACAGGATCACTTATGCGATGACACCACATCTTCTGTGTATGTGACAAATAATAATATTCCGTCTTGTAGACGTCTCAAAGCGCTTCACAGAATATACTGTAAATTGAATTGACTGTATATTTGTGGACGAAACACAGCAGCCAATTGCGTACAGCAGTGTCCCACAAACAGTTGTGGATTGAGAAACTAAATTATTATTTTATTTCTTGAGAGATTATTATCAGGCATGTGGAGTAAGGAAACTTGCACAAGGTTTTGCCCTGCCGGGAATCGCACCCAAGCCTCTTGCTTGCTAGGCGAGTGCTCTAACCACTGAGCTACAGTGAGTCCTGTGGCTCAGTGGTTAGAGCACTCACTTTGCAAGCGAGAGACATTAGTCCAATTCCAGGCAGGGCAAAACCTTGGGCAAATTTCCTTACTCCACACGCCTAATAATAATCTCTCCAAAACCAAAAACAATAATAAATTGGTCATTTTCAATCTACGACTGTTTGTGGGACATTGCTGTGCGCAATTGGCTGCCGCGTTTGCCCACAAATATACAGTCAATTCACTTTACAGTGTATTCTGTGAAGCGCTTTGGGATATCCTCCCGACGTGAAAAGCGCTATATCAAATGCAAGGATTATTATTATTATTGTTATTCCTGTATGTCAATACACCTCAAATAGAAGTTGTTCGAAGTGCAAGCTGAGTGTTTGAAAGACAAAGCATTTACAACTTTGGATCGATCTCTAAGGATTGGAAGTTAACTTTCTGAAAACCTTTTGTGAAAATGATGCTACCTAGATTTAGCATTATTTTATTCAACAACAACTTGCATTTATGTAGCTCCCTTCATGCTCGGTAGCGTCTCGGAGAGCTTAACAGTAGTGGAGTCTGACCCGGAGGCAAGGGGAGAGGGAGGGGAGGAGGTGACCATAAGCACTATCAAAAAGGAAGGTCTTTGGACAGGATTTGAAAGTGGGGAGGGAGGGGTCAAGGAGGAGGGATCAGGGGAGAGAATCACGGATTTTTGGGGCATAGTGACTGAAAGCATGGCCATCGATGGTGGAGAAGCGGCAAGGGACGAACATGAGGCCGGAGCTGGCCGAGCGGAGGCAGCAGGTGGTGGAGTGGTGGGTGAGCACGTTGGAAAGGTAAGGAAGTGCGAGGGCATGAAGGGAATTGAAAACTAAAGAGAGGATCTTGAAATCAATCCATTTGGTAATTGGGAGCTAGTGAGCCTGGCAAGGACTGGTGTGATGGGGTCCTAAGTTTTGTTCGGAATAGTATCCGGCTGGCAGAGTTCTGAATTAATTGTAATTTATGTATGGTGGAACTGGGGAGCCCAGGAAGGAGGGCATTTGAAAAGTCCAGCCGGGAAGAGACAAAGGTTTCGGCTGTGTTAGTTGTGAGGTATGGACAGAGGTGGGCAACGTGACGGAGGTGGAAAAAGATAATCCTGGTCAGGGAATGGATGTGAAGGAAAAAGAAAAGCTGTGGATCGAAACTGCCAAGATTCCCCATAGGTTTGGTGAGTCTGAGGGAGAGCCCGGGGAGGTTGAGGAGTTTGAACACCCAAGAAGATATTGACGGGAGCCAAAGAGTATGGCTTCCGTCTTACCAACATTCAGCTGCAGGAAATTTGCACTCATCCAGGCCTTGATGTCCCTCAGGCAAGCTGACAGGACATCAGTGAGACGCAGCTGGAGGAGGATGGGAAGTAGATTTTGGAGTCATCCGCATACTTGCGGAAGTTGACCCCGCGTTTGCGGATGACATCTTTGAGAGAGAGCGTGTAAATTATGAAAAGAAGGGGGCCAAACATGGAGCCTTGGGGTACCCTGCAGGTGACTGGGCGGGGGCAGGTGGACAACACTTTTCCTGAGATAAATTGGTGATTTGTCAAGTAGGACTCAAACCTTGCGAGTGTGGTCCCACTAAGGTGGATGAGGGAGGCGAGGCAGTGGAGGAGGATGGCATGATCGACTGTGTCGAAGAAAGCGGAAAGGCCGAGGAGAACAAGGAGGCAGAGGGAGCCCTGGTCACAGAGAGAGAGGGTATTATTTGTTACTTGGACGAGCGCTGTCTCTGTGCTGTGGACAGGGCGAAAACTGGACTGGAGGGGTTGTAGTAGGAAGTGGAGGGAGAGGGAGAGGTGTGAGTGAAGTTGATTGACAACCATGCGTTCCAAAACTTTGACCAGGAAAGGCAGGTTTGAGATTGGTCTCAAGTTTGTGAAGTTGGAAGGATCGAGGGTGTATTTTTAAGGAGAATTCAGATGGGACTGAGAGTGATTGTTCTTTACATAAAAAAATAATAATTTGGTCGTGAGTGTTTGTGGGACACTGCTGTGTGCAATTGGCTGCTGCGTTTCGCCCACAAAATATACCGTCAATTCATTTTACAGTATATTCTGTGAAGCGCTTTGAGATTTCTGAACGACATGATAAGGGAAAATATCAAATACAAGGATTAGTACTACTACTAGTATTATTAGTTATGATGCTCTTTACCAAATACCGCACTCAACAGAGGTGTGCCTCAGTGATGCGGTATGCAGGAGCTTGCCACACCCCAGAAGGTAGCAGGTTTTTTCACAAATGGGCCAGAAGTATGTCTCTCACAAAAGAAATCAGGTGTGGGAAACTTGCGTCACAAACCAGTTGTGCCCTCAAGAGCATTTCAAGAGCGCATGTAGCTAGCAAACATTTCAGGCAAATTACCAGGTGCTGGGCTATATGACACCCACTTTAAAGAAGCTGAGTTCCTGCCATGTATAATAGTATAATAATAATCCTTGCATTTGATATAGTGCTGTATCACATGTAAAGTCGATTAGATTGACTGTGTATTTGTGGGGGAAATATGGTCAGTCTTACCGCTCAACAGCAACTACAGTTTGCATGTACAGGGATTCCCCATTATAAGGTGGTTTGCATCCAAAAATCCAACCCATGCTACAAACAGGTGCGATAGTCAGTTTCACTGGGCATGCCAGCCCACTCACTCCCTGCATGTTTCTGATGCTAACAAAGTGGCAGACTTCTGGGTCAATAGGTCACCGTTGCTGTCACTTCATGTGTGCTACATCTGCTCACAACAGGAAGTGACGTTAGCAATGATCTGATGACTTGGCCATTCTTTTTAGCCCAGGAAGCTAAAATATCTGACTTATGGGTCATCGGATCTCCATTGATGCAACTTCCTGTGCACCTCTGGCTGTGACCTAAACACCACAAAGTTGGCCATTTTAGCACAAGAACAACAACAAACTTACATTTGTATAGCACCCTTCACATCAGGAGGACGTCCCAAGGTGCTGGGCAGACAGAGTTACAGACCCGAGCTGGGGGTCAGGGTGGGGGAGGATGGAGGGCAAGGGGGGAAGCAGGGAGATCAAAAGCACGGTTAAAGAGGAGGGTCTTGAGATGGGTCTTGAAGGTAGCAACGGAGGAGGCGAGATGGAGGGACTGCGGGATGGAGTTCCAGAGGGTGGGTGCAGAGTGGCAGAAGGCCCGCCCGCCAATAGTGGGGAGAGCAAAGGCGGGGGACGTAAAGCAGACCGGAAACTTCTGAGCAGAGGGAACGAACAGGATGGTAGAGGGTTAGGAGGTTGGAGAGGTAGGGGGGAGCAAGACCGTGGAGGGCTTTGAAGATGAGGACCAGGATCTTGAACTGCATCCTCTATGTGATGAGAAGCCAGTGGAATTGGGCAAGGATGGGGGTGACAGGGTCGCGGAGCCTGGTACGGGAGAGGACACGGGCTGCAGAGTTCTGGATGATCTGCAGCCTGTGGAGGGAGGAGTTGGGGAGGCCGACAAGCGATAAGAACTGTCCATTCAGCACATGGCTGTGTACACGCACCAGCGATATGGGCTTCGCTGACACTGCGTTATAACTGAATTCACACAATTCCATGGATCGAGGTTTCGGGGGCAGGAGGAGAAGCTGTTGGCAGATAATGAAGTGGAAATATTGGGAATAGGTAAGAATGAAACCAGATGAAGGTAGAACAATAAGGGTGGTGCTGAGCAGAAAGGCGGTGGAATTGAATAGAATGGTTGAAGGCGGTAGAAAGGTCAAGAAGGACAGGAGGTAGAGTCAGCCCTGGTCACAGATAGAGAAAATGTCATTTGTGACTTTGACCAGGGTAGTTTCCATACTGTGAGCAGTGTGGAGCTGGATTGGAGGCGTTCATACAGTGAATGAAGGAGAGGAAAGAGCAAAGATGGGAAGCAATCACTCATTCCAATACCTTGGAGAAGAAAAGGAGGTTGGAGATGGGGCGGTAGTTGGGGAACAGGGATTGGTCGAGAGAAGGCTTTTGAGGATGGGGGTGATTGATGACAGCTGTTTTGAAGGGGACAGAAACTGTACCGGTGGACAAAGAGAGGTTGGCGGTCTGTTAGTGAGGGGCAAGGTGGTGGAGCTGGTGGTCAGGAGAGGGGTTGGGATGAAATCGAGTCAGGCTGACACTGTTCTTCGAAACACAAAGCATCCATTAAACATTTAACATCTGATAGTGCTTCCATCATAAAGTCCTCATCCTAGGCGACTTCAACCTGCACTTCACTCCCTCTTGCTCTATCTACACCAACTTCTCCACTCACAACCTCTCCCTCCACATCCACTCTGCCACCCACGTTCATGGCCACCTACTCGACCGTGGCCTCAGTATCTCAGACCTCACAATCACCGATAAAGCCATCTCAGATCACCATTTCATCCCCTTAACTCCTCAATCCCTCTCCCCATTGCCACCCAGCCCACCCCCATCTCCTACCCCCCCCTGGAAAAGAATTTCCCCGCACTCCCTCTCCGCTGCCCTGGAATTGTCCGAACTCCTCCCCCTCTGAACTACCTCCCGCACCCATCTATCCTCCTCGATCACTTTCCTCCACAACTCCCTCGCTACCATTCTCAATGGCCTTACACCCTCACTTCCCAAACCACCTCCTACTCACACAAGTCACCCTGGTACACCAGCCACCTGCACTCATTCAAGGGTCAGGTGCATGCCTCTGAACACACCTGGCTCAAATCTGATTTAACGGTCCACCGGCAGATCTGGCTGGACCACATAAAAACGTACTGCTCCACCCTCTCCTCTCTAAATCGTCCTTCTATTCCATGATAATCTTGGAGGCCAAGGACAACCCAAGGCTCCTCTTCTCTACTATCAACCGGCTCCTCCTTCGACCCTCTACCCTTCCCTGGACCCATCCCTGCTCACTAACTACTGCCCCATCTCCAATCTATCTTTCCTTTCCACGGTCCTTGAAAGAGTTGTTGTTGCCCAATTTCACTCCTTCTTCTGCTGCCACTTCCTTTACGAACCCCTCCAGTCAGATTTCCGTGGCTCCCACAGCACAGAAACAGCCCTGGTCAAGGTGACAAATGACATTCTGTACATTTGTGACCAGGGCTCCCTCTGTCTCCTGTTCCTCCTTGATCTCTCTCCTACCTTTGACACTGTGGACCACTCTAACCTCCTCCACTGCCTCTCTTCTCACCTCAATCTTCAATGTTCTGTCTTTGAATGGTTCAGATACTATTTCTCACACCAGCTCCACTTTGTCTCCACAAACGGCTTCTCTTTCAGCCTCCACACCGGTGTGTTCCTCAGGGCTCTATCCTCGGTCCTCTCTTCTTCAACCTGTACATGCTCCCTCTTGGTGACATCATCCGCAGACATGGGGTTAGCTTCCACATGTATGTGGATGACACCCAACTCTGTTTCTCTGCCTCCACCTTTGACTCCAGGACCACTGCTCTGATAGACTGTCTGTCAGACATCAAGTCCTGGACGAGAGCCAACTTTCCACAGTTGAATGTCAGTTAGACTGAGACTACCCTGATTGGCTCACGCCAGCGCTGCTGCACTGGCAGCATCAGCAATCCATGGATGCACACTCTACCTCACTAAGCCAGTCAGGAACCGTGGCATCTTGTTCGACCCTCAACTATCCTTTCTCCCCCACATCCATACCACGACCCGCTCTTCCTTCCCCCACCTCCGCAACATTGCCCGACTCCGTCACTGCCTCACCTCTCAGGCCGCCGAAACCCTCATACATGCCTTCATTTCATCCAGGCTTGACTATGCCAACGCCTTCCTTGTCAGCTTTCCCAACTTTTCCCTCCACAAACTGTAGATCATCCAGAACTCTGCAGCTCATGTCCGCCCCCTTACCAGGCTATGTGACCCCATCACACCCACCTTCGTCTGGCTCCACTGGGTCCCCATCCCTCAGAGGATTGAGTTCAAAATCTTTGTCCTCACCTTCAAGGCCCTCCATAGCCTTGCCCCCTCCTATCTCTCCGACTTGCTAACCCCTTATCAACCTGTCCGCCTGTTCCATGTCCCCCACTCGCCCCGCCCCACAATCGGCGGTCAGGCCTTCAGCCTCTCTGCCCCCACCCTCTGGAACTCCATCCCATATTCCCTTCACCTCACTCCCTTCCTCACCTCCTTCAAGGCACACCTCAAGATCCTCCCCTTTGACTGTGCCTTATCCTACCCTCCACCCTCCCTGATCCCAACCCTCCGCCCCCACCCCGGGTCCTAATTCCTGAATGTTCTCCTGACGCTTTACAAATGTAATGTTGTACATAAGGGATGCTCTTCATTTGAATTACCTGGATAAATAAGATCTCCAAACTTTCTGGATTTCAGCTGCTGCTACTGCCTTTCTCTCTTCTTCATTCTTACCAATAAGTTTCTGTGAAAATGAAAAGCAACATTCAGCTATTATATTTAGCAACAAACGGGTCAACTGGCATTTTCCAACAAAATGCTTTCCAATCCAGCTAGACATTAAAGAGCCTATGACACTATTTGAAAAGAGAAGGGAGTTTCTCCCCCTGTGCTGGTCAACAATCCCCAAATAAAATTGGTCAAATTGTATAGAAGGATACGAGAAATAAGGGGGGAAATGACACTCATTCATTACACGTTACAGTACATCCTGTGAAGCACTTTGAGAAGTCCTCCAATGTGAAAAGCACTATAGGAAATGTAAGGATTATTAATGTTATTAATATCACCAGCAGACACAATGTGCTGAATGTCCTCCTTTTGTGCTATAAACCTCCTATGCTTCAATCATTCAAGTACCTCTAGTTGTTTTATTTTATTCCAGTTGGTTTATTTTAGCTAACATTATCAAGTAATAACACTGTGGCATGAACAGTTGCAATCTCTATGAAGCCACTAAAAAATGTTATCATTAAGTAGAAACCACACAGTCTTTCCTGTGTGGATGAAATATTCAGATAAAGTCCAGAACGAATCTAACGAAACACTATTTCAGTGAGTGAACAGTAAACCTGTGGAACAGGCCCCCTAGGAAGATAGTTGAAGCAGGAAATGTTAATTCCTTCTAACACAGATTAGATAGTTTTCTTTTAGAAAATAACATTATGGGATATAGTACATAGGTAGTTCAGGACATATGTGTATGCGACCACCAGGAAGGTGGAAGGCAAACTAGATAGACCTTGGTCTTTTGTCCGTCTAGCATTTCTTATGTTCTAATAACAAAAAATGAATTGAATATTATGAGTAAAAATTCTACCTGGGTCTAGATGTGCTCTAATTATATGGCATTTCAGTGTCCAGAATTTGGCAATTTTTTTATTCAATTCTAACTTTGAAACTTTTTTTCTGTAATTCTCTACAGAAGTTACAGGAAACGGGCTTCAAAAATTAATGCTGTATTTAAGAATATGCCAACTTCCGGATGCTCTGAAAGGCTTCACAGAGACCCGGGTGGAATTTGTACTCAGTAGTCATTTACAAAATACAAACAAGGAACTCAATTACCCTTTGGAATACATTCCGTGAATATCCTTCATCCCTATCTTCTGATAGATGTAATGTATCTGTAAGAAATTTAAGATAAATATTGTTAAGATATTAAATACGTTTTTCAGAAAAATTCTGTCTCTTATACAGTATTTGTGCTAATAATACTGGTGCTACTTCAGCATTAAACGCTTTTTTATTGTTTTAATACAGATTTGTTATAAAGTATTAACATTTATTATAAATCCACCTGCAAATGCATGTCCCAAATATTTTCTTTATACAATCAGTAACCATTAGACCAGTTATATGCAATTTAATAATAATAATAATCCTTGCATTTGACATAGCGCTTTTCACGTCGGGAGGACATCCCAAAGTGCTTCACAGAACACACTGCAAAGTGAATTGACTGTATATTTGTGGGCGAACGCGGCAGCCAATTGCGCACAGCAATGTCCCACAAACAGTCGTAGATTGAAAATGACCAATTTATTATTGTTTTGTTTTGGAGGGATTATTATTAGGCTCTGTGTGGAGTAAGGAAACTTGCCCAAGGTTTCGCCCTCTGCCTGGAATTGAACTCAGGTCTCTCACTTGCAAAGCGGGTGCTCTAACCACTGAGCTACAGGACTCCAGATTTGTGTGTCTTCTTTGAGTCAATGTATATCACAGATGTCAACAGTGTTAAAATAAGTTGCTAATGAAACTTCTGACCATTACTTCACCCATCACTAAAATATAATATAATAATTGTATGTTTAACATACTAAGTTTTTTGCTGAGTAAAATTTTTCCAAAATGTGTTTTTGATTTTTGTCTAGGATTGCCACATTTTTGTGAAAACTAAGGCAATGTTCAGTCATTCATTGCCCATGCAAGAGTTTGCGATTCCTAAATGATGGGCCATTCACAGCGGCAAGTTGCACTCCTAGATTCAGCATATACCTAGTGAGATAGTGATAAACAGTATCTGGATGATCTGGCCAAATCATGGTTATAAACAAGAGAGGTGCCAATAGCAACAGCTCATATCACTAACATAAAGGTGTTTTGCAATCTGCTTTATTTATTAAACAAATCTGTTTGTACAATCTTTTTTCAATTTTCAAATGACCCCACCTACCTGGAAGATCTCCAATGCTTCCCAATTGCTCTGATAGGCTGTTTCTTTGCATTCTGATGACTCCTCAATGTAGGGAACCCTCAGTTCTAGTGAAAATCTATAAAAGTTTCAAAAATTACAACAACATGAATTGGTGAGGCTCAAGAAGATAACAAAAAAGTGCAGTAACAGAATTTAATGAATGAACTCCTGACCAATGCTCAATGGGATTCTCTGTTGCAAGACTGTGCCAAATCACATCAGTCATTCAGGAGAAATCCTTTAACACTTCACACAACAAGTTACTTTAAAGAATGGCGATTATTGTGTAGGCAAACAATACATCTATGGTGTGCCACTAACATCCCACCAACTGCAGTGGAATGAATGACCAATATTTTCATGAAATAGGAAGGAATTAGGAAGGCCTCGACACAAATAGTGCTTTCTTTTAAACAATGACGCATGATTTTTAATGTCCACTTGAAGGGACCTCAGATCACCATTTCACCAAAAGGATGGCATCTCCAACAATAGAGCATTACCATCAGTTCAACAATAGAGTGTCAATCCAGGTTATAAACTCAAATCTTCCTGGATTCAAAGCCACCTTTCAATACACAAGCGAGAATGTTAGCAGATGAGCCAAACTGTGGCACGAGCTTGTTTCCCTCAAAAGTAGAATGGGTCAAAATTCTTAGTTGCTCGATTGTGTAAGCAACCAGAGCACAAGCAATAGATTAAAACATTGTCATAGGTTGTCTGTTTTTATAATGGGACAATTTTCACTTTGACATTGAATCTCCTAAAAGTCATTTTTTAGACCAGTGCAGGCTGCACTGTTGCATGTTTTAGAAGCATTGTATAGTTCCCAACCTACGTTACTAAACTTGAACTATATACATTTCCTATGGGCTACTAATTTTGATGTGTTGGTTATTCTGAATGGTAAAGCGCATTGTCTCGGTTGACAGTCCAGTGCAGTACTGCGGGAAAGCTCTGCTGCATTGTCGGAAATGCCTTATTTCAGATGAGATGTTGAATCAAAGTCTTAACTGTCTGTTCAAATGGATGTTTACGATCCCAATACACTGTTCAAAAAGAGAAGGGAGTTTCTCCAAGTATCCTGCCATGAAATCCTCCAGATAAAATTGGATATTCACTTGAAGGCTGTGTCTGTGGGATACTGCTGTGCTCAAATTGGTTGCCGCATTTGCCTGCAAAATCCAGTCACTGCACTTTACAGTAAATTCTGTGAAATGCTTTGAGTCATCCTCCTCTTGTGAAAGGCTCTATAATAAAATAATAATCCTTGAATTTTATATAGCGCCTTATCACGTCTTTGAGACGTCTCAAAGCACTTCACAGAATATAATGTAAAGTGAATTGACTGTATATTTTGTGGCCGAAATGCGGCAGCCAATTACGCACAGCAGCGTCCCACAAACAGATGTGGATTGAAGGAAGGAATTGGAAGGAATTATTACCCTCAGAAAAGCGATCCGCCAGTTGACGAACAACTGGGTTCCTACTTACTGCTGGGTAAACGGAGGTGTGTGGAGTAAGGGAACTTGCCCAACATTTCGCCCTGCCGGCAATCAAACCCAGGTCTCTCTCTTCCGGGGTGAGTGCTCCAACTACTGAGCCACAGGACTCCACGCCATATCTAATTCAATGGCTTGTTTTTATTGCTAAGTAAATAGAGTGAATCTAGAACCTGAGCGGAACTTCTAACCATATATCAATTATTATTATGATTAATGATTATCAAATCTGCATCAACTATAATTTTTATTCTAATAAAAATAACTTGAATCTACTCCATAGACAGAACCATGCTGATGTATTTCAAGTAGTCAACTGCAATAACCATTGCTCTAACAGAGATGAGCTCTATCAGCTCAGGGCTCAAACATTTTTCAAGACGTTCTATTAAATATAAAGAGATGCAATTACTTCTGCAGGCCTTTGTATTTGGTTCAAGCATCCAAAAAGAAAATTGACGTTCCTGATTCAACAGGGTGTTGACAGATAATAGACCTGTCTGTCACCATGCAGGAAGGAGATAAAAATAGCCTGCGTGGACTGACACAAGCTAAATGATCTCTTTCTGTCTGATGTTCTTGGAATATAAATCATGTATCATTTTATGAAATTGTATTTGTTTCTAATCATGCAAATTATGTTCTAAATATAACACTCAAACATACTATTGTTTTTCAGGGTCCTGGATGTTAAAAAGAAATATTGCTAGTGGGTTCCTATTTTACAATTTTTTTGTATTTAGTTGTATAAAATTTCCAGCAATTTTTTTCAGGTGACAAAAGTATTGCACTGAGTATGCAAGGCAATGTTTGAATACGCATTTTGAAATACAGCAAGCATGGTTTGCTTATCTTGTAAACTATCTCTTCTGAAGGAGTTGTAGTGAGAAGAGAGTGGCAAACTTACATTAACACATTGGTCTTCAGCTAACACACGCTCTCATGTGAGCTTCCTTCCTCTTAAATCAGCTTGAGTGAATTAACTGAATAGGAAACTGATGCCATCAGCTTCCATACCAGACACTGCCTGACAAATATAGTCCTTCCATTGCCTCAGCCCTCCAATACAGAAACTGACATTTTTCTTCGATAAATTTTAAAAATTATTGAAAATATTTTGATTTGACAGTCAAAGCAGGGTTTTCAATGTTACCAGTTCTACTGCCAACCATGAAAAGATGAAAGTTACTGCTCATTTGAGGAACCGTTAAGTATTTTACAAACCCATCAAAGTATTTACAGATCATAAATAATTGTGATTTTCAGACCACATTTGCTCAAATTGATAAACTGAACTGAGCCAAGAACCCAATTTGTTTTCAAACAAATAGATAAAATAAGCAGAGGACTCCAATACAAATACAAATGTTCTCTTCTGACACAAAGCAACCAGAAGATAAATTATTAAATAATGAGAATTAAAGTTTAGTGTGTCACTTGCCCAACATCATATTCCAGACATGAAACAAAAGGCTATCCTTCAGCAATGCCCCCCCACCCACACACACTGACCTGCCCTTACTCTGTCCCCTCCCCATATGTGTATGTCCTTGGTCAGAGTGCAAACCCTTTTCTTATCAAGTTGCTGTATGCTCTTTAGCTTGGGTGCCCTTAGACCGCACACCAAATAAATCTGAGAGGATTTAGGGACAGCTTGCTTATTAAAGGCAAGCATCACTCTGGACCTGCGGTTAGATGTGCACGATTTATTGAGAGATACATTCAACTCTGGGGTAGCTGCTCACCTCCATCTGGTGCTTAATTGCTTTCCCATAGTGATATATCATGGAAGGGTGGGTAAAATAAGCATGAAATAGGGAACACAGCAATGTAGGCACGTTGATTTCCTGTCCATTGCACAGCACACTGATGGCCCAGCTGTAGGCTATGTCATCACATTACCCGAGCATATGGTTGTGACTGATTTACTTCCAAAAGTACCAGTCACAATGGAGGTCACGACTCTGGTTTAGCCAGACTGGGGACTTTGTTCTGTCTCTAATTTTGCAGCTTTTGCTGCAGTTGTATAGATTTCCCAACTCTTCCCACCACAAGCTGCAGGTCATCCAGAACTCTACAGCTCGTGACCCCTCCCGCACTAGGGAGAGGACACGAGTGACCCCATCACCCCTACCCTTGCCTGACTCCACTGGCTCCCCATCCCTCAGAGGATAGAGTTCAAAATCCTTGTCCTCACCTTCATGGCCCTCCACGGCCTTGCCCCTCCCTACCTCTGCGACCTGCTGACCCCATATCAACTTGTCCGCTCCCTCCGCTCAGCAGGCTCTGGCCTGCGCCACGTACCCCACCCGGCCCGCCCCGGCCCGGCCCGCCACCGGGCATAGCTTGCATGAGAGGGGACGAGTACGCAGGCGGGTCCAGAATAAAGGGGCAAGTGGCTGGACACACTGTGGGTGATGGATGCTGTCTGAGCCTGGTGTGCGGTTAGAGATAGGAAAAGACAGGTCACAGAGGAGAGAGCTCTGCAACTGCCCTCAGTGCTGTGGGTCTTCAATCACTCTCCCACATCCACCACAGTTACCAACACTGACCCGCCCTGACCCCCCCCCACACACACACAGTTACCAGCACTGACCCGCCCTGACCCCCCCCCCACACACACAGTTACCAGCACTGACCCGCCCTGACCCCCCCCCCCACACACACAGTTACCAGCACTGACCCGCCCTGACCCCCCCCCCCACACACACACAGTTACCAGCACTGACCCGCCCTGACCCCCACACACACAGTTTCCAGCACTGATCCACCCTGACCCACACACACAGTTCCAGCACTGATCCACCCTGACCCCCCCCCCCCACACACACACACACAGTTACCAGCACTGACCCGCCCTGACCCCCACACACACAGTTACCAGCACTGACCCGCCCTGACCCCCCCCCACACACACAGTTACCAGCACTGACCCGCCCTGACCCCCCCTCACACAGTCACTGCCCTGCCCCCCGCCCCCCTGCCCCCCTGTACCTGAGCTCGGGGCCTCTCGGGCCTCTCTCCCCTCCTCCGGTTGCTCGGGTTCCGCGTCCCTGTTGCCATGGTCACCATTCACAGCGCGGGCTCACCGCGCCTGCGCCGCCCTGTCACAGCAACAGCAGTGTGTCAGGGGAGAGGGCTGTGTGTCGGGGGAGAGGGCAGTGTGTCAGGGGAGAGGGCAGTGTGTCAGGGGAGAGGGCAGTGTGTCAGGGGAGAGGGCAGTGTGTCAGGGGGAGAGGGCAGTGTGTCAGGGGAGAGGGCAGTGTGTCAGGGGGAGAGGCGTGTGTCAGGGGGAGAGGGGTGGGGGAGAGGGCAGTGTGTCAGGGGAGAGGGCAGTGTGTCGGGGGAGAGGGCAGTGTGTCGGGGGAGAGGGCAGTGTGTCGGGGGAGAGGGCAGTGTGTCAGGGGAGAGGGCAGTGTGTCGGGGAGAGGGCAGTGTGTCGGGGGGAGAGGCAGTGTGTCAGGGGAGAGGGCAGTGTGTCAGGGGAGAGGGCAGTGTGTCGGGGGAGGGCAGTGGGGAGAGGGCAGTGTGTCGGGGGAGAGGGCAGTGTGTCAGGGGGAGAGGGCAGTGTGTCAGGGGAGAGGGCAGTGTGTCGGGGGAGAGGGCAGTGTGTCGGGGGAGAGGGCAGTGTGTCGGGGGAGAGGGCAGTGTGTCAGGGGGAGAGGGCAGGCTGGTGTCAGGGGAGAGGGCTGAGTGTCGGGGGGAGAGGGCAGTGTGTCAGGGGAGAGGGCAGTGTGTCAGGGGGAGAGGGCTGTGTGTCAGGGGAGAGGGCAGTGTGTCAGGGGAGAGGGCAGTGTGTCGGGGGAGAGGGCAGTGTGTCAGGGGAGAGGGCAGTGTGTCAGGGGGAGAGGGCAGTATGTCAGGGGGAGAGGGCAGTGTGTCAGGGGAGAGGGCAGTGTGTCAGGGGAGAGGGCAGTGTGTCAGGGGAGAGGGCTGTGTGTCAGGGGAGAGGGCTGTGTGTCAGGGGAGAGGGCAGTGTGTCAGGGGAGAGGGCAGTGTGTCAGGGGAGAGGGCAGTGTGTCAGGGGAGAGGGCAGGTGTGTCAGGGGAGAGGGCAGTGTGTCAGGGGAGAGGGCAGTGTGTCGGGGGAGAGGGCAGTGTGTCAGGGGAGAGGGCAGTGTGTCAGGGGAGAGGGCAGTGTGTCAGGGGAGAGGGCGTGTGTCAGGGGAGAGGGCAGTGTGTCGGGGAGAGGGCTGTGTGTCAGGGGAGAGGGCAGTGTGTCAGGGGAGAGGGCTGTGTGTCAGGGGAGAGGGCAGTGTGTCAGGGAGAGGGCAGTGTGTCAGGGGAGAGGGCAGTGTGTCAGGGGAGAGGGCAGTGTGTCAGGGGAGAGGGCAGTGTGTCAGGGGAGAGGGCAGTGTGTCAGGGGAGAGGGCTGTGTGTCAGGGGAGAGGGCTGTGTGTCAGGGGAGAGGGCAGTGTGTCAGGGGAGAGGGCAGTGTGTCAGGGGAGAGGGCAGTGTGTCAGGGGAGAGGGCAGTGTGTCAGGGGAGAGGGCAGTGTGTCAGGGGAGAGGGCAGTGTGTCAGGGGAGAGGGCAGTGTGTCAGGGGAGAGGGCAGTGTGTCAGGGGAGAGGGCAGTGTGTCAGGGGAGAGGGCAGTGTGTCGGGGGAGGGCGGTGTCAGGGGAGAGGGCAGTGTGTCAGGGGAGAGGGCAGTGTGTCAGGGGAGAGGGCAGTGTGTCAGGGGAGAGGGCTGTGTGTCGGGGGAGAGGGCTGTGTGTCAGGGGAGAGGAGAATGTTTGCAAATGGGAGGATGTCAGGAATGTGGGGGCAAAGTCAGCACTGCGGGGAAAGGGCAATGTGTGCAGCTGGAGGGGAAAATACTTGTGTGGAGTCCTGTAGCTCAGTGGTTAGAGCACTCGCTTTGCAAGTGAGAGACCTGAGTTAAATTCCAGGCAGAGGGCGAAACCTTGGGCAAGTTTCCTTACTCCACACAGAGCCTAATAATAATCCCTCCAAAAAACCAAAAACAATAATTAAAATGGTCATTTTCAATCTACGACTGTTTGTGGGACATTGCTGTGCGCAATTGGCTGCCGCGTTCGCCCACAAATATACAGTCAATTCACTTTACAGTGTGTTCTGTGAAGCGCTTTGGGACGTCCTCCTGACGTGAAAAGCGCTATATCAAATGCAAGGATTATTATTATTATTATTATTATTGTGCAATCCAGGAACACGATTCCCTCTGACCTCTGACCAGGGCCGCTGGGGTTTGCAATTCTGAATGATTCACCATCACAGGTGATGGAGAGGCTTTGAAAGCAGAGTGGAAGCAAACCAGAGGTATTCATCTCATGAAAACAAAAACAGAAGTCGCTGGGAACACTCAGCAGGTCGGCAGCATCTACGGAGAAAGAAAATTGAGTCAACATTTCGGGTCCGCGACCCTTCGTCAGAAGCTGGAGCTGGAGCTCGTGGATGGGGTTTTCAGATTTCCAGCATCAGCAGTATTTTGCGTTCTCACTTTCCTTTCTCCTCAGATGCCGCCTGACCTGCTGAGTGTTCCCAGCGACATCTGTTTTTGTTTTCAGATTTCCAGCATCTGCAGTATTTTGTGTTTTGATTCATCTCATGGCTGATTGTGCTTTTACTGTTTGTGGGACATTGCTGTGCGCAATTGTGGGGCCGGGTTTGTCTGCAAATACACAGTCACTCCATTTCGCAGCAATTCCTATGAAGCGCTTTGAGACGTCGTTCCGACATGATAAGGCACTATAACAAATGCAAGGATTATTATTATTATTCACCAAAGTTCTCCAGAGGCAATAGTGGAGTCTGGCGACAGTAATCTTTAATTTTTGCATTTGATATAGCGCTTTTCACGTCGGGAGGACGTCCCAAAGCGCTTCACAGAACACACTGTAAAGTGAATTGACTATATTTGTAGGCGTACGCGGCAGCCAATTGCGCACAGCAGTGTCCCACAAACAGTCGTAGATTGAAAATGACCAATTTATTATTGTTTTTTTTGGTTTTGGAGGGATTATTATTAGGCGTGTGGAGTAAGGAAACTTGCCCAAGGTTTCGCCCTGCCTGGAATTGAACTCAGGTCTCTCACTTGCAAAGCGAGTGCTCTAACCACTGAGCTACAGGACTCCACAGTGAAGGTGATGGGCATTTGAAGCTTGATGCGAAGAGATGAAATTTGGATGAGCTAGAGCTCATGGATGGGGAAGGTGGTGAGGAGGAATTGGAAGATGTAATGAATGCCAGGATAAGGCTAGCGATTGCCCTGGACATCAGTTAAAGACAGAGGCAGGGGGTGGGCCAAAGATGAAGAAAAGCGGTGTTGATTAGGGGACTGGATGTCAAGAAGGAGAGAAAGCTGAAGGTCAAACAGAACACCAAGATTGTGCACAGGCTTAGTGAGGTGGAGAGGGCACCAGGGTGGTTCAAGTCTTCAGAGTTAGAAGAAAGGAGGTGATGGTGGGAGCTGAGGTGGGTGGCTTCCATTTTGTTTATTTTGAACTGAAGGAAGTTGAGGCTCATTGAGGACTTCAAATCTGACAAACAAGTGGTTAGAACATAGAATCATACCGCACAGAAGGTCCATCGTGTCTGTGTTGGCTCTTTGAAAAGAGCTATTCAATTCAATCCCGCTCCCCTGCTCTCTCCCCATAGCCCTGCAAACGTGTTCTCCCTAAATAATCATCTACTTCTGTTAAAGGTTGTTATGGAATCAGCTTCCACCAGCCTTTCAGGTAATGCATTCCAGATCTGAACAACTCGCTGTGTGAAAACGTTCTCCTCACCTCCCCTTTGTTTCTTTTAACAACTATTTTAAATTGGTGTCCTGACCCACCTGCCAGTGGAATAGTTTCTCCTTGTTCACCCTATCAAATCCCTCCATAATTTGAAAACTTCTAAGTCTCCTCTTAACCTTCTCTGCTCCAAGGAGAATAATCCTAACTTCTCTAGCGTCGCCTGATAACTGAGTTCCCTCATTGCTGGTACCATTCTGGTAAATCTCCTTTGCACCCTCATCAATGCCTTGACATCTTTCCTAAAGTGTGGTACTCAGAACTGAACACAATTCTCCAGCTGAGGCCTAACCCATGTTTTATCATAACTTCCTGACTTTTGTACTCTATGCTCCTATTTATAAATCCTAGTATCCTGTATGTATTTTTTTTAACATTAGTGGATCTAGAATCAAGGGTGGAAACAGAGAGGTAGATTTGGGTCTTATCAGCATTCATGTGGAAATTGTAAATGAGGAAACGATAAATCTGCAGTGGCAGCCAAAGTTACCAAAATAGTTCCTTGCAATTACAGTTTAGTTCGTTGGAAATAATTACAGCAGTAATGAAGCAGTAAAAATAAAATTGGGTAAGTAAGAAAGGGCAATTATTGTTAGAAGCTATTGTAGCTTATCCATCAGGGGAGAGGCAATGTGTGTTGAGGCCTAACCCATGTTTTATAGGTTCATCATAACTTCCTGACTTTTGTATTCTACGCCCCTATTTTATAAAGCCTAGTATTCCGTATGCTTTTTTTTTAACATAAGTGGATCTAGAATCAAGGATGAAAACAGAGAGGTAGATTTGGAAATTGTAAATGAGGAAAAGTTGAGGTTCTGAGGATAGATGTAACTGCGTGGGACAGGAGGAGAATCCACTGGACAAGTGAAGGTGATGGGCAGCTAGGATTTGAAACAGGAAAGTTCAGACCAACAGAAAGGGATGATAATTCACTTTACAGTATATTCTGTGAAGCGCTTTGAAATATCTCAAAGACGTGAAAAGGCACTATATCAAATGCAAGGATTATTATTATATCCGGTCTTTGATTAAGACTGCGTTTCTCCACCTCCAGAACATTTCCTTTATCTGTCCTCACTGCCCTTCCTCCAATGTCAAAATAATCATTTAGACCTTTGTCAGCTAGAATTGTCTAATGTACTTCTTCTCTCCAGCTCTACCCTCCAAAAATGCCAGGTCAACCAGAACTCTGCAGCCCATATTCTTTCCTACACTAAGCTCCATATGTCCATCACTTATCCCTTGTCAGACTCCAGGGCTTTGTCTTCAAATCTCTTAATGTCCTTGCTCCACTTATCTCTTAAACCTCCTCCAGTCTCACTCCCTTCTCTCTACAAACTTGGGTTTCTTGCACAAGCCTTGGTCCTTCCAACACACCATCAGCCGTTGCGTTTTTAGCCACAATTGTCGTGTGTTCTGGTGCTCCCTTCTAAAAAAACATTGCTTTCCCTTACCCTCTCCGTGTTTTCAAACCCTTTTCTATGTGAAAACCACTTGTTGAGAAAGGTCAATCCTGAAAATCATGTTCATAGTTAGTATTTTCAGATATATCGATGTATTAAACTGAATGTATGTATACCTTCATGGGGTGGGGGGGGGGAAGGCAAGAAACTGTTAGGAGACACTAGAAACTACTCGTTTATGTCAAGAATTTGGTGCATAAGCTGTTACTTTTGGAACAAATTCCAGTTTCATGCATGTTTAAGTTTCTTCATCTTTTCTGTTATTGAGAAACAGGCTCCCTCCTCCAGGAATTGGCATGTTAGATCCTAACTAGCTGCACCGAAGACAAGAGACAACATCCAGGCTCCAGAAATAAGAAAATGATTACCCAAATCAATTTAAATGATCCGACTTCCTGCATTATCCAAGCTCTATTCACAATTTATACGTGATTCAGCTTGAATATCTGAAGCTGCTAATACTTGGAATTCTGTCCTACTAATTGGCTAGGTGGAAATTTTAATTTTTGAAGTTGCAACTAGCCAAAGTTTCACCAATTCCCAAGAAGGTCTCCACAGGCTAGTAATTCCCGGCTTGTTGGGTCAGGCTGTGCTATCAGCTTCACTTTCACCTCGATAAACTTGGCAGCCAAAACATCCAGTGGCTTTGCTGCAGCCTTTACTTAGGTATAAGGCTCCATTGACTCCCTTCAGCTTGACTTCTAAGTCCTCACACTCACCTATAAATCCCTTCACTCCTCAGCACTTCCCTATTTGTGATCTCGTAAACCACTCTGCTCACTCCCTTCACTTGGCTAAATCAGCGTTAATGTGCATCTCCCGCACCCTCAGCTAATATGCCCCAACCTCTGGAACTTCCACCCTCTATCGGTCTTTAAATCCCACTTGAAAACCTACCTCTTTGACCAAACTTAGTTTCACCTCCCTTCTCCCTTGCTCAGTGACAACCCCAGTCATTGAAAAGCACCATGACACATTGCCATCCTATGGCAAGGCTTCTAGATAAATGCAAGTTGTTGATGTAAAGTAAGGTTTAATGCATCACAAACAGTGTATAAAAGCCATATAAATACAAAATACAAATATTTCTTAATAAATACATTTACTGGTAAACATTTTCTTGAAGGTATTACATTTCATACCGATGGGAGTGGTTGAACATTTTTCAAAAACTAAAATCTAAATTTATATTACCAAGGCTTCCTCAGTAGCTTAATGAACAAAGGCACTATGTAGCACGTAGGGCTTAACTTATAGAACAGAAAGTTCAACCTAAAATCAATATTGTCATTTAGTAGCAGAGAAGGCAGGGCAGCAAACGGAGTTCCTAACAGTGGACATTCATTCCCACTGAGCTAGTGAAAAGAAAATTACCTAGGTTTCCCACTATTTTTGTTTTGGTCAGCCGGGTGTCTAACACATGCAGAAACCCATAACGTTGCTGAAGAGTATCCAAACCAAACTGAGAATTCCACGCATCCCACTTACACATGGGAATTCCAGCGACAGATTGTTGGAATGGAATGTGCACTCTCTCCCTGGAGGGACGTATCCTACTTACCTAATTGTGGAAAATATTAGGCGCAGTTCACTACCTTATTGCTGAGCAGTGACCCCTGCTCCAAAGTGTACATTGTGCTGACAGAGCGGGAACAGGATCACACACCTGCTACTGCACAATTCAGTCTATGGTTCTTCATTAGCAGTACCCCATCAACTTCACTGGATGCCCGTTCTCAGAGCAAAAAAAAATCTCGTCTTATACTTTGTTATTGATTTGAGCTGAAAACTGCTCAATATGTAGAATAGCTGGCTGGCTGCCATAAATAACACCATGTAGTGGTTCCCTTTAAAAAGCAGAAAGCCATAGTTGAGACGAGGAGATCAAATCAAATTACAAAAACACCCAAAAAGACAAATTGACAAACGTATCATAATGAAAGCAGCATTTCTGGGTCCAAGACAGTGACGGATTAAAAAAAGTGACCTTCCTCAGCCTCTAAAGACTGAAAGTTGGACTACCATCATCATGACATTTTTATGAATTAAAGAGTTGGAGATGGTGCACTTATGTAAAATCGCATTGCCATGGTGTGCAGCCTGGTACCATACATGACTTTGTTCACTGTTACCCAGTCAAGCAAACAACAAATCATGTTCAAAATCTTTTTTTTGAACTACAAAATCATTCTACACCTATGACTCAGATAATCTTGTTGGAGCAGATGAGTACCGTACATAAACCTCTAATCTTGTTGAAAGCTATGATTTTTCACTGCAGATTCCTGCTATTTAACAAGAGTTTTACGAGAAGAAAATAACTACTAATGATTGAGTTCAGTCAAGTAGAACACTTATTTTTTAGGATTGATTTAAGAAATATTTAAACACTGAAATTTTAAAAAATATAGGTTTGTCATCTTTAAATATCACATATATTTGTCATCTCTAACTGATTTCATTCCTAGCATTACCTCCACTAGAAGATTACATGCAACACAGCTAACAAATAGAAACCATCTAAAAACAAGTTCAAATTGCATATTATACCACTGAAGATTATATTTTAAGTAAAGTAAGCCTAACTTCTAAATAGGAGAAACATTCACATGAATCCTTCCAGCACTATATGCTTCAGACGTAACAGATTTTTATAACTACACACCTGTATATTAAAAAAAATTGGTCAAGTGGAAGATGTGACACAAAAGCACCAATAGTCATATATGTGGTGGACTGTAATTACTGAAAATTAAAGTCCTTGTTCACAATTGGGAACAGTTCTAGTGCTTCCTGCCAAACATTTAATAAACTGAAAGAGAAACAGATTTTTCAAGTAGAATAAGCAATGAGTCCAAAAAACCCACAGAAGGATCCATGTGGATTGTGTTAAAGTTCATCCCTTATATTGGCCGTTCTCTCGCAGTCACAAATAGATTCATGATCAGTTGGCTGAGGCACATGTTCCATTCCCTCATAAATTTCTGGCTTTCTGGTCTGTCGTTTAGCGTATTCCTAAAACATTCAAAATGTTTTCAATTAAGACATGCTGCTAGTGTTATATTGCATATTTTCAGTTCAGCAAATGCTACAGAAAAATCTACTGAAACCTGATGGACAATTACAATAGAGAACATTAACATCGGTGGTCGGGCTTTCAGCCACTACGCCCTGAAACTCTGAATCAGTCTTCCTTTATCTCTCAACAAACATTTCCAGACACACCTCATGCCCAGTGTGAGCCACTTCCAGTCAGAGGGGGATTGGTTACTAAGCAGAGTACAAATCTACCTATAGTGTTTGATATGCTGTGTTTTGACTCACCTTTTAGGTGAATGCAGTTTGTAGTAAATAACATTAATCATTTGAAAAAGCTTAGTGACATCTGCAATCATTGTAATCAGTCAATTGTTTCAGAGGAGAAGCTGAACGTTTAACATTTCATAAAGAACAAAAACAATCATATTGCTCAATCACAAAATGACAAATTTAATTAGAAATTCTCGAGTTTCTATGCTTCCATACAGTAAATGAGTAGAAGGGTGACAGATGTTCAATAACGTTAATGAGATCCAGAGAAATTCAGACTTCTTAGAAGAGTATTTTATTCTTTATTCCTCCCATCAGCTCTTGAAGAATTCGATTTTTTTTGAGCAAAACAATCAAGGAAATAAAGGTTCAGTTTATCCAAATAATTGTGTCCGCTACAGCATAAATTTAAACAACCTTTCCTTGGAACTTTACAGCCCAATTAAAAGCTATAAAATAATAATTACTTGTCTTGTGTAATGTGATCCTCTTGCAATGACAGGCTTCTTGGTAATCAGAAACCACATAATGCTATCTCCCCATTATATCACAACATTTAGTAAATAAGTGACTTTATTAACTTTGGTTTACTGTGCCAGTTCTTAGTATTCTGAGTCAGAAGGCTGTGGGTTTAAGTTCTAGGTCAGGACTTTGAACTCCCACAGTTTAAGCTGACATTTCAATGCAATGCTGAGAGTACACTGCATTGTTGGAGGTGCCATCCTACATGAAATTTTAAACAGATGTAATGTCTGCCTGTTTAGGTGAACTTTTAAGATCTCAAGGCAGTTCTGCACACAAATCTTATTGATCAAGATATAATCTAACGAGTGAAAAATAGTCTTACAAACCTGCAAAAATAGATAATAATAACAATAAAGCCTAGAGGGCTGTAGGAGCTCCCTGGCAAGAGCTTGTCCTGCTCTGGCAATTTTCTGAGCTTCAGCATCATTATCCTGGGGGAATAAAAAAAATTAGGTTCCAGCAAGATAATAATCCTTGCATTTGATATAGCACCTTATCATGTCTTCAAGACGTCTCAAAGCGCTTCACAGAATATAATGTAAAGTGAATTGACTGTATATTTGTGGACAAAACATGACAGCCAATTGCGCACAGCAGTGTCCCACAAACCGTCGTGGATTGAGTGACCCAATTATCATTTTTTTTTGAAGAAATTATTACCCTCTTCACAACTTGCATTTAAAAAAGAACTTTCTCTAAGCTATCAAATATTGCAATCATACTTTGGAAGAGAAATCTGATCTCTCTTCAACTAAAGCTGCTATTTTACTCAGTTAATTCATATTTTTGCTAGTAAGATACTTGCTTCTTCCTGCAAAATTATCAGAATTTATGTCAAATCATGAAAAATAAAGCTTTACAAAAAAGGGTTGGACTATTCCCATGTTTAACATTCAAGAGAAACTCATTGCTAGGTTCCAAGGCACATCTCTACCTTATTTTGAGCTGCACGGATTGATGCTAATTCATTTCTCTTGCAGGACACAGAGATTATTGGGTCCATTATAAACTTCCATACGTGAAATCAATAAGACATTCTGATCAAATAATTATTAAGATATCTTGCTGGGGGGATAAATTAGCTCTACAGAGCTGTGTTACATATAAAAGAAAAAGGGCACGCTGCACTGAAGAGATTGTGGTCACAGTTCCATGAACAGATGTTTAATTTAAAATCATGCAAACAGAATTTTAGATCAAATCTTGAGTTATTTTTGATTTGCTTTGAGGGAATTTCATTAGAACTTAACGTTTTTGTTTCTCTCTTGGGTAATTTGACTCATTTTTCCTCCAATTGGGGCTCATTCCTTTAGATAAACATCAGATAAACTCCAGCAACTTCACCAAGTGGCCATTACTTATAGTGGTTTCTAACTCTGAGAATTAGATTTGGGATTTATTTGTTCTACTGTTACATTTATTCATAAACTTTAGTTTTCTCCAGTGTGTTATCATAACATTCCAATATAACTTATTAACTTCAATACAATGAGAGTTGTTTAGATCTGGACCTCATTACCTGAAAGGGGGTGGAAGTCGATTCAATACCAACTCTCAAGAGAAGATAGATATTTGCGGAGGACAAATTTGTAGGGCTATGGGGAGAGCGCGAGGTGGTGGGATTCATTTGGATAGCTCTTTCAAAGAGTTGGCACGGACACAATGGGCCGAATGGCCTCCTTCTGTGTTGTATAATTCTATGAGTACAAATTTACATAGTGCCTTTCATGTCAGGAGGACATCCCAAGGCAATTAACAATCTTGTCTTAGTACCAATTCAAGGGGAAAAGAGGGGAGGTGCTTAATGAGCAAATCAATGGAACGGGGAGGGGGGGGGCAGAAGAGTAGGAAGGATCTGTAGGAGCATGGTGGGGGGGGGGAAGGGGCAGGAAAAAAGTTTCTATAGGAACATAGCTAACAACATCTCAGCTCACTTACCTACCTTAACCCATTTAATCCTTTCAATGAGGTCACTCAGATCCCTTTTGAATGGGATGTAGTGCTCCAATGGTTTCAGAGATCTGTAAAAGTGCTCGTAGTACTGAGAATCCTGCTTCAGCACAAGGCTATCACCCATCATAAGGTATGGGAACCTGTAAGCTGCCACTGTACCATCCACGTTAACTTGGAACTTATACTATGAGGGGTTAAGAAACACAATTCAAACATTGCAAGATTCACAGAAACAAAAAATACACTTGTGCACGACATCACCTTGTCATCCACAAACAACTTTAAAAATGTTATATTAATAAGAGCAACATCCTTAAGTTTACATTGGGTATTAGGGAATCAGTGGTGGCTGGCGAGGATGGGCTGCTGAGCACAATGTTTAATGCAGGAAACGCTACAGGCTGCAGATTCTAGATAAACTAGAGCTTGTGTGAGCTAGAAAGGCTGGTAAGGAAAGCATTGGCAAAATAAGAACTGGAGGTGAAAAAGGAACAAATTATTTCAGCTGCATTTGGAGGCAAGGTAGGGAAGGAAGCAGGCAATATTGTGAGATGGAGCAAAGGGATTGGTCAAAGATAGGATGAAGGTCTTTAAGCAGTTTTGATGCTGAACAAAATACCAACATTGCACACAGGCTCCATAAGTTGTAGTGAGCAGCGAGAGAGGTAGATTCAGTCAGAGGTGCTGGTGGGAGCCAAGCAGGATGTGCTTTGGCTTTGTTGACATTCATCTGAAGAGAGTTTAGCCTCAGCACTTCATGGCTAATGAGAATTTTGTCAAGACAGAAATGGTCCTGGAATGAAGAGCGGAGGCAGAGAAGTAGAGTTGGGAGTCATCAGTATATATATGAAGTGGACCCCATACATGCAGAGTACATCCCTCAGAGAAGCATGTAGAAAAGGGAAAGGAAAGACCAAAAATAAAGCCCTGATCAGCATCACAAGTGATTATATGGGGACTGCAAGAGATGACCGCGTGGCTAATTGAGTTTTTTTGTTTTTGTTTTTATATATTTGTTGAACTTTCTAATTTGCATCTCTATACAGCACTTTGACATATCAAAGCATTTCCAAAAGCTTCACAGATAATGACTATCAAGTCTAGTGACTGTTTATGTAAGAAAACACAGCCATTTTGCACATGCACAGCAAGTACCCACAACCAGTCACTACCAATTAATCTGGAAGACTGTTGGCCAGGACACTACACTGGGAGAAACTCTTTTACCTTTTCTAATAATGTCACGGGACCTTGAAGAACTAAACCATACCTTAAAGAAGTCAAAGAAACTAATTAGTTGAGCTTTTCCAAGATCTTTCTCTTTTTCACGAAAAAAGAAGTATGCAGTTATTCCAGCGTCCAACAGGTCTGGATTGGTTTTGGAAAGCTTCACCAAATGTAACCGCTCCTCACGGCTATCCCTGCCTCTCCAAATAGCCTGCTCGGTTTTATTGCTCCAGGCAGGTCCTTGGTTTGGGAAAAACAACAACAACAAAATTACATTTGTATAGCGCCTTTCACGTTGGGAGGACGTCCCAAGGCGCTGGACAGACAGTTACGGACCCGAGATGAGGATACAATTGGAACAACATTAGCCAAGTATTAGAAAACAGTTTGTATGCCAAGGTCAGAGTTAAAACTTGTAAATATTGTATTGCATTACTTGGCAGACACCGGTCTGCTTCATTTCCCCCGCCCTACCCTCCTCGTTGGCGGCAGGACTTTCAGCATTCAGCCTAGTCCCCGCTGTTTGGAACTCCATCCCAGGATCACTCCCTCCCTCATTTAGGATCAACCTCAAGACCAACCTGTTTGACCCCACCCACTTCAGCTCAGATGCCAAGCCAGGATTGTTAAGTGCCTTGGGACATCCCCCGACATGAAAAGCACTATATAAAGTTTTTATTGTATTAAACTACTAGGGATCAGGATTTTAAAACTGGATTCTAAAATCAAAAGGTTGCTAGTTTGAGTCACTGACAGGCATGCAATGTGCCTTCAGTGCTCAGGGGGAGTGGGGGGGGGCAGGAGGAGAAGTAGAGAGGAATAGGCTGGATCATTCCCAGTTCAAGATAATACAGCTATTCATAGTATTTACAGAATAGTTTTGCAAGCACCCAAGAGATCATTCATAGCGTAAGTTGCAGTCCACTCTCTGAAGGTAAAGGCCAGGGTTGAACCAGAAGAGAAATAGAGCAGAAAATGCCTTGAGTGCTGCATATTTGATGCAGAAGAATTTCAGTTTACAAACTGAATTTGTATTGAAGGAAAGCACTTTGGAAAAAAAGGGGCATTGTACATTTTCTGGCATTAAGTATTAAAGTACAGAATAAATCCAGATTTCACATGAAAACCACTAAAATGCTTTGCAAATTACACCGCAAACATTTTAAGTTGCAAGTTTGGAATCAGGCAAGTTTTATAATAGTTTCTCTCCAAGAAATATTGCTTTGGGGAGCGATGTTTCATTCAGCCTGGTTTTGGGTTCTACATTCACTGATGTTTCAAATATAAAAATAAAAACTTTAATTCAAATGAAGATGTGTCCAAGAACAGAATAGTAGTCGGGATATTGGAACAATGCCAACTCATTTCTGTTCCTTCCAATTATAAACACAATAAACACATTTACATTAAATGTGCATTTACTGTTTTTTATCTGGTCTTTTTAAAATAATAATTTAGTTCACAGAATCACAGAATCATACAGCACAAAAAGAGGCCATTCGGCCCATCGAGTTTGTGCCGGCTCTTTGAATAGAGCAATGTAATGTCAATCCCACTCCCCAGCCCTTTCCCTATAACCCTGCAAACCCGTCCTCCTCAAATACCCGTCCACCGCGTTTTTAAAAGTAGTTATCGAAACGGCCTTCACCACCCTTTCAGGCAGTTGAAGGACCAAGGCACATTAAGGCAGAGCTGGGCACGGCACAGATATAGCACCTTATAATAATAATCCTTGCATTTATTGTTGTTGAGGCAATTTTATTGATGTTGAGGCATCTCAAAGTGCTTCTTAGAATACATTGTAAAGTGGATTGACTGTGTTTTGTGGGAAAAATCTACAAGAGGAATGCTTATACTAGAGATAGGAAGGACAGCTTGAATGAAGGACATAAAAGGTCATATCCAAATTATTTACATATTTTCCACTAACTAATACTAAATAACCTCCTGCAGATTTATAGTATTTCTGCTTTTCTTTCAACCTTACCTGTGTGTCCTTGAATTGAAAGGAGGTCGTTTGTTACACCTCGCAGCGTTTCTAATGTAGATCGCGTTATATCGTAGGTTGGAAGGACAATATCTCTCGTGTCCTCTGAGCCACACCAGGAAATGATAGGCAAAGGGTTGTCCTTTATCTGGCGAGTTTCCAGTGGCCAATCTCCAACATTTATATAGATTTCAACATCAGGCAGATGAACCTGGAAAAAAATGAATTCAGGTAAACAAATGCGAGCAAGTTGTTACTATCTAATAGAAAGAAATTAAATTTTTATAGAGCCTTGTCACATTAAATTATCTCAAGAGTTAAAGAGCGTTTAATAATAATATAGGCAAACAAAGCAGCTATTTTGGGCACTAATAGCCATGAGATGTAAATCATTATTTTATCTGAGGAACATTGGCCAGAAAGAAACTGTTCTTCTTGAATTGTGTCATAGGATATTAACATTCCATGTGAACAGTACTCTTTATGTTGAATGTACAGGCTATTTGTCCCAACTCGTCTGTGCTGGTATTTATACTCCACTTCAGTCTCCACCCACTCCTTACTCCCTCCCTTAGCTTTCTATTCCCTTCTCCCTCATGTGAACATCTAGATTCCTATTATATGCACTCCGGGTGCTACCCCACGTAAAGGCGCTATATAAATGCAAGTCAGATTTATTTCAGATTTTCAGCATCTACAGTATTTTACGTTTTATATAAAGGCAAGTTGTTTTTGTATATGCATCTATACTTTTTGATTCAACTACCGCTTCAGGCAACAAATTTCACAATCTCACTAACCCTCTACATGAAGTAGTTCCTCCTAAATTATCTTTTGGATCCCGCAATCACTAACTTACACTCATGTCCCCTGGTTAGCAATAAACTACTAAGAAAAATATTATTGCAGTCCCCGATGATCGTTTTATAATAAAATAAGACACATACCTTTCTTGCCAAGGAAAGCAGCATTTCATCTGAAAACATTTTGAAGTCAGTGTATCTTCCCATGCTCCGTCGATGAATCTGATTGTTTAGAATAGTATAGTGAATAACACCTCGATCACCAAATCTGGTTGGTACTTGCTCCTGCAGGAGTTTGAGGTCTATCGTTGGAAAATTAGTGAAATCTCTGGAAATTTGATCTTCTTTGGTAGGACAAGACATCTTATCTTTCCATGCCTCAAAGTCCTTCTCTGGACAGTCACAGTATTCATGATAAACTGGCCCTGAAACAAACAGGAACTTGTGTGAGACACAATCACACATTAAACTAGCACTTTGAGATGTTATCCTACATGAAGGGTGCAAATAATTGCAAGTTGTTATTACTCCAAAGCATACAGTTGCACCACTTTAGAGTATGTCCTGTGAAGATGTTGGCAATGTGATAAGGCACTATATTGTTATTACTACTGTAATAACAATCTTTGCATTTAATAATAGCAGTAATAATAGTATTGTAAATGGGACACACTTTCTAACTGAGCTGAGTGGAGCTAGCTACTTTTGACATTCATATGTCAGCCTGGGGCACAGTTTGCACTGTCACCTCTGAATCAGAAAGTTGTGGGTTCAAGCTCTACATCGGAACTTGGAAATCATCTGATCTAAGATGACACTCCAATGCAGTATCGAGGCAGTATGCGGCATTGTTAGAGGTACTGTCCATCGGATAAAAAATTAAACCAAGGCTCTATCTACCTGTTCAGATAGACATTACAGATCCCATGGTGATATTCGAAAAGAGAAGGGAGTTTCTCCTGGTGTCTTAGCCAATAATACACCAAATAAAATTGGGCATTCACTCAATGGCTGTTTGTGAGATATTGCACAAATTGGCTGCTACGTGTGCTCACAAAACTTTGTCAGAAAAGATGATAAATGATCAGTTTGGAAACAATTTTCAGTTTATCAAAATTGAAGTAATTTGCCCAGACTAGTTAGAAAGATGAAACACCAGCCAACAGATTGTTAAAATGTTCAATTTTCAACACAATCACCCTAAAGATAGAGTAACCGATATCCCTCAGTGCAAAGAACAATCAGCCAATAAATACTGAAACATGGGCAAATAGCCAATGTCCCTCCCCTCTGTCTCTATTGTGAGATAGTCAATGGAGAAGTGGGAAGAAACAAAAGGAAAAATAACTCTTTCTCCAGTCAGTTCACTTCCTGCTGGCCTATTTCAGTTGTAGGCGTAATCTGTAGCCTAGCAGGAAGTCACCCACTTAACTGGAGGTGCCTATGGATTTCATCATGGAGCCCTTTAGCTCAGTGGTTAGAGCACTCGCTTTGCAAGTGAGAGACCTGGGTTTGATTCCCGGCAGGGTGAAACCTTGGGCAAGTTTCCCTACCCCACACCCCTGATAATGATCCCTCAAAAAAAGTAATAAATTGGTCATTTCAATCCACGACTGTTTGTGGGACACTGCTGTGTGCATTTGGTTGCCGCATTTCGCCCACAAATATATTGTCAATTCACTTTACAGTCTATTCTGTGAAGCACTTTGAGATGTCTTTGAAGACGTGAAAAGCGCTATATCAAATGCAAGGATTATTATTATTTATTATTATTAAAAATATACACTATATTGGAAAGAGGTAAGAACTATAATTACAAACAGAATATATTTTCAGCAGCTGCCCTCTGCAGAGATGTTTGACCTATAATCTTCCTTCCAGAGAAACTTTTACTACATAAATCTTCACAGCTCTATTTACCTAGAGGTAAGTAGAAATTAAATTTTAGTCGATTGGCGGATCGCTTTCCATGGGTAATAATGCCTTCCAAAAAAAACAAAATAATTTGGTCACTCAATCCACAATTGTTTGCGGGAAACTGCTGTGCGCAATTGGCTGCCGGTTCAATTCACTTTACAGTATATGCTGTGAAGCGCTTTGAGACGTCTCAACAAATGTTACCAAATGCAAGGATTATTATTATTATGAATGCAAACAGGGGACATATAATATAGGGGGAATGACCTATATGTTGACTTGGTCTTTTGAGGTCTGTACACCATTAATTCAATATGAGGATCTTCCAAAGAAAGTCTTGAGAAAACCAATCTAGAGGGGATGTCTTGTATCTTTACGAAACACAAACACTTTCTTAAGGCTTCAGATTATAAGCAACAGTAGTTTTGGATTTGTTTGATCTTACCTTCGAGAATGTAGGGGGACTGGGCGACATGTTGCCCTCGATGAAATATTTCAATCTTTAGCCCCTCATTGGCGCTTCCATACATTCGATACCGCATAAGGAACGTCCCATCATTTCTATCCAAAGGTGTGGGGACATACCGCCGAACATGTTCTCTGGGTGACAGGACAAGGACTGTCACACTGAAAGTACTGCTTCCTAAATGCAGAGAGTAAACACATTAAGTCTCTTATCCATTTCTCCCATTACAGAATGTTTGGGAATAAAAGTAGAAAGAATAAAGTGAAAGATCCACTTCCTTTTGGGGACATCAATTAACTGTCCCCAAAGAAAAGTGTAAAGTAATGTATAATCTTTTTTTATAGTTTAGGTAGGTTCTTTCCACTGCAATAAAGCACATTTTCACAGCAATTTTCAATTTACACAAAATAGATTTCAGGTTTAAATAACAATGAATCCAGATTTCTACCGATTTGAAAATCAGGAGCATGTAGAACAGAGAATAAGCAGCAACGTTATTTGAGGAACTGTTGCACTTTTCAGTCATTTGCTAAGTAAATTGTACCTTATATTGTGGTTGAAAATGTGGCATTCCCAACAGGATTCAAATAAAATTTGTAAATATTAAATCTGCTGGTAACTAGATACATCAATGCCAACCTACTCTGACACACATTCTCCTTCCAAAACTTCCAAATAATGCATCTTTAATCAAATTAAGCCCCATCTTCTCAACATTTCCTTTCACCATTGTGTTCCCAATGACAATTGCATTGACATTCTTCCCTGTGTCCCCCAGTGCATCCATTAGCTTTTGACTCCCCTTCCCAGAGTCTCATCACCCTGACCGGTATTCAGTACAATTTGTGAACGCCACACTCTCAGGAGATTTGTGCACTGCCCGTCCCCTCTTCCTACCATGCCAGGTGGTCATTCATCACTCTCCTGAACTCTCCGTGGCTTTGGGGTGACTCCCTCCTGAAACGTTCAATCCATGAACTCTTCAGCCTCTTGTGTGCTATGTAGTGACACCAGCCTCTCCTCGAGCTCAGAAACCTTGGGCTCATGCAGCCGGCGGCACCCTACACAAGTGTCTGTCCAGGGCACACAAAGCATCCTGGAGCTCCCGCATGGCAAACATTGTGCATGCAACCAGTCTCAGCTGCCCTGCCGTATTCCCAGTCATGTTTCATATTATTTTAATATAACTATTATATATTTTTATAATTATGCACCTCTTACCCCACTGCACCAAATTCCCACTCTCACCAAATTCCTAAACAGAATTCTCACTCCGTTCCACCTCATGCTGCTGGGCTCCCTGCTCAAGTAAGGCTCTTGCAAGCCTTCTCCTTTATATAGACCTTAAACAAAATCACCCAGTTTCAACTGGTCAGCAAATTTATTAATCCCCAACACCTGGCCTATGATTAACTGCTAACTGACTTGTTTGCCTGCTTACATATAAGGTTGCCTCTACCTCAAGAAAGATTTTCCACTCTTCTGCTGAATGAAAGAGTTAACTCTTGTTCTCTGGTATCTCTCTGGCTGAAGAATTCCCACTCTCACCAAATTCCTTAACAGAATTCTCACTCTGTTCCACCTCACTCAGTTCCCTCCTCACGTTGCTGGGCTCTCTGCTCCAAGTTTAGCTGAATGCACACCACAAGTAATTATCAAAATGTGATGTACAGTACAAGATTTAAACATTGCACCAATAATTTATATTTAGATAGTGCCTCTCATGTCAGGATGATGTTGCAAAGCGCTTCGTACAGCTGATTGGGTAAATGGGGGCGGGGAAAGAAAAACATCTTTAAAAGTGGAGCAAGAGGGATAGGTAGATGAACTCCAGGAGGTAAATACTGTAGCACAACAAAGATTTGAAGATCTAAGCAACTGGCTACAGGACTTATTTAGTCATAGGAGTTACGCAATCCTCATAATCCTTGCAGTTGATATAGCGCCTTACCATGGTCAGTCATATGGACATTAATTTCTGAGGTTCCAAATAGATCATAGACTGAGGTTTGCGTGATTTAAAACTACCCCCAAAAAAGTACACGAGCTTCACTGGAACCATCTCCAAGTTGTAAATGAAGGAGGATTATATCCCATTACTTGTGCCTCCAGCCTGGCCTCAGAGGACAGGATCTTCCGTCTTACTCAGTGCCTGGACACGTGCACTTCGTTTCGCCCACAAAATACAGTCAATCCACTTTACAGCGTATTCTGTGAAACGCTTTGAGACGCCTCAACGACGTGATGAGGCGCTCCATCAAGGCATAGTATTACTATTATTACTACGATAACGCTCTCAGGATAGCTTTAACACCGTGTCCCCGTTAAACAGCGTTTCGCCCGCAAAATAGTCACTCCACTTTACAGTCCAGACCGTGGAGCGCTTTTGAGACGTCTCGACGACTCTATGAGGGGCTCTCGGGCGCTGCATTGGGCGCTACCCCGCGTGACAGGCGCTACACAAATGCAAGGGGTTGGATATCAAAATGCAGTATTATTATTATTAATGATAATAAATAATAACACACAGGGATTGCTGAACATCAGCACAAGCCCCTCACTGACCCACCCACACCTGGACAAGAACGCTTTACAGCGGATAGAAGCTGCTCAGCCTGGCCGGGCAGGGCAGGGCAGGGCAGGGCAGGGCCAGGCAAGGCAGGGCCGAGTCGGGCAGGGCAGGGCCGGGCAGGGCAGAGCCGGGCAGGGCAGGGCCGGGCAGGGCAGGGCCGGGTAGGGCAGGGCCGGGCAGGGCCAGGCAGGGCCAGGCAAGGCAGGGCCGAGTCGGGCAGGGCAGGGCCGGGCAGGGCAGAGCCGGGCAGGGCAGGGCCGGGTAGGGCAGGGCCGGGCAGGGCAGGGCAGGGCCAGGCAAGGCAGGGCCGAGTCGGGCAGGGCAGGGCCGGGCAGGGCAGAGCCGGGCAGGGCAGGGCAGGGCAGGGCCGGGCAGGGCAGGGCCGGGCAGGGCCCAGCGGTTACCTGGGGAGTGGGTGAAGTTGTCCCCCGCGGGGCTGACGGCCTGGATGTAGAAGTACCTGACGGGCACCACCAGGTCGGCCCTGAGCCCCGGCCCCCACGCCAGGCTCCTCGCCGCGCTCACTGCCTCCCCCGCCGCTCCCTGGCACAGAGCGGCCGCCGAGCACAGAGCCCACAGCGCCGCCAGCACCGGCCGACCCCGACCCCAGCCCCGGCCCCGCATCCTCACTGTCCCCGCACAGGGAGAGGGAGAGGGCGGAGCAGCCGCTGTGGCTGTGACACAGGGAAGTCACTGAGGTGCTGAGGGTCAGTGATGGGACTGGACAGTCAGGTTGTGGTGGTGACCAATCAGATCGCTGTCGGGCAGTGACCAATCAGATGTCTGGGTTAGTGACCAATCAGATACCTGGGATGTTAACCAATCAGATCTCTGTCGGGCACTGACCAATCAGCTGCCTAAGCTGGTGACCAATCAGATGTCCGTGTTGGTGAGAATGGGATTGGAAGGTGATTGGAGAGAATCTATTGATGATAATAATAATAATAATAATAATAATAATAATAAACCTTCATTCCCTTCACTATCAAGTCAGTTGGAGTGAGAACAGCCCTGACCTCAGGTCTCTCTTCGTGAAACCCTCCAAATTCAGCTTCAGAAGAACATAGCAATGAGAATTGTGAGATGAAGGAAGACCAAGGTCCGTCCAGTTCGCCTTCGCCATCCTGGAGGTCGCATGCACATGCCATGTCTCAAACTATATACCGTATCCCAAGCTTCTGCCCAGTCCACAATACTCAGACTGCCCTGGTCAAAGTCGCAAACAACATTAATAATAATAATAATAATAATCCTTGCATTTGATATAGCGCTTTTCATGTCAGGAGGACATCCCAAAGCGCTTCACAGAACACACTGTAAAGTGAATTGACTGTATATTTGTGGGCGAACGCGGCAGCCAATTGCGCACAGCAATGTCCCACAAACAGTCGTAGATTGAAAATGACCAATTTATTATTGTTTTTGGTTTTGGAGGATTATTATTAGGCTCTGTGTGGAGTAAGGAAACTTGTCCAAGGTTTCGCCCTCTGCCTGGAATTGAACTCAGGTCTCTCGCTTGCAAAGCGAGTGCTCTAACCACTGAGCTACAGGACTCCTCCAACCATACTCCGTAATCAGATGTCTCAGTTGGTGACTGTCTGCGATGTTACTGTTCTCCCTGCCTTCAAAAACCTCCTAAAATGATCACTTTGAATAATAGGCAAAATACTGCAGATGCTGTAAATCTGAAATAAAAGCAGAAGTCATTACTGGGAACACTCAGCAGGTCAGGCAGCATCTAAGGAGAGAGTTAACGTTTCAGGTTGCTGACCTTTTTGAATGTAACATTTGATTAACATCTTTAAAGATCTTATTTTCCTGCTACGGCTACATTTGTCAAGGACTTTGGGATGTTCTTTTACATAAAATGCAAGCTCTTGTCAATAGATAAAGATTCCCACTTTAGTTTTACTGATTCTCCATGTTTAGGTCATTGATCCGAAATAATTAATTACTCTGCATTTTGATATTAAATTGACATAATAATTGCAAAGACATTTATATTATGTAATTTATTGCATGGTTTCGATTGTATTTCTCTTTCTTCCTCTGTAGCCGTTTGTTTCCTGGAAATCTCGGAATCTTGCTGGCTTCCTCCTAATCTCCTCTCATCCCAGTGAGTGACACATTTGTGTTTGTAGTCTGATGAATATTGACAGAATTCACGTGGGAAGGCCTATATAAAGCAGTTGTTTTATTTTTCCAATGTAATTGTCTATATGCGGATTTTTTTGGTTTTAGCTAGGCAATTGCCAACTCCCATCCTTGTTATACATAAGAAAACTCGAAAATTGTACTGGTTATTTGATTTACGTATCATATTTTTAAAAAATAGCTGCACAAGGTTAAAAAATTCCTGTCAGCTTCACTCCTAACTTCAATGAAACAATGCTGCATCACTCAGTGTAACAGTATGACCTTCTTCACACTCAGTGCAGATGGACACCAACACTAATATCGGGACCCAACCATCAGTCACCCTGATGTGCTTCACTGAAAATGATGGGGTGGATCAGAACTGAAATCATAGAGAGAACATTTGTGGAGTCCTGTAGCTCAGTGGTTAGAGCATTCGCTTTGCAAGTGAGAGACCTGAGTTCAATTCCAGGCAGAGGGTGAAACCTTGGGCAAGTTTCCTTACTCCTTACTCCACAAACCTGATAATAATCCCTCCAAAAAACAAAAACAATAATAAAAATTGGTCATTTTCAATTTACGACTGTTTGTGGGACATTGCTGTGCGCATTTGGCTGCCGCGTTCGCCCACAAATATACAGTGAATTCACTTTACAGTGTGTTCTGTGAAGCGCTTTGGGACGTCTTCCCGATGTGAAAAGCGCTATATCAAATGCAAGGATTATTATTATTATTAACAGTTATTTAATGTCTCCTAAAAGTATTAATAATTTTTTAAAAAATGGTGATTTTCTGTGGTATTCTGCGAATAGGATCTCTCAGATTGCCTTCCTGAATGAGTGTGAATTTCCCCTTCAAGTACACAGCCACTACTTTGTCAGCAATTACCTGAGAAGTGCTTTGATAAGCTGATGTTATAAACACTCTATCAAATACAAGAATTATTTATTAATATTTTGTTGAATAATTAATAATAAAAACTGCTTGCAATTCCCATCTCAGACATTTATTCTTGTGGTCTAAACTGAACTATTCAGGGAATATTTTTGTTAGATTGATAAAATTGACTCATGTATTCTCTGCCATGTTTATTTTATTTATTTGTCAATATCTCTGCTCTGTGTTTGTTTAATTCAGGGAGTGTGCAAGGAAATTCCTAAGCATGTTATTCCTTCTTCTCGTCATAATACTTTGTCTGGGTGAATATGAATTTCATTTGTGCTGGTTGCTTAACTCTCTCCTGGTTTGGATCAGGAGCATTGAATCTTTAATTTAAGGACAACGGCTCCAACACTATTGTATTGGACTGGACATATTACATTATATAAATTATGCTGCAGTGATACATGCATAAACCTAGATATAGTGACCTATTTACTCTTTACAGGTATTTACTGATCACTGAAGCATGTGCCAACTGTGTAAATGATCCAGATGACTAGGGAGAAGTTGATCCACAACACGGTTCTTTTCAACTGTGCCTTCAGCCCCCCCCTCTCGATTCTCTTCCCCCTCCTCGCTCCCTCCCTTCTCTCCCCTCACCCTGACCAGTTCCCCCCAATGCTCGGGTCCCAACTCAACTCTCCAGCGCCTTGGGACGTCCTCACGACGTGAAAGGCGCTCTATAAATGCAATCTTGTTGTTGTTTTTGTTGATATACTAGAAAAGTCAGTCGGACTGTGAAAAAACAAGTTTTTCAGAAAGAATGTTGTACTACACTACAAATCAACATAAATACGTACTAAACCAAGATATTATCACACAATATTTCTGTTTCCAATGTTCTCTTTGTAATATTGTTTCGCTACTGAAACTTTGCACCTATGGGACCTTGTGAATGGTATGCAACATGTTGTAATGCAATAGAAGTCTAACAATAGAATTGTATATAAAACAATTACAAGTATTTAGAGGAAATCAAAGGCATCTAAAACCAAATACTACCTAATACAATCCAGAGTGCATCTGCATTGTGAGAGAGTTAAGGAGTGGTTGCATCAAAAGATATTCTTTCACACCATAGGGAAAGAGAGTCATTAAACGGATACAATAAGACTTACATTCAGTTACAAGGAAGGGAACTATGAGGAAGAGAGGCAGTAACTCAACCCATAATTAATGCAAGAGAGGCAATGATGCAGCATCACACCAGCTTCAACTTCTGGAGATCTCTCCCAGCAAATACCACTGTACTGGTTTAGATACAGAGTTAACCATCATTTAGTGAACCAGATTTGTTGGGAGTGTTCATGACACTATGAGAAATCTGTGACATTTCTACAAGTCACTATGCACTCCCAGCATTCATAAAGGTCAATGCTGTCAGACAGCTGCTCTTCTTACAGTTGTCGCTGTGACTGCACCCTGTTGCTATAGTTATTAACAATACACACACTTACATGTGTAACTCACAACGGATCTAATAAGAATTGCTTGTTCATCTGTTGAAGTGATTGTAATGTTGTAAAACATGTCATTTTATTGCTATCAGCAGTGGAGAAATGTAAATGTGTTTAACGCTGAAATAATATTTAACAAATTCCAGTCATAAGATCATAAGTGGTCATTTCCAAGAAGCACTGTCATTATCAACATATTTAAAAGATTCCCACATTTTAATAACTCAGCAGACATTATTTAACAATAGCACATCATTGCTTGATACATTTACCACTAATCCTGCATTTCACCTACATTTGTACTGTTATCTCTTTTATTCACAGATTTCGTGTAGCACCTATCATGTCAGGAGGACGTCTCAAGGTACTTGATAGGATATACTGTCAACTGCATTGACCGCATATTTTGTAGGTTAAATGTGGCAGCCAATTAGTAATGTCTCACAGACAGCCAAGAAATGAATGGCCAATTTTATTTGGGGGATTGTTGGCCAGGACATTGGGAGAAACTCCCTTCTTTTTTGAACAGTGCCATGGGATCTTTAATATCTAATTGAACAGGAAGACTAGACAACAACAACAACAAGATTCCATTTATAAAGCGCCTTTCACGTCAGGAGGACGTCCCAAGGCGCTGCACAGTTGGGTCATGACCCGAGCAGGGGGGAAATGGTCAGGGTGAGGGGAGGGAAGGGAGGGAGCGAGGAGGGGGGAAATGGTCAGGGTGAGGGGAGGGAAGGGAGGGAGCGAGGAGGGGGAAGACAGTCGAGAGGGGAGCTGAAGGCTCGGTCAAAGAGAAAGGTTTTGAGACCGGCCTTGAAGGAGGAAAGGGAGGAAGCAAGGCGAAGGCACTGGGGGATGGAGTTCCAGAGCCTGGGGGCTGAGAGGCTGAAGGCCCGACCACCGATGGTAGGGCGGTTGGGGCGGGGGACGTGGAGCAGACTGGAGCCAGAGGAACGGAGGGTACGGGCAGGTAGGTAGGGGGATAGTAGGTCGGAGAGGTAGGAGGGAGCAAGGCCGTGAATGGCCTTGTAGGTGAGGATGAGGATCTCTATTTCATCTGAAGGACAGCACCTCCAACAATGTAGCACCCCCT